TACCTGGTTATAAACTGGTTATTAACTGGTTATAACCTGAGACATTACCTGGTTATAACCTGGTTATTACCCAAGACATTACTTTGTTATAACCTGGTTATAAGCTGAGACATTACCTGGTTATAACCTAGTTAAAACCTGGGAATAACCTGAGACATTACCTGGTTATAACCTGGTTATAACCTGGGACATTACACTGTTATTACCTGGTTATAAGCTGGTTATAACCTGAGACATTACCTGGTTATAACCTAGTTATAACCTGGTTATAACCTGAGACATTACCTGGTTAAAACCTGGTTATAACTTGAGACATTACCTGGATATGACCTGTTTATAACCTGCTGATAACCTGAGACATTACCTGTTTATAACCTGGTTATAACCTGAGACATTACCTGGTTAGAACCCGGTTAGAACCTGAGACATTACCTGGTTATAAACTGAGACATTACCCTGTTGTAACCTGGTTATAACCTGAGACATTACCCGGCAATAACCTGGATATAAACTGATTATAACCTGATACATTACCTGGTTATAACCTGGTGATAACCTGAGACATTACTTGGTTATAACCTGGTAATAACCAGAGACATTACCTGGTTATAACCTGGTTATTACCTGGTTATAACCTGAGACATTACCCTGTTGTAACCTGGTTAAAACCTGGTTATAACCTGAGACATTTCTTGGATATGACCTGTTTATAACCTGGTTATAACCTGAGACATTACCTGGCTAGAACCCGGTTATAACCTGAGACATTACCTGGTAATAACCTGGTTATTACCTGGTTACTACCTGGTCGTAACCTGAGACATTACCTGGTTATAACCCGAGACGTTACCTGGTTTTAACCTGAGACATTACCCTGTTATTACCTGGTTAAAACATGAGACATTACATGGCAGTAACCTGGATCTAACCTGATACATTACCTGGTTCTAAGCTGGTTATATCCTGAGACATTTCCTGGTGATAACCTGGTTATAACCTGATACATAATCTGGTTATAACCTGGAAATAACCTGAGACATTACCCGGTTATAACCTGGTTATTACCTGGTTATAACCTGAGACATTACCCTGTTATAACCTGGTTATAAGCTGGTTATTACCTGAGACATTACCTGGTTATAACCTAGTTATAACCTGGTTATAACCTGGTTATAACCTGAGACATTGCCTGGTTTAAACCTGGTTATAACCTGAGACAATACCTGGATATGACCTGTTTATAACCTGGTTATAACCTGAGGCATTACCTGGTTATAACCTAGTTATTGCCCTTAGACATTACCTGGTTAGAACCCGGTTAGAACCTGAGACATTACCTGGTAATAACCTGGTTATATCCTGGTTACTACCTGGTTGTAACCTGAGACATTACCTGGTTATAACCTGGTTCTAACCTGAGACATTACCCTGTTATAACCTGGTTATAACCTGAGACATTACATGGCAGTAACCTGGATATAACCTGGTTATAACCTGATACATTACCTGGTTATAACCCGGTTATAACCTGAGACATTACCTGGTTATAACCTGGTTATAACCTGATACATTACCTGGTTATAACATGGTTATAACCTGAGACATTACCTGGTTATAACCTGGTCTTTACCTGGTTATAACCTGAGACATTACCTGGTTATAATCTGGTTAAACCTGAGACATTACCTGGTTATAACCTGGTTATAACCCAAGACATTACCTGGATGTAACCTGGTTATAACCTGGTTATATCCTGAGACATTACCTGGTTATAACCTGGTTATTAGCTGAGACATTACCGGGTTAGAACCTAGTTATAACCTGGTAATAACCTGAGACATTACCTGGTTATAACCTGGTTATAACCTGGGACATTACCTGGTTATAACCTGAGACATTACCTGGTTATAACGTGGTTATAGCCTGAGACATTACCTGGTTATAACCTGGTTATAACCTGAGACATTACCTGGTTATACACTTGTCATATCCTGAGACATAACCTGGTTATAACCTGGTTATAACCTGAGACATTACCTGGATGTAACCTGGTTATAACCTGGTTATATCCTGAGACATTACCTGGTTATAACCTGGTTATAAACTGAGACATTACCTGGTTATAACCTGCTTAAAACCTGGTTATATCCTGAGACATTACCTGGTTATAACCTGGTTATATCCTGAGACATTACCTGGATATAACCTAGTTATCTCCTGAGACATTTCCTGGTTTTTACTTGGTTATATCCTGAGACATTACCTGGATATAACCTAGTTATCTCCTGAGACATTTCCTGGTTTTAACTTGGTTATATCCTGAGACATTACCTGGATATAACCAGGTTATAACCTGGTTATAACCTGAGACATTACCTGGTTATAACCTGGTTATATCCTGAGACATTACCTGGTTATAACCTGGTTATATCCTGAGACATTACCTGGTTATAACCTAGTTATATCCTGAGACATTACCTGGTTATTACCTGGTTTTAACCTGAGACATTACCTGGTTCTAACCTGGTTATATCCTGAGACATTATCTGGCTATTACTTGGTCATAACGTGGTTATAACCTGGTTGTATCCTGAAACATTACCTTACCTGGTAATAACCAGGTCATAACCTGGTTATTACCTGGTTCTAACCTGAGAATTTACCTGGTTATAACCTGGTTGTATCCTGAGACCTTACCTGGTAATAACCTGTTTATATCCTGAGATAGTACCTGGTTATGACCTAGTTATATCCTGAGATATCACCTGGTTACAACCTGGTTATAACCTGGTTATATCCTGAGACATTACCTGGTTATAACCTAGTTATATCCTGAGACATTGCCTGGTTATAACCTGTTTATAACCTGGTTAGATCCTGAGACATTACCTGGTTATAACCTGGTTAAATCTTGCGACACTACCTGGTTATAACCTGGTTATGTCCTGAGACATTACCTGGTTAGAAACCTGTTAGAACCTGAGACATTTCCTGGTTATAACTTGGTTATAACCTGGTTGTATGCTGAGACATTACTTGGTTATGACCTGGTTCTACCCTGAGACATTACCTGGTTATAACCTAGTTATATCCTGAGACATTCCTAGCTTTTATCCTGGTTATAACCTGGTTATATCCTGAGACATTACCTGGTTATAACCTGGTTATAACCTAAGACATTACCTGGATATAACCAAGTTATAACCTGGTTATAACCTGAGACATTACCAGGTTATAACCAGGTTATATCCTCAGACATTACCTGGTTATAACCTGGTTATATCCTGAGACATTTCCTGGTTATAAGCTATTTATATCCTGAGACATTACCTGGTTATAACCTGGTTATAACCTGAGACATTACCTGGTTCTAACCTGGTTTTATCCTGAGACATTACCTGGCTATTACTTGGTTATAACCTGAGACATTACTTGGTCATAACGTGGTTATAACCTGGTTGTATCCTGAGACATTACCTTTCCTGGTAATAACCAGGTTATAACCTGGTTATTACCTGGTTATAACCTGAGAATTTACCTGGTTATATCCTGGTTATATCCTGAGACCTTACCTGGTTTTATAGCCTAGTTATATCCTGAGACATTACCTGGTTATAACCTGGGACATTACCTGGTTATAACCTGGTTATATCTTGTGACATTCCCTGGTTATAACCTGGTTATAACCTGGTTATATCCTGAGACATTACCTGGTTATAACCTGGTTATAACCTGAGACATTACCTGGTTATAACCTGGTTATAACCTGAGACATTACTTGGTTATAACCTGGTTGTATCCTGAGAGATTACCTGGTCATAATCTGGTTATAACCTGAATATATCCTGAGACATGACCTGGTTACAAACTGTTTATAACCTAAGACATTATCTGAGACATTACCTTTTTATAACCTGGTTATATCCTGAGACATTATCTGGTTATAACCTGGTTATATCTTGCGAGATTACCTGGTTATAGCCTAGTTATATCCTCAGACATTACCTGATTATAACCTGGTTATATCCTGAGACATTACCTGGTTATATCTTATGACAATACCTGGTTATAACCTGGTTATAACGTGGTTATATCCTGAGACATTACCTGGTTATAATCTGGTCATAACCTGAGACATTACCTGGTTATAACCTGTTTATAACCTAAGACATTACCTGAGACATTACCTGTTTAAAACCTGGTTATATCCTGAGATATTATCTGGTTATAACCTGGTTATAACCTGAGACATTACCTGGTAATAACATGGTTATATCCTGAGACATTCCCTGGATATAACCAGGTTATAACCTGAGACATTACCTGGTTATAACCTGGTTATATCTTGTGACATTACCTGGTTATGACCTGGTTATAACCTGGTTATATCCTAAGACATTACCTGGTTATAACCTGGTTATAACCTGGTTATATCCTGAGACATTACTTGGTTATAACCTGGTTATCTCCTGAGAGATTACCCGGTTATCACCTAGTTATATCCTGAGACATTACCTGGTCATAACCTGGTTATAACCTGGTTATATCCTGAGACATTACCTGGTTATAACCTGTTTATAACCTAAGACATTACCTGAGACATTACCTGTTTATAACCTGGTTATATCCTGAGACATTATCTGGTTATAACCTGGTTATATCTTGCGAGATTACCCGGTTATAGCCTAGTTATATCCTGAGACATTACCTGGTTATAACCTGGTTATATCCTGTGACATTACCTGGTTATAACCTTGTTATAACCTGGTTATATCCTGAGACATTTCCTGGTTATAACCTGGTCATAACCTGAGACATTACCTGGTTATAACCTGGTTACAACCTGGTTATATCCTGAGACTTTACCTGGTTATAACCTGCTTATAACCTAAGACATTACCTGAGACATTACCTTTTTATAACCTGGTTATATCCTGAGACATTATCTGGTTATAACCTGGTTATAACCTGAGACATTACCTGGTAATACCATGGTTATATCCTGAGACATTACCTGGTTATAACCTGGTTATAACCTGGTCATAACCTGAGACATTACCTGGTTATAACCTGGTTATAACCTGGTTATATCCTGAGACTTTACCTGGTTATAACCTGCTTATAACCTAAGACATTACCTGAGACATTACCTTTTTATAACCTGGTTATATCCTGAGACATTATCTGGTTATAACCTGGTTATAACCTGAGACATTACCTGGTAATACCATGGTTTTATCCTGAGACATTACTTGTTTATAACCTGGTTATATCCTGAGACATTAGCTGGTTATAACCAGGTTATAACCTGGTTATAACCTGAGACACTACCTGGTTATAACCTGGTTATCACTTGAGACATTACCTGGTTATAACGTGGTCATAACCTGAGAGCCTGATAACCTGATAACCAGGTTATAACCAGGTTATAACCTGGTTATTACCTGGTTATAACCTGAGACATTACCTGGTTATAACCTGTTTCTATCCTGAGACATTACCTGGTTATAACTTGGTTATAACCTGAGACATTACCTGGTTATAACCTAGTTATATCCTGAGACATTACCTGGTTATAACCTGGTTATATCCTGAGACATTACTTGGTTACAACCTGGTTATAACCTGGTTATAACCTGAGACACTACCTGGTTATAACCTGGTTATCACTTGAGACATTACCTGGTTATAATGTGGTCATAACCTGAGAGCCTGATAACCTGATAACCAGGTTATAACCAGGTTATAACCTGGTTATTACCAGGTTATAACCAGGTTATAACCTGGTTATTACCTGGTTATAACCTGAGACATTACCTGGTTATAACCTGTTTCTATCCTGAGACATTACCTGGTTATAACTTGGTTATAACCTGAGACATTACCTGGTTATAACCTAGTTATATCCTTAGACATTACCTGGTTATAATCAGGTTATAACCTGGTTATAACCTGAGACATTACCTGTTTATAACCTGGTTATATCTTGAGACATTACCTGGTTATAACCTGGTTATATCTTGCGAGATTACCTGGTTATAGCCTAGTTATATCCTGAGACATTACCTGGTTATAACCTGGTTATAGCCTAGTTATATCCTGAGACATTACCTGGTTATAACCTGGTTATATCCTGAGACATTACCTGGTTATAACCTGGTTATAACCTGAGACATTACCTGGTTATAACGTGGTCATAACCTGAGAGCTTACCTGGTAATAACCAGGTTATAACCTGGTTATTACCTGGTTATAACCTGAGACATTACCTGGTTATAACCTGTTTCTATCCTGAGACATTACCTGGTTATAACTTGGTTATATCCTGAGACATTACCTGGTTATAACCTAGTTATATCCTGAGACATTACCTGGTTATAACCTGGTTATATCCTGAGACATTACCTGGTTATAACCTGGTTATAACCTAAGACATTACCTGGATATAACCAGGTTTTAAGCTGGTTATAACCTGAGACATTACCTGGTTATAACCTGGTTAGACATTTTTCCCCCCGGAAAATTTTTCAGTTAATTCTGAAATATAATTCTTGTTAATTTAGGAAACAAGAGCAGTTTTACCCTCAAATAAATGCAGTACACCTTTGTTTTGAGAAACTCTACATTTCTGTCAAACATTAATCTCAAATATACCTCAAGGTAGGATTAAAAAAAACATGTTTAAAATAACTTTGACTGCATTAATCAGGTCAAAAGTTGAGATTTTATGGCGTTTCCGGGTTAAAATTATGTAATTTCCTGTGGTTTTAATCAACATCAAAGCAGAGCAGTGGATTAGCTCTGGTGTTAGCCACACGAGTGTACCCGAATGTAATGGCGTTTACTATGGCTATGTGCTATTCGAGACTCAAATGTTTCAGAGAATAGAATAGAATAGAATATTCCTTTATTGATCCCCCATGGGGGAAATTTTTTTGTCACAGCAGCATCACAGACAAGACAGAAAGTGCAAAATGCAGTTATAACAATAAGGGTCCTAATATTAAGAACTTAATAAATGTAATAATTAAGAAAAAAAAAATTGAAAAAGAGAAAAGGGAGAAGAAAAAATAAAGCTTTCTGCAATATACACAATTTAAATGCCATAAAAAAAGTGGTGGTGTAAATCCAGTTTTGTTACTGTTCATTGTAAAGTCTTATTGCAGAGGGGAGGAATGATCTGCGGTAGCGCTCCGTCCTGCAGGGTGGGAGTCTCAGTCTGCTGCTGAAGGAGCTGCCTAAAGCCCCCACAGTCTGGTGCAGTGGGTGAGAGGGATTGTCCATGATGGATATAAGCTTTGTTAACATCCTCCTCTCACCCACCTCCTCCAGGGAGTCCAAAGAGCAGTCCAGGACAGAACCGGCCCTCCTGACCAGTCTATTCAGTCTCTTCCTGTCCCTCTCGGTGCTCCCTGCCCCCCAGCAGACCACTGCATAGAAAAGTGCAGATGCTACCACAGAGTCATAGAAAGTCCTGAGCAGAGTCCTGCACACTCCAAAGGACCTCAGTCTCCTCAGCAGGTGGAGACGACTTTGGCCCTTCTTGTACAAGACGTCTGTGTTTGTTGACCAGTCCACTTTGTTGTTGAGGTGGACACCCAGGAATCTGTAGGACTCCACCATCTCGATGTCCAGACCCTGTATGTTCACTGGAACTGTTTGAGGTGTCCCCCTCCTGCGGAAATCCACAACCATCTCCTTTGTCTTACTGGCGTTGAGCTGGAGGTGGTTTGTGCCACACCAGTTGACAAAGTCAGTGATGACAGTCCTGTATTCCCGCTCGTCCCCTGACGATACACATCCGACGATGGTTGTGTCATCAGAGAACTTCTGGAGGTGACAGCTCCCAGAGTTGTAGCTGAAGTCTGAGGTGTACAGGGTGAAGAGGAAGGGGGAGAGCACTGTCCCCTGTGGAGCCCCCGTGCTGCAGACCACCATGTCCGATACACAGTTCTGAAGCCTCACAAACTGTGGTCTGTCGGTGAGGTAGTCCACGGTCCATGCGGCTAGGTGACAGTCCACTCCCGCCCGCTCGAGCTTCCCCTGAGCAGTGAAGGCTGGATGGTGTTGAACGCACTGGAGAAGTCAAAAAACATGACCCTCACAGTGCTGCCAGTGTTCTCCAGGTGAGCCATGGACCTCTGCAGCAGGTAGATGACTGCGTCATCCACCCGATGTTCGGCTGGTACGCAAACTGCAGAGGATCCAGATGAGAGCTCACCAGGGGGCGGAGGTTCCTCAGCACGATCCTCTCCAGAGTCTTCATCAGGTGAGAAGTGAGGGCCACAGGTCTGAAGTGGTTGGGCTCCCTAGGGTGCGCTGTCTTGGGGACAGGAATCACGCAGGAAGTCTTCCACAGTGTTGGGACCCTCTCCAGACTCAGGCTCAAGCTGAAGATGTGCAGTAGCACCTCACAGAGCTGGTCTGCACAGTCTTTCAGGAGTCTGGGGCTGATGCCGTCAGGACCCGTGGCTTTCCTTGGCTTCATCTTCCTCAGCTCACTTCTCACCTGGTCAGCTGTTATGGAGAGGCTGGGGGTGGTGCTGGAGGGGGTGGTGGAGGATGAGTGGAGGGGGGTTGATGGTGTCGGTGCCATGGGACTGAGGTGGTGTGAATAAGAATAAGAAGAAGGAGGAGCAGCAGACGGGTCGTTGGTTAGATGAGTCGGGGGAGGAGTGGGAGTAGAGTCAAATCTATTGAAGAACAGATTCAGCTCGTTGGCCCACTCCCTGTCTCCTGCTTCAGATCCCCTCTCATGGCCCCTGCTATGACCTGAGATGGATTTTAGGCCTCTCCAGACCTCCCTTGCGTTGTTCTGTTGCAAAAGGTTTTCCATCTTGGTCTTGTAGCTGGCCTTTCCCTCTCTGATCTTCTTCTTCAACTCCTTCTGCACCCTCCTCAGCTCCTCCTTGTCCCCAGATTTAAAGACCCTCCTCTTCTCCTTCAGGAGGACTTTCAGTTCCGGGGTCACCCAGGGTTTGCTGTTGGAGAAACACCGTACTTTCCTGGTGGGTACGGTGTTCTCAACACAGAAGTTAATATAGTCCGTGATGCAGTCAGTCATGGTGTCGATGTCATCACCATGTGGGCCGCACAGTACATCCCAGTCTGTGGTCTCAAAACAGTCCTGCAGCGCCTCAGTGGCCTCCTCAGACCACCTCTTAACATACCTGATGGTGGGGGGTTGTTTCTTCACCATAGGTATGTAAATGGGCTGCAGTCTCACCAGGTTGTGATCTGAGCAGCCCAGCGGGGGAAGGGGGGAGGAGGTGTATGCATCCTTGGTGTTTGCATACAGTAAGTCCAGAGTTTTATTGTCTCTTGTTGGGCAGTTTACATACTGGCTGAAGGTAGGGAGAGTGGAGGAGAGCGATGCATGATTAAAGTCTCCAGAGATGATGATCAGAGACTGAGGGTGTGATGTCTGTAGCTTGGACACTTCATTATGGAGGAGTTCACAGGCTGCAGCAGCCTCAGCCGAGGGGGGGATGTAAACAGTTAACGCGATGACGTGCGAAAATTCCCTCGGCAGGTAATAAGGCCGCAAACTCACAGCCAGCAGCTCAATGTCCTTAGAGCAGAGCTGCTCTTTAACACTGACGTGCCCAGCATTACACCATCTCTCATTCACATACACCGCTATCCCGCCTCCTTTCTTCTTACCACTCTCCCTCACGCTCCGGTCCGCTCTGACGAGGTGAAATCCGTCCAAAGTTACGAGCGGGTCCGGAGTGAGTTCGTTCAGCCATGACTCCGTGAACATCATGAGGCTACATTCCCTATACTCCCACTGCAGCCGAGTTAGCGCTGTGAGCTCTTCCATCTTGTTGGGGAGAGACCTCACGTTTCCCATGATGATGGACGGGACAGTTGGTTTGTAACGCCTCCGCTTTGCCCGATGCTGAACTCCAGCCCTGCATCCTCTCCTTCTCCTGCGGAGCTTAGCGGGGATGTCCGGTCTCTCCCACGAAGGTGGCCGGGCTTGGCGCAGCGCCAACAGCTGTTCACAGCTGTAAACAATGCGGCCGCTGAATGGGTCGCCGGTCGCGGACTTAAAAACTCCGAAAAATAAAAGAAAACAAAGTGCTAGAGTCATGAACTGCACATCCATGGCTGGAATATGCAGACACGACACTGCTGAATGAAGAGAAAGATAAAAAGGTGCAAAAAACAACAATAAGAACGCAAAAACGTGAAGTCGTTGAGGAGCTGCTGTGACTTGCTGCCACTCTCAGGGCGCCCGAGTCACAGTCGCCATATCTACTATTTTCAAAACATGTCTGTTTCTCACGCATTTAAATGAACATGGTGATGTCCACCAAGTTGCACCTCTTTAACTATGGAACAGGTAGGAATCAACTGAGTTCCTCCGAGAGTTCAGAAGTTGCGTGCCACGCGCAAGCCAATCAAATAAATTCTATCTACTGAACAGCCAATAAAAAAGCAGCATTGCTGTATCCGGGTAGATTTTGATATCTTACGGTTTGACTACAGAAGAAGACAGACACTCGCCGTAATAGAGCAGGTTTTTATAAGGACGAGATAGACCCGATGATTACAGTAAGTTAGTAACCTACACATGCAGAGACCTCAACACCTCATGGCATATAAACTCATATGATAAACTAAAGCCCTATGCTATTGCTATTAACAGCTGTATTGACAGATTTAGCCTCTGTACAGCCATTTCCAGCCATTTTCCCCTCCACAAAAGCAGCATTTCTCATATATCTCAAATATAAGTTCTGATACTCATGACAGTGTAATGCTCATGTACCAAAGGATTAAGTATCTCCATGTTTGTGAAACCTATACTAAAGTACAATTCATCTAAATGCTCCACAGTGCTGATTTTAGCAACTCTCCTTCACAACAGGTAACTTTACGACTTAATACTGATATTAATGACTTTATTCTGTTTTTTTTCTAATTGTGTCCCTTATACTCCGTTGTATTTAAGAGATAATTATACTAATAATTATCTTCAATCAGGATTCCGACAAACACCTTCGACCAACACCTGAACAAAGAGGACAATATCTCCGACATGGAGACCGTAAGATTTCATGACAATATTATCATACAAACTTGTGTTACTGTCGAGACTTTGGTGAAGGTTAAGCGATGCATCGACAAGGATTAAATGTGTGCATGGATATTTACAGTGTTTATGACTTTAATGTGACAGGCATGATCAAAATTAACTGAAAATAAGTGAACATTAGCGTTTTTTTGTGTGTGTTACTGTCAAGACGTTCGGATGGTTTTCATAAAAGTGATGCATTGACATCGTATGAAAGTCCTGCCCACCATGTCAAAGACTCTATGTGCTTAAGAGCAGAAAAGCTCATGTGAGAAATCTCTTTCAGACATTTTTTATGTCTTCTGGGCTATTTAAAGCCGTCAGCCTGAAACTTATTTCACAGTTTATTTTATACTAACCTATGCTATCAGGTGAAAACTATAAACACAAGCTATTTTCACTCTTATTACAGCTAAAGAGGTGCATTCACTGAAATGTAGTGTTAAAATAAGGGACACCATAACTTTAAAGAACTTTCAGTCATCATAAAATTCAACAAAATAAACTAAAAAGGCATAATAGTTAGACCTATTTTTAAGTGCTCTAATAGGCCTGAGTAACCAAAAAAATCCTATGAATTATATTTGAACCTATTTAAAAAGTTACAAAAAAAAGTTGAAATAAACTAAAAAGACATAATACTTAGACCTATTTATAAGTGCTCTAATAGGCCTAAGTAACCAAAAAAATCGTATGAATTACATTTGAACCTATTATATATAATATAATAAGTATAATATAATATATATAAGTTACATAAACAGACGAGATGAAGTTAAAAGAAATGTCTTATGTACAACCTTTAAAATGAAGAGTTCAATAATGTTCCACTGAAATATGTTTTCATGTTGTTTCATCAAGTGTGTGTTTTCTATCACAATATTTAAAATTTCATAATAGTTTTGACAGGGAAAAATTCACAAAGTGTAATCGAAACACTGTCCTTTTGTGGAAGTCAGTTTTTTTATCAAACTGAAAACAGAGGATTTTCTTATTTAATCCTGAAAAAGTCTTTTCCCCAATAAAATAAAATGACTGAAATAGACATACCAAAAATATAAATTCTTAATGGGGGGTGTTGTATTGATGTTAATCTATTTCTGTTGCACAATTAACCTGCTGATTAGAGACTAAATTAAAATTAAAATGTATTGACTGTCTCTTCTTGATGATACTGATGTTACAGATGCTTCCTTCATGACCTTGACACCACAGTCAAATGTTATAGCTTGTTTAATTTAAATGTCTGCATTGTTTCTGTCTTCAGACCAGCCGACGCTTCACCCCGGTCCTTGTGGACAGCCCTGATTGGTTCTGTCCCAGGCTGATCTTGAAGAGGGTCGCGGCAACACCCATGTCCCGTTCCAAGCCTCGCTGTGTAAGTAGGAAACCACACTGACAACATAGATAGGCCATTAGCATGCCTTCAAAACAACATACAAAACTTTTATTGTCTGAATGATTTTAATTACAGAAATGTGTTCATGAATTTGTCTTTTTTAATTTTAATTTTCTTTAACTGAATTGTATTCATTTATTTATTTCAAAGATGTGAAAACTTCCCCTGGAAAAATCCTTTCTGCAGACTTCAGATTTTATAATTTGTTGGTTTTTCTGTCTCAGGTCCCAGTGGAGCAGTACAGCCTCGTCCAGAACCAGGATGAGTCCACTCCTAGGCTGTTACTGAGGAAGGTCCCACCGATGGACGGCCCTCCACGTTTCTCCTCCCCCAAGCTCAACCAGGTCACTCACTCTCACTCCTCTTCTGTCTCTCCCTCTTTCTCTTTCTCTTTCCCCTTTCTCTCCTACTTTCTCTCCCTCTTTTTCTCCCTCTTTCTCTCCCTTTCCTCCTTTCTCTCCTCCTGTCTCTCCCCCTTTCTCTCCTACTTTCTCTCCTTCTAGCTCTTCTCCTTCCTCCCCCTCTTCTGGTTGTTGCTCTGGTACTGGTTGCCCCTCTCTGTGCTCTTCTCCAGCCAGGTCACCGGGACCTACCCGCAGCCCCTCACCCTGCCTCCCCCCTCTGATGTCAGAGGAGGAGCAGTGGCCAGGCTTGGAGCCCGAGGACCCAGAGGAGCTCTCCAGACCAAGGAGACGGTGGATGGCCCCACTGAGGACCACTCAGGAAGAACCTGCGCCCCTTTCATTCATCCACCAAGCTCATCTCCACCGGTCCTGAGCCCAGGTGGAAGAAGAATCCTCAGCGCCTCATGAAGATCAGGTTCCAGCGGTCTAACGTGACTCACAAGAGGCCTGCTGGATGGATGAAAAACAACCGTCCAAGCAAGAGTCCTTTTGGGGGTCACGTTGTGCTGTAGTTTAATTTAGTTATTAAGCTGTAGCACAGTAATGGATAATTTTAGTTGTTTGCCAAGTTAGATAAGTTAAGTTAGAAGAAGTTAAGTTGTTCAGTTATGGTAAGTTAAGTTAGAGTAAGTTAAGTTGTTTAGTTATGATAAGTTAAGTTAGAGTAAGTTAAGTTGTTTAGTTATGGTAAGTTAAGTTAGAATAAGTTAAGTTGTTTAGTTATGATAAGTTAAGTTAGAGTAAGTTAAGTTGTTCAGTTATGGTAAGTTAAGTTAGAGTAAGTTAAGTTGTTTAGTTATGATAAGTTAAGTTAGAATAAGTTAAGTTGTTTAGTTATGATAAGTTAAGTTAGAGTAAGTTAAGTTGTTTAGTTATGGTAAGTTAAGTTAGAATAAGTTAAGTTGTTTAGTTATGATAAGTTAAGTTAGAGTAAGTTAAGTTGTTTAGTTATGGTAAGTTAAGTTAGAATAAGTTAAGTTGTTTAGTTATGATAAGTTAAGTTAGAGTACGTTAAGTTGTTCAGTTATGGTAAGTTAAGTTAGAGTAAGTTAAGTTGTTTAGTTATGATAAGTTAAGTTACAATAAGTTAAGTTGTTTAATTATGATAAGTTAAGTTAGAGTAAGTTAAGTTGTTTAGTTATGGTAAGTTAAGTTAGAATAAGTTAAGTTGTTTAGTTATGATAAGTTAAGTTAGAGTACGTTAAGTTGTTCAGTTATGGTAAGTTAAGTTAGAGTAAGTTAAGTTGTTTAGTTATGATAAGTTAAGTTACAATAAGTTAAGTTGTTTAATTAAGATAAGTTAAAATAAGTTAAGTTGTTTAATTAAGATAAGTTAGAGTAAGTTAAGTTTAAGTTAAGATAAGTAACAACAAGTTAAGTTGTTTAGTTATGATAATTCAAGTTAAGTTAGAATAAGTAAATATACTGGCTCTTCCACCTGCTCTTTTCCAGCTCCACCCTCTCCTCTAAATTTGGCTGAAGTTAAATTATTAGGAATATTGGGCTGTTTGTTAATTCTGCATTAGTTAGTCTCCAGCTCCTCAGCAGCATCTCCTCTCCTCCTCTAATAAAAGCCTCCGGCATCCTGCTCTGCATTTAAGTCAATGACAACAAATCCCTCGCTCTGCTCCAGCTCCTCCTCTCGCACTGGCGACTAAAAAGAACAAAAAAGCTTCAATTAAAGGCAGAAAAAAGGACTTCACCTTGGACTTTTTGGGCAGAACTTCAAAAGTCCTTGGTTGTGTTGTGTGGTTATTTATTTTGATGTTATGTGTTGGGATGTTTTGTGTAGTGGCGTAGTTTTAGTATAGTGTCTTGTGATGTGTTGTTTTCTTCTGTGTGTTGTGTTGTCGTGTGTGTGTTTGTGTTGTGATGTGTTGTGTTGTGTCACGTTCTTTTGCGTGACCTCTTTACTTGATTCATTCACTTAGTGGGTAAGTGAATCTAAAGGTGAGTGTGGTTCCTCCAGAGTCATTGTTAACATGAAACAAAGTCAGTGTAGGACCCATTTTCTTTTTGTTTGTTTTTTTAGGAAAAGGACCTCAATTGAGAAGAAACCCCCAGAAGAGCCGAGCACGAGACAGAAGACGCAGGAGGACCAAACATACGAGAGACAGGCCCATGAAGAGAGAGACGAAGAAAAGATGAATGATGGATGTACTGTGTGTTTCTGGGAATTTGAAGGTAAATAACTCTATAACTACTTAAAAGGTTCGGCTTTTAGGAAAAAAATAGACAATTTTAACTGAAGGGCTGAAATTCATGTTTGTTTCAGGTAACTTCAAAGAGTCAAATGCCTAAAATGACTCCAGAGGAGGCCAAAGATGACGACCAACTCGGTGATGCAGAATGAGATTGGATGAACAAGACAACACGGAGAAGTAAAGTAAGTAAAGTTTGATGAATGTGTCATGTTTCATTAAACTGTTGTCTTTGTGTGCTGCTCTATTGACCTGCATTTTCTTCATCTTTCATCTCCTTATATTTATCTCTATACAATAGACACACACAAGGATGAGAGTGAAGATGATGAGCAGCCGAAAGAAGAAGATAAGATGAGAACAGCAGCAAAGATGGTGAACATGAACAAGAGTTTCAGGGCATGAAGGTACACTGACTGCATCCTTTGTTCTTTTCTTTCAGAATGTAATCACTTCTTAAAGATTGGTCTCTACATACTTTGGTGGATATCTGTTAAAAGATATTGTATTTTAATATTTTTGTCTTTTCATTATAGTTGAACAAGTGTAAGAGTGGCCTCCAAACAGCAGTTATCCAGCTGGTGACTGAAAAGGACAGAAGAAACTCTGGAAGGAGAGCAGCCATGTTGACACGGAGGCTGCACCACATTTTGCACATCCAAATAAATTGTGACATTTTAGTTTAAACCATGTCTTAAGTTGTGTTTTCGAAAGATGAAAGTTCTTGAATCCTTTGCACACACTTACAGCCTGTCTCCTTACAGCATTTTAAATTATTTGTATAGCGACTATCCTGGCAACATTTTAGCCACTCGGCTGGGTGTTGGGATGGGACAATGTTTTTGACGCGCTGTGCGTGATGAATGGATGAAGGGATGATTGTCCGATCCGTACTTACTTTTGGGTGACGTTCCCATTTATTTTCAACATTACAAAAGACAGGTTATTTTAGCGATGCAGTGGTGATGTGTTAGGCTACAGACTGTGACTTTACTGAAGTGAAGTTAAGCAGAACGGAGAGCTGTGGACCGGCATAGCGTGCAGTAAAAACCGTGTAGTCTCCCCACCACCCATGCCTCCTGACTGCCAACACACCTGTGTCTTAATTACTTCCTCCATTACCAGACACCTACAATCACACTAGCCAACACCGCAACCCAGTGACCACTTCAACTAACTAACAACCAGACAGAAAATAGACAATGGCTCCTATAATTTGTATTGAATATCATACAATATGTGCAGAGAAGAAGAAAAGAAGAGTTCAGAAAAACACAAGATTTGTAAAATATTAAGACTGATGAGGCTGTAAAACCAAGTTCTTAAATACAAACTGATTTATTCTCAAGTGGTTTGTTACAGCCACTAGAGGACGCTTTATGTTTAGTGCTGATTATGCTTTTAAACAGTCTTTATTATTATGTCAGCACTGTGGGTCAGCTCAGGTGAAAATAAAAACTCGTCATAGTTCTCAGGTGTGTTAGGGGTTAAAAAAAACTGTGGCTGAAACCACAACAGGAGTTACTAAAAGAAAGAAAGAAAGAAAGAAAGAAAGAAAGAAAGAATGAAAAGATAAAAGAAGGAAGGGAGGACAGATGGCTGGAAGGAAGGGGGGTAAAAAAAAAAGCCTAAACACTTATAATCATTTTTACTCAAGCTCCTTGTGTTAGTAATCAGAAGGCATGAATCCTGTCTCTTCTGCTGATTATTCAACACCTTTACTGGCCAAACTACAAAATGATCTATAACCAAAGAAAGAAAAGAACTGGAAGAAAGAAGGACAGAAAGAAAAAAAAAAGATCAATTTTACCTATCAAATACTGTAAACTAGATGTCTTCATCCTAGTTAAACATTTTGTGATAGACAGGTATTTAATTGTTTGGTAAACTGCTTTGGCAGAAACAGGCACTACTCGTGATAATAAAAACAATTCAAACATGGATTAAGGGAGGAAGAAAGAAGAAAGAAATGTTTAAAAGAAAGATAAAAAGAAGAGGAAAAAAAGAAAAGGGAAGATAAAAAATGAAGCAACTTTGCCCTCATGATCATTGTTTTTATCAGAGCTATTTCTGAGTCACATGAATGATCCTGATCCTGTGTCTTCTGCCACTCAGCGAAAACATAAAAAGAAAGAAAGAAAGACCTTTTAATCGTGTTTGATTTATTAACAGTATTGTGTGAAGGAAAAAAAAGTCTTTCTAGGGATGCCGCCAGATTTCATGGTTTTATTCATGCTGATCCGACTGAATGTTGATAAAAGCAGTGATGGATTCTTATATCCGAGCTGAAAAATATCAATCCTGCTGAGTTTTCCTGGTTTTCCTTCAGGCTGTTTTTCACTGGAATTGGTTCACAGCCTGGTCTCTGTACATTTTGTTGCCTATTTTGGAGGCTTGTTGTTAGCTGGAATAGGTGTGCTGATACAAAATTGTTTAGTAAATCACTTTCTAAGTAACTGCACAATTATAATTTAGAAAAATAAGAGTAAAGTGGGAAATTTATTTAAAATCTTCATATTACTTGACTGAATTAAATGTTATTTTTATGCAGCTGACATCCTTATTCACATATCTGTATGCAAGTTGAGTTATAAATCAGTTCTATGTCATACCAACATCACTGTAGGATAAGATTCATTCTCATCTTATATCATGAGTCTCAGGGCTCTATTTTGGTGCTTCGCCGGAGACGTGCCGCAAGCGCAGAGTCAATCAGATCCGCCGCGCTGACAAGGCGTTCCTAAGCACATTTTGGTATTTTGGTGAGCCGCGCAGCCCGGCGTAAGTATCCCCCCTCCCTAACTCAGCTCGTCCCGGCAGCATAAATCATAGACGGGGAGGAGAGGGGGTTTAACACAGCCGAGACCTGTTTTCACCAATCACATTAGCTCCTCTCCTCGCCTTTAAATCCGCCACAGGCGAGGCGTATTACTATTTTCATGAAGTAGTCAAAGAGATCAAGAGATGTCTGAAGACAGTTATGCCACACGATGGCGACAGAGGGCAGCTGCTCAACAAGTGTCCTCCACACTCTCTCATCTGAGCACAGATGGATTTGGTGTGCGTAATGTTGGACCCACTGGTAAGACAAACACCCTTTTCCACAAATAAAGACACTCACATAAAGTTGCATATATTCAAACCTCACGTGACAAAGGTGGGTTGAGCGCACAGATCACAACATAAACTCCAAAAAGGCATTAAAATCGGAACCATCTGTGCGTAAATGACGCATCGCGCTCCGTGGCCTGGCTCTTTCTTTCATAGATGTTGGCATATAAAATAAATTTGGCTCACAAAACTGAATATTATAATATCCGTATGTCGGCTTAAAGTAGATAACGCATCTGAGCACTGAAACAAATCATCTGTTCAGCCGCAGCAGCAGCAGGAAGACGGACAGAGGACACGGAGACGTGTCCAGGTCGAGCTGTGCGAGAAATAAGAGGAAGAAAGAAAAGGAGGGAGACACATTACATATCTAGTTAACTTCATCATATGTGTTTATTTACTAGATATTTTATTTAATTTGATGCAGTTTCAGCTGTATTGATTCGGTCAGGTTGTGTGTCCAAACGCGTGCCAAACGCGCTCATCAGATCAGATATAGATCAGAATATATCTATATAGATCTAAATGTATGTGCTGACTCAGATTAATAGTTGTTGATGATTATTTATTGCACTGAAATCTGCCTGACACTGTGGAAACCTGCCGGTGAGGCATCAGTGACGTATGTCGATACGCCGCCGGTCTACCAAAATACTACTGGACCAGCTGCGTTCCGCCTTGCGCTGAAAGCTGACCAGGTTTGAATCGGCGAGCTTTCAGCGCACGTTACACGCCAGTGGCGAGCACGAAAATGTCACTGCGCCGGGTTAAAATTGTGTAATTTCCTGTGGTTTTAGTCAACATCAAAGCAGAGCAGTGGATTAAACATGGAAAAATGTTATGCAGGCCATGCTGCAAGACCAAAACATTGCACAATTGTTTAAACAGCTTGTAACACCTGTTACTTACCACTTTATTGTATTATTTTCTCTTATTAAAAAGAAACACCTGTTACTAAACTTGTCTTATTTCACATTTATTAGTCATCCACTAAATATATGTACGTGACTTTGACGTGTACACAGTAATCCAATAAGAGTTGCAAATGTTGACTTTTTACGGCTAATTTTAATATTTACCTCTTAAATGCGCGCTCACTGCAGTCTGTCCCGTTGAAGAGCATGGACAGTGCAGACTGCGTTTGGAACTATGGAGGGGTACATGAACCACGTGACCGCTCTGGCGGCGAGATCTGAAGTTGTCGCCACTCTGTTTAATCCACTGCTCTGGGTCGAACGTCCTTTTTTTTTTGCATTATTTTGTATTTGCAGCAGTGGCGGTTCTCGCTCACCGTAATGTCGCCTATGATTATGAAGAAAAAACAGCACTAAGTCAGACATTTCAGGCGCACCCCTGTCTTTTATTTTTGTGTTTTTTATCAAAACAAACATTTACAACTGAAATCACAGCCAGATATAAATTACAACAGCAAACACAAGTTCCTATTTTAAATAAACTCGTCTCCTCTGAGCTTTAATTATTCAATAAAACAACCTGCAACACAAAGTCAAGTCAAAGTCCCTTTAAAGTTGAATAAACTGCAGTCCGGTGCATTTAAATATACAGTGCTGTGTTTCTCTCTGTGACATGAGGCAGTCAGGCGGCCTCGTTAATGACCTTCAGTCCTCAGCAGACTCAAACCTGAACTTTCACATTGATTATAGTAAACTTGGACCTGGAGTTTGTCCGGTGAGTTGATAGTTTGAACATGAGTTTCAGCTCCAGGGTCATGCTGGCTGCAGCAGAGGGGATCCCGGACTGTTCAGCTTTATTATTAAATTTACTTTATCATCTGCAGTCCACAGAGTGAGCAGCTGTTACACTCCTACCTCCCCCTGCCTGAATCCGTTAGCTTGTGTGTGTGATAGTTTGTCTTACAGGCACAGAGCAGTGAATCCAAACCAAACGTTAGAAAAGCCACAGAAGGTACAAACATGACAGCGGTAGAACACCACCTCCTGAACTATGAGAATTCAGATTTATGTATATGAGGTCTGGTGGCTCCACTGTCCCACAGGAATCCAGACTAAGATAGTTATCTTTTTTTTAAAAAGCCCCCAGACTCTCTTCACAAAAAACATCGACCTTCGAGATCACAGGAGTTGCTGGTCTGCCTCTGCCTGCATGTACCAGGTTTAATTAGGTTAATTACAACATAAACTGTGTTAGATCTGAGTGACGAATTAAGACGTGCGATAACATATAAACACTGATCATTCAAACAGGGGTAGACTAGTAGCTCCTGTGCTCTGCAGTTTTTTTTAAGAGTCTTAAACATCCCAACAACGACGCACCTCCTCTAAACCCAGACATGGTGTTTTCTCTTTCTTTGAAACTGTCAGACTTTGTTTTTAAAGAAAACTAACCCTACTCTGCAGATCGCAGGAGTTGCTGCTCTGCCTCAACACGTTAGCTTTCTTTGATTATAACATTTAAACCAATCCGAGCAACTGCTGTGATTCATAAGAAAACCTACCGAGGTGTCAGGGGAGGGCTGAAGCCTTCACATTTACTGGAGCGATCTCAAAAACATTATTGAACAATTTCGAGCCTTAAAAACGTCAAACATAGCACAGGTAAGCGGACGCGAGGAGTTCAAGTCAATCCAATCAAAAGGAGAGAGAAACAGAGGGAAACAGCTGACAGGTACTTTGATCTATTCTCTGTTTTCTGACTCTCGGGGGTCTGATTATTGTCCTCCATCATCCTGCCTGCAGGCCTCACACACATGGGGACGTGATTCAGTTCAAACCTCTTCTCTGGTTGTTCTTTAAGACTGGCTGTGAGCACCCTCCTCTTCCTCTTCTGGGTCAATCTTAGTCATATTGAACCAAAGCATCAAGCTTCAGTGAAACTTTCAGAGTTTATTATCTCAGCTTGATCAAGATCTTCTGTTTCCTGATTTAAAGACTCGGGGTGGAGTCTTTCTGAGGTCCACCAAAACCACAATCCAAACCCTAAAGCTGACAAGACCTCAGGAAGACAAGCATCTAAAGATTCATTGATTTCAAGAGTCTCTGCTTGAGTTCCATCAGCTGTAAAATAACCGACTCTGATTTTATAAAACGTTTTTTTTTTTTAAGTTTTTTTGGGGGATCAAATTAAGACAAAGGTCTCTGCTTCATGTTTGATTATTTCCTGAACTTCCTCATATGAAAGTTTTCCCTTTACGAAGCCTGACTGAGCTGCAGCACAAAACAAAGACACACAGATGAGGAAATGATGATGATGTGGTGGTGGTGAGGAGGAGGAGTCCTTGAGTTTTAGGTCTTGACATCAGGAGTTCACTTCCAGGATTAAGGATCTCCTGCAGTGACCTTAACTTTTTAAACGTGTATTTGAAAACAGAAAACTTAAGTTCACACAGACACAGCTGATCTCTGTGGACATGCAGGAACCAGATTCCTCCTGTTTTCCTTCCTTCCTGCTCTCACTCTGTTTCTCCGATCTCGGCTCAGAGTTTCACCCTCGGGCAGGAAGAGTCTCTTCGGTCCATCTCCGCTGCAGCCGGATCAGCTTTGAGGGTTTTTCGAAAGGACAAAGAGCTGCTGGAATCACATCGACGAGTCGGACAGAGGAATACAGGATAGGAGGGAGCGCTTCACTCCCTGATCCACCAGGAGGCAGCAGAGAGGTGAAGAATACGAGCAGGCGGCGGCGGAGGCGGAGGCAGCGGTGGCGGTCCTGGTTTCTGCTCCTCCCCTCAGAGGATGGAGCTGCAGGAGTCTTCAGGGACGTGGTTTTGTCTCCTGGAGGATCAGCACTCGAGCGGCGGGTGGAAGCTGCGTCTGCAGTCTATGGCTTTGGGGCTGGGAGGCTGAGCTCGCTTCTTCCTGAGCTCCTCGCGACCCAGAGTGCCGCTGAGCTTCGAGTACGCCACTTTGTACTTCTTATCAAACGCAGCTGAGAAAGAGATGCAGAGAAGGTTACGTCATCGGTCTGATGGATCCTAAAAACTGGACTTTAAGAGATAAAAACCACTTTATTGAGGGGGTCTTACCAACGTGGTCTTTGCCCATAGCTGCCAACGTGAGGAAGAGGAACTCTCTGTACAGACTCCTGAGAGAGAGGGAGAGAGAGATGTTATGTGGAAGATACTCATGAAATGGACTCTGATGGTCCCCAGACCATCAGGGATGCTGGATTTGGACTGGGAGCTGAGAACAAGCTGGGTGGACCCTCTAGAGTCCAGGATCTCTAATTCTTCGTTGAAGGGTTTTTCTTGAGACTGACTTGAGACGTTTTGCCTAAGGTGAAATGTCTCAAGTCAGTCCAGTTGACCCTTCAAAAAGAAGAGGGTTAGATTCTGATCCATCAGACCTCAGGACAGTTCTTGTCTCAGTCCACCTTAAATGGACTCAGATCCAGAGAAGTCTCTGGTGTTCTGGTGGAATTTGAATTTATTGAGGGATAACCCCTTGAGATGTGGCATCTCATTTTCAAGACAGTCCCTAAAGAAACATACATATAACTCAGGACACATTATAATACATGAACATACATTAATATATAACAAATACAGACATCTTAAGGTCCTTACACACCGGGACCGACGCAAATATCTGACGCAGAATTATGAAATAGTCAGAGGCAAATTTTGACGCGCCTGACTATACACATCAAGCCTGATGCGATTTTGCGACTCTCCGGGGAGGAAAAGACGCGAGAAGACTGACACAACAGCAGATGGACTGTTTTTCAGTTCTGATTAGACACTAGTGTTGAGATGACTGTCTGTCATGATAGCATGTACTGAGTCGGGGCCAGTACCAGATAAGAACATTAAACTATAATCCATAAACGTAAGGTAACAACCGAGACCTAATGTTGCTGTGACAGCAACGCTGTGATTGAGTTTGAGACAGTGAAAATACATATGGTATGTTTTATCTGAACGGCTTAGCTTACGAGCTAAAGTTACTTAGCACAGATGAAAGTTAAAACAAAGATGTTTAGCAAACTGTTGAAGCACACAAACTATTGTCATATGAGAAATCCAACGCTATGAAGTTGTCCTTCAGGTCGTTATCTTTGTAATATTTGTGTCTTTTATCAAAAAACACTCTGTTCTCCGACACGTAAACAATCAGCCGGTTGGACATGTTGGATATACCGGTGAATCAGATGTCGGAACAACACGAAATCTGATTGGTAAGAAGTGGACACACAGTATGCAGATCTTTAGAATAATCGACCGTGGTCTGAAAAAATAAATGCCGCAATATCGCAGGATGAGAAAACATCGCTGATGTGAACGCTTGTATTGACAGGATACGGAGTCGAAAAAAAATATTGATGTCCGAAATAATCGCACGTAAGAAACGGTCCCGGTGTTAAAGGACCTTTACCCCCACACACAACCCCAACCAGCATACATCTAACCTACAAAATAGACAAAACTTATGAACAAGGATGGATAATGTGAGCATAAATGCAATAAAATAAATAAAATAAATCAGCAACATGAGCAATTTGTTTTGAGATGAGAGTAAAGTGCCATTCTGAAGTAATAAAAAGAAGTAATAGAACGCAAAGAAAGAGGTACGTTATTCCAATCTGATGGGGCTTTAAACTGAAACAATCTTTTATCAACTTCTTTAAAGATTCTAGAAAAAAAGAAAAATGGGTAGTTCATATGTCTAAGAGAGTATGGGGAGTTATATGGGATAAAGAGTTCTTTAAAAAAATGAAGGTCAATGGAAATAAACACATTTAAAAAAGAAATGAAGCCAATGAAATTACCGTCTTGATTTGGGATTTAACCAGTTCAGTGAGTCAAACATAAAGCAGTGATGTGTCAAAACAAATCTACCGTATTTTTCGCACTATAAGGCACAATTAAAATCCTGTAATTTCTCAAAAATCCTCAGTGCGCCTTATAATTAGGTGCGCCTTATGTATGAATTCCGGTTGTGCTTACTGACCTCAAAACAATTTTATGTGGTACCCAGAGCTCAAAAATCTGTCAAAATGTTTTATTGTGACTTCGGTAAGCTATAAAGCCGCACAGCCTGATGGCTTGTCGGAGCACTTTGTTTGGCTTAATGCGCTTTATAATCCGGTGCGTTTTATAATCTGGTGTGCCTTATGTATGAAAATAGACGCGTACATTGATGGTGTGCCTTATAATCAGGTGCACCTTATAATACAGTCCATAAAGGGTTAAATAAAATGAGATTTAAGATGAGAGTCAAATGGTAAACTATATCAGCATAATCCATAAATGTTAATATCAGCTGTAATATTAGTCTTTTTCTAACATTTAAAGTAAAACAATTAATCAAACAACAGGTACAATCATATGACTTTTTGACAATTTAGTCAATATTAGGTTTGAAGGTCAGATCAACCAAAAGTCAAAGATATTGAAATGAATCAACTTTGTCAACAAGAGATCCGTCAGAAAAATTAATGTGAAAGTCAACTGGACTAGATCGGAGGTGATGTGTCTGAAAATCAGACTGCAGGACTTCTTTTTGCTCAATAAAAGTTTGTTCTTACTGAACCAGTTATGAACCAAATCAAAATCAAACTGTAAAGAGTTCTGGATTTGAGAGAAGTCAGAGTTTGAATTGTAAATAACAGTGTCATCGGCATGTAAGTGGATATAACAGTTTGAACAGATATTAGGTCAATCATTAATAAAAATAGAAAAAAGAAGTGGACCTCAAGTGAAGCCTTGTGGGACACCCTTTTCAGTAGTTATAAAGTCAGACTGATGACCCTGAAAAAATTGACGACGGTTGTGGAGACAGACATTAAACCAAAGAAGATCATTTTTAACAAGACCAACAGCAAAAAGTTGATCTAAAAGTACAAAACCCAATTCCATTGAAGTAGGGAAATTGTGGTAAACGTAAATAAAAATAGAATACAATGATTTGCAAATCCTTTTTAACCTATATTCAATTGAATTAAATACAAAGATACAAGATATTTAATCTTCAAACTGATGAACTTTTTTTTTTAGCAAATAATTAACTCAGAATTTCAAGGCTGGAACACATGCCGAAGTAGTTGGGACAGGGGCATGTTTACCACTGTGTTACATCACCTGTCCTTTTAAAAACACTCAATAAACATTTTGGAACTGAGGAGACTAATTGTTGAAGCTTTGAAGGTGGAATTCTTTCCCATTTTTGCTTGATGTACAGCTTCAGTTGTTCAACAGTCCAGGGTCTCCGTTGTCGTATTTTACGTTTCATAATGCGCCACACATTTTCAATGGGAGACAGGTCTGGACTGCAGGCAGGCCAGTCGAGTACCCGCACTCTTTACTACGAAGCCACGCTGTTGAAACACGTGCAGAATGTGGCTTGGCATTGTCTCGCTGAAATAAGCAGGAAGGGTGTCCATGAAAAAGACGTTGCTTGGATGGCAGCATATGTTGCTCCAAAACCTGTATGTACCTTTCAGCATTAATGTTGCCTTCACAGATGTGTAAGTTACCCATGTCTTGGGCACTAATGCACCCCCATACCATCACAGACGCTGACTTTTGGACTTTGCATCGATAATAGTCCGGACGGTTCTTTTCCTCTTTGGCCTGGAGGACACGACGTCCACTATTTCCAAAAACAATATGAAATGTGGACAGAACACTTTTCCACTTTGCATCAGTCCAGGCTGCGTTTCTGAATGTTGTTCTATTTCATCCCTTCTGACCGCCAGAGGTGGTGCTTTAAGCACTGAATGATTCCCTTCGCGCATGCGCAGTTCGAGCATTTGTACCAAAATAGTCACGCGTGACCCCGGGATGAACCAGCAGAGGTTATTTATTCCGCCGGTCACCGAGGGTTCAGTCCCCTTTTTCTTTCTCACGCGCAGGTCACAAACTTGCGATGAGAGGCATTTTTCTAAAAAAAAAACAAAACCTACCTTTAATCTGTGTGTGAAGTCACTGGTAGTCCTGTGGCCGTAGGTCGGGGTAGCGAAAATCGCCCTCCAGGGACTGTGACTTCCTTTGAGTTGTTTCCTTATTTCTGCTGTTTATCTCCGACTGAGCGGAGCTTCACTAACTTCGTCGAATGCTGTGGCGTTCGCCCGGTAAGGAAGGGTCGTCGTGCCCCTCTCCTCCGGACAAGGTAGGTTGCTGTTGCATTAAGCTTGTTTAGTGGACTTGCATTGTTTTACAAGTCACAACCTATGCTGGTAGAGGCCGTGTGCGCACCGTTTCCCCCCTGCATATGGTTGAGTACCGTGAATGTAAGCGTAACGCTTCGGTTACTTGTTGTAGCTAAAAGTCTGCTCATTTCGTTCCTTCGTGTTATGGTGGCCCAAATAAAGGCAGCGCTCTTTCAAAGCAGCGCCTGTCCCACTGGGTCGTAGACACGATCAGCCACGCCTATCAGGCTAGTAACCATCCCACGCCATCCAGATTACGGTGCCACTCAACGAGGAGTGTCTCCACTTCATGGGCTGCCCTTAGGGGAGTTCCCCTCGAGGAGATCTGCTCCGCTGCCTCGTGGGCGTGATCAGGCACGTTCTCAAGATTCTATAGGGTGAACGTGGCCACTCCCCACCCATTGGGTGTGGTTCTCCTTCCAGAGTCCTCCGATTCCGCCCTCTGAGGTTTTTAATTGGGGTTCCTCGTGACTTTGCTGGTATAAGTCATTCAGTGCTTAAAGCACCGCCTCTGGCGGTCAGAGGGGATGAAATAGAACGAAAGTTACGTATGTAACTAAGGTTCTATGAATCCCGAATGACCGCCAGAGCACTCCGTCACTCAGAACCCTCGTGTTCTCGCGGGAAAGTTCTGTAGGGACTGAACCCTCGGTGACCGGTGGAATAAATAACCTCTGCCGGTTCATCCCAGGGTCACGCGTGACTATTTTGGTACAAATGCTCGAACTGCGCATGCGCGAAGGGACTCATTCAGTGCTTAAAGCACCGCCTCTGGCCGTCATTCGGGATTCATAGAACCTTAGTTACATACGTAACTTTCGTTTTAACTTGCACTTACAGATGGAGCGACAAACTGTATTTACCGACAGTGGTTTTCTGAAGTGTTCCTGAGCCCATGTGGTGATATCCTTTACACATTGATGATGGTTTTTGATACAGTGCCACCTGAGGGATCGGAGGTCAAATGCATTCAATGCTGCTTTTATACCTAATCATGGCACACATCTGTTCCCAATTAGCCTGCTCACCTGTGGGATGTTCCAAATAGGTGTTTGATGAGCATTCCTCAAATTTCTCAGTATTTTTTGCCACCTTTCCCAAATTCTTTGGCACGTGTTACAGCCATGAAATTTAATTAATTATTTAATAAAATTAATTATTATTTGCAAAAAACATAAAGTTTATCAGTTTGAACATCAAATATCTTGTCTTTATAGTGTATTTAATTGAATATAGATTGAAAAGGATTTGAAAATCATTGTATTCTGTTTTTATTTACATTTATCACAATTTCCCAACTTTAATGGAATTGGGTTTTGTAAATAATGGTCAACCAAATCAAAGGTTTCAAATGGATCCTTGAAAAGTTCGAACCTCATTAGTGGATGCAGTGATGAACTGGTTTCTGAGCTGATTCTAAGTCCATGCGGTGACTCCCACTCCACAGTCCTGTCTGTTTTTAGTGCCCTGAAGACCAGGACCATCCAGTCTTGGTTCTGGTCCTTGTCTCCCTTTTTTAGATGTTTGTAAAAGTGTGTTGTTGTTTTTTTGGAGTGTTGATGTTCTGACCCACCTCTGCGTCCAGGCTGATCCCGGCTGTTTGGCAAGCGTGTCGAGGAAGAGCGTGATGGCTTTGTGCACCTCATTCATGCCGACCCAGCGCAGCACCTCCTCCAGGAAGGAGAGGGAGAACGGGTGGTTGTGTCTCCTCCAGCTGTAGCTCCTCATTGGGACGCCACCTGGTGGAGGAAAGGGGGAGGAGCAGCAGCAGAGGAGAGACGAGCCTTGACACGCTGCCCTAAAAAAAGGGCGGAGTTTAGTGTGTGGGCGTGTTTTAACTTACTGTGGATCCTCCAGAGGATGTAGAGGGGAGGCCACTGGTCTACGTCAGGGGCGAGGGTGTCCCAGAGGAGCCGGACCCTCACTGCTGAGTTCTCAGTCTGCGGAGAAAGGAGACTGTTTCATTAGAGCTAGATTTACCGGATTTCAAAAGTCTAAGTGGTTCTTCAGTTGATCCTCCCGGATCAGGTACCTGTGTGAGCTGGCTGACCATTGGCGAAGCTCGGACCAGCTGCAGCAGGTTACTGGGCAGACCGAGGCGTTGGAAGTACCAGACCAGGTTCCAGAAGATGATGGAGTGGTTCTCCAGGAACTGAGGCTGAGCCAGGACCGCCTCGCCCTCATTCTCCAGCAGACTCTCCAGCTCCTTCCTCAGGACCAGAGGGCTCAGGTAGGCCACTGTCACCTGAGGAGCCCCACCCACTGAGGAGCCCTGGGGGGGGGGGGGGACACCATCAGAGACAAGAGGACAGAAACAGGAGAACCAGTCTGCAAAAAGAGTCTTACTGTGGTGGTTCTGCTGTTCTCCGAGTAGCTGCTGGTCTCCGAGCTCGAGTCATCGCTCAGGCCGTTACACTGAAGTCGCACTGAGGGTTCATGGACACTAGGTGGCCTCACTGCGCTCTCCACCTCATCTTCCATGTTCCAGTTGCAGCGCTCCACACTGAGAAAAGACGATAAAGCTTAAAGACGGACAGTTTTTTTTCTTTCCTTTATTAATTAATTAATTTTTCTCCTTTCTTTATTTAATTTGATTTTTATTTAAATTATTTTCCTTTTTTTTTCTTTGTATTGTTTTCCTTTATTTTTTCCCTCATTTATTCATTCATTTATTTATTTTGCTTTCCTTATTTTTTTTATTTTTTCCCTCTACTAAGTGGAGTACATTGGGAAAAGTGCTCTGCTGGAGCTTTGGGGTGGGGGTGGGGTGTTACACTGTTCAGAAATGAGACGTTGTTGATGTTTATATGTTTGTTGTTGTATAATTTAAAAAAAAAAGACGATAAAAAACTGACTAAAAAAAAAAAAAAAGGAAATTTTTTTCTTCCTTATTCATTTTTCTTCCTTATTCATTAATCTATTCATTTTTCTTCTTTATTTCATTATTTTTTTCCTTTATTTTTCTTTTCTTTATTTATTTACTTATGTATCTTCCTTAAATTTTTTTCATTTATTTATTTATTATTTTATTATGTTTATTTTTTTTCCTTTACTAAGTGGAGAACATTGGGAAAAGTGCTCTATTGGAGCTTTGTGGTGGGGGTGGGGTGTTACACTGTTTAGAAATGAGACGTTATTGATGTTTACATGTTTTTTGTCGTATAATTGTTAAAAAAAAACTATAAAAAGAATGAGTAAAAAAAAGGAAATTCCTCTTTTTTAATCAATTTATTTTTCTCCTTAACTTCATTATTATTTTTTTTTATTTATTCATTTATTTATTTCCCTTTTTTTATTCACATTTTTTTTTCCTTTTTTTTTTCTTCACTGTGCGGAGTACATTGGGAAGAGGGCTCTGTTGGAGCTTTGGGGTGGGGGGTGTTTCACTGTTCAAAAATGAGACATTATTGATGTTTATATGTTTGTTGTTGTATAATTGTTTAAAAAGAAGACAATAAAGAGACTTAAACAAAAAAAAAAAATGAAGGACAGATTTGGAGTTTGATTGGAGTATTCGTTGGCCTGCAGATCAACAGAGAGGTTCGAGGTTCTGAGCTGGACCTGTCCACAGCACCAAAACTCCAACCCAATGGTTTACTGAGCCTGGAACTACTGGGCTTGATGGTTCTGAGACAGACCAGCTGAAGGTGCTATCAGACCGACCTGACCCTCAGTAACCCCCTCAGCAGAGACGCAGACTGGTCACCTCCAGACCACAGGGTCACCTGGTCCAGATCCCAGGTTTACATGAATCCATCAGCTGATTCTGAGTCTTGGTCAAATCTGTAAACCTGTACCTGTTGAGGGGTCCGGGGTCGCAGACTTCGGCGTTCAGGAAGGGGACGAAGGAGGCGTTACAGAAGGGACAGGACGAGTTCAGGTTGGAGTCGTCGGACGTCCAGCCCGCCATGATATCCTCGTCGTAAACCAGCGAGTTACAGCTGCGACACAGCGAGCAGCTGGACATCAGAACCTGGACGGAGACGGAGAAACGAACATCAGAGAGAGACCCAAACAAGAGACCACAAAAACACACCGAGGGTCCCTCACCTCCAGACCCGCCCCCTCCTGATTGGCATCCCAGGACCTGCGCAGAGGATAGGCTGGACTCGGCGTGTCTGTCAAGTCCAGGTCACTTCCTACAGACAACGAACTCTGAGTGGACAAAACATGGAGCCAGATTATGGACGACGCCTTGTCAGCACAGATGAAGGGACTAAAAACCAGACCATGACCCTGAGGAGACCTTAAAGAGTCCCAGACCTACAGAGAGACTCAAAACCTGATACAGTCACAAACCTCAGAGGTGGCGCTGACCAGCCTCTCCTTGGCCTTCAGCAACGTTTCAGCAACCTGAGCTTTCCTGGACTGTCTCTGCTCCGACACCCTCCTCACCCCTCCTCCTCCTCCTCCTCCTCCTCCTCCCGGTCTCCTGTCGTCCACGCTGGCGGCTCGTCTGACGGACACTCGGTGTCTGGTCGGCGTGAGGAGCTGCTGGAGTTTCCCTGCCAGACCTCGGCTCGGGGAGGAGACGTTGTTGTAGTTCTCGTCGACGCCTTTGTTTCTGCTGGACGAGTCTCGAGTCCCTGCAGGTCTGAGAGTCAGAGGACGGACAAATGTGGTTTAGAGGACGATAGTGTGATCTAAACATGGAGTCTGAAGATACAAACTGAAGCAAATCAAAAGTCTGAGTGAAATAAAAAAAACCTACTATGTCCGTTTTGAGGGCATTTGTCATTTTTTTCATCTTTATTTTGAGCTGACAGTCACATTTTTAAAGATTGGGGCATCAAATTTGGTGAGAGTTCTTATTTTTCTTCATATTAAAAAAAAAACCTCTGTGTCACCTGTAGTTCTCCATCGCCGCATTTTAGCTCCATCCACCCTCCTTTGTCCACAAATTGGACAACAGACTTCCATAAAAAACAGTTTTTTGACCGTGTGTTTATGGCACTATAACCACATATTACAACCTTTTTTTGCAGTCAGTCGATCAGCAGGGCTCTAAATTTGTTTCCTACCGTGATACAACAGATTGAGCCAGCAAATAATTTTAACCCCTTCAGTGCCGCACTCGCAAGTCTTCATTCATGGATTGAGAGTGTTTGAAGCGCTGATTCATCCACTAAACATCAGCAGAAATAAATGAAACTTTACATGCCACTAGATATGGATGTCTAAGAGTGGGATATGTGTGTAAGGAAAATCAATCAATCAATCAATCAATCAACTTTATTTGTATAGCACATTTAAAATAACCACAAGGGTAGCCAAAGTGCTGTACAGTGACATAAAAACAAATAAAACAATCAAAAAACAAGATAACGCAAGCAGAAATACAGTAATGCAAAAGAATAAACAAGTGTAAAATAAGGAGGCTCACAGCAAGTGTAAAATGATAAAAAACAAATTAACACTACAATGTACTAAAAGCCAATGAGTAAAAGTGCGTTTTTAAAGGGATTTAAAAACAGGAAATGAGGAGGCCTGTCTTATTTTCAAGGGCAACTCATTCCAGAGCTTAGGGCAGCAGCTGCAAACGCTCTGTCCCCTCTGAGCTTCAGCCTAGTACTGGGGACCGTCAGTAAAAGCTGATCAGCTGATCTTAGGGGTCGGGGTGGGCGATAAGGCTGGAGCATCTCCGAAATATAGGGTGGAGCAAGGTTGTTCAGGCCCTTAAAAACAAATACTAAAAGCTTAAAATGAATTCTGTACTGAACAGGGAGCCAGTGTAAGGATGCCAGGATGGGGGTGATGTGCTCACGCCTGCGGGTCTGTGTCAGGAGACGTGCAGCAGAGTTCTGCACAAGCTGCAGGCGGGCAAGGGAAGCCTGGCTGATCCCTACGTACAAGGAGTTGCAGTAATCAAGACGGGTAGTTATAAAAGCATGGATTAATTTTTCCAGGTCAGGTCTTGATAAAATGGGCTTCACCTTCACTATTTGACGTAGCTGATAAAAACTTTTTTGTACCACTCCGCTGATCTGTTTCTCAAATCTGTTTCTCAAATTTAAAATCCGGGTCAAATTTAAAAGTTTGTGTGCTCCTGCGTGTGTGCACAGGTGAGAATCTGCGTCCATGTTTATAAGCGGGCATACCGTGACTTTTCACAGTGGAAAAACCAACATCCAAGTTCTGCAGTGTGGGACAAAGAGAGGGGGACATTTGGACAATTTCAACTTTGCCCTCACTTCAGAGCAAGTGGATGGACATGTATGAGGATGAACAGGTCCTTTGGATTATTAGGTGAGAAGATATCACATCTCAAATATGAAGTTATTTTTATATGCGTGTAATCAGTCATCTTTTGATTAGAGGTGGATAACCACTTATAAATGATTCCTATCTTACATATATCTTCTGATTTTATATGACTATATATAAAATTAATTTAATATGAACAAATGAATTTGATCACATTTGATTTGGTGGAGGACGAGGCTCGAGAGAAGGAAGTGAAAATGGCGTGTTTTTCTGCTCCAATAGACTCAGCTGTTTAGAACGCACACTTAATCAACAAATATGACATGTTGCACAAAAACTGGCATAAAAAGGGTTAACAATCGAATTTTTTATTTATTACTTTTTTAATGATTAGGGTTGAAGTTGTTTAAGTAATTTGAGTCATAAAAAGTAAGGAAAAATGTTTAAAAATGATTATTTTATAAACACTTATCTGCATGTCTGTTTTGAAAAAAGATTTTAATGCACCAAAATCGGTTTTACTTCTCATCATTGACATGGCCCAGACTCGATTTATCAAAAAAAAAAGTCATCTTGGCCATTTTATATGGGAAATATGGCGATTTTGTGTTTTTACCATTAAAAAAAGCAGTGACATGGCGCACAAAAACTGGAATAAAAAAGTAATACATCGAATTTTCTATTCATTATTTTTTGAATGATCAAGGCTGAAGTATTTGAAGAGATATGAGTCGAAAAAAATAGAAAAAGATGTAAAAAAATGATTATTTTCAAAACACTTATCTGCATGTCCATTTTGGGGACAAAGTAGGCCGGATGCAGCTAAAATGAACCAAGGGTTAAAAGATCTTAAAACCCACAAAAATGATGGATGACGGAAACAACACTTAAAAAAACTCAGAGAAGAGGAATCCAGTTCCTCCTCACTCACCTGCCGTCTCTCCCTGCGGGCTGACAACAGTCCGGCTCGGAGTCCGCTGACTCGGCATACTCTTTGTAGAAGGTGGAGAGGCAGACCTGACTCCGCCTCACTAAAACAGTGCCACCAGGGGGCGCTGGAGGAGGGGTGGAGGTGTCTCTGCGACCCATAGGAGGCTTACGGGATGCTGTGTCGGCCCAGCCATTGGTACCGGCGTTTCGAAGGATGGTCTTCTTGCAGAGTTTGATCTCTGTTTCAGGAAAAGAGGAAGTGAGAACAAACGCCGATCCACCAGGACGATGGCGGCGTGGCAGTCAAACATGACAGAGTCACTGCGAGTCCGCTACTCACTGTCATTGGGGGTCTTCATGCTGCTCAGGCTGCTGCTCTTCACCATCGACCCCGTCAGAGACTCATGACTGGAGCTCTCGGAGAGGCCGCTCCAACTGGACTGACGAATCAGAGCGGACTGGGGGCGGAGCCTGTGATCAGCGTCAATCACCGTTTCTGCAGAAAAGTTAAACAAATGGACTTGATAAAAATCACCATGACGATCTTTCATCTTCACAAAAATACACGAGGAGGAGGAGAAGACGAAGAGTTCATCAGAAAACACGAGAACCTGACCTCCCTGTGACCCCACCGAGCCACTCTTCTGCCGTTGTTTGATTGGCTGTCTGAACTGAGCCACAGCCAGCAGGACGTTCCTCAGCTTGGCCCAGCGGAGACGTCCGCCCTGACTGGTGGACGGCCACTTACTCTCCAGGACCGCCTGAGGACGGAGGACGGCGAGAAGTCAGAGCGTGAGTCTGGTCAGCTGACACAATTAACTACAGAACAGATATGGCTTCTTACTTTGTGTGTGTGTGTGTGTGTACCTTGTTGTAGTATCCGTAGGTGATGGTGTTGGGTGTGACTCCTGCCTTCTTCATCTCCAGCAGGACTCGGACGGCGAGGACGGGCTGACCGTACTGACCGCACAGCTGCATCAGGATCCTGTAACACACCTGAAACACACACAAAAAACAACACACTCACTCACACACACACACACGCACACTCTGTGGAGTTCTCATTTTAAATACACTGGTGACCTTTGACCTCCTGTCTCTCTCTCACCTCGTCCGGCAGCACCACCTTGCGGTTCTCCATGTGTTTGAGGACGTCGTAGGCAGTGTGCAGCGCTCGCACCTTGGCGGTCTCTGCCCGCACAAAGGTGGGCAGATAGATAAACCAGAGGCCGTAACAGTGACCCAGCAGACACTTGGACCACATGTCCGGTACCGCCGAGTACTTCTGGGCTTTCTTCTGGGCCAGCTTGATCTCCTGAGGAGAGGAGAACATGACAGGAAGTGAAGGTACGAACCGCAGAAACGTCACCATCAGGTATGTCCTAGAGAGAAAAATGTGATAAGTCTGTCACAGTTAACCCTTTATAATTACCTGTTCCTGTATGTATAAAAATACAAAAGTTTGCCATGAACCGTGAAAAGTTCAATAAAAACTTGAATTAAAAAGAAAAAGAAAAAGAGGGAGAAGAATGTGAGGGAGAGAATATGGAAACCTCCTCATCCTGAGAGACAAAGATGTCTGTTCACACTAAATGTTGGTCTAGATGTAAAAACTGTCCCCGTACTGAAGGTCTTAGTTGTGGGGCTGAGTCCCCGGCTGCAGTTTTTGTAGTCTGCATTTTTAAATGTTGACCCGCGTTAACACAGGTCTGCAGGAGTGACCACGAACACTGGAGTGGGTCTTCCTGGTGGATCCAGTCCTCCTCTCAGCATTTCAGTCCAACTGTCTCTGAATCATCTCTGACGTTTTCACCCTCAGACCCTCACAGAAGGTCTGCTCCCCTGAATATTGGAGCAGCGGTGAAATATTCATGAAGCTTCATGAAAATAAAATGATCGGACTCAGACTGAGAACACGCTCGGAGAAAAGTGGGTCAACGTAAAACCCAGAGATCTGGTTTCTGCAGGTGTGAGCCGGAAAAACGGTTTTTCATTCATGATGATGATTTATTTAATGATGAAGATGTTCATTTTCATTTAGAGCCGACAGAGGGGACGCACACCTGCAGTGAGAGAGAGAGAGAGAGAGAGAGAGAGAGAGGACACAGTGCACTTTGGTGTGTTGATGTACCTGTTTTGTGCGTCTGGGGGCGGGGCTACTGGGGGCGCTCCCCTTCGTCGGGACCCTCAGCTGGTCCTGAGGTCGGTCGAAGAGGTCTGTCTTCAGCGTGGGGAAGGTCTCATAACTGGACGATGGAGAAATGAGACAAAGTCAACAGAGATGTTCAGGTGAGGGACACACCTGTCTCATATTCAGTATCAGAATCCATCCAGAACCAGGAACTGGACAGACAGACTCTGTACCTGTAGAGGGCAGGACATTCAGACCCATCAGGTTCCTGTGGTTCTTCAGGAGGCATGATAAAGACTGTGTGCTCTCCACTGTGAGTCTCGTCCAGATCGACCAGCCGCACCTCCTCCGGCTTCTCGACGTCCACCTGGAGTCAAAAACCAAAAACACGCCCACTTGACTGTCCTTGGAAGTTTAAAACCACAAAACTGGGTTTGGATTTTCTCTGAGAAAGTTTCCTGATTTAATCGAACATCTTCAGACAAAAACCTCACCGAGAACAAATGAGCGGGTCTGAAAGATCTGTTTCTGTCTGATGTTTGTAAAATTCACCAAACTGAACTCATATTTGTTGGGCATGCTCTGGTTTTATACCTTATTGGCGGGAGATAAAGAAGAGGATGGAAAATATTTTAAAAGAGTAACTTCCGCTTAGATTTGAAACTTTATATTTTTGGAAAAGAGAACCAGGTAAGATAACAAGGTCAGGAGAAAAATACAAATTTCCAATAATGTTGGTGGCGGTTAAAAAGGCCATCAGTAGAAATTGGCTAAAAACAGATGAACGAAAAATCAAGGATTAGGTAGAGGTAATGATCACTATAAAGAATGGAGAAGCTGACTTTCTCATCTCCACTAAAAACAGAAACTTTTATAAACTACAGGAAAAACTGGGTTGATTTTGTGTCTCAATTGAGAGCAGATTTTGTGCAGTAATGACATGGGGCTCTATTTTTGTGCCCGCCGGCGGCACGGCGAAAGGTTGGCAGACCCCATGCAGTGGTATTTTGGTCTGGCGGAGCCCGGCGCGCAGCCAGTTTGGTATTTTCGTAGACTGTGGCACACCAAGGTCCGCCATGCTGGGCGTGGTGGAGCAGTATGGGGAGGTGTTGACAGAATCAGCTGGCACAGTGACATTTTCGTGCCCGCCAGTAGCGTAGAAAGTGCACTAGAAGCTCGCCGATTCAAACCTGGTCAGCTTTCAGCGCAGGTGGATCACTGCTGCTCTAGTGGTACTTTGGTAGACCGGTGTCGTAGTGCATATACGTCACTGATGCCTCACAGGCAGGTTTCCACAGTGTCAGGCACATTTCAGTGCAATTAATAATCAACAACAACTAATATTCTGAGTTAGCACATACATTTGGATCTATAGATATATTCTGATCTATATCCGATCTGATGAGCTGAAACCGCATTAAATTAAATTAAATATCTAGTAAACAGACACACGTGATGAAGTGAACAAGATATTTAATTAATCTCCCCCCTATTTCTATCTTTCTCTTCCTCTGATTTCTCGCGCAGCTCGACCTGAACATGTCACCATGTCCTCTCCCCGTCCTGCTGCGGCGGCTAAACAGATTTATTTTAGTGATTCAGTTGCATGAGCCAAATTCATTTTACATGCCAACATCTATGAAAGAAAGAGCCAGGCCACGGAGCACGACGCGTCATTTACGCACAGGTGGTTCCAAGTTTAATGCCATTATAGGAATTTATGTTGTGATCTGTACGCACAACCCACCTTTGTCACGTGAGGTTTTAATATATGCAACTTTATGAGATTGTCTTTATTTGTGAAAAAGGGTGTTTGTCTTACCAGTGGGTCCAACCTTACACACACCAAATCCATCTGTGCTTATTAGAGAAAGTGTGCAGGACACCCTCTGCAGCGCTTACAGCGACACTTGTTGAGGTACTGCCTTCTGTGGCCATCGTGTGGCATTGCTGTCTGCAGCCATCTCTTGATCTCTTTGACTACTGCACAAAAATTGTAATATGCCTCGCCGGTGGCGGATTCAAAGGTCAGGAGAGGAGCTGATCAGATTGGTGAAAACAGGTCTCAGCTGTGTTAAACCCACTCTACACCTTCTCCCCTCCCGCCCTACGACTTACGCCGCTGGGAAGAGCTGAGTTAGGGAGGGGAGATTACGCTTACTTACGCTAGGCTGCACTGTTCACCAAAATGTGCTTGGGCGCGCCTTGTCAGTGCAGCGGACCTGACTTACGCCGCGCTTGCCCCATGCCACCGGCAAGGAGTGAAAATAGAGCCCAGTGTGTATTGTAGATTATTGATCCCCTTGGTTCAGGCTACAAACTTGTTCATTGTTCATATGTTTATTATGTTTACCCTCCAACAGGAGAAAAAAAGACAATGAAATAGAGGAGTGAAAAGTGTTTCATTTTACTTCACTTATTCTACTGGAACTTCACTTCAAGAAGTTTATGTCTATGTCTCTGCTCCGACATAGAGAAATATTCTATACAGCTGAAAATTTGTTCAATGTATGTAAAATGTTGATGGAATATTGATAGTGAAATCAATAAAAAAGGAAAAATAAATACAATTTTTTTTTTTAAATTCCCCAAACATGTTTTTTAGAGATCACGCTCTGTGTTCTGACGCTTTAACCCCTCAGAGATAAAACCAACAAACATGACTTGACTTCCACAGTGTCAGGCACATTTCAGTGCAATTAATAATCAACAACAACTAATATTCACTAATATTAATTAATTAATTAATTAATAATAATTCACTAATATTCACATTTCTCTGATCGGACTTTAAACTCCAGAAGAGTTTTTAAAATTTGATCCACGTGACCGTCGCTCCTTTACCTTTTGGACGCACTCGTCGAAGAATTCGAGGCAGGCGTGTCGGTCACTGACGAACGAGCACTCCTCGATGAATTGCGTGAACATCTGAGTCCTCGTCAGCTGACCGTAAAACTTCTGCTGCGTCCGATCTCGAGACTTCAGGAAACCTGCAGGCAGATGAAAACACCGAACCATCAGTTTGTATTTGACTCACGTCCCATCTGTTTACATGGAGGAGGCGGGGCTTAAGACCCATACTGCAGCCAGTCTACAGAGGGAGCTCTAGATCTTTTGTCTTCACTGTCATGGAGCTGTCATGTCGTTGCTCACCCTGCAGGTTGAAGAGTGAACTGCAGTCGGTGGTGGTGTCAGACGGCGCCTGAGTGATGGGCAGCAGGAAGGTCCGGTATCCTCGAAGCAGGCAGCTCATGAAACGGAGAAAGGCCTCCTGGATCTCCAGCTCCAGCTGCTTCTGACTGCGGTAGATCTGATCGTAGTCCGTCAACAGGAACTCCAGTGTCGCCTCCTCCTGGCCTGGAGTGCAAACTGCAGCGAGAGAAGAGAGCAGCTGACTGCCTTCATCCTGCGGGCTTTAAAACGTGTAAATTCAAACTTTTTAATTCTGGTCTCCAATCGTCTGACTCCTGCTGTGACTCACTCTGCTCTAGGGTCTTGTGGAGGTTTGTGAGCATGTTGAATAACATCTTCCCCTGTTTTCTGGGTAACGATCTCCATGATAAAGGCTTTTTGTCCTCCGACCTGAGAGGAGAGAGGAGGAACAGTTCCCACAGAAGAAAAGGTGATCCCAACAGTCAAGATGAACTCATCTGTCTACGGCTGTGGATAGGAGAGGCCAGGACTCACTGAAAGATGGTGTTGGTGTCCAGGTCCACACACACCACGTCGGCGGGGGGGTCATACAGGTCGAAGTAGCTGGAGTGTACGCCCACGATGAACGGCATCGGCGCCAGCAACACATCAGCCATCTGCAGCGGACACAGAGGGATGTAGGGACAGAGCCAACGCAGCGGGAAAGTCATCTGAGGAAGAGAAACCAAGAGGTCACGAAGTCATGAAGGTACAGCTGCGTTAAAACTGATCCACAGAGAAACCCGAACTTCCTGCTTTTATAAAACCAGAACCAGACAAACAAAGACACACGAGAGAGTCCAACATCTCTGATCCCTCACTTTCTGCTTTTTACCTTTTATTCTGAAAGTTAAAAACAGACAGAATTTAGTCTGACCATCACATTCATTAAATTAAGTGTAACACACTGTGAATAATTTATTCAGCACGGATAAAAAAAAATGTATTACACAAGAAATAAAGAAATTTGCTGTAAAAGCAAAAGAAAATATCAAACACGTGAAAATACATGAAGTCAAAAACATTTTTGATTTGTAGATAAGAGAGACTTGAAAACAACTGTGAATAAAAGACACATAATCAATGTATAAATATATAACATACATAGAACTGTTTATTTAGGATATATGAAAAAAAGTCAGAAAAATGAACAAAATAACAGAAAATTAACTGCACAGTTCAAACACATACAGGGTTTAAAAAATGTGCTGCCAAAATCAAAACCTTAATTTTTACTCAGTGGAAAAATCGGATAACAGGAAAATAGAGAGTGATTTTTGAATTCTTCAAAGTGATTTTAAAAAAGTGGAAAAGTTTCTTTGATTGAAGGTTACGACTAGGGCCCAACCGATTTAACGGTGAGCTGATTAATCGGTCAATTTTAGCCCATTTGAGACTAATTGGTAATCGGCCAAAACTCGCCAATTGTTGCTGATATTTTCAGCAATAAAATGCGGGGATTAAGATTCTGTTTCATGATGTCAAACCATTTGAAAAGTTCCCCGACTTATCCTGTAAATGGTGCAGCGCCCTCATGACAGTCTTCATCCAATAACTACCTCACAGCACAGCAGAGAGACGAATCTGAAGCAGGCAGCTCAGGGACACACAGAGGAGAGTGGTCCTCCTCAACGGTAAATAAACTAGTTTGTGAAATACACAATAAGTCAACAAGTTTTAGTTCAACCCACTTCACGATGTTTCCCGCTGTGCTGGTCTCGGTCACGCCGAGTTAACGGTGAAGCACCATGTAATATGCAAGCTAAAATTAGAGCTAGTCATCTGCTATTAGCCCTGCTACACTGTCAGCCGTGCCAGAAACAGTAGAATAAACAACAGTACACATTACGTGATCGAACTACTTCTCTTACTGAGGCAGCTGCATGTCTCCAGATGAGACCAGACCAGAAATAAGTGACGTGAGTTAAGACGTGGAGGCACTGATCGGCAGGAGGGTGGGGGAGTGTTTGTGTGTGTGTGTGTGTGTGTGTGTGTGTGTGTGAGGTCTCACAGAGACAAGCGCCTCGCTGACGGAGGTGAGGACGTCGGGGCGGAGCGAGTGCAGCAGCAGTTTGTGTTCGGTGAGGACAGCGAGCAGCAGCGTGCAGGCGTTCTCCGGACCGAGGTTCTGCAGCAGCTTCAGGAAACTCGCACCGCTGCAACAGAGACAGAGACAGAGACACACACACACACGTTAGAGTTTATAAACAGGACACCAGTGAGCGTGGATATATCAGACTGAGATAATCATAAATCAGTAAATATAGAGATTATCACTATCGTACGATGGGGTATTAGGGCCACATTAAGAAAAAAAAATAATAAGACTTAGTAATTACTTACGAGAATAAAGTTGTAATAAAGTAAGAAATGCATCTTTTCTACAGAAAGAACAGGCGGACTTGTAGGGAATCACTGTTTTTGAGGAGGGGGGGAATGGCTGGAAATGTCTGTGCAGAGGTCAAATCCCTCAGTGCAGCCGTTTATAACAATAGTTTCATATGGCTTTAGTTTATCGTATGAATCTATATGCCATAAGGTGTTGGTGCCTCTGCAGGTGGAGGTTACTGTTGGTGTTGTGCCATTATAAGAGACAGACACAGTGATCGTCGGAGCTCGACTCCCTCTGAATCGTATATATTGATCATCAGTTGGATTGTTTCTTGAGAAACCACAAAAGTTCTCTGAATGGCCTACTGATGAACCCACAGATAACTCTGCAGTTGACCAGTTCAGACATTCCTCCTCCACTAAAGCAGCTTTAAGACTTCATTTACTTTACGACTTTATTCACATAAATAATGATTTTATTACGACTTTATTCTCGTAAATAGTGATTTTATTACGACTTTATTCTCGTAAATAATGATTTTAATCTCTAAGTCTTAATTTTTTTTTTCTTAATGTGGCCCTAATACTCTGTTGTACTATCGTCTCATAATCTCTGATACAAACTAAAATAATCTAAAAATTAGTCTGAAATTAACTCAAAACTTTCAAATCTTCCTTTTTGTTGTTGCAGTTTTTTTTATCTTAAACTAAAACAGAGCAGAGCAATGTTCTGGAGCTGGAGGGTTTTCGGAGGAGATAAACGTCCATCCAAAGACTGGTCCGAGTATCTGTCCTGCTGAGATCGACTCTGAACCACAGATCTGGAGGTTCAGAGTCTCTGCTCAGTGTCCTTGAGTGTCTGCTGCTGTGGACTGACCTGAGTGGGAGTGGAGAGGAGACCGGCTGGCAGAGCAGCAGGTTATCGTACGGAGAGAGCTGCAAGATTAAGAGTCAGAGCAAAACAAACGGGTCAGAGTCGGGCCTTCAGAAGAATCTACACTGTCTGTTTCAGTTCTGACAAGATTTCAACCTACAGCTTCACTCCTGATCACACACAAGAAAAACTGCTGAGGTCAGATCAGCAGATCTACAGCTGAAAACCGGGTAAAGGTTTTGTTCAGTTCAATTAACTCTTTAGAGACTGTTGATGTTTTTAACAAGAGGCTTAAGACTCACCTTCTTAACCAGGCTTTTCACTAATTGTCTTTTTATACTTCTCTTATTGCAAATGTTCATTTTAATCGCAGTTCTTAATGTTTCTTTTATGTCATTTTATAACCATATTTTTCGCACTATAAGGCGCACCTGATTATAAGGTGCACCATTAATGAACGCGTCTATTTTGATACATAAGGCGCACCGGACTATAAGGCGCATCGGATTATAAAGCGCATTAAGCCAAACAAAACAGTCAGATAAGCCAAACTTTATTTCACTCATTCAATAACTCTGCGAGGCTACGGTAGCTGTAGTGCTCCGACAAGCCAAAAGGATTTTAAGTGCGCCTTATAGTGTGAAAAATACAGTAATTATCTTTGTTCTCTGTCTTTTTCTTAACTCTTGCCTTAGAGGTTTTTACTTCTTTTGCCCCTTTTATATGGTAAAGAGCTCTTACTCATCTGTTCATTGTATTTAATTTATTGTCTTGTTTCAGTCCATCAGGTTTTACTCTCTTTTTTTACCATTTTTTTTAAACTCTATTTGTTTATTTATCTATAAAATTATTATATTTCTGAAATGTATTCATGAAAAGTGCCATACAAATAAAGTAAACATTGAATTTGTTTGATTAAAGCGCAAACCCAAAGACTGACTGTGAACTCTTTCAGATTTAGAGGGACCGTAATTCTCCATGTTTGCTGATCCCTGATTGGTCAATGCTGCTCAGACTATTAACAGAACCCAGAGCTCGGTCCCCGGTCCTCCAGAGTCAGGTCTCTTTTGTTCAGAACCCACATTTCTACACAGTCTGGTTCCCTCCGGTTTCAGAGGCAAAGCTGGAGAGTCAAATGTTGTGTGAACTTTTCATGAGTGCTGATCGAACACAAACACACACTAGATTACCGCCACACTTCAGTGATTCTATCATCAGGTCAGACTCTAAACGATCAGGAAAGGAATTGATCACATCTGAAGAATTTGATCAGTAAATCTGAATTTAATTCACTGATTAATGATGAAAAAAAACTCTGATTGGGCCAAAATTACCCTGAACTGTCTGCGAGCAGCTGAGAATCCTGCTGAGGAAGAGAGCAAAGGTTTTTAGTCTAAAGTTAGAGTCAAGTTAACCCTCTGTTATTCTGGTCTCTAGAGAACCTGTAGGTTCTGGTTTGGTTCTGTACCTGAACAAGGATTCGAGGTCTCTGTGGGGAGGGAAACGGGACGTTGTGCATGAAGCTGGAAATGTGTCTGCAGACAGAGAAGACGGACACGGGTTAGAAAACATTGACACCAAAAACCACAGAGACTCAAGAGTCACTGAAGACCAGGGCTGTTTTCGAATTGGCCTACTGAATACTCCTGCCGACCGCAGTATGCAGTAGATATTTCATACTCCTGCTGACAGCAGTATACAACAGATACTACATACTGAGTACTCTGTTTGATTGTAGTATACAGTAGACACTTAATACTGAGTACTGTATTTGATAGTAGTATACAGTAGATGCTTTATACTGAGTACTGTGTTTGATAGTAGTACACAGTAGATACTTCATACTGAGTACCATGTTTGATAGTAGTACACAGTAGATACTTCATACTGAGTACTGTGTTTGATAGCAGTACACAGTAGATACTTCATACTGAGTACTGTGTTTGATGGTAGTATGCAGTCTCTAAGTCGGCTGTTATTTTGTAGTATGGTTGGCCTGGTTTAGCTGGTTTCCAGTATGGAAAAGTCCATCATACTCTGGTAAATTACAACGACACTACAGTGTTGCCCATTTATTTACACACTGAAAAAAATCTTTAATGTGTCTTAATTTGATTTTTTTAGCCCACTACCATCAAAACGTGTTCTGTCTGTGCAATGCTTCGTTAACCTGGCGGCATTTGATTCTCTTCACGGTGCTGTAAATACAGCAAAGTTATGTTGTTAGTTATGCTGTCCTCGTTTCCTGCTCAAAGGTGGGATAAGCAGGAATCTGTTAAGGAAGCAGCTTTCTATATCAGTCAATAGTTATTAGTTATTGATGACATTTGGTAATTTAATGATATCGCTGTGTTCTCTTATGTCTGTGTAGTCAACATTTTAAATTTTTTGGGCACTCCGCTCTTTTTGACTGTAAACTAAGCCGTTCTCCACCTCCCCAACCTGATTGGTTGTGAGGCAGACGCTGGTCCCTCGTGTCGTTCACAAGCCCAAACAAAGATCGCGTGCTACAATATCAGACAGTAGAAACCAACCAGAAAGTACAGAAAATTGTCTGAATTCTCCTTTGGCCATGACTGCCGACACAAGCAAGAAAACGAAGTAAATATCGGAAACTCTGATGGAATAACGGTTGCTTAAAACGGCGGTAGACCAGACAAGAGCTAAAAAGCTGGGTCAACATAAACGATGGGGGATGCTTCACGATCTTGGTGACCCTGTAACCTTTCTGCTGGACAGGTAAACCGCTTTAACAAAGTAAGCCAAGAGTCTGTAACAGAAGTGTTTCTTGTCAAACGAAACCTGCTGCATGTTGTAGCGCCACTAAACTGTTGACCTCAGGTCCTGGACTTTGTCACTTTATCCTAGTTGTAGAAGTCCTGCAAACATTGTGTTTGCTGGTAGTCTGTTGGCATCAACAGTAGCACCAATGCTCTTTACTTTCACGTTGACTGGGCCCCATTTGTAATTATCTGAAGTATTTATCTGCGTTATATCTGAATTTAATTGGAACGATCCGAGCGAGCAGGAGTGTCTGTTTGTGTGCGGGGTTTGCTGGAGCTGAGAGGGAGGGGAGAGGAGGAGTTTACATTCAAGATTTCTACCAAAACTGGAACTTCCTCAGATCCTGACTACACCACTTTTAAATGAAAGAAGTTACAATCCTCACTAAACGTGTTAACTGATGGCATCTGCGTGGTGTGGTCTCATTTCCCTTTGTCCCTTTGATAGTTTGACAACTCCAAAGAACCCTCTAATCCAAACTCCTGTCTCCTGCCAGTTTATTTCAAATACCGTCTTGTCTGCTGATTGAGTTTGACTGTTTTCAAGTTTTCTCACCTTTCTGCATTAAAGCTTTAGACCCCCTCTAATGTCAGCTGCCTATCCAGCTGTGTGATGGAAACATGGCTGATGGACCACGCTGTGTGTGGTCAACATCAGGCGTACCATACAGTATAAAGGATGAGGAGAAGCAGGAAAATTTGAGGAGATGGAAATCGAGGATAAAATCTGTACGGTATGACAACAAAACATTCTTGTCAGTGGTTTTTACACATAAAGAAGGAGAAGAAGAAGAGTGGCTGTCAGAAGGACACGTGTTTTAGCTGTCCTCTTTGAAAAAGAACGCTCCGGTGAATAGCTTTGCCGCTCTCCGCTATTCTGCCGTCTGCCCCGGCGCTTTGCATCATAGGTAACAGAAGGCAAAGCAGACTGGTCCGATGCAGACTGTAAAATTTTCTGAATCAGTACGTCACCCGGGTATTTTTGGCACACTGCAAATTTCGCATTTGTTCACCTACTGAATACTGTATACTACATTTTGGGCAAATCAGTACGAACTTCTAGGATAGGAGAGAATTCGAAAACGGCCCGGGTCTACATTCAGGACCGAAGAAGAAGAAAAGGTTAAAGGTCATCTGTCTGAAACCTGAAGGTCAGAGGTGGACCTACTTTTCCAGCGGCAGGACGTGAGGTCCAGAGATGGAGTATCTGTAGACAAAGGTCAGGAACTTCTGGAAGACGGTGAAGAAAGGCCAGTGAGAGAGGACGCAGATGCTTTTCTTCACCTGAAGACTGCGGTTGGTGATCGGGCGCCGGTCCACCACGCTCAGCAGACCCAGCCTCACGCTCTGCCGCTCCGACAGCAGCTCCCGATGGAAGGACTCGTAGAACTGGATCGCTGCTCCGTAAACCTGCGGGGACAGCAGGGGGGCAGAGTTACACAGAGGAGAGTCTAGAGACAGGACAGAGACTGGTCTGGGGTCTCAATGGTACAATAATTTTTAGCTCCTCTCAGATTTTCATTAGGCAGGAACCAAACCGGACCTTTTGGTGGACATGCATGCTCTGTACTCGTGTGTGTGTGTGTGTGTGTGTGTGTGTGTGTGTGTGTGTGTGTGTGTGTGTGTGTGTGTGAGACCTTGTCCCCTGAGGCTGAGGTCAGGACGAAGGTGGAGAAGACAGGCAGCTGGTACTTGGCGTTCAGAGGCCAGCTCTCCACGGTGACCCCCATGGGCAGACAGAAGACCGGCACCGACTCCGGCAGAGGAAAGGCCTCCAGGTCCTCCTCCGGGTACCGACTCAGCAGACCTGCAGAGCATGATGGGATCTGGTGAATCCAAATGTGGAGGACCAGCACCTGAGGAAGAACCTGAACCATCCTTAAACAAGAGTGTGAACCACAGATCCATCAAACCAGGGGGTCAAAGTGTGTTTTGGACAGAGGTTTTCAACACCCTGAAGGAGGTTTTTAAAATGAAGATCCCTCAATACTGGGAGTAATACCTGAAGTTTTGGACAGGAGGTCATAAAAATAAAACATCTTCAACATCTTATTGAGTCTATAACCATCAGAACCTCCTCCTACAATATTTGGATATTTATCAAATGGAGCAGATCACATTTTAAGACTTCAGAGGGCCTCTTTTATTGAAAGATGGGAACTTGTGGGACCTTTATTGATGCAATAACAGTTTATGTTCATGGTGTAAGAACTTCCTATCCATATCAAAATACTGTCATCCTGTCTCTGACTAGAATCTGTGCCTATAAATCTGTATTTTAGAGTGGACATTGTTTATTTGCCATGAATATTAACATTATCTGTGGATGTTTGTAAAAATACACATACAGCTGAAAAAAGGAAAGGAAATGTATTGTAATGAGATGTATACACTATATTAGTTACACTATGTACAGTACACTATATAATTTAAAAAAAATAAAAACAGCGGGTCAACACCTTCTCTGACTTTTAAACCCGGTTTCTGGTTCGTTTGGTTCTGACAGCCCAGTTAGTCTGGGTCATAGATACTCACTGGCTTTGTAGACAAGTGCGTTTGCTTTGGCTACGGCTCTCTTGTAGCCCATGTACAGAGCTGGACCCCACTGCAGACAAACACAGACACACAAACACAGACACACAACCACAGACACAAGAGTGGGTTAGATTGACCTGCAGAGTCAGTGGTTTAGAGGAGAGGACTGCAGAAGAAGAAAAAAAGATGTGGCCCCTAAGCACACAGACATTAAAAATCTACAGCCGGAACCAAAAGTTTAGAGAATGACACAAATATAAATTTTCTCAAATTCTGCTGCTTCAGTGTTTTTAGATCTTTTTCTCAGATGTTTCTATGTTATACTAAAATTTAATTATAAACATTTCATTAGTGTCAATTTGTAAGTTTTTGTTTGTCCACTATTTCCTGATTGATTGTAAGGCGCTCCATCATTGTTCGTCACCAAACTGATCTTTGATGGTGGGCTCACTCACTAAATTGTGAGTGAGCCCACTCCCACGACTGAGAGGAAACCCCACACATGAAGAGTCTCAGGATGCTTAACTGCTGTCATGACACAGGGCTGATGGTAGCACTCACCTTTTCTTCTACAAACAATCATAAAAGGAGGATTGATCAGAGAAAATGACTCAGCAGTCCAGTCCCTGTACTTTGCTGTTTTTCTTGACACCAGGTCTTCCTCCAAAAGTTGTCACCTCACTGTGTGTACAGATGCTCTCACACCTGAGCTCTGCACTGGTGGTTACTCGATCCTGCAGCTGAACCAACTTTAGGAGACAGTCCTGGCGCTTGGTTGACTTTCTCAGGTGCCCTGAAGTCTTCCTCAAAATAATTGAACCTCTCTCCTTGAAGTTCTTGATAATCTGATTAATGATTGTTTTAGGTGCACCTTACTAACAGCGACATCCTACCCTGTCCAGCCAAAGCAATAATGACTGCAGGTGTTTTCTGGTTAACAGAGAAAGAACAATGATTTCAGCACCACCCTCCTTTTAAACCATCCAATCTGTTATTCTTTCTCAGTCAATTCGACAGATTTATCTCCAGCCTTGTCCTCATCAACACTCTCACCTGTGTTAACAAGAGAATCATTAAAATTATGTCAGCTGATTCTTTTGTGACAGGACTGAACTGTAATGGAAATGTTTTTTTGGATTAAGTTCATTTTCATGACAAAGAGGGACTTTGATCTGATCACTCCTCAGAACATTCTGGAGTTTATGAATATTACCATCATAAAAACTGAAGCAGCAGACTTTGTGAAAATTCATATTTGTGTCATTCTCTAAACTTTTGGCCACAGCTGTAACCTTGTGTGACAGACCCACCATCCCAGTGTTGAGGTTCTTGTCCACCCTGCAGAAGGTGTGTGGGGCGACCTCTCCTTTACTCGGCATCAGCAGGGCGATGTCGGTGACGCCCAGCGTGTGGAGACCCTGAGAGTCCAGAGCACGTCTGTATGTCAGGAACACGCGGTGAGCGGTGGGGGCGCCGCCAGAGCTGAGGCTGGCCGAGCGGCTGTAGGGAGTGGTCTCGATGACGTACCAGCCCTGCTTCAGCTGCTCCTTCCCCTCATAGAGAACCCTGCAGAGACAAGTTATCATCCTGAACTCTGAGAGGAGGACCTGAACCCTACCTGCACCAAAGACAGGTCAGAGGTCAGATCCAGCATCTCTGAAAAAGACCTTCATGTTTCAGCAAGAAGAAGAAGAAGAAGAAAAACTTTATTGATCCTCAAAGAGAAACTCTTCTTCTTCCTCTGAAGTGACCAAAGTCTGTTTTTATGAAGATTTGACAACATCCCAACACTCAGTTCTCATCCTGTTCAAATCCTTTCATGACCTTGAAAAATCAGAGTCCCTAATCTGTCCAATTTTTGTGATGAGATTAACTCTTAGGTTTCTGTCCTTCTCCATCTCTCCAGAGACCATGTAATCTGATGTGAGAGGATAACCTCGTTATCATCCAACAGGAGTGTAATCCAGAGTAATTAAACATTTGAGTGCAAAAAAGACAAAAGAGAGACCAGGACCCGACACAGTTTGACAGCCGCTGCTGAGTAACATAATCATCAGGATAATATAATCCTGAGATTTAACATGAACAACATGAGCCTGAACCAACATCATAGAGACTCTGAGACTGAACAGCTGGTTATCTGTTAACGAGTCTGAACAGCTGATTATCTGTAAACAAATCTAAACAGCTGATTATATGTTAACAAATCTAAACAGCTGACTACCTGCAAACGAGTCTGAAAAGCTGATTATCTGTAAACGAGTCTAAACAGCTGATTATCTGTTAATGAGTTTAAACAGCTGATTAACTGTTAAAGGGGACCTGCCATCAAAAATGTAATTTTGTGTGTTTTTTGTGTCAGATAAGGTCCATATTATGTTCGTCTTATGTTGTAAATGTGAAAACAAACTGTAACGTTGTTTGCATTCTGTAAAGGTTTAAAATAAAGGAACGGGTAAACCAGGCCAATTGAAAAAGCAGGTCCTTCTGACGTCGAGCTGACCTTGCTCATTATTATTCACGAGCGCGTCCTTGGTGAGCCGTGCCCACTCTCTTGTTCTCGTACTCATTCACAGTCAACATCACTCTCCAGCCAGAGCGAGACCCAGCTACCACTGTATCCGCTCTGGGTCTCTTCCAAACGACCGGTGTTTCCCTGGGTTCACTGCCGGGAAAATGAACTTAAAGCTGGGCAGAATGAATGAGAAAACACCGCTGGAGATCTCCGGCTTCTTCTTCAACTTCCACCTCCTCTTCGGACTCGGGGTCTAAAATATATGGTTTAATACCTGCCATTTTTAGCCTTTAGCATAAGGTGACCAGACGTCCCCGATTTCCGGGGACAGTCCCCGTATTGGATGACCTGTCCCCGGCAAAAGCTGTCCCCGAAAATGTCCCCGATTTAAGCGTTTCATGAATAAGGGGAAAAATGTTGCGTGTGGGCTCGAACAACGGTTATTACAGTAGCCGAATAGGTAGGAAGCACAAGTTAGCAGTCCTGAACTACAGTTCTTACGGGGGTTATTACAAGGGGCATGCGCTGCTACTAAATAGTACCGAGACTTTGTCTGTGATCACACAGCCCCTGCAGCCCCTACTGCCGCCGCCGCCGCCACATCAAATATCCCCGGATATCATTACAGACATCTGGGCACCTTACTTTAGCACATATTAGCAAAATGGATAAATCGAAATCCGAACCTCCACTGCTGAGCCAATAAGAGCACAGCAGGCTTCACAGCAGCAATCCAATCAGAGCAAAGCTCATTACCATAAATGTTAATGAGCCAAAATCAGTTGGTTTTCCTGTAAGGTTTTTTAGGCATACTAAAACAAACCATCAAATTACTTTTCAGCTAAAATTATGTTGCAAACATGATCAGAGGACATCAAGGATTATGAAAAAATGATAAAAATGGATATGAAATTTTGATGGCAGGTCCCCTTTAACGAGTCTAAACAGCAGATTATCTGTTAATGAGTTGCTGTATGAGGGGACAGAAGTCTGCAGATTCAGCCAGGGAGAAGGGTTATACTCAGAGCAACAACATCAACTTCATCATTTTCATTATTACTATCATTATCTTCATCACTATCATCATCATCATCTTTATCACCATCATCATCTTCATCACTATCATTGTCATCATCCTCATAATCATCATAATCAAAATCATCATCCATCAAGATCAACATCCTCATAATCATAAACCTCATCATCCTCATCACAATCATCATCATCATCATTAACCTCATCATCACCATTATCATCATTATCCCTATTCCATCATCATCATCATTCTCATCTTATGGTCATTACATCTATCATCATCTTTAACATCATCACTATCATCATCTTCATCATTACTTTTATCATCATAACCACCATCCTTATCATCATCATCTTTATTTTATCATTATCATCATTCTCATTACAATCAACATTATTATCCCCCTCATCATCATCATCACCATCACTATTATTACCATCATTGTCATCACCATAATCAATATCATCTGTATTATCATTATCATTATCATCATCATCACTATCATCCTCCCTCCCATCATCTTCATCATCATCTTTACTTTTATCATCATTTTCATCATCCTCACGATCATGATCCCTTTATTACCATAATTTTCATCATCATTATAATATTTATCATCATCATCTTCATCATCATTACTATCATTCTTCTCATCATCCTTATCATCATATCCATCATCATCATTATCACCGCCATCATCATCACATTGATCGTCATCTTCAACATCATCATTCTCATCATTCTCATCACCAATCATTATGACTTTCATCTTCATCACCACCATCAATGTTATCATCATCCTCACTATCATTACCATCATTATCATCATCGTTATCATCATCATCATCATCACTATCATCCCCAACTTCGTTGTCAACTTCATTATCATCATCACTATCATCTTCATCATCCTTATCATCATCATCACCCTCATCATCTTCACATTATTATCATCACCACTTTTTCTTTTTCCAAGTAGTAAACCCTCTGTAATCAGACTAACAGTGACCCGGTTTTTCTTACCCCAGGTCCAGGATTGGCGGTTTGTCCCGTCCTCGGCGGTAGCACAGGTACAGGTGAGGGTTGTTGATGAGACCGGCGCTCAGCTCGGCCGAGTGTCCGCCCAGTGTCCTCTCGATGCAGGTGAAGCCCTCTGGTACCTCCTCTCCGAGTCCCCGGGCGATTACCACCAGATCCGTAACTGACTCCACCGCCCGACCAGACGAAGACAAGGAGGAGGAGGAGGGCGTTGAGGAGGAAGAGGTGGAGGTCTTTTCATCCTCGTCCAGGGGCCTCCAGGGCCCTGCAGGGTCCAGACCTGCCACTACAAAGTAGTCCACCAGCTGGGGACATTTCTCCTCTGTCATGCCGCCTGTCTGCCCTCCACTGCAGAGACCAAAAAAAAGAGGAGAGAGATACCGGGTCAGGGGTCAGAGGTCAGGAGGTACAGGAGGGAGAACCTCAGGGTTTAAAGGCGGCAGATTCTGGTCTGGATTATGAGTCTCCTAAAGACCGTCTCAGTGGTCTGCAGGAACAGACTCTGATCTTTGCAGATCACATGAGGTGACTTCAGTGGATATAAAACTTTTATTTCCTTCATGATGAACTTGAACTTTTCCAAACTTTTAAAGACATCTGCTCAGGTGGAACTACAAGTCAAAGGTCAAAAATCAGATTTAGAAACATGTCAGTGAGGACGGGGACATACCTGCCAACATTTAGGTTATAACATCCGGGAGATTTTTGTGAGCCGGGCAGTTTTAGGGTTACCATGTATGGTGGATTTGAGCTTATTATGAGAGTATTTGTAATTAGATTGCTCATCTAAATAGGTATAAGTGAAGCTGCATACTCTTTTGTTTTAACAATAAAAAATGGTAATCAAAAAAATAATAGCTACGATATACCTTGAACTTCTTTAGTCCACTAATATTAAAGTCTGCATATGTTTGACATGCTCTCCCGTATGAGGCTCTCTGAACATCTATGTGTGCAATACAGCACTCTTTTATCTGAAGCTGCCCTGAACGCACCACTCCAAGACGGTGCAAGACTATCAATGTAAATATTATATTTCAGGTTTGTTTCCCTTTCACTGAAATGTTCATTTTACAACAAAAACTGTTAAAATATAGTTTACAGCTTAAACTGACTTGAAAACTGTAAACTTAAACTGTAAAGTCAAAGTATCAATCCAGTGTCTGTGTCTTCAGTTGTCTAGAAACTTTGGACAAATATATTGATCTGATATTTGTAAATTCATAAATGAACGTGGACCATCAAACAACGGGAGATTCCCGGGAGAAATGACAATACAGGAGGTGGGCGGGAGATGGGTCTGAAATACGGGACACTCCCGGGTGTTGGCAGGTATGGACGAGGGTGAGACAAAAAAGACAAACCTGAAATTTCACCTCTTTACTGTTACTCCATGAACACAGGAGTCACAGATTTAAATTAAAAACTTCAGCTTTAAATGAGTTCCTGATAATCTAGGAGAAAATCTGAGAAATGAGAGTTTATTTACAAAAATCAATATGTGATTAAATCCGCAGAGGACACTGGGGAGTGTGTGTGTGTGTTTGTTTGTGTGTTATAAAAATAGGGCGTGCGCTGTGAGAGGCTGAAAGGCTGTTATGTAACAGTAAATGTCCCTCGCCCTCTCTCACCCTCCATCCTCAACCTCTTCTGATGCTGTGAGCCCAGACTGAGGGGGAACACACGCACACACAAACACACACGCACACATAAACACACATGCACACACACACACGCACGCACGCACGCACGCACGCACACACACTGAGCATGAGTCAGGATAACAGACTCTAAACCAACAGTAAAGACATTTTTAATCCTCCAGAATCAGATATGTTTTCACTGACAGTCTAAAAGCTTTGATGGTTATCACGAATAGATAAATAAATAAAAGTTCTTCTTTTTATGAATAAGTTTAAAGTTTATCAGGTTTAGATGATTTAAAATCACGTCTGTAGCCCTTTAATGCCTGAAACCACAAATTATGGCCAGAAAATTCTATTTTTTTGGAGCTGAAATGTTTATTTCTCTTACTACTTAAAACCAAAAAAGTCTAAATGTCCTTAAAATTTAACAAATATATTTATCTCGTTTGATACATTAGATGTTTTTGGAAACTGATGTTGATCATATTGATTTGATAGAAATATGTAAGTGTATCAAGTATGATACAAAATGCATTAAAGGGTTAATTCAAGGCCGTTTCAAAGTTATAAACCTTTTATTTTCCTCTTCTAATATTTCATCCAAGAGGAATCGGCGCTCCAGTTATCGCTGTCATCGGAGGTGAAAGTGAAGGTGGGGGGGTTTTGGAAGGACAGAGAGGAGGAAGTGGAACGAAAGGAGGGGTTAAAGGTCAAAAGACAAACAGGAAGAGGACTGGCAGCCTGCTTCCTGCTCATGTGACTCGGTGATGCTCCCCTCAGTCAGAGAAACCGCAGTCTGTCGCTCTGTGGATTAGACTGAATTTATTCATCTGTTAGCTTTTATTCAGAGTTCTGCTGAGACTCCAGAAATCCTCAATTTAAACCTATGGAACAACAACCCCTGCCGGACTACAGAGACCGGTCCTGATCCGAGAGCTGTCCGCCTGACCAGAGCCAAGAGGCAGGTAGAGCAGCAGCAAAGACCCCTGGGGATTGAATGATCTGAGACTGTGTGGTGGTCCGGTTTCTGACACCCTAAGATCAGATCGTCTTCTCCTAAAGGTCCCGCAGAGACATCCATTTCATTTCTGGTCTGGGTTATAATCAAGGGCGTAGAATCGGGTAGGGACACCGTGGACATGTCCCTACCAATAATCAGCTGCTACAGTGTCCTCCCTATCAATACAACCCTTGGTTGGTCTCTGCTAGAAGTCCCGCCTCTAACCTAAACATCACTCTTTGATTGGCTGCCGGTTTCTTCCTTACATACATGTGATTGGCTGTCCCCGCTGTTACTACATCTACCTGTAGAAGTTACCTGCTCATTGGACCAGACAGGAGGCAGACAGTGAATGTTATCCGTGAAGTGTGAACATGTTTGTCATATTGTTCCTGGGTCACATCAACTTAAACAGATTTTAATATCAGTGGTGTCATTTACATTTACATTTGTGTCGGTTTCCATGCGTGCATGCACGTGTGGAATAGGATTTGAAGGATGTCAGAGAAAGGGTAATGGGATATAAGGTTATGTTCACTCTGCAGGTCAATTCCGATCTTTTAACCCCATGTGACACATATCTGATTTTTTAATTTAAGTGTGAACAGTGCAATTCAGATTTTTTCAAATCCGACCCAGGCCTCTTTTGTATGTGGATATAAATCGGATATATGTATCCGATGTGACTGCAGTGTGGACGCTCAGGTCGCGTTCATCTGACCTATACGTCATCAATATGCGACAAATGTCACCATTGTTCGACAACACAAACAGGCGCGAAAAGCAATTTGTGCTTTGTGCGCATGCGGGTCACTTCATGGACACATTCTGTTCACATTAGATGCCGCATTTGTTATTGTAATGTGAACAACCGAACAAAAAGACCGTATTTAACAAAAAAATCCGAATTGTGCATCACAACCTGCAGTGTGAACTTCGCCAAAGTGTAAGTAACTTGAAGGGTATAGCCTACTGTTGAGGCTCAACAATACAGATATTGAATAAAAGACTACATTTTATGCCAATGAGATACACTTTTTAAAGTTGTTTTTTAATTAGCTATTATTTTTATGTATTATCGTGGAAGAGCGCAGCTGTATAAAAACATGAAAAAAAATATTTGGTAGGAAATTATGATAAAACCTCAGATTCTAGATAAGATCCTCGTGTGATTTTATACATCCATATATCGGGGGAAATAAATTATATGTAATAATTGTGTTAAAGCCTCAGGCAATGACTTTATGTGACTACCAAGGTAGTTTACCACCACCAAAGTGTGACTGTGTGAGCGAATGAATGATGTATCCAATGTAAAGCGCTTTGAGGGTCTCTGATAAAGCGCTTTATGAAATCTGATGCATTGTATTGTTTATCATCAAACTATATGAGTATAAACATTATAAACATGAAAATTTACTGACTATGATTGTTTGCTTGTTTGATCTGCTCTACATGATGCAAAATTAGGATATGCAAAAAACAGAAACTTTCAGGAGGACAATTTTGTGTCCCACCAATGTCTGAATCAAACCGACTCCCTTGTTTTATAACCACGGAGCTACGTCTCCATCGAGGAAAGTTTCATGAGTCATCGAAAGCTCAAATATACAGGGGGTCAACGCCCTGCTGTACTGAGAGGACAGCTGATGTGACAGAAAGACGTTTCCGAGAAAGACAGAGAAAGAGAGAGAGAGAGAGAGAGAGAGAGAGAGAGAGAGAGAGAGAGAGAGAGAGAGAGAGAGAGTTTCTGCTGTAGCTGTAAAAAACAGAGGGAGGGTCTGAACTCAATTGTAACAGCCAATTTAGCTGAAACAGCCGATTTCATCACTGTCACTTCCCTTTATGTGCAACAATGGAAACCTCGCACACTTACACACACACACACACACACACACACACACACACACACACACACACACACACACACACACACACACACACTGAGCTCTAAATACATTATGGAAAGTCTGGATAAATGCACCAGATTTCCTCAAGGTAAGAGTTCACTACACAGCGCGCTCAGACTTGGCGCTCAGACTCGGCGCTTCCGCCTGAGAAAAATCCGATTTCTGTGAACGCCATCTTGGCTTTGTTTCTAATTTAAACTTCAGAGACCAAAAACTGAGCTAAAAATAAGGATGATTATTTCTGTAGTAACGCTTGAAAACAAACACACACACACACACTCATCAACTCTTTTAGCTGCTTCTGCATACGGAAATGAGAAAAGAGGTCATGTGACCTCAAAATGAGGAAATGAGCAGCTCTGATACCTCGCTCAGCAGGGATCAGGGAACGAATCACATACCGGGTCAGAGAGCAGAGAGGAGGAGAGGACAGTCTGAAGGTGATTGACAGATGTCTTCATAACAAAGTAGAAGAAGATATCTCCACATTTAGAGTCAGAGACGTTCAAACTGACCTGAGGGACGTCTTCGTCCTGGAGACCTGAACCATCTAAACCACCGATGCTCTTATCCTCCTCACCAATCAGAAGAGGAGGAGACAACAGCAGCATCCTAACCCTAAACTGTCCACCGTGTCCCTTCTCAGGGTTTATCTGCTGCTTCACTGACTCATGCCCCCCCAACCCCCACCCCACCCCACACACACATGCACGCATACATGCGCGCCAAATACACACACACACACACACACATCGTGGTTCTTCATCATAATGAGGTCACAGCACGCCGCTGAGCCGTGTCGTCACACTAAACCACAGTGATGTAACTTCAGAGTCTCTGACTGGACTTTCTCTGACAAACGTTTACAGAGGGTCTGACTGGGTCTGCATTAACAGAGTCCACGTTCTAAAGGGGTCAGCGGTTTCTTCTCCCTGGTCTTTGTGCGGAGAACTTCAGGTCTCTAAATGCTCCAGTTTTTCTGTGAATGAAAACGTCAAATTTCTGAACCGACAGAAACTCTGAAAAGAGGAAGTGAGAGCTGACAGAGGAAGTCTTTCATAATCAAAGATCTTATAAATACTGAGACCAGCTGCCGAAACCTGAACCCCTCATCCGGTCTACGTTCTGGTTCACAGAAAAACCGCCTCTGCTTTTTCATGTTCAGTCTCTCTGCTGCGAGCACGAGGAGAAGATGAGAGTCTAACCCGGCCCCTAATGGGGACTGTGAAATCATGAGGAGCTGAATTAAAACCCAGAAACTACAGACAGAGTCAACAAACCAAAACAAAGATGGCCGCCTGCTTTTGTTGCGCATGAGAAGAAGGTCTCTGTGGCTACCTGATCCGTCTCGGAAACCCAATTTGTGCTGTGCATGTTCATCACTTCCTCTCTTGGCATTTCAATGTATTTTACGGCAGTGAGTCGCTACCTACCCAATCCAAACTGCTTAAGTGCAAATTTACTCCACCTTAAAAACTTTATCTAAACTACCGATCAATTCAGAAACAGGCTGGCAATGTGACAGGCTAGCTAGCAGGAGGTTCCAGAGCTAATGCCGAGGTATTCACCAGAGCTCCTGCCCAGCACGGTCAGACCTTTTGGGCCACAGAGAGTGCCGCCACCAGGTCAAAATTATGGTTCTCCGACTTTTCAAAAAATCAAGAGAGGATTAATTTCATTTATTTTATAAACTAAATTTATTAACAAGAAGCCTACACATTATGGACAATGAATTTCAGCCTTTTTATACAGCGTTTCAATTTCAACACTAAAATAGTCACAATTATTCAAGCCTTTTCAGTGTTTCCCCTAGAAATTTTTGCAGCTGAGGCGGTGTGTGTGTGCGTTGGGTCGGGGGTGTCGTTGTTACCCCCACTCTCTTGCCACCCCAGGAGCTTCGCTGTTACATTCATGTTTTGTACATTCACCTGCGCTACTCGCTATACAGACCGTGTATAAGCTTAAACGTTATCCTTCACATTAGTGGAAGATGGTCTGACAGGATTCGATGTGCTCATTGATGACTTAAAACAAGTCGAAAATAACATTGTGTGTTGTTGTGCTCACAGAGTGCGAGTAGAATCATTAGTGGCGCACTGATATTAATGATCCTGTGAAATTTCAGTCGCGGCGCACGTAATTTAGCAGCGGCGGTGCGCCACTGCTGAATGAATGTAGAGGAAACACTGCTGATATGAGGTAGAACTATGAGAGATAAAAACTTTTTTTTTTTTGTTGCGGCGGCATTTATTTAGTAGTGGCGGTGTGCCATGTAGGGGAAACCTTGCATGTAGGGGAAACCCTGTTTTTATAACGGCATTGCAATTTTACAATTAAGCTGGAGTAAGAACCTTTAATTGTAAAACTGGACGCCATGGAGAAAAGCGTGTGGCTGTGATCAACTGAAGCATCCATTCTGACTGGAGCGAGGGGCAAAGAATTGCTGAGCTGTCGTAAAGATGGCTGGTAGAGGAAGTAACATACATTGTGCATATGCGCAGTACAAGTCAGGTTTCTGGGACGGATCAGGTAGTGACAGTCTCAGAACTCCCCTGAACTCTCAGATCCTGGTTTATGAAAGACTGAAAACTCGCTTCATGGTTTCTGTAGCAATACGCTGCTGTCTCACAGAGAGAGTGGATTTTTCTGTCAGTCGGTCAGCGTATTTGTTGACTAACAATCAGAGATGGTTCAGCCCATCAGGAGAGGCCAGAGTGATTTCTAAAAACTCTCACATTATCAGTTCTGGAGTAAGTCCCTCAAAAACTGGTTTCTGTGGACCACTAGTGGGTTTACGACATGACAGCGGTGACAGGGCGGGCCTTCAGCACCTCAGACCAACATCGTGATTATATAATAAAATGTTGAACTGATCTCTAGTTTCTTTAGATTTTAGTACAGATGCTTTAAAACTGGCAGTTTAAAAAAAAATCGTGATAATATTTGAGATCGGACGATATGACAAAATAAATCGTGATCATTTTTTTTGCCAAATCGCCCAGGCCTACGTGAAGGACTACGAGTCTGTACGATGTCGAGTATCACACAGGCTGAGGTAAACGTTATAGTTTCCTTCTGATTGGTCCCTCCCTCTTCTCCAAAAAAGGTCCTTCCTGTCTCACACTGTCTGTGGAGTTGTCTTCATGGGGGGGGGGGGGGGGGGGGCTGTCACACTCTTTCAGTTTGACCCTTACTTTGAAAAGCTGCCACAGGAAGTCAGCAGTGAGGAGAGGAGAGGCTGCCGAAGACGGAGGAGGGAACGGAGAGGTTCGTTTTCGAAGAGGAGGAGGAGGAGGTGACATCTCCACCGCCAGAGAGTGTGTGTGTTTATTTATGTGTGTGTGTGTGTGTTTCTCTGTGTGTGTGTATCTGTGTGTGAGCTGGTGCAGAGAGGAGGAGGAGGAGGAGGATCACAGCAGCTCTTTGTCTCCGAACACGAGCGTCTCTGAAAACGTCTCTCAATATGTTCAGTGAGAGCGCTGTCAGTGACATCACAACCAGCAGGGTCACATGACCAGGTCACTCTGCACAGAGACGTCAGTGTTAGTCACGTGAGACATGCACAAAACAATCTACTCCTGCAGCATGTGTGTGTGTGTGTGGTTGTGTGTGTGTGAGCTGAAAACAACGATCTATTAACAAAGCATGGTAATTAAAGGACCAATCAGTGACGCACCGACTGAGTCTGATCTAGTGTGTGTGTGTGTGTGTGTGTGTGTGTGTGTGTGTGTGTGTGTGTGTGTGTGTGTGTGTGTGTGTGTGTGTGTTTGCATTCTGCAGGTTTTTGTGTTCTTTTATTTTCCCCTCTCTGTATCTGGACTAACTGCTCTCCCTCAGACCTCTATTTAAATCCTCCCCGGTAAACCTCTGGGACCATGAAAACTAGAACCTGAGGACCAGCAGCAGTTCTGCCGGTTCTGACCCGTAAACAGTAATCAGCATAGAGCGGTGAGTCAGCAGAAGAGCGACACAGAAAGAGGAGATGAGAGAGGAGGAGGAGCAGACTCCTCTTGAAGGAGATCTAAATATCCCAAGTCTAAATTTAGACCCAGCTCACTTTGTGAACGGCGCTCTTAAGAGGACTGCCAAGACCAGCTCCAAAATACTAACCCATGTGATGATGCAACATACGTGACGACGTTGTCGATGACAACTACAGAAATAAACAAACACAAACACACGGACGAGGAGAGAAGCGGGTCAGCGCCGAGATATTTATAGATCAAACACCTGAGGTCTGAGGTCTGAGGGGACTGTCACATGGTCTACTTCAGGACCCGGGTCACTGTGAGCCGCCTGCATTCATGAAAACCAGGTCCAGGGTCTGTTTATAGTCCAGACAGGTAGACTCATCTGAATATGGGGGGGGGGGGGGCACACAAAAGAGAGAAAGACCGACACAACAACACGATCTACACATACACACTGGCCCTCATTTATCAAGCTTGCATGCGGCAGAAAATTTGCGTACACCTTGCGTATGACAATTTTGACGTGAGGATCGGCATTTATCAATCTGCACGTGAGCGTACGCTACAACCAAATCGCACGACATGTCTGACATGGTGTACGCAAGTTTGAGTCAGTGTGGATCTGCGGTGCAGCAAATGTCTGTCTCTAAATAATTGATAAACAAACCTCAAACCTGTCATTAAGCACAATCAGACAGATTACATTAAAGATTAAGACGTAAATAAAATAGATAAATTTGTTATGTCCTTAGTGAATAGGCCTATTTGATAACTCTGCCCAGAAACACTGCCACAGAGCAGGAGCGCCGTTTAAACATTGCGCACACGCGCCACTGTGGAGAGCTGTGTTTGACTCCTAAAAGGCAGGTGTCTCTGTCTTGGCCTAGCAGCGGGGATGTTGTTGTACACTCCTGAAAGGGTGTGGGACATCATTTGGGCCAGTACAGTTTAGCTCAATGTTGCACTGGTGAATGGAGTGCCGTTGGCTGTGCTGGTGCAATGTGAAGACCCGATGCCCGGAGAACAATAACAAGGAGAGACTCCACAAAGATGCTGTACAGAGGAGACGAGACCTTATCGATGGATTCTGATGTAAAATATAAGTTTAGAAAGTGCTCTTGCTATTTAATCAGTGATAAAAATCCATTTGAAATCCATCAAAATGTGCCTCAGGAGCCGCAACACATCGTTTGGTGACATTAATAATTACTTTTGTTCAGCCTCTGTCAGACTCTCCAGTCTGCTCTACATTACAAAGACGCAACATATTAAAACTAAATACTTTCAATAATAGGAGCAACGTACCCTATGTCATGGCAATAAAAAATTTAATAAGGTATGTATGAGATATTAATTTATCATCATGAGCAACTTATTGACTGATGATTTATTCAAACTTCAGCCATGGACCATTATTCCGCAGCAGCGCTGTTCAGCGGCACCATAATCCTGCTCCAGACAGGAGTTTTCTGGACTGCTTTTATACCACTTTTGATGCTTCCAGAGAGAAAATCCTTGTTAGTTTCCACCACAGATGCGAGGATATCCACTTTCAGCTCAGGAAAGTTTCGCATCTTTCTAATATTTCTCCTCTTTCATGTTTGACCTCAGTGGGCGAGGCTTCTGAACCACGAATATTTAAGGGTGTAAACATGTTAATGACGATCGATTTCAGCCGCCGCATTTATCAAGACCTGATCATACGTACGCTGGGATTGGTCAGATACGAACTCTTTCATAAATCTCACGTGTGTCCTATCGTAGGATGAATCCTGAGCTCAGATCTGCGCTCAGATCTGCGCAAACTTGATAAATGAGGGCCATTGTGTGTGTGTGTGTGTGTGTGTGTGTGTGTGTGTGAGTGTGTGTGTGTGTGTGTGTGTCTTAGTGTCTCTGGTTTCTTCTCACAGACTAATATCGACTTCCACTGTCCCCAGATCTGCCCCAGGACCTGGTCTCAGTAGATCCAGGACCTGTTCATGTTGACAAACCACCAAAACCATCTCTTGTTCATCTCTCAGGTTCATCCCGATAAACTTACCCCCAATTTCCACCTTATCCTGAACAGCTACAAAAAGGCCGTATCTGCCGATCATAGCTGATCTCAAGAGTTTTTTTTTCTGGAAGCCGGAGCATGCCGGAAGTTGAAAACGCTTTTCTAGTTTGATTAGTCGGTCTTCCTGTCGCCACAAAGAGCAGTAGCCTACAGTACATCTACAGTATATAGTGTACTGTAGATATCTACAGTATATATAAATTTTTTAGAACTTCATAAAACATTTTCAAAAATCGGCTGATTAATCAGTAATCAGATTTTTTCCCCCCTAATAATGGGTGTCGGCATCAGCCCAAAAAATTCCATATCGGTCGGGCCCTACACAGTACATACAGTGAAACTGAGAGTCATGTTTCAGATAGAGTGAAGCTTCTGAGAGACTATCTACAGAGAAACTGTGACCTTTACGAGACTGATGAATGAGACCCACACATAAGCTCTCTCTGTGTGTGTGTGTGTGTGTGTGTGTGTGTGTGCGCGCAGTTTGGCCAAGCTGGAAGAAAACAGGGAAATATTATTCTGACACAGATGGTGAGTGAGGAGGGAGGGCGGCCGCTCGCCAACATGACTGAAAGCGGCGCACACACACACACGCACACACACACACACACACACACACACACACACAGTTTTTAACAGTTAATATGAAGATGATCTCATCCAAAGCGAGGAGCAGCAGTGAGGAAAACAACAACAGCAGCAGCTTTCATCCAAACCATCATTGACAGTTTAGGCCTTACTCCAACAGCACAGTTGAGGGGTCAGAGGTCACGGGGCTGCCATGACATCAACACTATGACACTATGACCCCTCCCTCAGAAAAAAAAAAAACTCCTGACTTCATATAGAAACTGAAAACGCCACTCTGAGCGTCTGTGAACACGCCCTGCAGGAAATATTCATGACATCAAACGGCAGAAATGTTTGAGGCGGGTTTGGACCTTTAGAGCCGGACTGAGCCCCCAACCACCCCCACCCCCCGTTACGCAATCCTGTAAAAAAACAGGCGTCAGTGAAGGCATCGCAGCAGGAATGTGGAGGAGCAGGTCTGCAGATGGAAACGTCGATTTGACAGTTTGTGGTTTTTTTTTTTTTCAGACATGCAGAAGAACTGGAGTGGGGGGGGGGGGGTGTCTGAGAAGCCTCTGGTCCAGTACATGCTGGAACATGCAGCAGACCCCCAAGACCCTGAACACAACGATCTGACACTGACACAAGTGGATTTTAAAGTCAAACTACAGCGAGAAGTTTGATAGAATCAAATTCAGTTTAGAGAAATCTACAAACACGTTAGTCGATTGAAAAAAGAGTTCAGAGTGTCACTGACCTTTTAATTAAGACAGTTTTCAGGAAATCCTCTTTCTTTTGGGCCAACTTTAAAACCAGACCCTCTCCCTGCAGTCTACCTCAAAGCTCATTTTTCCCTGATGGACCATGAAGGATCCTCCAAGATCTCACTCTGTGGTGACAAATTCTTTACAAGAGGCGACACGTCCCAGATCACATCTCAGGGATCTGCAGTCTGCACACACAGAGTTTAGAGAGGTTCCCTGTATGTGCACATGTATGACCATCAACATGTATGATCTACCTCATGTATGACCAACAACACCTATATCCAACAATATGTATGACCGACAACATGTATGACCAACAATATGTATGACCAACAACATCATATATGACCAACGACACATATGATTAACAACACGTATGAGCGACAACATGTATGATCTACCATATAGTAAAGTCAATTTTGCAGAACCCCCGATTTCCACCGCACCCTGAACGGCTATGAACAGGCCATATCTGCCGATCATAGCTGCCATAACCATTCAAGTAAATTTGTCAATTTCCACCGACTTCTTTCCGTTCTGCTGCAGATCGCTGGACTCCACAGCTGATCGCAAGAGTTCTATTTTTTCTGGACGCCGGAGCATGGCGGATAAATTCAGCACAGATTAACCCGTGCTGGAAAGGAAGTGGGGCACAGACACAAAATTAAACATCCGGCTTCTTTTCAAAATAAAACAGTCCGTGTTTCAGGAGGATCGTATTTCACACCATGCAAACGGGCGGAGACTAACAATGAACAAATGGCCCGGGCATCTGACTAGGATGCCTTCTGGACGGCTCCCGTTAGAGGTGTTCCAGACATGTCCCACCAGGAGGAGACCTCGTGGCCGGCCCAGGACCAGGTGGAGGGATTATATCTCAGTCTGGCCTGGGAGCGCCTGGGAATCCCCCCGTAGGAGTTGGTGGAAGTGGCTGGGGTGAGGGCCGTCTGGGCTTCCCTCCTGATGCTGCTGCCCCAGCGACCTGGACCCAGATGAAGCGGAAGAAAACAACGATGACAACGAGTGAGATCTGAGTCCAGGGGCCTGTTCTACAAAGCAGGATTACTGCTTAGCGAGGTAACTTCGAGGGTAAGTTCGGGGTGGCATGGCATGGCAACGTACGCTGAATGGCTAACCTGCTCCGGGGCAGGTTAGGTTCCAGATTGAACTCACTGAGTATAAAAACCCCGCCCACTGACCAATGAGCTCTCTCGAAAAATGGCTTGTCCGTTCTTGGAGGATCCTATAGACCTCGGTGCTCGCATTGTCCGAGGAGCACTCAGGCGCGCAAGAGTTTTCAGAGACTGCACGGACCCACTTACTTTTCCGGATGACCACTTTTATGAAAGGCTCATATGACCTACATATCACACAAAAAATGTAAACACGATAGGAATGAACAAATGAATGAATTCATCTTGGAAATAAATAGGCATGGGCTGTGTGATCACAGACAACATCTCGGTACTATTTAGTAGCAGCGCACGCCCCTTGTAATAACCCCGTAAATACTGTTGTTCAGGACTGCTTACTTGTGCTTCCTACCTACTGTAATAACCGTTGTTCTAGCCCACATGCAACATTTTTGTTCTCATTCATAAAACGCTTAAATCGGGGACATTTTCGAGGACAGCTTTAGCCGGGGACAGATCATCCAATTCGGGGACTGTCCCCGGAAACCAGGGACGTCTGATCACCTTAGTTAAAAGCGCATGTTGAACAGTGCTATTTCAGGGTGATAATGGCATCAAAGATTAATTTTCTGCCAGCATTCCTTCCGTGCTTTTGCAGCGACGACGGTGTTGCTTTTGAGGTTTATGATAGATTTGAATTCTTCATACTTTCTCATGATCATCTCCTGCTCCTTGTTTGTAAAGCCTGCAGTCCTTCGCTCTCCGGCCTGCTCTCACGCTCCAGACTGGTCCATGTTCGTGATTGGTCAGATGCGGCGGGCTCCGCCTTACATGTGTGCACGCGCTCATAGCAAAGCTGGATCCACTTATGAGGTTGATAACCAGCGTCGTAGGACCACTTAGCGAGACCGCTGGCCACTGCGCTAAGTTGAGCAAGGTAGCTCCAAGGCTACCTCGCTAGGTTGAACTTGCTTCGTAGAACAGGCCCCTGGTTTGGGTTACACCGGGACCGCAGCAAAGGTTCAGCTAAAGTTCCCTTAAAGTTCAAGAAGGACTTCAGCCGGAGGTTTCCAAACACCTCCAACATGTCTGCCTGAAGAAGCGTCACCTCTGTGTGTGTGTGTGTGTGTGTGTGTGTGTGTCACCCCGCTGTAGTCCGTAATGGACTGGCCTGAGGTCTCCCTACAAACCAAAGATGTTTGGTGGCTAGTTCTATGGCTGGGACCCTATATTGTTGATGAACTTAGTTAGGTGCTGTTCTGAGCGTTATTTGTGGCTATAGAGTGGCATTTTGGTTGAGGTTTGTTTATGGCTCCTCAGACTGCTGTGTATTGCTATCCTGCGCTTGTTACTAAAGTTGGTATAACTAGAGAAGCAAGCGGTCGGCAACATTCATCTCTGGAGGGGGTGTCTAACTCAGTGTTATGGTGTGTTTGACCATTAATTAATTTTACGCCGGTGTTAGAATAATGTGCATAAATGTATATAGAAGTTATCATTATTCCTCATATTCTTAAGTAAGAGTTTATACTACAAGTATAAACTGCTTTGACCTCTTTTTATACATCATATAAGAGTATTTTTATCATATAAGAGTGTTTTCTAACTTCTCTCTCCAATAGCTTAATTACACAGCACATGAATGTTTCTTAACTTCTCTGTGAACTCGTTTCTCCTATCAGCAGGTGTGTGTGATGTATCCTCCACTATGAATCGTGGGAAGGAAATAAGGGGAGGACACGCTTATCAGAAGGAGCTCGTTAGATGCCGCCTTGACCTTCAGCTATTCACAAACTGTTCATTATTATGTTCTATGAAATGCTTACTTTGCAGCACATTTACCCCCACCCTTTTAGAAACATTGTGTGACCAGGGACAACCCTAAATAAAAGAGACTGGGCGGAAATACCTTTCAGAGTGGTTTCGAGATGGTACCTGAAGCTATCTCGGTCCATTCTCCTCGAGTATATATCATTGTCTTTCTCTTCTTTATATGTTATCAGGTAAATGTTGCAGGTTTTAGACCTAACAGCCGGAATATCCCTTTAACTGTTATAAGGAGAGGAGCGAGGTTCACAGATCTGCAGCTCTTTCGTTGGTGCACCAAAACCAAACACAGAACCAGTAATAAGAGTAAAACTAACCCAGTGTTAAAGCAGAGAACGACGCTGATGTGGGGACTAGGAGAAACCGTCCACCACCACCCACCAGGCCGACATCCAGTCTCTGCAGATACAGGTTCAAACCTCAGCTGATCGTTTCCTGGTGTTTCCTGGTTAGCACACGTGCAAAACCTCAATAACTACCAGGAGTCACGATCCCGATGAACTGTACACCACCATGGTCTAACTGATCCTCATCCAGGATCCGCCCACTTTCTGCCGCTCCTCTAAAACATGATTGTCTCTTTCTGGGGATTCCCGAGGAGTTCCCACGCCAGTCCAGATACAGAACCTGTGCAGCTACCAGACTGTCTTTGCTGCTGGATTTTCCCTGAAAAACAAAAACAAAACTGAAGAAGAGACTCAAACCTGCAAAAACCAGAGTCTACTCCATCCAAACGGGACCCAACAGGACGTCAAATGATGTTTTCAGTTCCTGTAGGAGGACGTCCTCACCTGCATCTGACTGACACGCTGCATGTTTTCTATTAATTGTTTTCTTACATTTTTGCAGAACCGAGAATATTCAGATTTCCAACAAAGGAGGAGACAAACAGAAACAAACATCTGTCAACTTCTGCTAAATGACTTTTTTCGATGAGTCTTTCCTGCTGCAGCTCACAGTAAAACTCTTAAATAATCTCATAAAGGGGGAAAATAATAACACCTGTGGTCTGTATAGGTTTGACTATCAGTCTGTCTTACCTTAAAACAACCTGTGATGATATAGGTGTCTGTTTCAACCCTCTGAGTTTCTTTTGGTTTTAATTGGTTGGATGGTGACTCTTACTTTCAGTTTGGGTTTTTTTGTTAACTACTTTAAAAAAACACCTGCTGTTTGTTTCTGACAGACAGACTTTCACCCTGCTGTTGAGCTCCACTCCAAACCCACAAACCCCACACAGTCTGCAGGAGTCCCGTGGGGCTGATGGAGGGAGCAGGCCCGACAAGCAGCAGCTGCTCGACATTCAAGGCTGGACCCCATTTTATCAGAGTGCTTCCATTATCGGACACGTCTCTGCACGATTTAATCCACATCTAATAATCATTTACAGAAATATAGATCATAATTTATAAATCAAACAGAAAACAAACACTGATCCGGTCAGTTTATTCCCGCTCTCTGCGTTGGTTCACGGTGTGACAGATTGACGATGGTCGCGTGCAGCTGCAGCTATTTAAACCCCTGCGTCTGCAGGAGGGGTGAGTCTATTATCGGACAGAGACCCAGTCGGACACTCCTTCTACTTCAGTCTTCTTTAATGCTTTTTATTTATTGTAGGTTTTAAAATCATTTTTAAAAAAAAAATCCACGACAGGAACAACCTGTTCTCGACTCACGCCACCAACGAAGAAGAAATAGATAAAAAACAACCCGATAAAAACAAGAATAGACAGCAAACCCGTCTGATAAAAGGATTTAAACATTAAAAACACACTGATAATGTGAGATGAAACTCTGTTAATCTGACGGAGAAATGTCAGCCTGAGAAAATGAAGAGGCGCTCTGTTGGGAGGCGTGTCCGATAATGGACGCACGAAGGTTCCCGTTAAACGTTTTGCCTTTAACGGCTGTTAGCTCTCCGCGTTAGCTCGCGCACAGGCGGCTACTCTCAGCCGGTACACGGTCCGGTTCGGTTCGGTCAGTGATGACACTCGATGTTTGTTTGAACCATTTGGTCCTTACCTCGATGTCGTTGTTGTTTTTTTCCACAGAGAGCTGTAAGGATCATGTTTAGGTCATTCTCTCACGTGTGACGTCCATGTTTGCTGTCGCTCTTCGGAGCCGCGGCAGCACATCAAGTCCAAAAATTACAACTCCCACTACTACCGGTCACAGCCTTCAAAATAAAAGACCTTATCAGAAGCGGTACAAATATTCATTTTTTTTTTTATAAGATTTTTGGTTGAATTGAACAACTTAACATACTTGAAAGTGCCGAATTATTGGACAAGAACTAAAATGTCATTTCATTTTATCATCTAATTATAGGAAAAGTCGACATAATACATTTCACTTCGGTAAAGTAATGAAGTATTTTTGTGGAAGTTGGGATTTTAAAAAGCGTCAATATATTTGGTGCATTTTTTGTTGTATTGGGTCATTAAATTACAGTGACCTAGAACCGCCACTGTTGTAGATAAAAAAAAAGACTGCAAAAAACAAAACAAAAGACAGAACGGAAGTTAGCAACGCAAAAAAAAGTGGTGATACAAAGAAAAAAAGGTACTTACTGCAAAGTAAAAAAGTTGCAAAAAAAAAAGCCACAAGAGAGGTTAACAACTCAGAAAAAGTGGTGATGCAAAAAAAAAACTAATAATAATTACTGCAAAATAAAAGAATGCGAATGAAAAAAGCCACAACAGAAGTTAACGATGCAAAAAAAAAGTGGTGATGTAAAAATAAATAAATAAAAATTACTTACTGCAAAAATAAAAAGATGCAAATAAAAAAAGCCTCAACAGAAGACAGCGACACAAAAAAAGGTGGAGTTCCAAAAAAAAAAAAAAAAATAAAATTACTTACTGCGAAAGTAAAAGGATGCAAATAAAAAAGCCACAACAGAAGTTAACGTTGCAAAGAAAAGTGATGTAAAAAAAAAAAAAAAGTACTTACTGTGAAAATAAAACGATGCAAATAAAAAAAGCCACAACAGAACTTAGCAATTAATTAATTAATTAATTATTATTGGTATCATTATTTTAATTTTTTTTTTTTTTTTTAATTCCTTCAGGGAAAACTCCAGATGAACCGATCACTTTAAAGGTCCCTTCAGATGGTACTTACCCTCTAACTAATACGTCGTTGTTGTTTTTTTTTTTAAAGGTTTTTCATCTCAGTTACCTGAGCAGCTCGGACAGATTGTTGACTTTCATGTTGTTTTTTTTACGATCAACAGCGGAGCAGTCAGTGAGTTCGCCTCTGATGTTGAATCACCACAGTCGCTTTTTCTCCACCAGGTGAACTACAGTAACAATGCTGAGGCTTTTTTTTCTGCAAAAATTGACAACTAATCGATTGTTGGGTGAAAGAATCCTTTAAAGGAGAGACTGATAACTGCTGTCTTCTTCAGGGTCCAAACAAGTCTGGTCTAAGGAGAAGTCCTTTAAAGTGGCACCAGAAAACATCAGTTTCAGACCATGTTTCTGATTATTGACTGTGGTATTGATCAGCAGCACAGATACAAACTCAAACTCTTTAAGTAATATTCATACGCTGGTGTTGGTAACTATCCTTTATAACATATAAAACCACTTGAGTAAAAAATAAACTCAGCACCTCTTAAGCTGAAAATTTCCAATGCTATTTATGACACTTTGTATGCTTTTATTTTGAAGCCGGAAACCCACTACTTCCGATGATAATCCGCTGGTATTGACGGCAGCTGCAGCTGTCAGAGAAACCTAGAGTGCTGAATGAATTATCTGTTTGTGGATGTTTGAACAGAGGCTGTTGTCATAATAACAAAAACACGATCTCATATAAAACCCTCATTAAAGTGATTTTTTTAAGAGTTACCAGAAGACGTTTGGGTTACTGATTATTATTCAATCAATTCTTCTAACAATGTGTCCTGATAACTCCAACCTACACCCTGCAGAAGAATAAACATGTTTGAGTATATGACTTTAAGACTCTGATGAGTCCTGAACTGGATCAATGAAAATCCAAAATAAAAAAAACAAGCCTCAATAAAAAAAGTCAGTTAAATGACGCAAAATGACGCAAATTACACTGTAAAAAATCAAAGTTCAAAGAAAACGCTTACAATGAAAAACTAATAAAAAGTCTGCTAATACAGACAGAAGTCATTATATTATGAAAAGTTACAATCATAAGACGAAAAGTTCAGTTGTGTCACAGTGAGAACTGAACGCTTATATAAAGTATGAGATTAAAAGTCATAATGATGTTAAAAGTCATAATTTAAAAAAAAAAAACAGTCAACAGAAACAGGCACTTTTAAAAAAAAGTAATTCTCAGTTCAAATGTCATAAATATAAGACAGTCCTAGTATCAGGAATAAAAATGGAACAACAAAAAGTGAAATAATGAGACAAAAGTCATGAACATAAAAAGTCGATATAGTGAAATGAAAAGTCACCACAATGAGGAAAAGTGACTGACTGTGAGATAAAAGTCACCTTTGAATTATCTAATGAAAATGTTGAAAGACTAAAAGTGTAAAGCAATAATGTTGTTGAAGAAAAATAAACAAAAAAAGGCATTACTTTGAGATAAAATGTTTTAATTAAAGATTAAAAGTTATATACTGAAATAAAAATTCATTAATACTTATTTGAGATTTATTTCTGAATTCTCATCTCATATTTTTCAGTAGATTTTCTATCATGATTTCATGTCTCATTATTTTCATCTTTAGTGGTGAGTCTCTTCAAGTCAAAATGAGGACTAATGTGAAAAGTTTTCATGTGGACCGAGTCTTTCTAAGTTTATGACTAATTGACTGTTTCTGTGGCATGAATCGGCAGAGACGGTTCTCAAATATGAAGATAAAAACATACGAAAGACTAAAAGGACAAAGAGACTGAGAGCAGGAGGAGAAGGAGGAGGTCCGGGTTAGGGTTAGGGTATCGACAATTGATCATTGATGAGGATCGGGACTGACATTCCGATTCTCCCGGAATCGTTCAAATTTTAAAATTTCGATTCCAAGTTTCGATGCCGGAGTCTGCCGACCGGTGTTGTGCTGTAGAATGCACCCCTGACAAGAGCGCGGTTGAAAGTACTTAAAAAGGCGAAATAATCCCAAGTTTTTCTTACCCTTGGACGGAATCTAAAGCCTATGCCTTTAATGATTTCATTCAGGATATTCAGATAAACCGAAAACTAAAGCCCTCTGATTCGGAATATTTATTGTCCCGAAAATATAATGTTCTCTACCTTAACAGCTTACTGTACAGTTTATACACCAAAGTACACCTCTATATGTGCATTTTTGAGAGACATAAAAACAAAAGTTTACTGCTTCATTTGACATGTCATAATCTGAGTGTTTTTTTTTAATGTGAGATCATTTTCTTCCACTTTAAGAAGCTAATGAGTGAAGGGGATGCATTCTACGGCAGGGGTGCATTCTACAGCACAACACCTGTCTTCAGCTAACCAGTCAGAATCAAAACAGTGAAACAATAAATTACTTCTGTCTTCTGCTAACACTGAAGCGTCAAACAAATTGTACTGTGTACGGTGGGTCAACTTAAATATCCAACGAACGTTAGCCCTTGTATTTTTTCATAGACAAATGACCTGACAAGAAAAATTGATATTCATATACTGGTTGAAAATAGCCCTGTGAGAACTTTGTAGTAAAGTTCTTAAAAAGTTAATGTTTTAAAAATTCATGGAGAAGTTCAGAAATTTCATCCAAAAAGGAAAACAACGGTTAGCACCCTCATTTAAACCATGGTTTTTAAAAATATCCTGCCTTTAAAAGAATCGAAATAGAGAATCGATAGGAATCGGACTCGAAATCAGAATCGTTCAAAATCAAACAATACTCAACCCACACACACACACAAGGACGTTCCCTGGTTATTTATTTATTTATTCATTTCTTTATTACAAGGTTTACAAATAAAAATCTGATAGCACAAAGGTCAACGTATTATTCAACCGATACAAAGCCAAAAGACGCTCATTTTGTTTTTCAATCAGTGGAGCTAAAAACATGAAAACTAAGAAATAACATTAATAACAACAATAACAATAAAAACAATGACAATAATAATAATATGGGAGCCAATTAATAATAATAATTATATCATACAACAATACAAAAGATGAAAAAATATGAAATATGGCCTTTAACTGATCCCTAATCTACATACACACACACACGCACACACACACGCACACACACACACACACTCTACCTCGCTGGTCAACAGCTCCCCTTACTGGCAGAGTCTGTAACTGCATGTTAACTCACAACACACAGGGTTATTGCATGACGATGGCAAGTTGCTTCACACAAACACACTTTTAATCACTTTCACACAAGCACACAAGCACACACACACACACACTCAAAGAATGACGTCAGTTTTAGAAACAGAAAAACTCAGTTGGGTTCAGATGTGTGAAGTTTGCACTTCAAAAGAAATGAGTTATTTTTGTGTCCACGCTGATTTTTTTCACCTTCAAAATATAGCGGTTTGATGAATTTCCCTCTTCAAAATAAAATGGTTTGATGAATTTCAGCTCGTTTTAGAGAGAAAACACATTTAAAAGAGCTGTAATGACTAAAGAGCACAAAAAAGCTCAGATTTGTCCGTCCCTCGAACTCTCCTCACTCTTAAATTCAGTTTCCAGACTTTTTTGTTGAAGTTGAAACTATCTGGATGTTTGTTTTATAATTTTATTTCAGCACATCTCACAGCAGAACTCCAGCACTGAGAGGTGTTTTGGTTAAATAAACGCTTCCATGTTGTTTCATTTTTTTTATTACAAACTTGGTTAAACAACTTTGGGGTGGAACTAAAAAACTTGAATTTAAGAGCTAAATCATCATGAGTGGCGTCTCACACGGCTGGATTTCTGCTGATTTTACACTTTTAAGTAACTCTTCATCCTCTGCCGACATGTTCAGGTGAAAATCCTCATTTTTGGACCGAAAGCTCAAAAACACTCCAAGCTTCTGAACCAAAACCAGCTTAAGTAACAAAAACTCTCTGTTCTGTCTGAAACTTTTCCACAGTAACATTTTCATCAACATGGCTGCACAGAGCGACTTCCCGACCGCTGTTACATCACTTCCTGTTTCACCACGAATAACATGATTGACACAAAAATACAGATTTTCTTTTTTAAAACTTTTTTTTCTAAAATATTTTAAACCTCTGACCGTGACCTCGCCGGCTGCCAGCGCCGACTCAGGACCAAACTCTTTTTTTTTTTTTTAACTCTGATTTCTTCAACATAATAACCCAGATCCAGAACTTTGCAGACCAGCAGTACGACCCCAAACCTGAGCGGCTTCTTTTTTAATGATGGCAGGAAAACTGAAACTGAATTTAGTTCTTCACAGATAAAAGTTTTAAAACTATGTTTATTCTGAAAAGGATTAGAGCCACAGTTTAAAAAAAAATAAATAAACAGAGTTCCGATCTTTTGATACTTTTCTGACTTTTTTCACAGAACTCAGATTTCATTTTCAACCCTCCTATTATCCTTGGGGTCAATTTGACCCCATTCAATGTTTATCATTTAAAAAATAATACTTTTCCTAATTTGATGGGGACAATTGATTTAGAATAAAATTATCATGCTGTTATATTATTAATGTGCTGTACACATATTGCATGCATCGGTGTTTCTCTGGGGTCAATTTGACCCCAAGCTGTTTTGGCTGTGTAAAACTTGCCTGTCTTTGTGTGTGACCTAACATCCCCATACCTACAGGTGCAGAGTTGATACTTTTGAGTTGATACATAGTAGGGAGGTGGAGAAAACAACTATTCCCTCCAGAACTTTGATACTTCTCATGGTGTGGACATGTGGGAAACAACTTGACTTGTAAGCTCCTGATAAAATGAGGAAGCCACTCTAGGTTTGCAAGTTGATCACACCCAAGTCTTTCCAACTACAAATACCTCTGAAATGATAATCTCAATACAATATTTTCAATTGATGGTTATACGAAGAGCTCGAATAATGAAGGTCTTCAACATGGCGGACTGTATGCCTGGTGAGACATGGGAGAGGGGGAAACAATATTTTCATGAGAACCTTCCTGTGACATGGGCATGACGGTGTGTGTGACAGTAAATCTGAGAAGATTTGTATGAAAACTTTAAAAGTAGAAGTAATGTATACTAAAGTTTGGCCTATTGGTGGCGCTAGAGAACAGGTCAAATCGTTGGGGGGTAATTTATGTACTCAACAACTAAACAAAGCACCTAACAAAAAATCTTGGTCAACAATTACATGTAAATCATTTTCTGGAGGCAAATAAACCTGAGGTCAGATTGTTCCTAAGGGTAAAATGTACAATATTCAATGATAATAGGAGGGTTAAAAATCGGTTATTGTTGGAAATTCTCCGTCCAAGTTAAAAACTTTATTTTTCTATAAAAACATGATAAAAGTAAAATTTTAAAATTCTGATAAAAGTCAGATTCAGACTTTATTACAGCGACTGAACTCTTCCCCCCAGTTTTTATTTCAGGTAATTTTGAGGTTAAACTTGAAATTTCCCCTTTTCTTTCTTTCTTTTTTTTTTTTTTTTTTTTACATAGTTCTTCAGTCATAAGTCTGAGTTAACTTTCATTCTCAACATTTTCTCAGAATTATGACAGGTAATTTTTTCTCAAAAATTTGACCTTTTAACACAAAATTGGGACTTTTTTCAAAAGTGACGTTATAATTTTTTTTGCTTTAAGTTCATTTTTTTAAAGTTTTTTTTTCTCAAAAATAGTTTTGTTCTCAAAGATATTTATTTTGTTAATTCTCCCAGAATTCTGACTACAGCAAAAAAAGACTTTTCCATTCCTAACTGACTTTAGTTTAGAATTTCAACTTTTTTCCCCTTAAAATTAGACTTCATTTAACTTGGAATTTAGACTTTTTTAAATTCTTACTTTCTGTGAAACTTTTAAAATAACATCAGAATTTGTCTTGATTAAAAATGGACTCTTTTCTTGTTTCTGACTTTTAGCAGAATTTTGTATTTTCCCCAAAACTATTTAAAAAAAGATGAATTTTGTTTTATCTCTGAATTTTGTGCCTTAAGTCAGAATCAAAATTTAAAGGTTTCTCCTCTTAAAAAGTGGCCGTAGTTTATAACCAGTTTTATAATGTTTGATTGTTGTTTCCAGCATTCAAACTTCTGTGTTAAGGCAGACTGAGGTGACTTTAAAGAGGGCTCTTATTTTGGTGGGGACCAAACTGCCATCATTAAGAAATAATTATAAAATGATGAAGCTGGGAAAGCCGATCATCATTCCTGTTTTCTCTCTTTAGTTTCATGAATTTTTCGTCTTGAATTCCTGATGGTGTTTTTGTGTCACAGTCTTCAGATCCTTCAGTAACTCCATTAAAAACAGACAGAATAATAAAAACTTGAACTGACGACGGACACGGTCACCTCAGTGCTGAAGGGGGCGCCAGCGTCACGGACAGATATCTACAGCTGAAGCTCACAGACAACACATGCAGCTGTAGCTTTAAAGCCGTTTCTCATTTACACGCAGTTTGTTTTTCTTTTTCTGTTATTAAATATTTTAAGATTTTTTTAAAGATAAAATCTGAGAAATTATTTACAGACCGACTAAAACCACTTTGGATTAAAAAATAAAGCTTCTGTATAGTCCGAATAATCGTCTTCAAAAGGGTTTAAAATTACAGAAAAATATCACTATACCCTCTGCCTCTGGGTGGGGCTTAAACATATAAGTGCAGACAGAGGAGGCAGGGCTGATGGCTGTCAATCACAGTGACTGGGCTTATAGGGCAAGACACCGTATAAAGCTTCGCTTTCAATGTCATCACTTCAGTCTTTTTATCATTTAAATGAAATTACAGACTTTTAATAAAAAATGAACTGTTTTTTTAATATCAGGCACAAAGAGGAGCTTTTTTATTTACAGACACGACGACTGCGATAAATCTCACCATCACTGATCAGTTCTTTAATAGAGGGTCTACAGGGTTCGGACCTTTGACTGGACCCGATTCATACGCTGCACAGAACACTCTGAGAGGGCGGATTTTTAATATTCAACATTTATCTTTAAATTTAAGAACTGCAGTGTGTGCTGCACCGTCGCCGTGTGGGGACATCTATAAAGGCGGTCTTTTAGCTTCTCCTCCATTATCAGCTCTCTCTTTTTTTGGGGTAAATTCAACAGGTCACTCACCAGAGACAGCTGGAGTGAAATGGAGCCCACGCAGGACCTCTGTCCAAGTGTCACACCACCGCTCAGAAAAGGAAATCTGTCTTTTTAAAAAAATCATCTGAACCTCCACAACTGTGACGTTTCTCTCTCTGTATCTTTAGCTGCTCAGACGCACAAATCCACACCTGCCGACCTCACAGATCAGAGTTCGGGAGTCTGGTGTAGGTTTTTAGTTCAGGACTTTTCTTTGCAAACCTACACATAATTTGACAAACTTTTCATGAATGAGACTCCTTGATTCCAGTCACTGTCCCGGACATAGACTGTATATAGAACAGACGCTGTCTGCCTCCTCTCTGGGTGAAGCCACTCTGAGAACAGCACCCTCTGTTGATGGGCTGCAGTATAGGTCATAAATCCCACCTGCTTATGGAGCTGTGGACAAAATTTATAAATTAATGACACAAAATATATTTTTTTCTCCCCCCTGCTTGTGATGTTAACATGTAGTTATTGTAAGACTGGTTTGTGCTCAAGTCCTCTTTTTTTCTGTGAAGCTCCATTTTTAAAAGTTATTAGGGGGTTCATGTTTTCTATGATTGACATTTGATACAGCCTACGGGCTTACAAAGATTGCGTAGCTCACCCAGTAGATACGCTCTTTGAGCCGAGTGTTATCACAGCGGCTCTTGGCGACTCTCCCGACAAATGCGTACAATGCTACTGCGCAATGTTGGTTTCAGGAAATGGAGAAAAATCACAGAATTACCAAGAGCTTTTTGGCTTTAAATCCATAAACTGGCGGGAGGCGGAACCAAGTTGTCCATAGTATATACAGTCTATGTTGCCTGAGCAGACTGGAGTTTTTAGCTTTCACTTGTTACCATGGTGATCTAACTGGGTCAGACAGAGTCAGCTCTGTGACTCTGAAAACCTAAACTTGTCATCTTTCCTCCCTGTGCGCTCGTTTGGCTTGAACGTTCAAGTTTTCTGTGCGGTGACCCCGCCTACTGTGATGTCACAGTGACCCCGCTCACTGTGGCCTCACCTGCATACCCTCTATTAGAACTCTAATGATCAGGTATAGTTTGAAACGTCCCTCACGTTGTTCCACAGCTGTGATGGTTTGCTGCTGAAGGTCCAGTTTTTTAATCTGAAACTTCTGATTCGATGACTTTTTTTAATGAAGAGAAGAAGAACTTCATTGATCCCTGATGGGAAATCAGTTACTTTCTGTTTTTCCTTTTTTAAATGTTTAGGTTTCCTGTTTTTTTTGTTTTAAAGCTCCTGTGATGTGTTTTTCATGTTTACAACAGGTGAGGAGTTTTCAGGTTGTGGTTTCTGATTTTCCTCAGCTGTTTTTACATCATAAAGATCTGAGTGTAATGGTCAGCCGGATGACATTCTCTGCATTAAGGATTAACTGTTTGGTCCACAGGGGGCCGCCAAAGTTAACACAAATGAAAAGTTCCTCACAGGCACTTTAAGCGTTAGTCTCCAGAATTATTTCTGTTACTGGACAATTGTTTTGGACTTTTTTTGTTGTTGTATGTTTTTCACTATTTTGATCAATAAATGTCAAAAATATTTAAATGTTATTTTTCTTTAAATGCATATTCAGTTTTTATGCCTTTATAAAAACGTGCAGTCAACTGTTCTGGATTGATTGAGTCCGGTGAACGGACATTAAAATAGGACGACCTGAGGATAAAACCTTTTTTTTTCCTTTTTGACTGTTTAGTTTGGAAAATGACTCTTCAGGGCGTGTTTAACGTTAAAATCTTTAGAAGTCTTTTTACATCAGTAACAACAACCTTGAAACGTCTCCTCCTCCTCCAAATCTGCACAACATTCTGCTTCACTGCAGGAATGCATCACTGACACTGAAATGCAGCCGGTCTGCATATCTACAGGCAGGAGGATTCGCTGCATCTGGAACATTTCTGTGTCAGGGGGGTGGACGAGACTCAGCTGTAACAGACAAACACACATATACACATACACATACATACACAAACACACAGACACAGCAGCAGGCACACGAGGCTAAAACACACTGAGCTGCAGGTTCGAGCCTGAAATAGGATGATGCTGTAAAAGTGCACAGGTTTGTTGGAGCGTCTTTGTGATGGAGGAGAACTTATTTAAGACTCTCAGCTGTTTGTACGCTGAATTATTTCATGTTGGAATTTTTCTCAGTTTGATTGTTCAGCGTTCCTCTGCAGCGCGTTTCAGACTGCAGCACACTGAAGTTCTGAGGATGAGGCCCGTCTATCTGGCAGTGATACCGAGGTTCAGAGATGGACCCGCTCTCTGTGATCATTCAGGACTCTAAATTCTCAAACCTCAACTCTGCAAAATGACTCACTTTGTTTTTCTGAAAACTTTGACACGGTGAGCTGAGCGGATGTGATTCTGGGCGAAGGTCAAAGTTTCGTACGTCAGTCAGTGATTCCACCAAAAACCCTGGCAGTCAGCGATCTCTAGAGGCCGCCGTGAGGACGTGCAGAGAGAAGGAAAGATGGTTTCTTCAGGATTTGATAAACACGACTGTCGACCATCAAAAAAAGGACATGAGATGAAAAAGGTGTTTCAGGTAATGAGCTGTCACTCACGTCACGATCAGCTGATGTGCTGTGGGCGGAGCTTGACTTATGGCCTGCCTGAACTAACACCACACTTGGTTTTCTGTCCTCTAAACTGTTTCTACAACAATTCCTCTCGGTCTGTGAAGTTTTAGGAGACACCTGGATCGGCTCCTGCAGTTTCAGAGCGATGAAAGCTAAGAGGAGGAAATACCTGTAGGTAGGGCTGGGCAATAAAACGATAACGATATATATCTAAAATTAATTTCCCTCAATTTTGATATAAAACATGGTCAATAGTTGTTATTCTGACATGTTTTGGTAGACTGTAGGAATAGCAAATGAAAAGGGAGGTCGCTACGGGTCCGCTTCGCGTTGAACCAATCATGTGCTGAATTAGAACCAAGTATCAAACAACTGCGTAGTAGCAGACAACAGCTACACCCAACCATAGCACTTAAACAGGTGAAGCCGACAGCACTGTTGGTGAGAAAAAAAGAAAATGAGTGCTACCCCCAACAGACATGACGATGAAGGCTCAACAGATGATGACATCGTCGACAACACTGGCACAAAAACAATGGTGTTGTGGAGGTATTTTGTTTTTTTGAGGTTGGACATGAAGCAGAGTAATGTGTACTGTAAATCATGTCGAGTACATGTTCTCACAAAGTTGCAGGCGACCATTCAGTCCGCTTTGTCTCCTCTAAGAGACAAAAAGACCTCACAGATGCAGTAGATTATTGTATCGCAAAAGACATGCTACCAATAAACACTGTTAAATTTCATTTTTTATATCGTGATATATATCGATATTGACTGATATGAAAAAAATATATCTGATGAACTTTTTCACATATTGCCCAGCCCTACCTGCAGGAATCTCAGAGAAGAGGGAACTCAAACAGCTGCTTTTTGTTGGTGGAGGTGGTGAGTTAGTTTTCGGTGGTAAACACTGACTGATGTAGAAGCTGAAACAGCTGATCCTGCAGAGACCTGAAAACACGGTTTCCTTAAGCTCTCGGTTCAGTCTCTGAGTTTGAAAACGGCACCTGAGTGATCACAGAGAGTTGGAGCTGCTGATTTTAGACACACAGACGTCATACAGACTGACCTTTGACCTCTAAGCACGTTTTTCAGCACTATCATCACTCCTTGGGGGTGACGTTGAAGAAGGAAAAATAGATAGACCTTTAAATCATGGCTAAGTTCCTGTCCTGCTGCTCATCCATCGGGGGGGTTAAACCCGGATCTCCTCCCCGGGGTTGGGATCTTCCAAGCGTTGCTGGTTTCTTACATAAAGCTGACGTCAGGTGAGCGTTTGATTCCTGCGTGCTTGCGTTTTTGCAAGTGTATTTTTCATTCACATGCAGATAAGACTCGAACAAGCTAATGCCGAAAAAGAGAAGCATCATCGTCTTGACTTCAAGCTTGGCGAGATTGTTTTTTTTTTTTTTTTTCAGAAAAGTGCCTCCAACAGAAACGTTCCCTCCTCCTCCTCCTCTTCTTCTTCTTCAGTTCCTCCTGAAGTCTGTGGATCCTTTACTAAAGTCCACGCCTCGCTCTGCCTCAGACCGTTTTTAGGGGGAGTGGTGTTTCACCTGGTCCGTCCCACCTCCCACTGGGTGGTCATCTGTTTTTTCACCGATTCCCGCCAAGCTCTCCGGAGCAGAAAGTCACGGGTCACTTCAGCCGGTCGGATCTGAAGGAGTCCTCCACAGCCGGGTCGGCCAGCATCAGGTCGCTGTCCAACATGTCCAGAGCCAGAGGGTCCATCCTGAGCGGGTCGTCCAGGGAGAAGGGGTCCATCTCAAAGCCGGGGACATGAGACAGAGCGCTGGCAATCTCTTTCGACAGACCAGGAGGGGAGTCTCCTGTGGGGACAGAAACGGGACGGGTCAAAGCTGAGGACACTGAACCTGGACCTGAACATAGACCTGCATCACCTTTATTCCACATGGCTCTATATGACCAAGTGGAGTAATTTCAAAAAGACTAATGTAAGAAAAATTCAGGGGCCCGATGGCATGAGTGGCCGTTTACTCAAATGTTGTGCCCTATTCTTAAGTAGAATCTTTACATTCATCTTTCAGCAGTTTTTGTTATCTAATAAAGTTCCCTCATTATGGAAAGAGTCCATTATCGTCCCAGTGGCAAAGGTACCTTCACCAGAGATATTGAATGACTATCGTCCTGTGGCCTTCACGTCAGTAGTGATGAAAAGTTTTGAGCACTTCGTGAAGAAGAGCTTACCTTCTATGACACAGGCAGTGATTGATCCACTCCAATTTGCTTATCAACCCAGGAAAGGAGTGGAGGAAGCTGTGGCAACATTGTTGCACTTGGTTGTCAGGCACCTTGAGGGTAGGAAAACACATGCACGCCTTTGCTTTGCTGATTTTTCATCAGCCTTAACTGTATGTAACCTTGTGTTTTTGCCCACAGGCTTTGAAAAATACCCAACATTGATTTTGGAACCATATGCTGGCTAGTTGATTTTCTGACAGCAAGACCACAGAGAACTCGTGTCAATGATTGTCTGTCTGAGACCCTGCTGTGCTCCACAGGCTCACCTCAGGGGTGTGTTTTATCACCTTTATTGTTCATGCCTTACACTAATAAATGTAAGAGTTTGTTCGAATTGAGGATCACCGTAAATTTTGCAGATGATTCTGTGCTCACAAGCTTTCTGCGAGATCATGAGGATGGAAACGGTCCTGTGCTTGACGTTTTTGTTAGATGGTGTAACGATTCTTTTCTGCAGCTTAACGTGTCAAAAATGAAAGACATGATTCTTGATTTCTGGAAGAATTGACCTGCCACAGCTCAAACCTTGGTTATTGGTAAAGCTGTAGAAGTAGTCAGTCAGTACAAATACCTCGGTACCTTTCTGGATGACAAACTGTCCTTTGAGACCAACTCAGATGCCATCGAAAGGCAAATCAGAGGTTATTTTATCTGAGGAAATTGACGTGTTTTAATGTTGACAAAAAGCTTCTTAAAATGTTTTACTCTTCTTTTACTGAGTCCATTTGAACCTTTTCTAGGATATGTTGGTTTGGTAATCTCAGTATCACAAATAAAAATAAGCTGAGAAACTTTGTGAAACTTTGCTAAAAAGCTACTGGCATGAGTCTGAATGATCTTGACTCTGTTTTTAAATCCAGAGTCACTCAGAGGGCAAAGGTCATTCTGGCAAACCCCCTCCATCCTCTCCATACAGAATTTCAGCTTCTCCCTTAAAAAAGAGAAGGTTCACTTTTACCTGCAAAATCAAATCAAACAGGTATCTCAAATGTTTCATCCCAACAGACATTGGTATTTGGAATAAGCTGTAGGTGAGATTGATGGGAACAATACATCCATGAAATTCTGCTGACTCTGTGTATTCACATATATTTTATTTATCTATTATTTCTGCTGTATGCTTTCTTTCTGTGATGTGAGGATTGTGTGTGTTTTTATCTTCTGTTGCAAACCAAATTGGCCTTAGGGGACATTAAAGAATTTCTAATCAAATCAAATCAAGGTCAGACCCTCTCAGACACCCACCTGTGAGGATGATGTTGGGCACGTTGTGTCGTCCGTCCCCCCCGCTGTAGTTCTGGTTCTGGTTATTGAGGAGTTGCTGGTCCCCAGGGTCTTGCAGGTCTAAGGAGCCCTGGGTGTTGGAGGGGAACTGGTTCTTGTCAGTGATGCTGCAGCTCAGACCGCCGTGGTTCAGGGACAGACAGTCACCCTGGTTCTCTGCAGAGAACTGGATCAGAAAGAGACCACTTAAAGAAGATCTGGTGAGACTGAACTTAACGGAGGACCAAAAACTGGATAAGGTCGAAGAATGATTCTCTTTGGTTTCCTGCTGACCCCCTAAAACCAATCAGAGCGACTGATCCTGGTTCTGGTTCTGCAGTTAGAAGGTGGTCAGCAGCTGAAAAGAGAGGTTCAGTGTGGAGCTGCTGGATCATCTGACCTTCAGAAGGACTAAGAGGCCAGTCTGAGAAACCAGACCTGACCTGCAGACCTGAGAACCCTGATTTCCCTTAACTCCATCAACTCCTGAGATTTTGTTTCCAAGAGGTCGGAAGTCGAAAAGAGGTGAGCACGCTCAGACTAACAGTCATGTGACGTTGACCTTCGAAAAAGGAGAACTGTTGGTGGAGGCTAAAAAGGCCATCAGTAGAAAAAAACAGATGCAGCAAAAATCGAGGATTGGGTAGAGGTTTTGAATCAATTTTTATTTTAAAAAATCTTTTCTTTTTTTTTTTTTTATTTAAGAATAAATCTTAAAAACTGACTTACATGTGATGTGTATTTTTTGGGGACATATGGTTCCTGGAATAGTCAGTAGATAATCGTAATTGTTTAACTGTTTTACTGGTGTTAAAAATGCAAATTAAATATCGAGAAAATCGACAATATTGCAGAATCACAGTTTAAATCGAATTGGCATCCAAAAAATCGTAGAAGAATCAAATCGGGAGAAAAGCATATCGTCCCGGCCCTACATACAGTACAGGCCAAACGTTTGGACACACCTTCTCATTCAACGCATTTTCTTTATTCTCATTACTATTTTAATATTAGATTCTCAGTGAAGGCATCAAAACTATGAATGAACACATGTGGAATCATGTGCTTAAGAAAAAAGTGTGAAATAACTGAAAACTTGTTTTATATTTTAGATTCCTCAAAGTAGCCACCCTTTGCTTTTTTGATAGCACTGCAAACTTTTGCTGTTCTCTCAATGAGCTTCATGATGTGAGCCTTGTCAGGGTTACTTCGTGACTGACAGAGTCAGTCACTAAGTGCTTCTGTCATCAAGAGCAAAGGGTGGCTATTTTAAAGAAACTAGAATATAAAACATGTTTTCAGTTATTTCACACTTTTTTTACAAGTACAAAATTCTACATGTGTTCATTCATAGTTTTGATGCTTTCAGTGATATTCTACAATGTAAATAGTCATATAAAAAAAGACAGAAAAGACATTGAATTAGAAGGTGTGTCCAAACTTTTGGTCTGTACTGTAGATATAGAATGGAGAAGCTGACTTTCTCATCTTGACTAAAAACAGAAACTTTGAAAAAACTACTGGAAAAACTGGGTTGATTTTGTGTCTCAATTGAGAGCAGACTTTGTGCAGTAAAGACAGTGGCCCACATTCATCAATTTTGTGTAGATCTGAGCGCAGGATTCATAGTTCGAAACGACACACGTGAGACTTATGAAAAGGTTTGTATCTGACCAACCCCAGGGTACGTATGATCGTCAACTGAGGTCAAACATGAAAGAGGAGAAATATTAGAAAGATGCAAAACTTTTCTAAGCTGAAAGTGGATATCCTCACATCTGTGGTGGAAACTAACAAGGATTTTCTCTCTGGAAGCATCAAAACTGGTATAAAAGCAGTCCAGAAAACTCCTGTCTGGAGCAGGATTATGGTGGCCGTGAACAGCGCGGCTGCGGAATAGTGGACAGTGGCTGAAGTTTGAATAAATCATTAGTCAATAAGTTGCTCATGATGATAAATTAATATCTCATAAATGCCTTATATTTTTTATTGCCATTACATAGGGTAGATTGCTCCTATTATTGAAAGCATTTAGTTTTAATTTGTTGCGTCTTTGTAATGTAGAGCAGACTGGAGAGTCTGACAGAGGCTGAACAAAAATAATTATTAACGTCACTAAACAGTGTGTTGCTGCCCCTGAGGCACATTTTTATGGATTTCTATTGGATTTTTATCACTGATTAAATAGCAAGAGCACTTTCTAAACTTATACTTTACATGTCAAAATCCATCGATGAGGTCCTGTCTCCTCTGTGCAGCACCTTTGTGGAGTCTCTCCTTGTTATTGTTCTCCAGGCATCAGGTCTTCACATTGCACCAGCACAGCCAACGGCACTCCATTCACCAGTGCAACATTGTGCAAAACTGTACTGGCCCAAATGATGTCCCACACCCTTTCAGGAGTGTACAACAACATCCCCGCTGCTAGGCCAAGACAGAGACACCTGCCTTTTAGGAGTCAGACACAGCGCTCCACAGTGGCGCGTGTGTGCGTAATATTGAAACGGCGCTCCTGCTCTGTGGCAGTGTTTCTGGGCAGAGTTATCAAATAGGCCTATTCACCAAGGACATAACAAATTTATTTGATTTTATTTATGTCTTAATCTTTAATGAAATCTGTCTGATTGTGCTTAATGACAGGTTTGAGGTTTGTTTATCAATTATTTAGAGACAGACATTTGCTGCACCGCAGATCCACACTGACTCAAGCTTGCGTACACGATGTCAGACCTGTCGTGAGACTTGGTCTGACTTCCCCTTGGTTCAGGCTACAAACTTGTTCATTTGTTTATTATGTTTACCTTCCAACAGGAGAAAAGAGACAATGAAAGAGGGGAGTGGAAATTCTACTTCACAGTTATATATACAGTTGAAAATTTGTTCAATATATGTAAAATGTTGATGAAATATTGATGTGTAAAATCAATAAAAAAGAAAATGGAAAAAAAAAAAAAGAACAACTTCTACTGTCATCCTCAGATTTTAGACTCTGGGCTCCACATTTCTATATTTTTGAGGGTCCAGATGACAAACCGTGTCCACTAGGTGTTCCTGTCTGACTGAGTCTGTAAACACTGACATCATCCCGCCTTCAGCCACTGATATCTATACTCCACCACGACATCATGTTCAGGTGTGTTACTCACCTGCTGGTTGGATTTTCCCGTCAGCTGCAGACTCAGGTATGGGTCGTCCAGGAGAGAGTTGAACAAGGCATCCTGGGAAAAAACAGCAGAAATTAACAATCACCAAACAAAAACATAACGTTTATTATCGTCATGTGACACAGAAACACTGTTCTCATCAGCCAATAGGAGCCTTCGATCCAGAAGGAAGCAGAGACCCCATGGGGGGGGGGTCCCACGAGAGAAAGCTCCACATGAGTCTGTGTTTGAGAGTCTTAAATGACCGGGACTTCCCTGACGGTGTAACTTTAGGATCTGGGAGACTCCCAGACTCTGGACTCGAAGGAGGCTTGGATATCAGAGAGTCTGTAAACAAAGACTTCTCCTCAACAGACCTCTAAATCTGACACCCAGACCTTCTTCTTCCTTTTCTCTCCATCAGGGTGTTCTTGCTGTGAGGCGACAGTGCTAACCACTACAACACTGTGCCGCCCTTCTTTCAAAACCAAACCACTGAAAACGATGTAGTGCATAAGCCAAGCCAGTAAGTGGCGCTGTAACGCTGCACAGGAGATGCACAAAAGACAGAGGAAGAGTAAAGAGCATGTGTTTAAAGGTTGTTTCGGCACCATAAAAGAGTAACACTGTGTGTCACATGATCGTTTCCAGAGATGCAGATAGACATCCACAAGGAGATGAAATGGTCGTCGTTTATGGATTTATACACTCTCTGACCCATTTACAGTCACCTGACACGCCGATACGACAAAAAACTTTTGCATTTACTCCTGAATTCATTTCAGTGTGGGCGGGTTGATACCGCCTTCAGACAGACTTTGCAGGGGGAGTGGTTTGCTCTTCATCTGAAACTGTGAAATCTTACCAATTCCACCTGACTGACTCATTTTTGTCCGATTTAACCACAAAATTATCGCCTTCTTTTGTAAACGCCATGTTTGTTTACACTGGTGTGTGTGGGAACTGGGGAGGAAGGGGTAGCCTACGGTGGCCTGGAAGGGCGAGACATGATAGAGAGGAAAATCAATTTGATGATTTTAATTTTTTTAACATCGTCATTATCAAATAATCTGATTTGGATTTAAAATCGATGAATCATGCAGCCCTAGGATAAGTGTAGATGTTTGATTGTTAGCTGACCTTCATAGAGAGACAGAGATCCTCCTCAGATCTCTGCTGATATCTTGTGTTCCTCCTGCTTTTGCTCTCCATACAGACTCCTCTCCCTGCTGATCCCTGATTGGTTAATAATCACCTCAACTTTAAGTCAAAGTCTTTACCTGGACTCTGCTCACTGTTTTACATGCATACAATGTTACAATTTGTGTTGTATATAGTGTAAATACTTGTATAGTATCTCTTTATTTTTACTTATATATTATTTATCTCCTCTTTTTACTGTATTTGCACTGGAGGACAGTGACAAAAGCAATTTCTACTTCAAAGACTATTGAAGTATTTCTGATTCTGATTCTGAGCATTCACAGCCTGTCCTATATTTTCATGCCGATAGAACACAGATAAACTTTGACCTAACGATATATAGCATTGCTCCTGTAGCTCCGTTTCCTGAAATAGCTCCAGTTTGTTGAGCTCTGGTCTCTTCGGGCGCTCTGAGCTCCAGGACTACAAACTTTGATCCCTCATCTCACCACATCTGTTTCAGGGAAACATTTGAGTTTTGGAAAACTGATCTACAACGACCTGATCTCATAAAAACACTGACCCTGCTGTCAGTGTTTTTATGAGAGGCGAAACGTCTCTATCAAGTCCAGTTGTCCTTTCCAAAAGAGTGTTAGATTTTGATATTACGTCCATGCGGTGACTCCAACTACAGAGTCCTGATGCTCTTAAACCTGTATATAAAGTTCAGCATTATTGGAGCCTTCACATAAGACATGGACTCTCATGATCCTCAGACCATCAGGGAGTCTCTTCACCTATTCTCTAAAATCATCACTGAGTCAAAATTAAAATGTAAAAATAATCCACTCAGAAAAAGAGTCAGTGTGTTAGTGCGGTGGTTTGTTTGTGTGCCTCCATCATAAAATGACTGCAGTACACACTGCGGCCTGTGGGGTCACTGTTGGGACTTGTCTGAGTGGTTCTGATGGTGTCACTCACGTTGTAGAAGTCTGTAGCCAGGTTGTGGCTGATCTGCTGGAGCTGAGGGAGGCCGCCCGCTCTCTGCTGCTCCGCCTGCTGCTCCGCTTCCTGTTTGACGTGACACTGAGAGGACGACAGGCTCTGGATGCACGGGTCCATGGCCCTCTCGTTCTTGATCAGCTGTGTGTTGGCCTGCTGCCCCATCAGCCTCTGCTGCTGCTGCATGGAAAAAACACAATCAACACTGTTAGAGAGTGTGGTTTATTTAAAAGTGACCATCAATCTGCTTCGTCATCATCTTCATCATCCTCCTTGTGTGTGTGTGTGTGTGTGTGTGTGTGTGTGTGTGTGTACCGTTCCAAAGTGCTGCTGCTGCATGTGCTGGTTGTGTGTGTTGCGGAGGTTCTGCAGGTGGAGCTGCTGCATGGCTTGTGACTGCTGCTGCTGCTGCTGCTGCTGCTGGGGCGGAGCGTTGGGGCGCTGCTGCTGCTGCTGCTGGAGGCGGTGCAGCTGCTGGTGGTGGTGCTGGCCCAGCTGGGAGGGCTGCTGGCCGGGCTGGGAGCCCTGCAGACCGGGGAGAGGCTGATGGGAGCCTTGCTGGTGCTGGTGGGACTGGCTGAGCGGGTATGGAGGAAGCCTCTGGTCCAGAGGCAGTTTGCTGGTGTCCAGAGGGACGCCCTGCAGGACGGAGATGGATGGAGGACAGAGTGGATGACGGTCAGACACATGAAAGTGGGACTCATGAGAACAAAATGAAATGATAGGTGTGAAGGGTCCTGGTCTGATCAGACCAGGACTTGGGTCCTCATTTATAAAACTGAACATAGGAAAGCTCACTACAGGTGGCATACGCCGGAAACACAGAAAATGCGTGCGCGCAAAAACATTCAGATTTATGACAGAGTGCGCACGCACATCCTACACCTGTTTCCGTTTATAAATCACAGTCAACTCTAAAGTTGTCGCACATGAGAGAACGCTTTGCTCCGTCCATATTGAGCCTATAAGAGGGAAGGTGAACACCCTGTATAAATATTCAATGAGAGGCTGTGGGTCATAAAGGACGGAGACGGAAAACGGGCGAAATAAAGAAACCTCAATCGAAACACTAATAGGTGAGGTGGACTTATTTGGTGGGTACAGTGTTGGCGTCACTAATGCCAGAAAGGTTTAAGAGTAGAGACATGATGTTGCAGATGTTGTGAATAAGGTCGCCTCAGAGGGTTGGACTATGGCCGAAATCAAAAAGAAATGGTCCGACATCAAAACGGAGGCGAAAAGGCGTGTTGCCCTCTACAGAAAAAGTGTCTGATCAACAGGTGGGTGACGGGGCACACTGAAGCTCCCCCCCACAGAGGAAAAGCTGGTGGGGATCATTGAGAAATCCCTCCTGAGCGGTGTGGTGATGGAGGTGGAGGTGGACACAGATACATCGAATGTGCTTGAGGCACCAAATGCTCCATAGGCACAGAATGAAGGTAATTGTATTCTCTTGCTTGAAATAGTAAAAATGACAATTTACTAACATTTGGAACGTAATTCACAATGGTTAATTTTAAAGTTAAATAATATGTCTTTTCAGCCTCTGGGTGTTCCAGCTGGGTCGGCTGGGGTGCTGCAGGGGTTTAGGGAAATCAAATGCATCTCAATAGACATCGGCGCATCTCTGAAACAGTTAGTGAACAAATAAAAAAATGTTTTGCCTCTTCCTCTTGTGTGTGTCATACGTGTCCAGTCGCTGGCACACAGCAGAAGATCCGCTCCCTCCGGAGTCTTCCTTGCGCTATGTCCTCCAGCAGCGCCCAGATAAGCCATTTGTGCGTCTTTACGCATTGTGATTGCGTGCCTTTTTATATCCAACCAGAACTTAATTTCCTGATCAGCTACAGATGTTGAAGCTTAATTGATCAGTCATTTTGCGCAGTGATCATGTCATTTTGATTACAATTATTAATATAAAACTTTATTTGTATGACACATTTTGGGAACATGGTTACTGTCTGCCTTATTGTTTATGTGAATGGATTTCACAATGTATAAGGTTTGTTTCACAATAACGGATCATAATTGATTCAGTAATCAGGCTATGTGTGTAGGTGTGTGCGTGCGTTTGCTCGCGCACTCCCTGGGGCATCAATATACATTTTTCCTCCTTAGTTTTTGCAAATATATCCTTAATGTATGATATGAGTTATGAAATGTGTAATATTCGATTATTTCACACAAATATATCAATTTCACATTTCGCTGTCTTTCATTTCATCCTTCTACTGTTGGGGTTGCAGTTTCTCCAGATTTTGTGCGTAGAGCAGTGTCAGAGCTGCCGTGGAGGTGCGCACATTCTTCTGTCAAGTTTGCTTTTTATAAATCCCAAATGTTGATTACAAGTGGCATGTGCTTTCTTTTGTGCGTACTCAGCATTTATAAATGAGGCCCCAGGACCTGAAGCAGGTCATGTGGTGTAAAGAGAGTCAGCTGGTGTTACCTGTGTGATGGAGGACAGGGTGGGGGAGATCGTGGGGGAGAACTGTTTGGAGTGATGCCTCCTCACCTCCCCTCCCATGGGCAGGATGAGCGGGGAGAGCTGCGCCCGTCTCCGTGGCGATGTGCTGAGTGACGACTGGCCCTGTCCACTCAACAGCGGCGAGTAGTTGGAGGAGCAGGAGCTAGTGCCGCCCACGCCGCTGCTGTTGTAGCTGGGGTTACTGCTGGACGCCGACTGCAGGGAGGAGTTACTGAGGGAGGAGTGCAGCGATTGGCTGCTGAGGGAGGATGGCAGAGAGGGGGAAGAGCTCAAGGAGGACTGCAGGGAAGGGTTGCTTAGAGACGAGTGCAGGGAGGCGGAGCTTAAGGAGTTGGAAAAGGAGTGGCTGCTGAGGGAGGACTGGATGTTGGGGTTGCTTAGAGAAGACTGCAGGGAGGGGTTACTGAGCGTGCTCTGTAGAGATGCCATGAGACCTGAGGAGACAAAACAGAGAAGGGTCAGAGCAATGGATTAAACAGAGTGGCGACAACTTCAGATCTCGCCGCCGGAGCGGTCACGTGGTTCATGTACCCCTCCATAGTTCCAAAGCAGCCTGCACTGTCCATGCTCTTCAACGGGGCAGACTGCAGTGAGCGCGCATTTAAGAGGTAAATATTAAAATTAACCGTAAAAAGTCAACATTTGCAACTCTTATTGGATTACTGTATACACGTCAAAGTCACGTACGTATATTTAGCGGCTGGATGACAAATAAAAGTGAAATAAGACAAGTTTGGTAACGCGTGTTACTTTTTAATAAGAGAAAATAATACAATAAAGTGGTAAGTCAGAGGTGTTACAAGCTGTTTAAACAATTGTACAATGTTTTGGTCTTGCAGCATGGCCTGCATAACATTTTTTCATGTTAAACATACGCCTTAAATGCTGACAGGATTTAAAAAGTAGCGGCCCCTTTACGCTATCATCCCATAAGCAGAAATCAAATTACATAGCATTTATGTTAGTCTAAAAAGAATAAATTGCACATAACATCGGGAACTGATAAAGGCTGAAATCTAAAATAAAGCCCATAAGTAACCATCTCAACATATGATTGATGATGATGATTCATCTGTGATTCATAACTCAGTCACACAATACATTTTGGCAGGCCTCTACAGCTGACGACGTCCAGCTAGCAGGCCGTGGCTAAAAAATCGATCCCAATTCCTCACTAAAAAAAGGGAATTACATTTGTAATTACAATTTGAGTATACTAAAATTAAAATCATTTTACATATAAAGGGGTCCCCCGATACCATTAACACACGTATTGGCATTACATTCGTTGATACAATATTTTACCTCGGGGAGTGTGGGAGCAAACCGTGGCTAAAAAATCGATCCCAGTTCCTGACTAAAACAACGTAATTACATTTGGGATATACATTTTTACATATATAGGGGTCCCCTCGATATCAATAACACACGTATTGGCATCAAACTTGTTGATATTTTATCATTTAACCTCAGTGAGTGCTTGCCTTGTGGCCACAGAAGTGAACGGCGTCCGATGTGACAGGCGGTCATGTTGGAACTAACAAGCGTTCTATAACCCGGAAGTGGGGTCCGCCGGGCTGTTCAGCGTATGTCTATGGGAGTGTCGCCACCATAGACATAATAAAAGATAGACCCCGCGTCGGCCGCTACCACGAATGGGCGCTGTCGAGAAATGCGGCCGCCATCTTGGTCCGGTCATCCGCCTCACTCTGCACTGCTGTTTAACCGGCGGAATGAGGTCTGAGCGCATTAAATGAATCATAGTTCGCTCAATACTACGTAATTTTCTTCTCTGCAAACGCCATTCAAAGAGGCTTGATAGAGGCCATATTTTTTTTTTGGCGTTTTCAAATACTCAGAATGAATAAAATGATATTTTAGAACATGGCAGCAGTGGCTGTATTATAGTATAACAATTAATCAAGGATATATTTAGGTTTAGAGCTAGGTTCCTGCTATGTCTCAATAATTATTAATAACTGGCGGTTTTAATAGGCCAATTCAATATTGATTTGATTATAATTTTTTATATAGTTTAATTTTATTTATCCATTTGTAGACACACACAAATAATGTCATATAGAAGCACTATTTTAATAACTGGAAAATACACACAAAGAAATACACACAAATATATAGCCTACATATCAATAAAAATTTAAACACAAGAACAGCGTGACAGGACAGCATCTAAACTACATATCAATTTGCTTGTTGGCTACACAGCACAGAGGAATCACTTGCTGTGAATTTCTCCCTCTAACAGCAATCTCCCACTTCATCCTCAAGTTTTTGTCCTTAGGAAATCTTCAAAATGAAACAGGAGATCACCACAAAGAAATCTTTAATAAAACAGAGCTCACTTTCTTCCTTCTTCTTTCTATTTTATTTCTTGACGTTTCTTAGAACCTCTCTCAAACAAAAGTTTTTCAATCTAATGCAAATCTGTTGATAATAGAGCAAAGTTGCTATTATTGTGAATAAGCAAGCTGTTCGCAAATGCTGTTTCCTTTTTGGAGTTGACCGATAGTCTTCCTCTTTGGCCTACAAATGACTCTACAGTCAAGTGTAATGTTGAAAAAACGTTTAATCATAACTGTGAAAAGTTATTCCTTGAGCCCTGTTCTCTGCTGTCCGCCTGTTGGCACAGGAATACGCCGCACAGTGCTCCGGCATCGCTGAATGAATGAATGAATGAATACGATTGACCGGAGCGTATGGGAAGCTTGACCTGACCAAGATGGCGGCCGCATTTCTCGCTGCGCAGCACCCCCAGCGGGGTCTACCCTTTTATTATGTCTATGGTCGCCACTCTGTTTAATCGACCACTCTGAGAAGGGTTAAACACGCCGTACTCTCAACGCCCACAGAGGCGGGTCAGGAGACCTCGGGGGGGGGGTCTCCAAAGTCCAGGAGGACTTCTTCAGCTGGAGAAAACCTGCTGCTCTGCTCTCCCTCTCAGGGTTTCATAAGGACAGCAAGAACTAGGGCTGGGGGATATGGACCAAAAGTCATATCCTGATATTTTGAGGCTGAATATCGACATAGGATATATATTCCAATATTGTTAGCGCTAAGTGAGAGTCAATTTTTAGTCACACCCAAAGCCAAATATGACATGTCACAAGTATTTCTATTTAAACTGAAATTATGCTCAGCTGTTCAAAGAACAATAAAATTTAAACATAAATACTGTATAACTACAGGAGTGGTTTATTAAAGCTCAAAAAGGTATACATTTAAATGAAAAATACAACTTCATTAAAAAAAGCCCATAAAGTAAAATAGGCCAATCTTTATCTGAAATAAATGTATTTATATGAGAAAAGCATCAACAATTTGACAACTATAAATGGCCTATTAAAATCAAAAAGCAGATTTTCTTCTCCTCTCTAACAAATCCACAGATGCAAACAACGAACACGACAAAAGAATTAAATATGACAAACCCTGTTCAGGACCCCTCTGTTCCTTCAGCTAGCTCAGCTGTCTTTCAGCAGTTAGAGCCTGTTTCCCTCTCAACACTTAATGAAATAGTGGTAAACTTACGTCCTGCTAACTGTCCATCTGATAGCATTCCTTCCCGTTTGTTCAAGGAGGTTTTTAATACTGTTCAGTCTTTTATTTTGACTCTCATTAATCGGTGTCTCAGCTCCGGAAGTGTGCCTTCCTCCTTCAAACATGCCATGGTGCAACCTCTCTTGAAAAAGAAAAACTTGGATCCCTTGGTTTTGTCCAATTTTAGGCCAATATCCAAACTCCCTTTTATTTCCAAGGTTTTGGAAAAAGTTGTTTTTAATCAACTCCAAGAATTTTCACAAGGGGCAAATGTTTGTAAACTGTTTCAGTCTGGTTTTAAGTCTCTTCACAGCACTGAAACTGCTCTTTCAGAAGTTTTTAATGATCTTTTATCAAACCTTGATTCTGGTAACTGTGCCTTTTTAATCCTCCTTGACTTGACAGCAGTGTTTGACACAGTGGATCACTCAATCCTCCTATCAGGCCTTGAAAATTGTGTAGGCATCAAAGGCCCTGCTTTGAGCTGGTTCAGATCGTACCTCTCAAAGATCTCTCTCTGTGCACATGGGCCAGATTTCTTCCACAGTTGCCCCTTTTTATAGTTATCTCCGCCAAGGAGGTTATGTTTTCGGTAGCGTTGGTTTGTTGGTTTGTTTGTTTGTCTGTGAACAACTTTACGGAAAAAGTTACAGACGGATTGACCTGAAATTTTCACCAGAGGTGCGTCTCAGCCCCAGGAGGATCCCATTAAATTTTGGTGGTGATCCGGATCGCCTTCTGGATCCAGGAATTTTTTGAAGGGTTCTTTATCATTGTGAGATAGGGCAAATTTTGGACTTTTTGCTTTTAACTCTATAAAAATGGCCAGTCTTTAGTAAAAAAATTACACAAAAGGATCTCAATGAGTTTTATGAGGTGTCAAAGGTTGATCCTGATCCAGACAAAATTCTGGATACTGTGATCCAGACAAACAAAAATAAGGGTGTCGCTGGAATTATCAGTGCTGAAAGATAACCAATGGGCGGCACAGTGGTGTAGTGGTTAGCACTGTCGCCGCACAGCAAGAAGGTCCTGGGTTCGAATCCGGGTCAGGGCATTTCTTGTTTTAGGAACATTATGAACAGTGAACATACCAGTTTAAACACAAATAAAAGTTAATAAAAGACACGTAACAGTAAAAGTTTTGGTGTGAATCACAATATAAGGGGGGACATGAGCTGCTTGCCAGAGGTCTGCGCTCTCTGAGTGCTTTTCTACTTCTTTATTGTTTTTATTGTCTCTGGCTATTTTACTGTAAAGCACTTTAGTAGGCCACTGGCTGTTTTTAAATGTGCTATATAAATAAAGCTGACGTTGACATTGACATTGACATAGTAAGGGCAGCATTTATATCTATAAAGACAGAACAAAATAAAGTGCTCAGTTAAAGAAAATACTTTTTAAACATCATTTTGAGATTACCTATATGTCTTTATCTTCTTAACAGTCTCAACCAAGACTATGAACTCAGTCAACATTTCCCCTCTTCTTTCTTTTTGACTTTGATAAACAATTAGTACTGTATGGAGGTCGACATTAGAGGACAGACAAGTGTGTCTTCCTTTGTTTCAAGATTTTGTGTGAGAAACACCAGCCTGTCAACAACAGCATCTGATATCTGTATATCCATATATGCAATATGGTCCAATTTCATATTTCATTTAAAAATACTGATATATTTCTTATATGGCTATATCGCCCAGTCCTAGCAGGAACCTTCCTCTAAACTCCTCCTCCTGTTCAGGGACCCGGTTCCTCCTCCTCCCCAGGTGAAACCATCAGCTCTGTCCCCAAACACACGCTCAGGTGTTTGCCACCTCACCTCACTTTACCTCCTCCTCGTCTTTCTCTTTATACACTCAGTCTACTTTCTGACCGGGTTCAGGACTCAGACCAGGAAGAGGACTCAGAAACCTCAGCCCAGGTATTCAGATGTTGTTGATAATGAATCTATGTTTCTAGATCTAGATCAGGATGAAGCATCAGAGTGGTGAAAACAGGAACGACAGCAATGTCTCTGACTGAGGCAGCAGATTTGATCATGACACAAAGTTTCAAAGAAAAGTGAACAGCTGCTGGTTCTCGGCTCCGCGGCCTTCCCCGTGTGGTCCCAGCTGACTCCGCCCCCTGTCAGAGAGACACCATGATGGCGATAGCGAGGTGAAACTGACAGCAGCTTCCTGTCTGTGGTCGGTACAGTCACCTCACAAACAAGTAAACACGGCGCCATTTTCCCACTGACAGAAAAAAAAAAGAAAAAAAAAACTCCCTTTTTTCTCCGTGAGCTAAATTTAGAGCGCCGCCCGCCGCTGCCATACATCCCCCTCAGTTTCATCCCACCCACAGACTTCCTTGGCTAACCTTCATGTTCGTCACCGCGCCGGAGCGTTTACTCAGACAGGTTTACAACATCAGAGCGGGCCAGGGTTCTGATCCAGGACAAGAAGACCTGAACCCAGACTCAGGTTGCAGAGTCTGTCTGAGCTGAAATCTCCAAACCTGAGCAGTGGGGTCAAAAACTTTAAACATAGATATTTTATAATAGATGTGAGGCTGTGGATCTATTAGCTTTGATTCATTATTATTGATCCGACTCCTCATCGGGTCTCTGATCAGTTCATGTGGATCTCTGCAGGTTTTCTGGATCAGCTCTTGTTTGAGTTCCTCCATGACGAAAAAGTTCCGCCTTCGTCTTCTAACCTTATGAAATTTTTGTTCCCCCTGTAGTAAGTCCAGTCTGAATATATGAAGGTATATTTTGTGCAAAAGGTTTGTGTATCTGTAACATGTAATGTGTAGTTGTGTACAGTGATTGTGTATGTGTATTAGTACATATAAAATCCGCACTCTATGAATTGTGTACTTGTTGATTTTTTGTGTGTACTTCTTGATTTTTTTTTTTATTTCCACAAGTACAACACAACATTTACACATTCACAGATTCTGAATTACAGGTGTACAAATCCTGTTTTACAAGTCACAGATTTAATGTCTGACACACTCACATTTTTGGTGTAAAACATATTCTTTGCACCTGTATGGAGTAATGTGAAGTTGTGGACAAAGTGTTACATTTATGTACAATAAGCTTTCAGGAAAACAGTTGTGTTGCCATGTGGGCATGGCAGTTCTTTTAGATGTACTGCATCACTAGAATCAGTTCACTAAAAAGATTTGTTCACCAAATCACCAAATCATCTAGCGTTTGGTGGGAGAAGCCTGCGGCGCCGACCTCCTGAACTGACACACAGCTGAACGGTTCAGGATTCAGTTCAGATCATAGCTTCTAGGACCCGGAGACAGGAGTGTTTGGCTGTGTTGCTTTAACAAACAGGTTTGTAACAATGAACTTGTTTATAAGTCATGATGTTTTAAGTGTACTGTCCTATGGAATGCTATTCATCAGGTCTGCTCGGTAAATTAGCCTCAGTGAGTGATTCGTTCACTGAACATTTAGAAGAATTCACACTGAACATGCACTGTTCCTTCGCAAACCGCTGCAATAATAGGATGCTGCGGGTTTTATACACCACTTGTTACATGCTGTGCTGTGTAGTTTTGTCTGACAAAAATGATTCCAGACAGTGTAGTTAAATGCGTGATTCATTCACCAAGTGATTCAGGTGTCGGTGCATGCAGTCCCTTGTTTACCAGCTGCTCAACTGGCAATGCTGTTTCTCACTTCAGCTCGACTGAAGTGAGAAACGAACAGTACGTTCACTTAAAAGATTTGGTTCTTTTGAACAAATTGTTTGTGAACAACACAACACTACCACGTGTCACAGATTGTGCTTCTTACAGCTACAAATCAAGTTGCTGAGCTGTTTGGTGCAAAAGGCGGTCACTGATCTGAGATTGACAGGCTTTACAACCAATCAGAGGTGATAGCATTTCGTCAGAAACCCTCAGTTTATTCTTGTGAACTTTGACCTCTGACCTCCTGATGTTGACCTCACACTCTCTGATTCATAACCAGGATTGTCGTCGGTCTGCTTCGCTCCTCTTTGTGTTACCAAACTAAAACGCTGACCTCATGACTTTTCACTATTAACACAGGAGGAGGAGGAGGAGGAGGACTGGCCCGGTTTCCACGTCTTAGCGGATCCAGTCTGATGAAACCGGAGAACAAAAGAAGACCGGTCTGAGTCTTGTTGACACTGGAGGACTAACACGGACCATCCAAACCAAACAGAGAAATCAGCAGAGGGCTGGAGAGCTAAGCTTAGACTCCTGTTACTAGGAAACCTCACAAATCCTGAGAGAGCGGGAATCCTCAGATGACTTCACCAAAGAAGAAGAAACACAAACTGACTAACGAGGAGGAGGACGACGAACCAGAGAGATGATGATGAGGATGGTGGTGGCGTACACCGAGACTCTCATGTGTTTGATGCTGGAGTTTAAAAAACTTCCTGTAAATAAATTCAAGGTCAAAGGCGGGGCGGCAGCACCTACCCTGTGTATGGTGGAAGTTGCTGTTGCCTCCCTGCGTGTTGGCGGGGTTGATGCCCAGCTGGGTGAGGGTGGAGGCCAGGTTTCCCGTGCTGCTGCCCCCGCTCAGAGAGGAGGATCCTGGGTAACCAGGCTCGTCCTGGTCCAGCGGCGTGGGTAGAGGGGAGGGGAAGTGGAGGCTGGAGAGGTCCGGCAGCGAGCCACCAGTGTTGAGGGCCGACGGGACGCCGTGAGCTGGCGTGGACGGCTGCTCCGGTGACGTAAAGATACTGAGAGGAGAGAAGAGGAGGAAAGGGGAGAGAACAGGAGAAAGGGAGAGGGGAGAGGAGGGAGGAGAGAGGAAAGGAGGAGATAAGGAGAGAGGGAGAGGAAAGAGGAGAAGTAAAGGAGAGTAGAGAGGAGACAGGAGAAGAGGATGAGAGGAGAGAGGAGAAAGGAGAGAGAGGGAGAGAAGGAGAGGAGAAGAGAAGGAAAGAAGAGAGAAGAGAAGAGGAGAAAAGGAGAGAAGAAGAGGAGAGGAGAGAGGGAGAGGAGTGAGGAGGAGAGGAGAAGAGAAAGAGAGGAGAGAAGAGGAGAAAAGGAGAGGAAAAGAGAAGGAGAGGAGGGAGGAGAGAAGAGGAGGAGGGGATAAGAGAAGGAGAGGAGAGAAGAGGAGAAGAGACGGAGAGGAGAGAGGAGAGAAGAGGATAAAAGGAGTGGAGAAGAGAAGGAGGGGAGAGAGGAGGAGAGAAGGAAAGGAGAAGAGAGTGGAGGAGAGAAGAAGAGGAGGGAGGAGGAGAGGAGAAAAGAGGCGAGAAGGAGAGGAGAAGAGAAGGAAAGGAGAGAGGAGAAGGAGAGGAGAGAGGAGAGAAGATGAGAGAAGTGAAAAGAGAGGAGGAGGAGAGAGGAGGAGAAGGAGAGGAGAGAGGAGAGATGGAGAGGAGAGAAGGAGAGGAGACAGGAGGAGGGTCAGGTCCTGCTGAGAAGACTTGAACAAGCGTTTTTATTTTTGTCTTAGAGAGAAAAAAATCAAAAATCTAAACTGATCAGATTCAGAGAGACAGGAAGTGTCTGTGAGCTGAGACTCCTGCAGAGTCTGAAAGTTAATATTTCTCTGAACTGACGTCTGAACAACAAACTTTTAGTCCCTGAAGACGTAAAAGACGAGGGGCCTGTGAAAACTGGGTCAAATATTCACTTTGGTGAAAGAAAGAGTCACAACCATCTGAGGACAGGAGAAAAACCCTTGTGCTCGAGAGAGAGAGAGAGAGAGAGAGAGAGAGAGAGAGAGAGAGAGAGAGAGAGAGAGAGAGAGAGAGAGAGAGAGAGAGAGGGAAGAGAGAGAGCAGCTAAATCTGGTCCTATCCCCCTGAAGAAGGGACTTTTTGGATGGTAAATCAAAGTTCCTACAAAAACCAGGTCCCAGCACTTTCTCCAAAGTCAAATTTACAACTTTTTAGGGACTTTTATGACCCAAATAAATACGGTTTCAGATCCAAAACCTTGAAAACGGTTTTCCTGCTTGAGGCGAGTTTTTAAAGACTTGTCAACATCAGATAAATCGCTGCAGGAACCCGGACAGACTCTGGTCCAGAAACTGTGTTTACACTTACTTGATACCGGGGACTTCACAGGACTTGGGTCGAGACGTCAGCAGAGGCAACTGGAGAAGAAACACAAGGAGTATGAGAAACTTATCAGGAGTTTGTCATTTGTAAAGACTTTCATTTCTCATGTTTTTGACCGATAAAATTCACCTAAATAGATAGAGATGCTTTTTTTAGGGTCTTGAAATTATTCAGACTTTTTCTCAGTGCTCTGACTTTTCTAACTTCTGTTTTATTTTATTTGACCTCATGACTGTATCAGAGAACATTTTCCTAAAGTTGCAGATCCACACTTGTGTCTTTACCTTCTTGGTGTCCCAGGGTTTGAGGAGTTTTCCCTCGTCTAACACGTTCTCCTCGATGGGAGGGACCGGGTACGGAAACACTGAAGGACAAACAAAGAAGTCTATAAACGGGTGGCTCCTGAATCCTCACACATCAGGAGGATAGATGATGTTTGTATGATCCAGTTTTTGGTGTTAAGTATCAAAGGTAAGTATGTGAAGTATGAAGCAGACATCAAGATTACAAAGTGGACAACAGATTGAGAAAGAGAAGGTGAGGCAGAAGCCTTCAGAGCTCTTCATGATGAGACTGGAGTAAAGATCCTGGTTTTTATAGAAGTCAAAGTTCTCAGGTCTTTGGGGGTGTTCCTGTGTGTCTGCATGTTACTCACTTCTTCTGCCCTCTCCATCGCTCTGACCTGCAGGGAAAAAAACACAGACAGGATTACACACACATACAGACTGGCAGGAGAAAACAGAAGGATTCAAAGGTTCACACATGCCACGAAAGCTGCAGTTAAGTCAGTTTAGATACTTGGAGTCAGAGCCGAGAGTCTGGCAGTGGAGTTCTGGATCAGGTTTTATATCTAGTTTCTATAGAGGACATCCTGACTCAGAGGAAAACCTGTTTAGACTGAGACCTCTATCCTGAGGAAACATGTGAGCTGATAAGTCAGTCTAACAATGAACAGGTCATGTTCAAAATAATAACGGAGGAAAACAGTGAGAGCGCAGCGAGAGAAGAAAAATCACAACCTCAGTGCGGTTTTACCACCAAACTGGGTCATGTGGTTTTCAGATCAGACTGATTTCTGCTGCTTCACGATGTGTGAGGGAGTCAGTGAGACAAACTTCAGCAGACAACATGATGGTGTTCATAATTATAATGAAACTATTATTATTATTATTATTATTATTATATTATAAATAACAATACTAATAACAATAATAATAATAATAATAATTGTGATAATAATGATTATAATTATTATTGTTATCATAATTAAATTAATAATTAATTATTACTAAGACAATAATAACAATAATGATAATATTTTTAATGTTATTTTATAGGGATTATCATCATTATTAATAATAATAATAATTATAATATCTAATGATAATGATAATGATAATAATAATAATATTTGTATTCCTTTAGTTTCACCCTTTCAATTGTCATTAAACCTGGGTACGAGAAGTCATCCTTGTGTCCTAAGTCGTGATGAGCGGAAGGTGTTTAGCTTACTGTCTTTTTACTCTGACTTTCCTCTGGTTCACTGTCAGGATGTTTCTGGTGAGTCTTAGTTTCACAGTAAATACAGAGTCACACAGATGTTTCACTCTGGCTTATTTCAGCAGAACTGACATGAAAATAAACCCTTCATTTTTTATTTTGTTGTCATGAACAGATCTGAAGTTCGCTTAAATAAAGTCCCAGTTTTACTGTGTAAATACAGAGTTACACAGACATTACTGCAGCTGTATGATCCTGAAACAGAAACTGATTTTCTATCAAAAGACTCAAAAGTTTGTTGTAACACTATCGTGATGATGCAGATTTTTAAAAAGTTCAGAAGAAAACGTTTGTCTGACAAACATGTTGGAGAACATCAAGGATCTGAGTCTGATTCTGACTGCTTGTTTGTGCTTCATGTTTTGGAGCCTCACCGGAGCGCCTGTTGCTCTGGGGGGTGAGGGTGGGTCCTCCAGTGGTGAAAGGGTCCCCTGGGGGGGGGTTCATTACGCTGGTGTGAAGGGCTGAGTCAGAGTTGGTCCTGAGGGGTGAGAGACAAACAGTGTTAGGAGATTTCAGGAGAGAGAGAGAGCAGAGGTTTTGCTCAGGGTTCAGGTGGTTTTAGATTCTCCAGTATAAACAGATTTTACAGTAAAATACCGCCGTTCACTGACGCTGTAAAGGAGAGACCACATGTTAGAAGAATCCCAGTGTCTTCTCATGAAACCAGATAACTGAGACAATGTGAACCCTTTCACTTCAGACCAAAATGGACCAAATGACAGCTACCTCTAAACACTTAGAGCTCCCCCTACTGAGTGGTGACAGAATGAAGTTTTAAATCTGCTTCCTCCATCTGTAAGACGTGTCTGCGTCTGCTACAGGAGTATTTTGGTTTCACTTTTGTTTGACAGGAGGTCATTGAGACGTGTCATCTACCTCTGTGTTTTAGAAAAATCACAACATACTGTCGTCACTCTTGGAGACTGTAGAGATTCAGAAGCTGTTGGACTCTTTTAAAGATTCAAACAGATAACAGTCCTTTATAGAGTCCTGGTCCAAGAAAACGATCGATGTGGACCAGTTAGACTACAGAGGCTAAAGGAGGGGAACTGATGATCAGAATGAAAGAAGGAAGAAAGGGGTTAGAGGACAGGTCTATGAAGGGGTGAGTCTTAATCCTCAAACCAAGTCCGCCACAAACCAGGAGAAAGAAAACCTTCCAAAGTAAAAGTTACAAGACTTTCTGTTCTCAGGACAAGCACTCGTCAAAGGCGGGTAAGAAGAAAGGAAAAAGAGAGGAAGACGAGGAGGAGGAAGAGGAGGATTCACCTGTTGAGTGCAGTGGTGGGGAGACGGAACAACTGGCTTTTATCCCCGGGGAAGTTTCCGGACCAATTCCTTTTTATGATCGACAAGAACAAACAGTTACTTTCCTCCCCAGAGCAAGAACATGGAAACGAAAGGAGGAGAACATGGAGAGAGGAAGAGTGTGGGCCCCAAAAGAAAGTGCGAAGAAGCGATAAAAAGAAGAAGATGGAGGTGGCGAGAGAAGGAAAGAGGGAGGCTGGCGTGTCAGCTCAGCAGAGTACAAAGGTCTACGGACGCCGGCATGTTTCAAAAAGACAAAGTCATTCTGGGAGTTTTTACAAAAGTTTGGAGTCAGAGACAGTTTAAAAAAAATCTAAGAAAAGAGGATTGCGTCCCACAGGGATCAACGCTCAGACCCCTTTAGTTTGTGTGGATTTGGTTATTCCTTCATTCTGTGAGTGTTTGAACCAATAAGACAATCTGGGGGGAAACATGGAGGTCGACCAGCTGACAGTCTGATCTGTGTGTCAGAAATCTAAATCCAAATTTACCACAAAGTCTGGGTTTGTTTGTTTACAGACGAATGGGATTCAACTCGGCAAAAAAATCGCCTTCAGTCAAAACAAACAAAAGTGACGGGGCAGAAATTCGTTTTTTTCTTCCTGTTTAGGCCGTCAACAAACTCACTAAATGACTAAACTATCTTTGACGGCATCAAAACTAAAACATAAAAACAGTAAAAACACCAAAAATTGAGAAAATTGCTGCAGAGAAGAATCTAAACAACAAAATCAAGCTTTCAAAAACACAAGCCTGTCTAATGAGACGACAACTGCTGCAGAAATAATGAAGTCCCCGGATAAAGCTAGGGTGACCATATTCTAAATTGTCAAAAAGAGGACATGGCTACACAGGCAGAGTCGTGTGAAGTAAATTTTGAGGATTTTTTGCGTCAAGTGTTTTTTTACGTGCTTCTAACTCAGTTATTCCACGGGACACAAATTCAAAACTTCCATACAAAACTGTGGACATTTGAAGGATTTTATAAACTCCAGCGGACAAAAGGCCAGACAGCCCCCCAAAGAGAGGACATGTCTGGGTAAAAGAGGACATATGTTTACCCTAATAAAGCTCATGCACTCCTCTGACATATTTAAATAAAAGTGAAACTCTCACACTGATATCAAACTCATCTGAATAATTTGGCAGTGTTTCAGTGGGATTCAACTTGGCAAATATCTCCTTCAGTCAAAACAAATACAAGTGACGAGGCAGAAATTAGGTTTTTTCTCTTGTTTAGGCCATCGACAGACTCTCTACATGACTGGACAAAAGGCCGGACAGTCCCCCAAAAAAGAGGACACATCCGGGTAATAGAGGACGTATGTTCACCCTAATAAAGCTCATGCACTCTTCTGACATACCTGAAACTCTCACACTGATATCAAACTCATCTGAATAATTTGGCAGTGTTTCACAGCGCTGTTTTTTCAACATACAGACTCCCTGCAAAATCCACTCGCCTTGTGAGACCAGCAGCTTTCTGGCGATTAAAGGTCCTTTCACACCGTGACTGTTTCATTTGTGTGATTATTTCTGACGTCTTTTTTTTTCTAACCCGTATCCTGTCAATACAAGCGTTCGCATCAGCGACATATTCCCGTCCTGTGATATTGCGGCATTTATTTTTTGTAGCACGGTCGATTCTTCTAAAGTTTCGCATACTGTGTGTACACTTCTGACCAGATTGCGTGTTGTTGCGACGTCAGATTCACCGGTATATCCAACATGGCTGACCGGCTAATTGTTTACGTGTCGGAGAACAGAGTGCTTTTTGATTAAAAACACAAATATTACGAAAATAACAACTTGAAGGATAACTTGTGGAGAGTCATAGTGTGTGACTCTCCCCCCCCCACCCCACCCCAGAAAGTCTCAAAATCACATTGCGCTTGATGTGTATAGTCAGGAGCGTCAAAATTCGCCTTAGAATATTTTATAACTTCGCGTCGTATATTTGTATCGTTCCCGGTGTGTAAGGACCTTAAGACTCAGTACCAACAGAACCTCTGGATCTTCACACCAGGCTTAAGTCTGGAACCATCACGGCCCAGAGTCCACTGCTGGTTCAGTCAGAAAATCAGAACTGACCTCCTTTTGGAAAGGATAACTGGACTTCAGACGTTTCGCCTAAGGCACAATCCACTCACCTCGTGAGACCAGCAGCTTTCTTGCGATTAAGTGTGCAGCACATTTTCTATCCTACAGAGAAAATCGGTCCATTTTTAGACCATCTGTATGAAAATGAAGTAAGTCTGAGCAGACTGGACAGAGCTGCTGCTGCTGCTGTAGGCCCCTCCTCTTACTCTGATTAAGACTTTTCCATCATGTGGGATAATTCTGAATCTCATCACTTTTAAGTTAAGTCCCCTCTGCTCCTGTTTGAACTTCATTTCTCCTGAAAACTTTCACTGGAGCTGAAAACTCGAGGGCAGACTGTTTGGCCTTTTCTGTTTGTTGGCAGCTCTTTCTGGCGTGAACACCACGGAGGAAGAAGAAGCAGAAAAAACTGAACTGAGACTTGTTTGGACCACAACCTCCAACCTTTGATGGCCCGTTAGCGGACCGCCCCACTGAAACTTCTTTTGTAATAAAACCTCAAAGCTGGTCTAGTCCAGCTCCTGGGATCACTTTAAAACCTGCTGATATGAAACTCCAGGCCTGATAGAGTCCAAGCTGGATGAGCTGGACCAAACACTGTTTACTGTTGGACTTTAGGGAATGCCTGGAGGTCATTTGCCAGCCTAATCTGTGTGTGAGTGTTTTTGTGTGTGTTTGTGGTGTGCAGCGGACCATCTGTGTCTGTGGACCGAGGCCAGACCCTCTCTGAAGGGTAATTGTTGTCTTGTTAGAAGAAAACGAGAAAGAACGGGCAGGCAGGCAGGCAGGCGAGAAATAAGCGGCTGGAACTGGTTTCAGAAAATAGAAGAAAAAGAGGCCAAAAACGAAAAACAACAGATTCCCAGAAGAAGAGAGGGCAGCAGAAGAGCAGAGAGCTCCTCAAAAACCAGTCAGGTCTGGAGAGGCGCCGGCTTAAATCAACTCTGCTCCATATTAGTCGTCTAGAGGGTTAGTGTGAGGGCTGAGGAGGCAAATGAACGGAAGCAGCGCTCGCAGGAGGGACGATGAAAACCGACCAGGAGCCTCAGTGACACCTCAAGGGATTCTGGGAGTTTTCTCAGAAAGACGAAGAGGATCTGACAGGAGGGTGAGGGTCCTAGATCGGGACACATCAGCAGTTCCAGTTTAGAGAGTCCGGAGAGGTTTAATATCGATACTGAGGCTGAGAGTGGATCCAGATCCAAGACCATCTTCACTCAGAATTGTTCGGTTAAAGGGATATTCCACTGTTTCTGTATGTCAGTCAGCTCCACCTCTTTAATATGGAACTGTCAGGAGAACCTGCATGCAAGCTAGGCTACAGTTTTCTGCAGATGCTTACCGAGCTGACTCAGACACACACAGTTACCGCACACCGATCAGCTGTTTCATGATGTAAACCAACAAAAAAAATGGGTCATTCTGAAAACACGCCGTTCACGGCAGATGTGTCTTTTTTCAGGGCGGATAGACGGAAAATATCAGATTGATCAGAATTAATAATCATTAAAAGTTATAAATCTGTCTGTGAAAATGATAATTACAGACGCATTCAAACATTTAATTTCTGAGAAGTTAACTTGGTGTCTCACAGGATACCAGTCTGTCAGAATCCTGATCCTCAGAACAATGTGGATCAGTGTGGTTCTTCATTCTGGTCCAGACAGCTGCTGCTCACCGTGAACCAAAACTAGACGAGGACTTCACTTTGTCTTTATTCTTAGGATGTTATGACTTTAATCTTAAGAAATTTGCACCTTTTTGATGAATTAATCTAAAAAACTGATACCAATAATTGACTGATGCCAAATCTGGGCTCTGATTAGGCCTGAGTGATTTGGCAAAATAAATGATCACAATATATTTTGTCATATTGTCCAATCTCGATTATTATCACGATTTTTAAAAAAATTCTGTAGTTTTAATCTGTACTAAAAACTAAAGAAATTAGAGATTAGTTCAACATTTTATTAACATACAAGGTAAATAAAAAATCAAATAAATAAGATATACCTAGAAAAATATAAAAACCATTTCAACTCAACAGTACAAAAAATGTAGATTAATATTAAATTATAAAGTGAACTAGTTTACAGTCCTGAGTGTTTTTGCAGGTATGCAAGACCCAAAATAAACAAACCACCCCCCCAGGGATAATAAAGATGCCTTTCATGTAAATATTAGATGATGTAAACGTAAATGATATGATTGATTGCTTTGGTCTGGTGGCTGCACCTCTAGTTGTAGCTAAAATGCTAACACCACTGGTACCGTCAGCACTCCGCCCACATTTTCTTGCTTTCAGCATAATCACTTAAATAATTAAACAGATCGGTTCTTGAGGCACCGACCGCCGACATACCTTACATATCGGCTTAATTGATCTATGTCACTTTGGAGATATCCGAACCACCACCACACAACCAACGATTAAAAAGTTTGCTTCTCAACAATGGTGTCTTTGGAGGATGACTCAAAGTCATGGCTGACATCTGTTTTGCTGCCCTCAGCTTCGGTCATTCTGTTTACTTCCTGTTTAATTCTCTGGCGACTTACAGAAGTGAGCAGGAAAAGCTTGACTCTGACTGGCTGTTGTGACGCACATTTCCGTCATGTTTGATCGAGTAAATAAGCTCACAGCTGATCACCGTGATTGAACTGAAATTCATCACGATCATATAATCACCCAGTCCTAGCTCTGATAATCGGTCTAACTCTAGTTACAGAAAGGAAATCCTCTGAAGGAAAAGCAGAGGTCTGTTCTGTCAGGGGTCAGGAGTCAGACTCGGTACCAACAGAACCCCTGGATCTTCTCACCAGGCTGCAGTCTGGAACCATCACGGCCCAGAGTCCTCCTCTGCACTGGTTCATTCAGAAAACCAGAACTGACCCTCTTTTGGAAAGGACAAGTGGCCTTAGGAGAAACATCTCGAGTACGTCCGGTTGCCCTTTCAACGAAGTTTCAGAGCATTTAGGAGTTCAGTCAGAAAACCAAAAGTGTCCTGGACGACCCTTCAAAATAAAAGTGCTGTGAAAGTCTCTCTGCAGGAGCAAACAGACATTTGTCATTTTTAGACTATTTCTGAATCTGTGAGTCAGACGTATTACTGACGGCAGTCTGATCTGTCCACATTCACGCCAAACATCAAACCAATCCAAGGCTGACACATCGCCAACACGCTTGAGTAGGAACCAGATCTATGCAAACAAGATCAGGTTCACCGTCCCAAACCAGGAGCTCCTTAAGCTTCTATCCCAACAACCACCAAGATCTGATTTTTTTACTAATTTCTGGATGTCCAGATCCTTTGAGGTGTCACAAAAACTTCAGAACGGTTTTTAAAGGGTGGAGGAAAATGTAGGAAGAAGGAGAAGGAGGAGAATTAAGGAGGCGTCCCTGCAGGCAGCTTCAGGACTTTAGAAACAGACTGAGACAGGAAAGGGGGTGGAGTTTAACAGACATTACCTTCTCCAGCTGGGGTCAGGAGGCGGGGACAAGTAGGCGGAGTTATACGGCGAGCTGTCCACCTGAGGAGAGGAGCAGTTAAGGAAACAAGATGATTTTCTTTTTCTCTTTTACTCTCTGGTTGAAATGAAAAAGTTCTGGTTTTTAAGACTTCTCCTTTTTTCTTTCTCGGAGTATGAAATCAGAAAAACTGAAGCCCACACAGACAAAATCTGTTCGCTCAGCTGTCATCAACAAATATTTCCAAACTTCAATCATCGGCTTTTTTGTCTCTTTCAGGAACCGTTTTCAGAGCTTCACACTCGGACTGATTCACACCTTCTGCAGAACAGAGCAGGTGTGAAATACACAAATCTGCAAATGCACACTTTGGCTTTCTTTTCCTCCGTTTGCTGATTTTAAATACTTTCAGTTAGAGGACTTCAGAGTTCCCTCTTCTGTTCGACTGACTTCACTCCTCTTTGGTAGGAGCTGTCTGAGGGTTACCGACCAACCGGGTTTTCATGGACCACTAAGAATCAGATACTTCAATCAGGAATGATGGGTCAAGACCTTCTTTGCAGGGTTAAAGCTGGGGTCTAAATTAGCCAGTTTTTCTTTCGCTGATTTAACCCATTTGAACTGGGACAGCATGTACGCATTTCAACCTTCCAAGCCGGCGGCATGGATACATCATTTTGTAACATTCTGTAGTTTTTCAGTCATTTCTGGAGTCGTGGTGAATCAAATTATCATACCCGTCTGCCTCTGATAGGCTAATAAAGCTTCAAAAAGTGATCAGATTCATGCTCAGATCTTGCTACGTTCTTTGTGAGGAAAGTAAACAATGACGGAGGCAGAGAGCAGCTTCAGAGGAGAAGTATCCAGCCTTAGTAAAGGTTGTGATATTGACAGAAATAATGATGTTGATGACCATATTTTGAACCTTCTGGGCCACAAGATCAGGACTTCTGGATGAGAGGAATGTTTTTGGACGACAAGGAAGAGATATGGTGGACCTCCAGTCTTTGTCTGTAAACAGTGTGAACAACCTCTTCATATTGATGCTTTGGTTCACACGATCGGCGTTTTCTGTGAGTCTTCATGACTTTAAGTAAGCACAGAGATGCACACACTGTCAGACACTTATTTATTTATGTATTTTTTAGTTTTTAATGCTGCTTTTGTACTGGCACTATACTAGGGCAGCTGCATACCCTTTCAACACTTTATTTTTTATATTTACATTTGTGTTGAATGGACACTTTATCATGACTGCCACTTGTTTTGTAGAGCGTAAATAGTTATTTATACTGCTGCTTTATTTCATTTGAGTTTGTTTGTTCAAAGTTTTAAATAATGTAATGAAGGTTCAGAAAATAAAAGATACTTATCTTGAAAGCCACATGTATAAGCTCTCAAATACTATTTGAATTTGGTTTCTATCTGCTACAGAGGCTGAGATATCAGCTTTTTTGTAAACCTCAACACTTAAGAAAACCTCAGGATCTGGGGGCCCTTCAAAAAATGGCCCTCAGGATTTCACAGTCTCAGACAGGATTCAGGTCTTCATGGGTTAATGCTGAACAATATCTCCAGGTTTAGGAGCATCAGGACTCTATAGTTGGAGTCACTGCATGGGCTTAATATCACTTGTCCATGAACTGTCCTGAGGTCTAATGAATCAAGATCTAGCCCCAAATTTTCACCGCATCCAGAACAGCAGCGATTTTCGCCATCCGCCAATTCCTACCGGACCCGTTGGTGAGGCAAATTTCGCAGCATGCGGTTAAAATTGGGAGTAACACTCTTCTGGAAAGGACAACTGGACTTGCTTGAGACGTTTCGCCTAAGGCAAAACGTCTCTAGGAAGTCCAGTTGTTCAACAACATACTGGAATTCATAGATGCTGCAACCTCAGTTTTAAACAAAATCTCCAGGTTTAGGAGCAACATCTGCTGCCATCCAGACAGTGACTTTTTTTTAGGGAAGACCTTCATGGTTACTTGGCGTCCTAACTCTGATCGGACCCCGATTGTCAAAGACCTTTGTGGGTTTGGAGCTTAGAACCTCAGACATGCAGTCACGCTGTAATGTAAGACCATAGACTGTATATACTATGAACAACTTGGTTCTGCCTACAGCCTGTACACGGATTTGAAGCCAATACGCTCTCGGTATTTCCAGGATTTTTCTTCATTTCCTGAAACCAGCGCTGCGCCGTAGCGATGCGCACATTCGGCCGCGCAGTCGCAGAGAGTCACTGTGATGACGCTCGGCTCAAACAGCATTTCCCCCGGGTGAGCTACGCAATCCCTGAACGCCCATAGGCTGTATCAGGTGTCAGTCATAGAAAACATGAACCCCCTAATAACTTTTAAAAATGGAGCTTCACAGAAAAAAGAGGACTTGAGCACAAACCAGTCTTACAGTAACTACATGTCAATATCACAACCGGGGGGGAGAAAAATTTATGTTCTGTGTAATAAATTTCTAAAGTTGGTCCACAGCCCCATAAGCTTTTCTGGCGGAGGCGGGATTTATGACCTATACTGCAGCCCATCAACAAAGGGTGCTGTTCTCGGAGTGGCTTCACCCAGCAAGGAGGCAGACTGTCCATTCTTTATACAGTCTATGTGTGAGACTCACTTCAGTCTGAAAACAAATAAAAACGTTTAAGAAAAAAAAAGCTTAAGCCCTCTTTTGGAGCCGAAGGATACTTGTCGGTTGCGGTATGGTCTGACTGGCGAGATGAAACGGCGGTCCCTCTGGACTCGCTCCACCAGACCGTGATGCCGAGTGGACCGGTTCGACTCCAGAGTGGAGGGAAACGAGCCCTGAGAGAGAGAGAGAGAGAGAGAGAGAGAGAGAGAGAGAGAGAGAGAGAGAGAGAGAGAGAGATACTTTTTAATTTAACATGTACATTAGAGACATTAAAAAGACGGAAATAAAGAAACAGAAATAAACTCTGATCAGGGTCAGGACTGCTGCTCCAAGGATCTGAATCCTGTCCCAGACCTTTTCATCATGACCGCTGTGTTGTGTCAATAAAGACTCAACATCTGGGGCTCGTCTCACCTCAGAAAGACTTTTATAGTAATTTAAAAACCTCCAAAATTCCTCTAAAACTCTGGTGGAGATGAGGAGCCAACAAGACTCAATCCAATCTTTGTTGGAGAGAGGAGGAGTAGGAGGAGGAGGAGGGGGTGAAGATTCAACTGTGATAGCAGCAGCAGAGGAAGGGGGAGGCGGCGCTGATATTGATGAGACACTTTCATTACTGAATGAGTTTGGCTCTGCTGCTGCAGCGCTGACAGGAAACTGATGAGTCAGACATGGAGAGCTGCAGATCGTGGTCGTGACGCAGCCGCAGGAGACTGTCCTCCAGAACGTGACACCTTAACCGCTGCTTTTGTCCTCCAAAACAACTCAGAACTTACTCTGCTTTTATTTGATGAATATTTACGAGGAGGGGGTATCTAAAATTAATTTCCCTCAATATCAATATAAAACATGGTCAATATCCTTTTTGATAGTCGCCATTCTGCCATGTTTTGGTAGACTGTATGAATAGCCAATGAAAAGGGGAGTTGCTCATTGTACATATATATTTATTGTAGTATTTAGTGTAATTTGTTTACTTATTCCCTTTTTTATTTTTCTATCTGTCTTTATTTGCACTGCGGGTCCGAGAGGACTGTAATTTCATATATGCTGTAGTATAGCATATTTGACAATAAAGCTGACTTTGACTTTGACTCTGGGTCTGCTTCGCGCTGAACCAGTCATGTGCTGAATTAGAACTAAGTAGCAAACAACTGCGTCGTAGCAGACAGCAGCTCCACCCAACCGCAGCACTTTAACTGGTGAAGCCGACAGCACTGTTAGTGAGAAAAAAAGAAAATGAGTGCTACCCCCGACAGAAATGACAATGAAGGCTCAACAGATGATGACATCGTCGACAACACTGGCACAATGGTGGTGTGGAGGTATTTTGGTTTTTTGAGGTCGAACATGAAGCAGAGTAATGTGGACTGTAAATTACGTCGAGTACATGTTCTCACAAAGTCAAGGAATACCTCAAATCTTTTTCACCACCTGCAGCAGCGCCACGCTGCAGAGCACGTGCAATGCAAAAGGTTACATTCCCCAAGAGGATCAAGGAGCCCATGGCACCTGAAACAGCCGACCATTCAGTCTGCTTTCTCTAGAGCAACGCCTTACGATAAAACGTCAAAGAGACACAAAGACCTAACAGGTGCAGTAGATTATTGTATTGGAAAAGACATGCGACCAATAAACACAGTTAAATTTCATTTTTTATATCGTGATAAATATCAATATCAACTGATATGAAAAAAATATATTGTGCTTAACTTTTTCCCATATCACCCAGCCCTAGTCTGAGTCCAAGTTTGGATCCTGCAGACACAGTTAGAAACGCCAAGAGAGTGTGCGTGGCGGTTTTTGGTTACCTGGAAGTCCTGAGGGGTCCTGCCAATCTGGTTTACGTTGGGTAGCGAGCCGCCATAGTATGGGCCCTGACTCCTGGCGAGGCGGAGCTTCTGGGCCTGGAGCTGTCAGGAGGAAGACAGAAAAACGTTGAAAAGTTGGAGGACTGGGAGGAAACCTTCAACAAAGAAGGACTCAGTGGGTGGCTCAGATCTGGTGTGACAGGACCACAGAGAAGATAAACCAGGATCTGGATTTCAGCAGGCGGTTTGAGGCGGACTCTGGGTAAGACCGATCCTGAACTGGATCATCTATGTTCGCTAAACTCCATTTACAGCACTTTGCAGTTTTAAGGACTGCAATTCTGGGACCACATCTCTATGACCCTGGTAGTCTGTAGACGCAGTCCAGACTAGGGCTAGGGATGGGAATCGAGAAACGGTTCTTGTTCAGAACCGGTTTCAAATGGTTCAATCCATCGACATCGTTTACATTTCATTTTAATGATTCCCTTAACGATTCCTTTCTTCCGGGTGCTTTGGAAAACGGTCTTGTGAGAGGCAGTCTACTCGAAGGAAAACAGAGACTTTGAGGAAAAAACATGGTGGATGGTACAAAAAGTAGGCAGAAACAATCTAAAGCGGGGCTTCATTTTACAAAGAAAGACGACGACGAGTTTTGTATGGAAGTTTTGAGTTTGTGTAGCATGGACTAACTGAGTTAGAAGCGCGTAAAAAACACTCAACCCGACCAGAAAAACCCTCAAAATTTTGCGCACGACTCCATCCCATGTAGCCGTGTCCTCTTTTTGGAGATCCAGAGTATGGTCACCCTGATTTGACTTTATACCGACCAAGTAAATGTTGTACAAATAGTTAGTCGTTTAATTATTTTTAGACTACATCTTTTTCTGTCATCAAAGACTAAAATTTTGAGTTAACATTGAAAACCTATAGTCTACTTTTTTTTTTTAATCAAACAAAGGAATTGATAAGGGAATCGTTAAAGAATTGAATTGATAAGCAGAATATTGAATGGCAACAATATTGATAAAATTGTATCAATTCCCATCCCTAACTAGGGCTGCACAATATATTGTTCGAGCATTGTCATTGCGATGTCAGGTGCGCACAATAAAAGCAAGCTAAAAATATCTCTAAGACATACAGAAGCCATTCTACTAACATTCACAAAAAGAGGTAAGATCAGTGCAGGTTAACTGTCCTCAAAATTTTAGCAGAAAGTGAAATTCAGGTCATCTGCTGAAAATTCCTGTAGTTTTTAATATCGTAAAGTTGAAAAAAATCGCAATGTTAGTTTTTTCCAATATCGTGCGGACACATACACACACACGCGCGCGCAGACTCTGTCCTGGTTGAGTGGGTTGTATCTGCAGCCCCTCCTGTCCTTGTTCTGGGTCTGCTGGAGTCCTTGGATCTTTGAAGACCCCGCAGACGGCGTTCATTCACAGATCTTTAAAAAAACAGTTAGACTAACAGCCTCATTTTACAGCCTGATTTCTCAGGGTGTGTTAGCTTAGCGGCTCAGAGTAATGATTGTCCAGAGAGGAGAATGATCCTGGAGCGAGCTGGTGGATGAGTGATGAGGAGGTTTAGGTTTTAGAGGGTTCCTGGCACAGAAGAAAACCCTGTACTGCTGAGTCATGGTTGAGCTGTAATAAAAGCTGAGTCATGAACTGAAGAGCTCCATCGTTGGAGTTGTGGCATTATCCTATAATCCGAGTCAACAGGCTAAAAATTTAGGTGTTTTATTTGACTCAGAACTGAACCACACATACCACAAAGACGACGTTTTATCATTTAAAAAACATCCCTAAGAGTGACCGTTTCTCTCTCAAGCCAATGCAGAGACATGAATTCATACTTTTACCACTTGTAGAATAGATTATTGTAATGCACTCCTTTCTGGTCTCCCCAAAAAGAACATTTTACACCTGCAATTACTTCAAAATTCAGCTGCATGGATGTTAACAAGGACCAGAAAGAGAGATCACATTACACTGATTTTAAGGTCTCTACATCGACCCTCTGTCTCTTTCAGAATAGATTTTAAAGTTGTTTTTATTGGTTTTTAAAGCGATAAAGAGATAAAATAAGAAAAGATTATAAGTAAAACAAAGGCTAAATAAGAAAGAGGTAAAAGAGGTAAAAGAAAAAGGAGAAAAAAAAGGCAAAAGACGGTAAAAGATGGCATCACATAAAAGCAAGTCTGTAAAAGTGAGTTTTTAAAATTGACTTAAAAGAAGCGACTGTCTCTGCACGCCTTATCTCCTCTGGCAGGTCGTTCCAAAGTCGGGGAGCTCTGATGGAGAAAGCTTTATCACCTTTAGTTTTGAGGCTCAACTTTGGAACGACTAGGAGGCCTTCGCCAGAGGATCTGAGGCTGCGAGTTGGCTCATAAGGTATTAAAAGCTCTGAAATGTAGCTCGGAGCAAGTCCTTTGAGCACTTTAAAAGTAATCAATAAAATCTTAAAATCAATTCTAAAACTGACAGGAAACCAGTGAAGGGAGGCTAAAAATTGGAGTGATGTGATGCCGTCGACTAAAACCAGTTAAAAGCCGAGCTGCTGCATCCTGAACTAGTTGGAGGCGAGAGAGTGATTTCTTGTTTAAACCAGGGAGGAGAGGGTTACAATAGTTCAGTCTTGAGAAAATGAAGGCGTGGATTATCTTTTCGAGATCTGGTGGGGTGAGTATTTATTTAATCTTTGAAATGGAGCGCAGGTGAAGGAAACAGGACTGGACAATCTTGTTGATATGGGTGGAGAAGGTCTGAATCGAAGGTTACTCCCAGATTTCTGGCTGTTGGTTTGATGATTATTGAATGTGGACCGAGACAAGACTGAATGAGGGGGGAGTTTTGTATGTTACAGAGAATTATTTCAGATTTTGAATAGTTTCACTTAGACAGCCCATGACAGCAGCTAGGCCTCTTGGGTCCTCAGGTCTCAAAGGAAGGTATATCTGTGTGTCGTCTGCATAGCAGTGAAAGGAGACTTTGTGGCGCTGAATTAATTGGCCAAGGGGCAGAAGATACAAGGAAGTGTACGCTTACAAATATTGCATAATAAATCATGCATTTATTTATCTAATATGAGCTTTGTTGTTTTAGGAACATTATGAACAGTGAACATACCAGTTTAAACACAAATAAAAGTTAATAAAAGACACGTAACAGTAAAAGTTTTGGTGTGAATCACAATATAAGGGGGGGACATGAGCTGCTTGGCGGAGGTCTGCGCTCTGCGAGTGCTTTTCTGATTTATCTTATGAGTCAGGTAGAGTCCTCAAGTCTTCAGGAAGTTCTCTGTTAACATTACCCAAACGTAACACCAAGACACCTGAAGACCTGAGTACTGAAACTAATCTTAAATTATCTTTAAACCAAACTGAAAACATACCTTTTTGGTCTTACTTTTGACTAAACTTTTTATCAGTAACTTGAAGTATTTTAGCATTTATCTCTTTCTAGTTTTAATGACAGGATTGTCTTTTATTGAGCTTTTTTGGTGTTCTTTAAGTATCTTTTACTGTTGTTTTTATTTAGTTTTATTTATTTTTTCTTAAATTTCATTTTATGTTACTTTGTTTTTAGATTTTAACCTTAACCTCCAGTGTTTCCTTTACTTGAATTTTAAAATGGACTCCTCAAGTGCGCACATTAAAGTCCTTTTTAAGGTCATGCATTTTAATCCTGTTTCTGTTGTGTTTAGATCGTGGGGTGGGAATGAGGGGTTGGGCTGGGGTAGATTTGGGTTTTCTTTGTTTCTTTTATTCCTTTTTCACTTTGTGCTACATGGTTGTGTATGAAAAGTGCTATATAAATAAAGACTGATTGACTGATTGATTGATTGGTAGTTTGGGAGAGTGAAAACACAGAAATCTAAGCTTTTCTATTTGGTGTTATGTCCTTCAAAACAAACTGATGACTCAGACTTTAAATACTGTTTGTATGTTGGACCACACCTGCAATCCAGCAGCAGCTCGCCACTTGAAGAGAGAGGGACAAACACCACAGGACTGATCCTTCACCAGCCCTAAAACTTCCCCAACAGCAGCTGACTGAGCTGGCGTGTCGCTGCTAACAGAGACCCTCAAGTGTTTCGTGTGTAAAATACTGATAAAACAACCAGACTGTTGTGTTTCTAGATGGTCTGCGACGTTGTTTTTAATAATAATAATTGATGACTGAACGATCAGAGCTGGCTGTCAGCCCCTGACTGACTGTTTCCTGAGCAGGCGGACACACTAACCCAGAATCTCTCATGTGATGCTGTAATTTGGTGGAATGAGGACCCTGAGAGCCGTGTCCTCACTTCCTCTGATCCAACACAGTTAGGATGACCCGCTGGACCAGAACACAGCCAATCACATGCTTAGTTTCCTGTGATATCAAAGCTGTTACAAATCACGCTTTCACATCAGATCCAAACGGACTAATGAAATCTCGGGAAGTCCCCATCCCTGCCTGCAGCGGCTGTTCTGCCCTAGAGACAGAGCTGCCGTCTAGAAACAGATTACACTAGCGTTAGTGCACTGATTTCAACAATGGATTCATCATCCTCCTCAGTTTAGCTTTTGGACCAGGATTCAATAGAACTGTAATGGAGCTGAAGTAATTCCAGCGTCTGTCAGAGCCTTAAAGGGCTATTTCAATGATTTTGATCCATCTGAGTGAGGAGTGTCAATTTCATTTCCAGCACGGGTTAATCTGTGCTGAATTTATCCGGCATGCTCCGGCGTCCGCAAAAAAATAGAACTCTTGCGATCAGCTGTGGAGTCCAGCAGAACGGAAAGAAGCTGGTGAAAAATTGACACATTAACTTGAATGGTTACGATCAGCTACGATTGAAGGATACCGCCTTTTAGTAACTGTTCAGGATGCAGTGAAATTGGGGGTTAGTTTTAGGTTGGATATTTGACGGACATTCACTGAGGATATACCGGTGTCTTCTCACTCTCCATAACCGGGAATAAAAACAGCAGCGCAGTTAAATCTACTCAGCACCCTCGCTGGCAACGTTGGGTATTGAATATGGGACCATCAATAAATTACCTGTTGATGTTCTCAGAAAAGGCTGTTTTCCTTCAATAGCTTCCATGTCATGTGCCCAAAAGACCTAAAATTGATTTCAAATAATAGTACTGAGGTCGAACAATAAGACAAACATTATTTGATCAATTTTCATTGTGCCCCTAAAAATCTTTGTGAGCTTCTTACTTTTCAACTTGGGAGAACATGTCAAAAAAATTAGTGTCAAGCCCTGACCACAGACAGAGCTTCCTGTGCGTGATGCTGCGTCAATTAGAACAGGATCGTAGCACACAACACTTACAGAACACGCTCATCATGGATCCTGGGTGTTTTGGGGGCCCCGCTTTAGTGTCTTTAATAGAAGCCTTCAGGACAATCGTACCCAATCACATGGTTTCCACAGCCAGCTCTACCCTGATGCTCGGAGCAGGAAGTGTGCCTGCTTCGTGACGGCTCTGGAACAGCTTGATTTTCATCCTGGCGTGCGCGTTAACATCTCAGACCATTTAGACTGCAGCACGCCTCATGAATCAGAGCTGTAGAGTACAGAGGCATGACCGGAGGGCTGGATCTGGATCAGAGTCTGGTCTGTTTGTCAGGCTTTCCTCGTTTGATAACAGTCTTCATGAATCCCACAGGTGAGCTCAGATGTTTCCTCATTAGACCGACTCAACACCTGGACCAGTCCTGAGAGCAGACCCTCATATAGACGATTACAGGACCAGATCTACCTACCCTAACAAGATCTGCTGAGTGTGAGTGCTCAGAGCAGGATGACAGGTGTACATCTGAAAAGCACAGGGACAAAGAGAGGCTGCAGCATGACTACAGGTAATATCGACTTCAGTAATACTTAATGAAGTTATTCTCATTAAAAATGAGTCAGAGCTTCAGTCTGATGGTCGATAAATTAAAATGATAAATAAAGATGATAGATGGGGATGATAATCAAGATGAGATATGAAAATGATAGATGAAGATGATAAATGAAGATGATATAAAAAATGATAAATGATGATGATAAATAAAAGATAATAGATGAAGATGATAAATGAAGATGATAAAAGATGATAAATGAAGATGATAAATAAAAATGATATATGAAGATGATAAATGAAGATGATAGATGAAGATGATAAATAAAAATGATATATGAAGATGATAAATGAAGATGATAGATCAAGATGATAAATAAAAATGATATATGAAGATGATAAATAAGAATGATATATGATGATAAATGAAGATGATAGATGAAGATGATAAATAAGAATGATAAATGAAGATGAGAAATAAGAATGATAAATGAAGATGAGAAATGAGGATGAGAAATGAGACTGAGAAAGTCCATCAGTCTGAGATTCTATCACTTCTGCTCCCTCCCTCGCTGGACGCTGTTCTTTGTTCCTCCCTGCAGAAAATTTATGAGACTAACAGCTTTGACAGGCAGCTACTGAACACGAACACACACACTGTTGCTTTTAGCTGATTGGACCACCCACATACTCCTGCTGCATTGTTAGTGTGTTAGGAGCAGAAAATCCAAAAAGGAGCCTCAGGAGAGAAACAGAGGACTGAGTCTCAGACAGTGACACTGCACCAGTTTTCAAATCAAGTTCCATGCTTTTCAAGACCAACTTCAAGGCTTTTCAAGGCCTTTTAAGACAATTTCAGACCCAGACAAAGAGCACTTCTTGCATATCTTCAGACAGCCTCATAAACACTGTTTGAGTAGCTCCCAGTCCAAGTCCAGCATCCCTGATGGTATGGAGATCATCAGAGTGAAGGCTCCTTCTCTCTCTTCTCTCTCCTCTTTTTTCCTCTTTCCTCCTCTCCTATCTCCTCTCTCCTCCTCTTCATCCTCCTCCCATGCCAATGGTATGGAGATCATCAGAGTGAAGGCTCCTTCTCTCTCCTCTTTTTTCCTCTTTCTACAGACGGATCAATCTTCTGATCGGTCGCTCCGATTGATAACTCTGATGTCAGTAAAGTTCTGCTGACTGCAGATTTTTACAATCAGAACTTCAGGCTCTCATACCAGATCAGTAACGGGAACCTGATCTACTAATTGACTGGATCATTGTGCTGACTCAGCAGCTGACAGGGACTGATCAGTGAGAGTGATCAATCAGAGCCGTGCTGCTGAGATAAAGACAGACCTGATCGACTGTGGATGAATGCTAACAGCCGTCAGTCCGAGTAAAAAACTGTTGAATTAATTTAAAAAACTTGAAACTCAAAAATTCAAGGCTTTTCGAGACCACATTCAAGGCTTTTTAAGAGACAAAATTCAAGGCTTTTTTAGTGACCAAATTCAAGGTTTTTTTAGAGACCAACTTCAAGGCTTCTTAGGAGACCAAATTTAAGACCTTTTAAGACCAAATTCAAAGCTTTTAAGGGGCCAAATTCAAGGCTTTTTAAGAGAACATATTCAGACTTTTTGAGACCAAATTCAGGACTTTTTAGGAGATAAAATTCAAGGCTTTAGGGGAACAAAGTAAAGGCTTTTTAGGAGACCAAACTCCAGGTGTTTTAAGAGAACAATTCAAGGCTTTTTGGACCAAATTCAAGGCTTTTTAAGAGATAAAAATCTAAGGTTTTTTAAGACTAAATTCAAGGCTTTTTAAGACCAACTTCATGGCTTTTCAAGACCGAGTTCAAGGCTTTTGAAGACCAAAATCAAGGCTTTTTAAGAGACCAAAGATACTCAAACACAGAGTCTGTCTGAACCTCGTTATTTTGATGGTTTGGATTCATTTACTCTGACTGATTAATAGAGACATCCATCAATAATTAAGATAAACAGGTGATCAGGACAGGTGTGTTACAAGTCCTGTTTCACCTCAGCTCAATCATCCTTTATTAGACCAGCTAATATTCAAATGTTCGATCGTTCACATTCATATACACACGTCATAAAACCAACAGTGTTTACACAGAGGCTTTCTGTTCACAGATTTACAACATCAGCTCTGAAAACAGGAGAAATCCCACTGCCCTGAGGCTTTAAACTTTGAGTCCTAAATGATCTGATGTTCTAATCCTGATGATTTCTCCTTGGACCTGTTCTTTGTTTATTTTCTGCACTGAGATCCTGTGTGTTTAAGAAGCAGACAGCAGTTAAACACAGAGATCCAGAGCAAACACAGGCTGTGATTGGACAGACGCTTCACCTGTGAACACGCAGGGCTCCCCTACCTGATGCACACACCATGATGGTGACACACCTGGTGGAGGTTTAGGATCCATCATCCATTCTTAAAACCCCTGTTCAACATTAAAACTCTTCTAAAATCTGAATTCATGTGAGACTAATTCAGTTCGAATGACGTGCAGCATAGGTCAGGTGAGTCGTGTTCACACTGGACACAAATAAAACCAGTTTAGACACCAGAATATTTTCACTCTCTGTTTTCAAACTCACACAGAGAGGAGGAGACGCCGGTACCATTAGTTGGGCCTCCATCTCTGGATGAATGACCCGCCAATGCTTTATTCTTGAATAACACTATAAATACTTTAGCAGCTGCATGCTAAAAGTGATCTATTTTTTAAACACTGTATTGACCCTTTGATTGGTTAACAGACCAAAACAAGATGTCGGCTTTCATTCAGGGTAGTCAGCTTACAACAGAAACAGTACTTCCTTCAAATTTATGCAGAAAACATTAAAGATTATCTAGGAATTTACTCTGGAAAGTCTCAAGAAAAACACCAATTTTTTGTGGGACTGAAAAGGCCCAAGATGTTTATCCTGTGACAGCTGTCGGACTCACAAACCGAGTGGATTTTAAAGTGAATCGCGACATCATACTGCTCTGTTTTCAGAGTTTATCCTGTAAACACAGAAATAATGTGTCTATACAACAGCACTGTCCCCATTAACCTCCAGTTAAAAGATGAGTTCATGTCTTCTATTTAGGTCATTTTACTGTTATCTTGAACATTATTACAAAATGCGTCTATTTGTCGTCATCCATTCTGGTCTTTGTCTTGTTACAGTTTTTTTGGCTGAATCAATTCTACTTTAAGTCTCAGTACTTCCAAAATAAAGATAAAAAACAAGATTATTCTGTTTTAAAAAGCAACACTTCTCAAGGATTTATTGTGTTTTTTTAAAAATCAGACCTCTTCACTTATAAGTCCTATCATACAGCTCAGTCTAGTTCCACGCTGGTACCATCAGTTGGGCCTCCATCTCTGGACGAATGAACCTCCAGTGCTTTATTCTTGAATTATGCCACTAGAAGACCTCCAAGCTGATTGGCTACTGCAGTGGGAATGACTTTAACAAATAGACCAGTGCAGCAAAATGAACTCCAGGGGTCCGTTTCACGTAGGTGGTTCAACAAACTCTGAGTTAAATCCTTAACTCTGAGTTGATCTACTCTGAGTTAGGAAACTCTGAGTTTCCGGTTTCACAACACCTGATTTGAGACGGTTTTAACAACTCCGAGTAGTTTGACCTGGAGTTAAGCACGTGCACGCCAGACATAAACAGCCAGCATCTGTGGAGCGCAGATTCAATGATCAACCAATGGAAACAGGGAGAAGGAGGGGGCAGCAGCAAGCCAACAGCGAATGACAGCACGTTTTTAAAAGAAAGTGCAATACAGCAGCAGCTGCAAAGGAGAGGGAGAGGGCTTGGGAGGAAATCGCTGCTCGCGTCAATGCGTAACTTTAAATCTAGTCTCGTGCAAACACAATGACAGACTGTTGCAGGGAAACTGCTTGAATCATTTTGATCATGTTTTACATTGTCAAGTAAGTATTAAGTGGCAGTTTGATCCCTTAGAAAATGCTCTTTTCACACTCAAAAATGAATTTTACTCTCTTATGATGTTCCGTTAAATGATTAGGAATATTAAACTAACTCTCAGTATGTATATGTACATATATTAAACTAACACACACTACACTCAATATTAGACTTTCACTCAGCAAACAGAAAGAGGGCTGATGCCAGAAAAATGGGTGGTGGCCCAGCAGCCCCACCTTTAACGGAGGCAGAGGAGCTGCCCCCCCCTTAGACGATCGCAACCCCCACCCCGTAGCAGCGATCGTCGGACTGGTGTGTGTGCGTGTGTGTGTGTGTGTGTGTGTGTGTGTGTGTGTGTGTGTGTGTGTGTGTGTGTGTGTGGGGGGGGGGGGGGGGGGGGGGGGATTTGCGATCGGACCGGCCGCGATCGGACCGGCCGCGATCGTCGAACGGGGTGGGGTGGGGGGCAGCTCCTCTGCCTCCGTTAAAGGTGGGGCTGCTGGACCACCACCCGTTTTTGTGTTAGTTTAATATTCCTAATCATTTAACGGAACATAATAAGAGAGTAAAATTCAGTTTTGAGTGTGAAAAGAGCATTTTTTAAGAGATCACTGCCACTTAATACTTACTTGACAATGTAAAACATGATCAAAATGAGAAAATGCCGATGTCTCACCTGAAACTCTGGGTTTACTGAGTTAAACCTGCTCCCGAGCAGGTTAGGTTCACGGAGTCTGTTACTGTGGTAACTGACCGCGAGGTTGAGTTACCTCTCTTTGTGAAACAGGTTAGAGTTACCCCTCTCTCCCTGGTTTAACTAACCCTCCTTTGTGAAACGGAAAACTCAGAGTTTCCCTGATTTCAGGGTTAACAAACTCGGAGTTTCCACTAAACCTGCTACGTGAAGCGGACCCCAGGACTATAACTGCAGCTTGACAGGGCTTCAGTGGTCGCGGCGGCCGCGTCACTGGGGTTTGTTTAGGTGTTGTTTCTGTTGTTTGTGTTTTGCATGTGCTCCACTCAGCAGAGATGCCAATATGACTCACTTCTCAGCAATTCACCTCCTGAAAACAATCTCATGTCTGCACACAGCAGACACAAAACGGTGATGACGTCTCCAGTGAGTCATTGCCTTTGGTGGCGTGCACACTAAGCGCAAACCAGCGAGATGGCGCTCGTCACAGAAAAACGGTCTTCAGAATTACCCACACGTGTATGGACTAGTCTTAAATGTTATTCCATGATTTGGTCTGACCTTTGTTCTTGCTGAATTTGTGACTTTAATCCTATAAATAAACAAACACACACTTGTCAATTCGACATGTGATTTTTGCTAATTTTATGACTTTAATCTGATAAACGTATTAGATTAATCTTTCAAATACGCCACAGTTTTCTTCCTCAGCTACAGCTCATTGATTTGCAAGTTTATTCTTATGAAGTTGATCTTTTACTTTCGTTTACATATACATATACACTCACCGGCCACTTTATTAGGTACACCATGCTAGTAACGGGTTGGACCCCCTTTTGCCTTCAGGACTGCCTCAATTCTTCGTGGCATAGATTCAACAAGGTGCTGGAAGCATTCCTCAGAGAGCTTGGTCCATATTGACATGATGGCATCACACAGTTGCCGCAGATTTGTCGGCTGCACATCCATGATGCGAATCTCCCGTTCCACCACATCCCAAAGATGCTCTATTGGATTGAGATCTGGTGACTGTGGAGGCCATTTGAGTACAGTGAACTCATTGTCATGTTCAAGAAACCAGTCTGAGATGATTCCAGCTTTATGACATGGCGCATTATCCTGCTGAAAGTAGCCATCAGAAGTTGGGTACATTGTGGTCATAAAGGGATGGACATGGTCAGCAACAATACTCAGGTAGGCTGTGGCGTTGCAACGATGCTCAATTGGTACCAAGGGGCCCAAAGAGTGCCAAGAAAATATTCCCCACACCATGACACCACCACCACCAGCCTGAACCGTTGATACAAGGCAGGATGGATCCATGCTTTCATGTTGTTGACGCCAAATTCTGACCCTACCATCCGAATGTCGCAGCAGAAATCGAGACTCATCAGACCAGGCAACGTTTTTCCAATCTTCTATTGTCCAATTTCGATGAGCTTGTGCAAATTGTAGCCTCAGTTTCCTGTTCTTAGCTGAAAGGAGTGGGACCCGGCGTGGTCTTCTGCTGCTGTAGCTCATCTGCCTCAAAGTTCGACGTACTGTGCGTTCAGAGATGCTCTTCTGCCTACCTTGGTTGTAACGGGTGGTTATTTGAGTCACTGTTGCCTTTCTATCAGCTCGAACCAGTCTGGCCATTCTCCTCCGACCTCTGGCATCATTCCGCCCACAGAACTGCCGCTCACTGGATATTTTTTCTTTTTCGGACCATTCTCTGTAAACCCTAGAGATGGTTGTGCGTGAAAATCCCAGTAGATCAGCAGTTTCTGAAATACTCAGACCAGCCCTTCTGGCACCAACAACCATGCCACGTTCAAAGTCACTCAAATCACCTTTCTTCCCCATACTGATGCTCGGTTTGAACTGCAGGAGATTGTCTTGACCATGTCTACATGCCTAAATGCACTAAGTTGCCGCCATGTGATTGGCTGATTAGAAATTAAGTGTTAACGAGCAGTTGGACAGGTGTACCTAATAAAGTGGCCGGTGAGTGTATAATATACTTCTAATGATTAATGACATCTCTCAACATTAACGACAAAGTTTGTATTTTCATTATCAGCCCTGATTTTGTTCAACTGGTGCCTCTTTTAAAAATGCAACAGAGGTAATAACAGGTGAAAGGGTATAATGAAAACCTCAACTTTGCACAGAGGATTTAAGATTTCTGCATCCAAGAGTCCAGACAGATAAAATAACTTCAAGGTTCAGTCAAAGGAGAGTCCTCCGGTCCTTACTTCACCCTCAAACATGACACTTAAACCACAATATACCCACTATGTCGGCTGAGAATCACTTTAAAACATGCAAATAACGTGAAAGATAACAGAAATGTCTGAATTAAACGTGTCACAGCCTAAAACGAGTGTCCCTCTGTCTTCACTAACAGCTTCTGTAGGATTCTGCTGCAGGCTGGCAGCTAAAAACCAAAACATATCGATTAAACTTACAATACTAAGACTCCATACACTTAAGCTCAGTACTTCACACTTACACCGCTAAGTTACCTTTAAATACAGGGTTTTGAACATGTAATTAACGAAAATAAAGTTATCTTTACAATAACCGTGCGGGTACAGACCGTCACACCAAACTCCATTCAAAAGTTACGAGGTTAAGAGATCACTCCAGTTTGAAGTCTACACCAGAAAAACCACAACATATTAGACAACAATAAAACATAATTTAGTTATCTAATATAAAACGGCATGGCTGGTTTTACCCTCAAAACTCTAAATGTATGGTCATGTGTGATATTTTGAGTTGACTAGAATGAGAGGTGTGTGATTATGTAGAGAAGTTAGCTGCGGTTAGGATACACACGAAAGCAGTTGAGAGTCTTGATTCAACGCCGATAACCCAGAAAGGGCAAAATTATCTACAAACTGCAAATTTTATGTCAAATTTTCTTGTACTGTGTAAACAAAATAGTAATCCGGAAACTGACAGATTTTTTTAACCAAGCTCGACAGGACGTGCCCGGGCTAACACGGTGACAGCGACGTTAACGTAACATAGTAAACAAGCCAAGTTAGCTTTCGCTGCTAATTCTTGCTAACTACGCTAACGACGTATCGGAAATGGACAACCAGAAGTAACAACAACTTGAGCAAATGTCCAGCAAACACTAAAAGCTCTGTTATTTTTAACTTTTATTCACTAAGAGCGCACTTATTCTGAGCAGAGCCCCATGTAGAGGCAGCAGTTATCGTTCTCTCTGAGCCTGGCAAGCCCGGGCAAGGCCTCTCTTCCTCCGGGCAGCTCTTCTCCTCCTCCTCCTCCTCCTCCGTCTCACACTCACCCTGGTCGAGGTGATGTCCATCATAACCTCCTGAAAGGCGGCTGTCTCCTCGGCTTGTCGCTGGGTATGAAGCGCTATCTTCTCGCTGAACTTTCGGGGGTTGGAAGCCCCGGACCCGGAGCCCGAGGTGGCTCCAGGTCCGGGTCCACAGCCGCCTGTACCCGTCGCAGACATCTTCACCGAGCGGACGGGGCGACTTGACGTAGTGGAATGATTTTCAGCAGAGAGGCGCGGGAAAGTGCAGAGCTCTCACTCAGCGGTTGTTTCTACAGGCCGAAAATGTCAGCCAGAGGAGCGCCGAAACGTGTCCATATTACAACCATCCCCGGCGAACAAAGACTCACTGTGTTCGTAATTGATTTAGATCTGGGTGAATGAAGTTGTGTGTACCCTCAGGACTCTCTTACTGTTAACGCCGCAAAAAAGATGTGTGTCCAACCAGCTATCGCAGCGACATCTAGTGGCCAAAATGAAACTACAGCAGCTTTCATGACGAGTGAAAACGCCACAGGGCTGTTTCAGGAGTTTTTTGTTTCAGATGAATACAAATTTAGATATTTTCAAACGCACAAATCTCCCTGCCCGTTAGTCTCTCTTTTTTAAATAAAAACAATTCTTTATAGACATGATCTTTCGTTTTCCAAACATTTCTTAGATTGTAATCTTGTAAAGTTGAACCTATAGTTGTAATTTTGTTGTTGTTGTTGTTGTTGTTTTTTTATGTCTAAAGAAACTGCTTCTGAAGAGTCACTATCAAATTAACCCTATATCTAATCTTACTTAATAACAATTAAGTTTTGTTTTAATACTCTTATAACCATAACTAAATATAGGCCTATTGACTATGTTTGGATATTCCCAGATGCAAGTTGACATTAAATAAATTCTTTCATTATCAATGGACATCATCATGATGGCTTTGCAGCAAGAATTACAAATTACATAAAATGCAAATAAATAAAAACCCCAAACTTCAGTTTAGCTTGGTTTGCTTTCCAAAATTGGATAACATTGTTACCTTCCATACCTTGAACATAATTAAATTAAATATAATTAAATGTTATCTTTATAGGAGATTGTTATACGAGTATTTTTCTTCCCATTTTGAAGTTGAAAATGACTTTTGAGCACTAGTTATGATTCCAGGGTTTTATCTATGATTTTAAGCCAGCAAAAATCACCGTTTTTAAGAATTATTTTAAACATCGTCCAAATTTAACCCAAAATATCTCTGTTTAGATTTTACTGTAGTACAAAAGCTTCAGATGGCTGAAGCCTGGTCTCCATGGTAACAGCGTGTGCGCGCGCGCGTGTGTGTGAGAGAGGTCAAATGAGAACAAGGCTGAGGTGTGAACGCCCACTCTCACACACACACACACACACACACACACACACACACACACACACACACACACACACACACACGCACAAGGTGGATCTGTTTATCATCTAAACCCACAGAAGAGTGAGTCATCTTGTCCAACACAGACAAGCTTTGATTCATGGGGGAGAAGGAGGCGGCGCGCCCTCTGCTGGCAGATTCCCGCGACTGCACCTTCACGAGTAAAGACGAGACAATTCTTCCCCAGTTAATGTAAAAGTTCGAATCAGTGGCGGCTGGTGAGAAAAATAATAGGTGGGGCTGAAGTTCTGGAAACCAGAACCCTGGGTTCGGGGGTATTCTCCCCCGGGAGATTTTTTTTTCGTTTTCAAAAGGTAGATGAAGCATTCTGGTGCTGTCAAAGAAATTAATTTAGGAAACATACGATGTTGACCTGGGGTGGGGATACTGTATTTCTCTTTACAACCAGGGTATTATAGCCGACACACAGCCTACCTACATTCAATGTAATCCTATGATATAGAAACTGACAGCAGCATATTCTTACTCGTGTACATCCATCTGCATCTTAACAGGTTAGGCTACAGCAAAGGAGCACACAGAGACAACTGCAGAAAAATAGTGAAGAGCAGACTCACATTTATAACAAATCAGGCTGCATACCAAAGTGATCAGCCAAGGAAAAAAACACAAACATTTGCTTTAAATACAGAACAGTTTTATTACATTTGATATTTCAGTTGAATTGAATTGAAACTGGGTGAACAAATACAGGGTTCCTACTCTTTAATAGAAATCCTTTTCCAGGACTTTTCCAGGACGTTTTCATCCTGCCTTAAAATTTATTGATTTCTAACATTGTGGCATGAACATTGTCCGTTAGCTTTCTTTTTAGTCTGGCTTTTATGTAGTGTCTCACTATAAAAAAAATATGGTTTATATTAGGTTTTAATCTTTATATACCCTACTTTTCTACAAACAGATTCTGTTGACTGACTGTTTCAGAAGCCGAAATTTTACTTTGCCAGCTTAATAATTTCTTCTTGTCATTATTAATTTACAAGGGAAACAAAAAAGAGCCTTATTCTTCGGACTTCCAGTTAGCCATGCTTTACGCCTATACCATGCTCTTGAAAATGTCTGCGTACTGTCTGCTCTTCTCGGTGGTCACTTGCTAAGCAGCAACATCTGGTCGATCCAGACCGAACTCTTTCAGCTTTAGTTATTCCTGCAGCGTTCTCCTCTCAAACGCGACCTACTTGATGGACAGCAAAGCGTTCTCTGGTAAATCACTTGGTAGGGGGTAAGCGGTCGCCATTCCCACGTCCTCTGTCATTAGCAGCCAAGTGCAGAGTGAGGGGCGGACCGGCTCCCAGTAGAGCAGCTAGCTACGTCAGACGCACATTGTAGCTATGCGTCCGTTTGTGGCCAATCTGGTTATGAACGTGCTTACGTCATTCAAATTAGGGATGCTTGGGCGCTCGTCCCTGGCGCCCCTTAAGGATTTTTTTATTTGGCTAGGATAAGCTAACTTTTTAATGCAGAACTGTGATCTGAGCATGCGTAAGACAACAGACGTTCAGAGTCCACCCCATAGACTGTATATAAGATGGACAACCTGGTCCCGCCTTCCGCCTGTATACGGATTTGAAGCCAAAAAGCTCTCGGTAGTTCCGGGTTAACTTCCTTGAAACCAGAGCTGTGCAGTAGCGATGCGCGCATTCGGCCGCGCAGTCGCCGAGAGTCCCTGTGATGACACTCGGCTCAAACGGCATATCCCCCCCGGGAGAGCTACGCAATCCCTGAACGCCCATAGGCTGTACCAGGTGTCAATCATAGAAAACATGAACCCCCTAATAACTTTTAAAAACGGAGTTTCACAGAAAAAAAAGGACTTGGGCACAAACCAGTCTTACAATAACTACATGTCAACATCAAAAGCAGGGGGGAGAAAAATTTTTGTTCTGTGTAATAAATTTCTAAAGTTGGTCCACAGCCCCATAAGCTTTGCTGGCGGAGGCGGGATTTATGACCTGTACTGCAGCCCGTCAACAGAGGGTGCTGTTCTCTGAGTGGCTTCACCCAGCGAGGAGGCAGACTCTGTCCATCTTATATACAGTCTATGGTCCACCCCGGCGCTGGGTAGAGAGATCGCTAACGGACTGAAATACACATTTAATGGAATGATTAATATAACAGCGCCATTTCCTTACTTTGAGAATAATTTTCAGGGAGATAGACGACATCTCTTTTTGCTCACGCAGCTCAGGCAGGGCTCTGCCCGCAGCGCCCTCGTATACCGGCTGCCACTGGTTCGGATAAAAATTATTTTCATGATTGTATGACAGAGTGACGGTGGCATTTATCTGCCAAACTTTAAAGGTGAATCTCCCACTAATGAGGAGAATTTCCAACAGGTTAGCCACATGACTGCGTCTAAAAAAGGACATTCAGAGAGGCTGAGTCTCTCAGAAGGAAAGATGGAAGAGGTTCAGGACTCTGTGAGAGACTGTGTGAGTGAACAGTTCAACAGTTTTTCTGTTCCTCGGCATCAAATATCTAAAAATTCAGAAATAGATTCAGAGAAACCAGAACATGACCCAGATCTATGTAGGTCTACTGAGTGAAAAATTGACATTCTTTTTCAGGAATCATGGGCCCTGCACCCCCTGTTTAAAAGAGGAGGGGGATAAGGGGGTAAGGACCAAAACCAAGACTGGATGGTCCTGATCTTCAGGGCATTAAAAACAGACAGGACTCTGGAGTGGAAATCACCGCATGGACTCAGAATTAGGGCCTGACCGATATGGATTGTTTGGGGCCGATGCTGATTATTAGGAGGGGAAAAAATCCAATTACCGATTAATCGGCAGAGTTCTAAAAAATATATATATACTGTAGATATCTACAGTATACTATATACTGTAGGTATACTGTAGGCTACTGCTCTTCGTGGGGACAGGAAGACCGACTGATCAAACTAGGACCAGAAAAGCGTTTTCAACTGACATTTTTTACTGGAAACTGACCAATCAGAATCTGACTTTGTTTTTTGGAAATCCCGGACTCTGTGTCCAAACAACCAACAACAAAACACTGACCAAAGTGCTGTACAGTAAAAATTAAAAAACAATAAAAACAGACAATTAACATGAACCATAAAACAAAGACACAGGAACGCATTAAAAACAGGGGGACATAGATGGTTCAGTAAAAACTCGATTAAAAGGCCAAGTACTTAGGAGTTAAAGGTGGGGTAGGCAGGAATCCATTAAAGAAGCCTCTTTTTTGTGGTTTTTATATAAAAAATCTTTTGATATTAGTCAATAGTTATTAGTTATTGATGACATTTGGGAGTATAATGATATCTCTGTGTTCTCTTATGTCTGTGTATTCAACATTTTAAAATTTTTGAGTGGCCCGCTCTTTCTGATTGTAAACAAAGCCATTCTCCACCTCCCCAACCTGATTGTTTGTGAGGCAGACACTGCTCCCCCGTGTCGTTCACAAGCCCAAACAAAGTTAGTGTGCTACAATATCAGACAGTAGAAACCAACAAGAAAGTTCGGAAAAATGTCTGAATCCTCCTTTGGCCACGACTGCCAACACAAGCAAGAAAACAGAGTAAATACCGGAGACTCTGGCGGAATAACAGGCGCTTTAAAAGGAGGTAGACCGGACAAGAGCTAAAAAGCCGGGTCAACATAAACGATGGGGGACACTTCAGGATCTTGGTGACCCTGTAACCTTTCTGCTGGACAGGTAAACCGCTTTAACAAAGTAAGCCAAGTGTCTGTAACAGAAGTGTTTCTTGTCAAACGGGACCTGCTGTAGCGTGTTGTAGCGCCGCTAAACTGTTGACCTCAGGTCCTGGACTTTGTCACTTTATCCTAGTTGTAGAAGTCCTGCAAACATTGTGTTTGCTGGTAGTCTGTTGGCATCAACAGTAGCACCAATGCTTTTGACTTTCAAGTTGACTGGGCCCCATTTGTAATTATCTGAAGGATTTATCTGCATTATATCTGAATTTAATTGGAACGATACGAGTGAGCAGCATTTTGAACGAGCTGTAAACGATGAAGAGAAGTTTGGCTGGCACCAACATAAAGTGCATTACAGTAATCAAGAAAAGTTGTGATAAAAGTATGCATAACCTTCTCAAAATAACTAAAAGATAAAAAAAAAAAGACTCATCAGAGTCCATGTGATGGGTCGCTCCTATATCTATGTAGACTCCATTAATGCTGAACAACATCTCCAGGTTTAGGAGCAACAATCACTCCATCCAGACAAAGACTTTTTCAAGGAAGACCTTCATATTTCAGCGAGACAAAGACCAAACACGACCATAAAATGTTATGATGTTAGATTCTTCATGCCTTTTGTTGTGAGAGATTTAAAGAAATCATCCAAATCTTGTGAAAAACGTCAAAACTCTAAATTCAAACCTTAAATTTCAGAGTCTGAGATAGAGAAAGATCCTTAAATTACTCTGTTTTATTATGAATCATCACAGTACAAAAATTTCACACATGAAACACACTGATGAAAATATTGTAGTGCTTTGAATGACTCTGGATCACAGAATTACAAAAATACATCCATAAAGTCTTTATTTGTGTGTGTTTAAAACAGTTCAGTGACGATAAACAAGAGCTGATGTTAACGGAAGCTTGGAGGCCTCTCCACTCTGACATTTGAGTGTAATTCTTTTGAACGAACATCAATAGGCATCTCTTTGTGTCCGAGTGGAGCTGAGTTTCTCTGCGGCATCACAACAAAAGACTTCTTTTCTTCTGTACCGAGAGGAAGAAAATCTGTCCCTCCGAACAAAGAGTTTCCTGTTTCTCTGCAGCTCATCAAAGAAGGAAAATATGAAATAGCACACTCTCCATCTGTGTCAGGATAAATTCAGACGACTGAAAACTATATAACAATTTAAGGAATCTGCTGAACAAAGATTACAGGACAGTTTTCAAATCAGAGCTCTGTGACCTCAGACCAACAAATGTGGTCACATGACATCCCAGGAGAGGCTTTGGGAGCTCTAACCCCCAATTTTCACCGCTGTCCGCCAATTCTTGTCGGATCCATTTGTGAGGCAAATTTTGTGGCGGATTATGGACAGCAGGAATCGCGAGAACTCACAAGAACCCGCAGATTCACATTCAATCGCACGATAATGAGTTGTCCCTATAAAGACAGCCACATAGACATATAAGCAGTAGATTGTGTCCTTCCAGAGGAGGAAATCTACTTCTACAATCAGCATCTCCTCACCCATGGTGTCATTGGGGTGAAATGATGTCTTAAAACCTTTCACTTGCTCGTCTCCACCTGTTTGCATGGTGTGAAATACGATCCTCCTGAAACACTGAGAGTTTTATTTTGAAAAGAAGCAGGATGTTTTATTTTGTGTCTGTGCACGACTTCCTTTCCAGCACGGGTTAATCTGTGCTGAATTTATCTGGCATGCTTCGGCGTCCGCAAAATATAGAACTCTTGCCAGGCATGAAAATGGGTCAGGGGTTGAAAAGGTGAGGGGGGGGGGGGGGTGAAGAGTGATTGAAGATAATTATTAGTATAATAATCTCTTAAATACAACGGAGTATGAGGGCCACATTAAGAAAAAAAACGTCTTTCAATCTCAGAGAATAAAGTTATTATTTAGGAGAATAAATAATCAATAATATATAAGAATAAAGTTGTAAAGTTACCTGTTGTGGAGGAGAGTTGCTAAAATCAGCACTGTGGAGCATTTAGATGAATTATACTTTAGTATAGGTTTCACAAACATGGAGATACTTAATCCTTTGGTACATGAGCATTACACTGTCAGAACTTTAAAAAGAATATATGAGAAATGCTGCTTTTGTGGAGGGGAAAATGGCTGGAAATGGCTGTACAGAGGCTAAATCCGTCAATACAGCTGTTAATAGCAATAGCATAGGGCTTTAGTTTATCATATGAGTTTATATGCCATGAGGTGTTGAGGTCTCTGCATGTGAAGGTTACTGACTTACTGTAATCATCGGGTCTATCTCGTCCTTATAAAAACCTGCTCTATTACGGCGAGTGTCTGTCTTCTTCTGTAGTCAAACCGCAAGATATCAAAATCTACCCAGATACAGCAATGCTGCTTTTTGATTGGCTGTTCAGTAGATATATTTATTTGATTGGCTTGTGCGTGGCACGCAGCTTCTGAACTCTCGGAGGAACGATTTCTACCTGTTCCATAGTTAAAGAAGTGCAACTTTGTGGACATCACCATGTTCATATACATGCGTGAGAAATACAATGTGTGGCGTGTGAGCGTGTGAACGGGTGGGAATGCGTGTGTCACACGCTGAATGCGTGAGACTTGAGAGCCCTGCAGAGCAGTAAACGCGAGACGCCCACTTTCGCTATTTTAGATGGCTCAAAACCATTACGTTTTAATGAATCAATGAATAACATCAGCGGCGAAAAGGAGTGTTAAAAAGACCAGGGTTCACATGTTTTTATTTTGTCACAAAAGGCTTCAAGCATGGGCCAAAGCATAGGACAACAAGTTCTAGAACCTGAATGAAGTCATTGAAGGCACACGCTTTTGAATCCGTCCAACGGTAGGGAAAACTTGGATTATTTCGCCTTGTTGTGTACTTTTAACCGCGCTCTCGTCAGGGGGGCGTTCTACGGCAGGGGTGCATTCTACGGCACAACACCGGTGTGGATAAGTCCTGCCTCTCATTCTCGCAGCTTTGCAATGCTACCGCAGGCTCTCCAAGCACTCCAAGTACACATGAAGAGTGTGCGCATGATTGGAATAATGGAACGCAGTTTGGCCTATGATTGGTTCTCGTCAGCGAAGGAGCCAGGATGATTTGCTGACCGTCCAAGTGTCATTCAAAGGGCCGATTTCTGAAGTGGAAATTGACACGTTAACTTGAATGGTTACGATCAGCTACGATTGGAGGATACCGCCTTTTAGTAGCCGTTCAGGATGTGGTGGAAATTGGGGGTTAGTTTTAGGTTGGATATTTGACAGACATTCACTGAGGATATACTGGTGTCTTCTCACTCTCCATAACCGGGAATAACAACAGCAGCGTTCACTGGCATCCGGCATGCTCCGGCGTCCGCAAAAAATAGAACTCTTGCGATCAGCTGAGGAGTCCAGCGATCCGTAGCAGAACGGAAAGAAGCAGGCGGAAATTGACACGTTAACTTGAATGGTTACGATCAGCTACCAACGGTGGACCTTTTCGTGGACGTTCGGGATACGGTGGAATTGGGGGTAATGTGGCAACACTCAGATCAATCATCATATTTGTGTGCAAATACTAGAAACTTATCCTTGAACAATACTGCAGCGTTGGGCTCGATGTGAACATTAAAAAAAGACTAAAATCAGCCTCTGAAATGTGGTTAAACTTCTTTGGATGGAGCAAGTTTTTTTTTAGTGCAAAAATATTTCAACAAATTAAAGTCATGGTTGATGATTGTGGAGATTGGTAATTATTGTGAACCTCGTTTCTATGGCGATCATGGTCCTATAGTGCGATCTCCACAAAGTGAAGAGAAAAAAAGAACAAAAAAAATCTCTTCACCATAGCAGGTGCAAGGCTGCAAAAACATTGACCAATGGGAGCCATCCGTCCCAGAGAGCTCCTATTGGTCGATCTCCTGCTCCGCCTCTCCATCCAATCACCTCGCTGTATTCGACACACCCCTCTCCCGTCGTGCTGACTCGTCCCTTCCCACTTTCCTGGCCTTGAAAACTTTTTTTTGTAGGATGGTAGGGGAAGGTCCCGCCCTCCCTCACCTCTGATTGGCTAAAAGTGCTGGGCTCTGATTGGTTATTCCTAATGGCTGTGAAACATCATCATCTGTCGGGTTAGGGTTAGGGGATTCAGAATTGCCATAATGTTCTGTAATGTTCTGTTCGATGTACAGAGCCGACAGCCTGCGTTTGGCTTGAGTGTGTGATGACGTTTCCAGCTGATAGGAGAATTTTCTGTAGCCAATCCCATCAGCCTTCAGGGCGGTGGAGCCATGCAACTCAAATACCAGGGATGCATTGGTGTTAGATTGCTGGAGCCAGAGGCCTCCGATAACTGCTCAACAAAAAAACCTTGTACACATTTTTGACAGCACTTAAGTTCCCAAAATATGTTCTGCCATGGTATTTCCCTCTATGGACTCTCCATATTATATATCTCCATATATATGTTCACCTCAGGCTCCTTAAAATATGTTGTCCTTTGTTCTTACCTTACATGGACTCTATTTAGGGTCAACTGAATGCCAGCAGAATGCTTGGAAATGTGGATGACGATATATACTTGAACAGTCTCAGACCAATCTTTGTTACACTTGTGGCATGCTGAAGCTGTAACCCAGATCTGCAACCAGCAAAGTTTGTCAAACTGACCATTAGTGTGGATCTTCCATTCTTTCAAGTGTGAACCTGGGCTAGGCATCCTTCGACCAGCATTTCTAGCCACTTAGAGGTGAAGGAGGCAGGACTTTCCCCTACCATTCTACAAAAAAAATATCGCCTCCCGGCCCTCCTCGGAGCTCTGAGTGGCTAAAAGTAGCGTAGCAGCTTAGCTACAGGAGCTGCAATGAAGAAGGACGCAATAAAATAAAATAAAAGCCACTTCTGCTTGCCCCACCGCCAAAAGTGGGAAGAAAACACAAGCCGACAAAAGAAAGGGTGGAGTCGAGGAGGAAATGTGACCAAGCGAGGAATCTAACTGGAATAAACATCAGGTCATCTTTGGAGTGGTGGAAAGAGCTCTGCCGGGATTTGGTCCTGAATACAGACGCCGAGACAGCAGAGTTTTTGTTGAACAGGTCATTTTTATCGCCTTTTATCGTGGCACATGTTACATAAATAACCCTTGTTAGTCTCTGCGATGTCAACATGATAGCCGTCCAGACAGCTGCAGACGCTGCTCGCTAGCAGAGCTGGTGTTTACTGCCGCTAGTCACTAACAATCTAACATGGTGAATCCTATTTGAAGCTAGCGTAGGATCTTCTGCTGGCCGGCTTCTTGCTCTGCCAGAGGGGGTGTGTCATGGGGAGGGCGATACAGGTTCGGGGGGGAGTTATCGTGAAGCACAGAGGGCAGAGGTTTGTGTGTGGGGGATGGGACGCTTTTTTAAAAATCTGCCTCAACAGCTCATTTTTTTTTTAACTGCTTCTCAGATCGTCCACCAGGACTTTAGTAAAAATTATTAAAAAATAATGTTGGCTTTGATTTGTAACCTGTGAGCCATGATCGACTTGACCTCTCCTGGTCTCAGGTCTGGGTCTGGGTTCAGGACCTCTCTGAATTTCCATCAAATATCTCTGTTACAGTTTAATGAAGAGCACGGCGGTGACCACGGCGAAGCCCACCAGCAGCATGGCCACTTTGAGGATGCGGTTCCTGGGGGAGCTGAGCTCGTGTGGCAGGATCTCCATGAAGGTGATATAGATGAAAGTTCCCCCTGCTAGCCCCTCCAGCGTGGAGCGGGCCAGCTGATGCTGCGGGGACGTCCGGGTCTCCGTGAGACCGATTCCCACAGCGATACCTAGGGGGGACATGATGGCGAACAGCAGCAGGCATCCAACTACCACGGAGCGCCGCAGCCGGCTCTGAGCCAGCTTGAAGGACAGGCTGAAGGAGATGATGCTCTTATGGATCATCAGAGCCAGGCAGATCTCCAGGACCTCCTTCCCCTCCTCGACCAGACCCACTGCCAAACCCTCAAAGACAGAGTGTAGAGACAGGGAGAAGACCAGGATGAAGGCTCTCAGGGCCGACTGGGAGTTAAAGTCCATGTGGAAGTGGCCGCCATCAGACTCCACTGATCCATGGTGCTGGTGGGAGTGGTTATTGTGGCTGTTGGCCTGGACGTTGGGGTCCACCAAGAGGGCCCGACGTTCCTCTGAGAGGGAGGCTGACTGGTCCTTGAAAGCCAGGATGATCTGCTCCAGGACCAGGACCAGAAAGAAGCCCATGGCCATGATGAACTCAGGGAGAGGGAACTGGAGCTGCAAAGAGAGAGGAAACAGTTTAGAGCAATTTCACCAAAAACTTCAGCTCCTCTCTCCACGTTGACGGTTTATCTCGACAACAAGATGCAAAACAAGAGCAAACGGCACCAAGGTGCAGAACTTTCAGAACTCTCTCTACCCCATCCCTTCACTTTAGTGAACTGGACCTAGATCCAGGGCAGGAAGCAGGAGGTACTGACACGTCTTTTGCTGTAACCTATTTTTACTGAACTCCCCGCTCAGAGTTTATTTTTCTGACTGATGTCTGAAAACGCAAAGATTGATCTGCTTTCACCGACATGTGAAAACAGGATGAAAGAGCGGAGAGTCAGAGGAAGGGGGATAAAGGTTTATATCCGAAATCAAGTCAACAAAAACTCTGTTTACACATAAAGAAGTTCAATCACTGTGATGCTGTGAACAATGTTCATAGAGAATTTGATGGTTTGCAAATCATTCGATGCCTGGATGGTCCTGAAGTTCAGGAGTATCTGGTCTCGGCTACAGCCTCTCTGAATGTCCTTTGTAGACCCGATCATGTGACTAACCTGTTGGAAATTCATCTCATTAACTGGAGATGTTCCTCCAGATGTTTCCTCAGCATTACAAAAGTTTTTACTGTTTTCTTGTCTTTTTGCTCTTTTTTTTTCAGTTCAATAAAGGGCTTGACATGAATTTCAAACCATCAGGATCTTTTGTAATCAACCGTTTACCTGGCGTCCTCTCGTCTCTCTGGTGGAACTGCAGTAGCTCAGAAAAAGTTTTGCAAATGAAAAAACTATTCATTGTTTTACAAACAGAAGTTATAACCTCAAAAAATCAACAAGGCGGAAAAAAAACAACACATCAAACAGTTTGATGGTTAGAGGAAGGAAGTGTGGGAAGAAACACACACACACTCACCCAAACACACACACACATACATGTCTGTTATATTTTGTGAGGTCAACATTTGTTAGTCAGTTACTTTCATTAACTGTTTAGACTAGGAAGAATGTCCCCACAAAGATGGCTGTCCATCAAGCGGTTGGTCCCCACAAGTATGTAAATACAAACAAGCACACATACTTTTTTTTTTTTTTTTTTTAAACGCAGTGTTTAACTTAGCCCGGTGAAGCAGCTGGAGGTTAATTCAGTGTTATTTGAGGGGGAGGAAAGTAATTCCCATCAAACACTCCTACACACACACACACACACACACACACACACCAGGTTTCCCAGCAGTGTTTTCATCACAGCCCTCCAGCTGCCCTCCTCCCTTAGACAAACTCTCGTTTTGAAGATCTTATCACAGATTTTGCATTAATTCACACTCAAGTTGAGCTGGCGGCGGTGGCGTTATGTCTCTGGGAATATCGGTGTTACATTGATGTTCATGAAATCAGGTACAGGAATTCATGGTGATCAGACGATTCACCAAACTTGGGTGACCCTCTGACTTTTTGTCTGCCATCACGAGACGGTCAGAGATTGTGTTACCCAGTTAAATTTCCAAACATTAACTGGATAAATTTTGGCGTTTGAAGCTCCTGGATCGACCACAATTTTTAGTTAATTTTTCAAAAAATCAACTTTAGATAAGCTAAAAAACAATGCTAAGAGCTTTGTGAATGTAAAAAACATTGATAGAAATGATTTATTTTAGTTTTATTTGATTTCAAGAGAATCTTGAATAAATCATTGAATGAAATACTAATAGGACAAGTTTTTAATGGTTATTTTGGTTGAATTCATTGTTATATTAAACGGTTAATGAAAAAATAATTGTTACAATAATCAATAAATTAGTTGATAGATTAGTTGACTAATCAAAAAAATAATCATTAGATTAGTAAATAAAAAAATAATCGTTAGGTGCAGCCCTATATCACTTTATGGCATTTTAGCCTACAGGTGCACATTTCTTTCTTGTGTGATCTTACGGTGATCCCTGCATTGGCAAAGGCCTTGTTGATGCTCTCCAGGTAGTCCGGCAGCAGGTCCAGCAGGCAGGTGGCCAAAAACACTCCTCCAGCAAAACAGCTGATCAGACTGAGCAGCCTGCGCCGCAGATCTGCAAAACAAAGATTGATTTTTTTTCATTGAACTTTTATTAGAACCTCAGTGAGATTAAAAATCTCTGTTTCCAGAGTGTCCTGGCCAAAACAGCAGCAGTCAACAGAGTTCCAGACGGACATTAAAACAGTCATACAGCCTAATACAACATATGTCATCCATGACATACACACAGCAGCAGATGTCCACCAGAATCAATCAGAATTCAGAATTAATCAGAGCGTTAGCATCCAGATGTGCCCGCCTCCAAACGTTCAACCTCCTCTTTGGAGTATCCAATGAGATCAGTTCTTTGAGTTTCCACTCTGTTAGTGATTCCTTACAGGCAGAGGGAGCGGCACACGAAAAAGGCGAGTTTAAGGGTTTGGACTCTGCTCTTGAAAACAGCAGGACTTTGGTTTTATTCTGCATTTAAAACCAGGAAGGTGGGGTAGTCAGGATCTGAGAAAGTTGCAGTTTTAGGAGAAATCTTGAATGTAAACTCTACCCTTCCCAACCAGTTTTCCCCTCAGCTCCTCCTCTCCCCTCCCTCTCTGCTCCAGCAAGCCCCGCCCACAAACAGACACTCCTGCTCGCTCATATCGTTCCAATTAAAGTCAGATATAATGCAGATAAATACTAAAGATAATTACAAATGGGGCCCAGTCAACTTGAAAGTCAAAAGCATTGGTGCTACTGTTGATGCCAACAGACTACCAGTAAACAATGTTTGCAGGACCTCTACAAATAGGACAAAGTGACAAAGTCCAGGACCCGAGGTCAACAGTTTAGCGGCGCTACAACACGCTACAGCAGGTCCTGTTTGACAAGAAACACTTCTGTTACAGACACATACTTTGTTAAAGCGGTTTACCTGTTCAGCAGAAAGGTTACAGGGTCACCAAGATCCCAAAGCGTCCCCCATCGTTTATGTTGACCCGGCTTTTTAGCTCTTGTCCGGGTGGTTTCCTTTTTAAGCGCCCGTTATTCCACCAGAGTCTCCAGTATTTACTTTGTTTTCTTGCTTGTGTTGGCAGTCGTGGCCAAAGGAGGATTCAGACAATTTTCTGAACTTTCTGGTTGGTTTCTACTGTCCGATATTGTAGCACGCTAACTTTGTTTGGGCTCACGAACATTAGTTGAGGACATGGAGCGTGCCTCACAACACAAGGAAGCAGCATCTGCCTCACAACCAATCAGGTCGAGGAGGCGGAGAACGGCTTTGTTTACAGTCAGAAAGAGCGGGACAATTAAAACTTTTAAAATGTTGACGACAAAGACATAAGAGAACACAGAGATATAGTTATATTACCAAATGTCATCAATAACTAATAACTATTGACTGATATTAAAAGATTTTTTGTAAATACACCACAAAAAAGATGCTTCTTTAAGGGGATCCTGCCTACCCCACCTTTTACAGCAGGCTTGGTCTGGAGGAGATGCAGAGCTGTTCACTACTACGTCATCTGCACAAAACTTAAAGCTAAATTTGGATTTGTATTATTTATATAAAGAATAAAACACAGTGGTCCCAACACTAACCCTTGAGGAACTCCTTTTCTTACTGCTGGAGCTGCAACCCTCTTCCTGCACACGGTTACCCCCAATTTTCACCGCATCCAAAACGGCTCTGATCTGGAATGGCAGCGATTTTTGCAATCTGCCAATTCTTACCGGATCTGTTGGTGAGGCAAATTTAATGGCGGATTTGCGGGAATCGCGAGAACTCACAAGAACCCGCGGATTCACGAGCAATCACAAGATAACGAGTTGTCTCTATAAAGACAGCCACATAGACATATAAGCAGTAGATTGTGTCCTTCCAGAGGAGGAAATCTACTTCTAGACTTCTAGAATCAGCATCTCCTCATCCATCGTGTCATCGGGGTGAAATGACGTCTAAAAACCTTTCACCTGTTCGTCTCCACCCGTTTGCATGATGTAAAATACGATCCGCCTGAACTATCCGCCTTTGAAAAGAAGACGGATGTTTCAGTTCCGTTTCCGGTAGCATGCTGTGACACGCTTGGCTGCTGCTCTCCTGCTCCCCTTTTTAAATGATATAATAATCTGATGGACTTTTGCTGCTAACCATTTAAACCCGCTCCATTGTGAAGAACATATTGTTAAACTATGTCGTGATAAATCTCTGAACTGTCAGAGCTCTTTTAGAGTAAACGAAAACACGGCTCAGATTGTTTGTAAACGAGTCAGCACAGACGCACCTGATTACCATCATCATCAGCCACCGGCGGCCGCAGTACACGCCAAGGTAAATCCTTTACTGATGAAATGGCTGCTGCAATGCGTGAAATCGTGAAAGAAGGAATTAATGCAGCTTTAGACACTAAGTTGCTTTCAATGAATAAGCGTCTGGACGCAATGAAATCCAAGCTGGAGTCCTGCGTTGTCAAAGTCAACAGTTTCGAGAATGCCATTGTGGACGCTGATGTGAGTGCAATATTGGAGGAGAATAAACGTCTGCAACTGAAGACGGGACAACTCGAGGCTCACAGCCACAAGTTAAATATAAAGATCTATGGCTTGCCTAATGGAATTGAAGCAGGCAACCCTACTGCTTTTACCACCAAGATGTTACTTGACATGTCTGGAGAAGATATTGGACCCGCGCCGCTGGTTTGTGTTGCCCATCGCATCGGCCCTGTCAAGAAAACACCCCGCTGCATGATTGCAAGGCTCTACAGTTTGGATGTGAAATTATCTAGTCAGTATAGTCCATCATAGGTTTAATTTAAGGGTAGTGCTGCTCTGTTGGGCCGTCTGTGCAAAAGGACATATAACATTATGCCACATAATATTTATTGTGTGGCATAGTATTACAATCTTTATAATATTTATTTTCGTTCTAAGAAACTGGTGTTTGCAAAAATTTGATGCAAATTTAAATAACTGGAATATCTGTTTTCAAATAAGATTGTCCAATCTTGATATCCAGGGAGCCGACCAGTGTAGCGCCGTTTTTTTTTGTTTTTTTTTAGGGACAGTCGGAGAAAAGCTTCCTTTTCTAGCAATGTTACAACCCTGTGTTGTTAGTTATACAGGGTGGGGAGGATCTATGTGGGAGGGGCACCAATCACCATCACTTATGTTTATTTTTGTACTTTTTTCTCTTTTTGTACATAATTTTTATGATCAAGGGGTGGTTTTCATCGGCCTATTTTCTTTTAATTCTCACACAGAGTTCTTTCAATCAACAAAGAGCAAACATGAATCTTATTTTAGCAAAGAGACACACCTATCTGAATTTACCTTATTTTATGTGTAAATGTCTTTCTTAATTATGTTTTCATGGAACGTGAAAGGCCTTAACAATTCTATTAAAAGGGCTAGCTGTCTTGACATCTTATTAAGAAATCGAATTGAAATAGCCATGCTACAAGAAACACATTTACTTGAAAAAGATGTGCAGAAGTTAGAAAACCAACGTTATAAAGTAGCTGCCTCTGCTTCAGCTTTGAATAAAACCAAAGGGGTTGCTATAATCATTGATAAGAAATAAAAAATTACAATTATAGGTACAGGTAGTGATCAAGAAGGACAAATAGCTTTTCTAAAATGTATTTACAGTGGTAAGAGAATCGCATTTGTGAACGTTTATGCACCCAACAATTTCGAATCAGATTTCTATCTTTCATTGAATAATTTATTAATGGAGTTAGCTGATTTCCAGTTGGTTATTGGGTCAGATATGAATTCTGTTTTGGATCATAGGTTGGATAAATCTAAAGCAATCAATTATAATCCTCGCTCCACAGAGGCTCTAAGACATTTATTAACTGACTTTAATCTTATTGATATTTGGCCGACTCACAATCCGACTAAGAAGGAATATACCTTTTTCTCAAATAGACATTTAACATTCTCTCGTATTGATATAACTCTAATATCAGCATCACTATATCCAGCTGTTAAAAAAATTGAAATCCAACCTATGAGCCTATTAGATCATCATGCCTATTTCTGTCAATTTAAATTCACCCAAACTAAGAGGATACCCATCAGATGGCGTTTCAATTGTTCGTTATTGGAAAATGTAGCATTTTGTGAGCAATTTCGATCTGAGCTATCTTATTTTCTAACCATTAATAACAATTCTGTTGATGATATTAGGATAATCTGGGATGGCATAAAAGGTTTTATAAGAAATAATGTTATCACCTTCTCCTCAAATCTTAACAAATCTCAACTAAAATGTATATCTGAATTAGAAGACCTGCTGTCTACTTTAGACTTATCTCAACAGAGGCACTATAATCCACAAACTGCAACTACTCTCGTTAATGTTAAGAATGAACTGAACGATCTCATCAGGAAAAGAGCTGAATCTTACATTCATAAAGTCAGAGTTAGCCAATATTTTTACGGTAGCCGACCGAGTCAAATACTCGCCAATAAACTTCGTAACAGTGATCTTGTGGGTAATATCACCACTGTTATGTCAGAAAACGGTGAGGTACTTACTGATCCCAAACTAATTAATGCTAGATTTGCAAAATTTTACAGTGATTTATATACTTCAGAGGGCGAACAACCTTCGGAAGATATTGAATCCTTTTTAAGTGGACTTAACCTTCCAGTCCTGTCACCAGCTGAATCAAGTATATTGGGTGCCCCTATATCATTACAAGAGCTTAAGGAATCTTTAGACACCATGAATAAAGGTAGATCTCCCAGTTGGGATGGCATCCCCCCTGAAGTATATTTGAAGTTTTGGGATCAATTAGGGCCATTATTACTTGAAATGATTAATACATCTATATCCAAAGGTTCCTTAGGGCGGGATGTGAATATGTCATTTATTTCCCTTTTATTAAAGAAGGGTAAGGACCCAAATCAATGCTCCAATTGGCGCCCTATTTCTTTAATTAATACTGATGTTAAATTATTTTCCAAAGTATTATCTTGCCGTTTAGAAATATTTTTACCGAAATTAATTCACCCAAACCAAAGTGGTTTTGTCAAAAAAACACTCTCTTCTGATAATTTACGACATCTCCTTCATATTGTTAACTCCGCCCCCCAAGCCAAAACATCTGCGGCTGTACTCTCTGTTGATGCAGAGAAGGCCTTTGACCGCTTAGAGTTTTCATATCTTTGGTCTGTATTACAGCGTATGGGACTGGGCGCAAACTTTATAAATATGGTGAAATGGTGAATATTATTTGTTAATCCATCAGCCAGTGTCATCACAGCTGACAACAGTTCTCCTTTTAAAGTCACCCATGGAAGTAGACAAGGGGACCCAATTTCAGCAAATCTATTTATTTTATCCCTCGAACCTTTAGCCCAAGCTATTTGGCAATCAAGAAACATTAAAGGGGACCTGCCATAAAAATGTAATTTTTTGTGTTTTTTGTGTCAGATAAGGTCCATATTATGTTCGTCTTATGTTGTAAATGTGAAAACAAACCGTTACGTCGTTTGCATTCTGTAAAGGTTTAAAATAAAGGAACGGGTAAACCAGGCCGATTGAAAAAGAAGCTCATTCTGACGTCGCACTGACCTTGCTCATTATTATTCTCGAGCGCGTCCTCGGTGAGCCGCGCCCACGCTCTTGTTCTCGTACTCAGTCACAGCCAGAGCGAGACCCAGCTACCACTGTATCCGCGATGGGTCTCTTCCAAACGACCGGTGTTTCCTTGAGTTCACTGCCGGGAAAATGAACTTAAAGCTGGACAGAATGAATGAGAAAACACCGCTGGAGATCTCCGGCTTCTTCCTCAACTTCCACCTCCTCTTCGGACTCGGGGTCTAAAATATATGGTTTAATACCTGCCATTTTTAGCCTTTAGCATAAGGTGACCAGACGTCCCCGAGTTCCGGGGACAGTCCCCGTATTGGATGACCTGTCCCCGGCAAAAGCTGTCCCTGAAAATGTCCCAGATTTAAGCGTTTCATGAATGAGAGCAAAAATGTTGCGTGTGGGCTCGAACAACGATTATTACAGTAGCCGAATAGGTAGGAAGCACAAGTAAGCAGTCCTGAACAACAGTTCTTATGGGGGTTATTACAAGGGGCATGCGCTGCTACTAAATAGTACCGAGATTTTGTCTGTGATCACACAGCCCCTGCAGCCCCTGCACCGCCGCCGCCGCACCGAATATCCCCGGATATCATTACAGACATCTGGGCACCTTACTTTAGCATACATTAGCATATGCTATTAGCATTAGCATAATAACAATGGATAAACCGAAATCCGAACCTCCACTGCTGAGCCAATCAGAGCACAGCAGGCTTCACAGCAGCGATCCAATCAGAGCAAAGCTCATCACCATAAATGTTAATGAGCCAAAACCAGTTGGTTTTCCTGTAAGGTTTTTTAGGCATACTAAAACAAACCATCAAATAACTTTTCAGCTAAAATTATGTTGCAAACATGATCAGAGGACATCAAGGATTATGAAAAAATGATCAAAATGGGTATGAAATTTTGGTGGCAGGTCCCCTTTAAGCCTAATTCTGTCAATTCTACTGATCATTATATCTCTCTTTATGCGGATGAAATCTTGTTATACATGCAAGATGCGTCTCAATCACTCCCAAGTTTCCTTAAAATTTTTGATAAATATAGTTCGATTTCAAGTTACAAGTTATAAGCTGGACTAAATCAGCTTTAATGTATCTAAAAACTATTGACAATTCTATTACTGATCATGAAATCCTGGTTGTATCCCAATTTAAATACTTAGGTATAGATATATTTCCATCGATTGAAAAAATTGTCTCTGCAAATTATAATAGAACCTTCAGGTCGGCAATTGCCGATCTTAATCGTTGGTGTAGCATACCTGTCTCCCTTCCTGGAAGAATGTCTACAATTAAAATGAATATATTACCTTGTGTGAACTTTTGTAGTTCCATGATCCCCATTGCCCCACCTGATGCTCACATCTACACAGAGCTGTTTCAAAATTTATATGACAAGGAAAGAGGGCTCGCGTGAAACTTACTACTTTACAGAATGAAAGGCAATCTGGTGGTCTTGCTGTGCTCAATTTCAAATTATATTTTCAAGCTTTATCACTCCGTCCCCTTTTGAATTGGTTTAAATTACATTCTGATGCTACCTGGATAAATATTGAAAAATATATTGTGGCACCTGTTTCGTTACGAAACATTCTTTTTATAGATATTCCTTTAAAGCAGTGCAGATTGCGTTACGGCCCAATAATAGCAAATGCAATATCTCTCTGGAGCAAATATGAAAAACAAATTAATTGTGACATAAAATGGCATGAGCAGACTCCCTTATTTCATAACCCTTTACTGCGTAGTGGAGGTCGCTGCTTTGTAGCTCAATCTTGGTCCAACTGCGGTATACAGGTGCTTGGCGATGTCATGGATGACCATGGTTTAAGATCTTTCTCCGATCTGAAGGAGTCATATAACCTACCTGGTACGTCTTTCTTTTTGTAGTTACAGCTTCGTTCTGCTATGCGGGCCTATGGAGTTCCATGGGCTCTACCACCTACCCATCCCCTAGTTACTTTCTTTAAAAAAGTTAGACTTAACTAACGGTCAAGTTCCATTAATCTATAAAGATCTGTCACAGAGACACACTTCGTCAATATCGGTTACCCAATCATGGAACACAGACTTAGACCTACACCAGCAGGATCAACTTATAAATTGGACTAAAGTTTGGGGAAACATTATTCTGGCATCCCGGAACCCAAATCATCAGCAGATTCACTATAATTTTGCACATAAAACACTATTTAACTCCTCAGAAAAGCTATAGGATGAGACTTAGTATATCACCAAATTGCACTTTATGTTCTCTAAATGTAACTGGTACCTTCTTACATATGATATGGGAATGTCCCACAGTCCAAAGTTTTTGGGAACAGATTGCCTGTTATCGATCTAACATTTTACAAAAACAGATTTCATGTTGTCCAAAATTAATGCTCCTTAATGACGATAGTTCTGTAAATTTAAGTATACTTCAGAGACATTTCTGGCTGGCAGGTAGTACTGCTGCAAAAAAATGTTAGCACTCCGATGGGAAGCTCCACATACTCTACCCTTTAACCAATGGAAACAGTCATTACATAATGTGGCGTTAATGGAGCTTTCAACAGCAAGACAGAATGGAGCTAGTAGTCAGACAATGGACCTCTGGAATCACATTTTAGATCAAGTCAGGACCTCTCACTAAACAAAAACAAGAAAAATGCAAACTTTCTATAATCGGAATTGTAATGTTTTATTTTGTTGATAGTTTTGTTTATTTATTTATTTACTTATTTATTTTTTCTCTAACTCCTTGCTTTTGTATCAGCTCTTGTTTGTTTAAATATCTGTGTATTTAATTTAGGCCAATGCGGGGGTGGGGCTGGGGGGTTTATTACCTCCGCCAAGGAGGTTATGTTTTCGGTAGCGTTGATTTGTTTGTTTGTTTGTTTGTCTGTGAACAACTTTACGGAGAAAGTTACAGACGGATTGACCTGAAATTTTTACCAGAGGTGCGTCTCAGCCCCAGGAGGATCCCATTACATTTTGGTGGTGATCCTGATCGCCTTCTGGATCCAGGAATTTTTTGAAGGATTCTTTATCATTGTGAGATAGGGCAAATTTGGGAATTTTTGCTTTTAACTCTATAAAAATGGCCAGTCTTTAGTAAAAAATTACACAAAAGGATCTCAATGAGTTTTGTGAGGTGTCAAAGGTTGATCCTGATCCAGACAAAATTCTGGATACTGTGATCCAAAACACACAAAAATAAGGGTGTCGTTGGAATTTTCAGTGCTGAAAGATAACCAATGGGCGGCACAGTGGTGTAGTGGTTAGCACTGTTGCCTCACAGCAAGAAGGTCCTGGGTTCGAATCCGGGTCAGGGCATTTCTTGTTTTAGGAACATTATGAACAGTGAACATACCAGTTTAAACACAAATAAAAGTTAATAAAAGACACGTAACAGTAAAAGTTTTGGTGTGAATCACAATATAAGGGGGAACATGAGCTGCTTGGCGGAGGTCTGCGCTCTGCGAGTGCTTTTCTAGTTTTACATATAAGTTTGTTTATATATTTTCTTTTTCTTCCGCTCGTGATGGTGATTGGTGCAGGAGTTAAGGATTCCTTTAAAACAAAGGGCTAGGGGCGCAGATATCTGGCTGCAGTTCTTTTTTTTCTTCTTTTTACTCTTTTATAAAGAGATAAGAGATTGTTTCTGAGTTCATATATGTATACCTGTTTTTCCCCTTTCCCTGTGTAAAAAAAAAAAATAATAATAAAAAAGAAGCCGGATGTTTTATTTTGTGTCTGTGCCCGACTTCCTTTCCAGCACAGATTAATCTGTGCTGAATTTATCCGGCATGCTCCAGCGTCCGCAAAAAATAGAACTCTTGCGATCAGCTGTGGAGTCCGGCGATCCGCAGCAGAACGGAAAGAAGTCAGTGGAAATTGACACTTTTACTTGAATGGTTATGATCAGCTACGATCGGAGGATACAGCCTTTTCGTAGACGTTCAGGATGAGGTGGAAATTGGGGGCGAGTCCCGTCAGTCAAGTCTTTGTTAAACCAACCATTGTCTGGTGTCGGTCTGCCCCTCAGGCTTCCTCCACATGTCCTGATCTTTTTAAAAATCTGAAAATTTGGTCTGTACTTAACGCCCCATGAGCAGAGTGGACCAATAGGTGGCAAGAATGAGTAACCAGTCAGGTGAGATCCGAGCTGGACCTGAGAATTGAAGCCAACATGGAAGTGCTAAAACTGCAGTTCCCTGAGTGTCCACTTGAGGCTGTCAGCAAAAACACCAGAATCCACATACACACCAATTCAAAAGCAAAATAAACACTATCTATAAAGTTACAGTCTGGGTTTGGTTTCTCACCGGGGTCCACGCTGCAGCGGCCCGCTCCCCGGACAACGCAGAGCGGCGTGAATCCAAACAGCAGAGTGACGGACAGCAGCACCACCAGCGCTCCAACTTTGATCTCCAGCGCGGGAACGGCAGCTGGATTTGCCTGCAGCATGGCCGTTTCCTTCGCAGGAGAGAGAAAGGCAGACATCTTTGGTCTGGATTATCTTCAGCTCCTCTAACACTTAAATACAGACCGCCAAGAGGAGGAGGAGGAGGAGGAGGAGGAGGAGGAGTCAAACAGCCTCCATGGACACAGGAGAGGAGAGTCTGTCAGAAATACATAAAAAAACACTTTTTAAATGTCTCAGCACACACAGATAATTATCAACTTTGGTTTTTTTTTTGTTTTTTGATAAATGTTTCATTAATTTTAAGATCAGGATCTGTGCTCCACTTCAGGGCCCTGCCTGTAGATTTTAAAGGAGTTTCTGAAAGCATGTTGTCTAATATTTCAAATCAATCAATCAAATTTTATTTATATAGCGCCAATTCACAACAGTCGTCATCTCAAGACGCTTTTCAAGGATAGTCAGGGCTCTCACCCGTAACGGTCTAGATGGAAAGTACGGTATAACTAGCTCGTTGAGATATGATGGCGCCTGGCCATTAAGCGCTTTATATGTCACAAGGAGGATTTTAAACTCAATTCTATATTTAATAGGGAGCCAGTGAAGAGAGGCTAAAACAGGAGAGATGTGCTCCCTCCTTCTAGTTCTAGTCAATACCCGAGCTGCTGCATTTTGGACCAGCTGAAGAGTCCTTAATGACTTACTAGAGCAGCCTGATAGGAGAGAATTACAGTAATCCAGCCTAGAGGTAACAAAGGCATGGACTAGTTTTTCTGCATCGCTCTGAGACAATATACATCTAATTTTTGAGATATTGCGCAGGTGGAAAAAGGCTGTCCTGGAAATTTGTTGAATGTGGGAGCTAAAAGATAAATCCTGATCAAATACAACTCCTAGATTTCGCACAGTGGGGCTGGATGCCAGGCTGATACCATCAAATGTAGCTAAATTACTAGAGAACGCCTCTCTAAGGTGTTTAGGACCGAGGACCAGAACTTCAGTTTTGTCTGAGTTGAGCATTAGAAAATTATTGGTCATCCAGGATTTTATATCTTTGAGGCAGGCTTCTAACCTAGCAACCTGGCCTGCTTCCTCTGGCTTTATGGATAGGTATAGCTGGGTGTCATCTGCATAACAGTGGAAATTAATCGAGTACTTCCTCATAATTTTACCCAGCGGAATCATGTACAGGGTGAATAGGATTGGACCGAGCACTGACCCTTGCGGCACACCGTAGCAGACCTTGGTGTGTGCAGAGGATTCATTATTTACATTGACAAACTGGGATCGATCTGTTAGGTACGATTTAAACCAGGAGAGAGCTGATCCTGCTATGCCTATAGATTGTTCTAGTCTCTGAAGCAGGATGGAGTGGTCAATTGTGTCAAATGCTGCACTAAGATCTAACAGGACTAGAACAGAGAGAAAACCATTGTCTGAGGCCATGAGTAGGTCATTTGACACCTTTAGCAGAGCAGTCTCTGTGCTGTGATGGGTTCTAAACCCAGACTGGAAATCCTCTAATAAACCGTTGTTATGGAGAAAATCACAGAGTTGATTCGCAACAACTTTCTCTAGGATTTTAGAAATAAAAGGAAGGTTGGATATTGGTCTATAGTTAGCTAGGGAGCTTGAGTCTAGAGTAGGTTTTTTAAGGAGAGGCTTAATCAATGCAGTCTTGAAAGACTGGGGAACATATCCTGTTAATAAAGACGTGTTAATCATTTTGAGCAGGGACGTACTAATCAAAGGAAGAGTTTCCTTCAGCAATTTAGATGGAATTGGGTCTAAGAGACACGTCGATGGTTTGGCTGCTAGCACCACTGATTTTAACTCAGGCTGTGTCTCATTTCAGAGACCGCATCGACCTAAGTGCCCTTCTGCACCGTCGAACGGTGCATTTGAAGTGTGCATGACGTCACGACGGTGCGAACGGTGTCCCATTTGGCACGAGATGCTAAAAAATGCTAAGCGCGCTTAGCATGTTTTCAAGCGTGCATTTATGCACGCTTTCCTGCCGTCGGTATCCCAGAATGCTTTGCGTGCCGCTGCACAGCTGCGCATTTCAGGTGAGAGGCTGGACTCGCTTGGAGACACAGCGCGTCTTCAAAGAAAATACAAGAAATCCAAAAACCGCAGACAGTCAGCTCAGGCTGTATGAGAGCATGATCTCTGAACTCACTAAAATCTGTAAACCAAACATCATAGATTTAGAGACGAACTGATCCGCTGTGTTACAACTATCAAAAACATTAGAAATAAGAAAGCTGACAAAACTACAGCAGAGTATCAGGACAACATTGAGTTTTTTTCTTTTAAGATTTAGAGATTAAAGTTGTAAACTTAGGAGAATAAAGTCATAAAGTAAATAAAGTCATAAAGCTGCTTTTGTGGAGGGGGAAATGACTGAAGTTGGTCATCTGCAGGGTTATCTGTGGATGTATCAGTAGGTCATTAAGAGAGATTTTGTGGTTTCTGAAGAAACAATCAAACTGATGATGATCAACATTTGTGATCCAGAGGGAGTCGAGCTCCGACGAGCACCACGTCTCTGACACCGGCCGTAGCCTACACCTGCAGAGACACCAACACCTTATTATGGCATATGGATTCATATCATAAATTAAAGCTCAATGTCATTCACGGATATTTACGGCTGCATTGACAGATATATCCTCAGCATATTCATTTATGCCTCCACAAAAGCAGCGATTTCCTTCAAGTACACCAGTTTTTTTCCCCGTGGAAAAGACGTATTTCTCATATATTCTTTTTTTAAAGTCTTTATACTTATGACAATGTGATGCTGATGTGCCAGAGGATGGAGAATCTCCTATCCTCCTTCTCAATAGGGCCCTCATACTCCTTCATACAAAACAATCATTGGATGAATTTTGTGGGAATGATCTGGGCTTGTATGTATCTACTATTTTGTGTCTGTGCAAGGTCGCACAATTAAAACAATACATGCTGCGCTCCGCAGCTTTTTTTCTAATCAGTCGTGACGTAAGCCTGAGGGCGGGGACATTTGGAGACCTTCGGAGGGCTTCATGGTGGAGTTGCCAAATGTCCCCGCCCTCAGGCTCGCGTCACGACTGACTTAAAGGAAACCCGCGGAGCGCAGCATTTATTGTTTTAATTGTGCGACCTTGCACAGACACAAAATAGTAGATATATACAAGCACAATTCATCCAATGATTGTTTTGTAAGAAGGAGTATGAGGGCCATATTGAGATTTAAGACTTTAAGGACTTCGAGATTTAAGTCGTGAATTTACGAGAATAAAGTCATTAATTTATGAGAATGAAGTCATAACCTGTTATTTCAGAGAGACTTGTTAAAATTAGGGCCATGAAGCATTTGAAGGAACTGTGCTTCAGTATAGGTTTCACAAACAAGGAGATTCTTCATCCTCTGGCACATCAGCATAACATTGTCATAAGTATAAAGACTTTAAAAAGAATATATGAGAAATACGTCTTTTCCACGGGGGAAAAATATTGGTGTACTTGAAGGAAATCGCTGCTTTTGTGGGGGCATAAATGAATATGCTGAGGATATATCTGTCAATGCAGCCGTAAATATCCGTGAATGACATTGAGCTTTAGTTTATGATATGAATCCATATGCAGTAATAAGGTGTTGGTGTCTCTGCAGGTGTAGGCTACCGCCGGTGTCAGAGACGTGGTGCTCGTCGGAGCTCGACTCCCTCTGGATCACAAATGTTGATCATCATCAGTTTGATTGTTTCTTCAGAAACCACAAAATCTCTCTTAATGACCCGCTGATACATCCACAGATAACCCTGCAGATGACCAGCTTCAGTCATTTCCCCCTCAACAAAAGCAGCTTTATGACTTTATTTACTTTATGAGTTTATTCTCCTAAATTTACAACTTTAATCTCTAAATCTTAAAAAAAAAAAAAAAAACTCAATGTTGTCCTGATACTCTGCTGTAGTTTTGTCAGCTTTCTCATTTCTAATGTTTTTGATAGTTGTAACACAGCGGATCAGTTCGTCTCTAAATCTCTAATGTTTGGTTTACAGATTTTAGTGAGTTCAGAGATCATGCTCTCATACAGCCTGAGCTGACTGTCTACTGGTTTTGGATTTCTTGTATTTTCTTTGAAGACGCGCTGTGTCTCCAAGCGAGTCCAGCCTCTCACCTGAAATGCACAGCTGTGCAGCGGCACGCAAAGAATTCTGGGATACCGACGGCACGAAAGCGTGCATACATGCACGCTTGAAAAAGAGGCGGGGGTAGTGTGGTTTTGAGACCGAATTTGAAGCGCAATTAGTATTTTGTGCCAAACGGGACACCGTTCGTGCCGCGTGGTGACCTCACGTACGCGTCAGATGCGCCGTTCGATGGCTGCTGTATCTGAAATGGGACACAGGAAGGGCACAGAACGGCGCAAAACGGCGTAAAACGGCTCAAAACGGCAGTGCACTCAGCTAAGCGCCGTTAAGCGCGCTTATCACGATGCGGTCTCTGAAATGAGACACAGCCTCAGGAAGGTCAATAGGTACAAAATTACTAAGGTGCACCAGAGGCCTTAGGGGCTCCTCAACATTTTTAGGGTTATCTGAGAGAGAGACACTTGATGGAGTCAATAGGTTACTAATTTTACCTCTTATTTTTAAGATTTTATCATTGAAGAAGCTCAGGAAGTCATTGCTGCTAAGGGCTAATGGGATACATGGTTCAGTGGTGCTCTGACAGTCTGTCAGCCTGGCTACAGTGCTGAAGAGATATCTGGGGTTATTCTTATTTTCCTCAATAAGAGACGAGTAGTAGGTTGTCCGAGCACGTCGTAGGGCTTTCTTATATTTATCCAGACATTCCTGCCAGAGAAAACGAGCTTCAGCTGTTTTGGAGGAGCGCCAAATCCTTTCACATTTTCTTAATAACTGTTTCAGCTCACGGGTTTCAGCATTATACCACGGGGCTAGCCTCTCGCGTGTAATAGTTTTCTGTCGAAGAGGGGCAACTGAGTCTAGAACTGATCGCAGTGTGCCTGAGGTATCATCAACAAACTGGTCGAGTTGCAAGGGACTGATGTTTAAATATGAGCTATCAGTAAAGTTTTTCTCAACTACAGAATTTAGAGCAGACGGAATTACCTCCTTGAACTTAGTAACAGCATTTTCAGACAACCTTCTAGTTAGCACGGCTTTGTTGTGAGGAGAGTAACCTGAAAGCACAAATTCAAAAGTTACTAGACAGTGATCAGATAATAGAGGATTTAATGAGCTGACTAACAGGGCATCAGTTTCGAGGCCATAAGCCAGGACGAGATCGAGAGTGTGGTTAAAGCAGTGCGTAGGTCTATGTACACACTGTGTAAACCCAATTGAATCTAGCAAGGACCGAAAAGAAATGCTTAGGCTATCATTTTCTACATCTACGTGAATATTAAAGTCACCGACGACGATGACTTTATCTGCGAGAAGGACTAATTCGGATAGGAACTCTGAGAACTCTGACAAAAACTCAGAGTATGGGCTCGGAGGGCGGTAAACTATAGCAAATACCAGTGGTCTCATGGACTTTGAGGCTGGATGCGGGAGACTGAGAACGAGACTTTCAAAAGAGTTATAAACTAGTTTTGGTCTTGGGTTAATTCTAAGACTGGAATTGTAGATAGCTGCAACTCCACCACCTCGGCCAGAGTCTCGAGGAATGTGAAAGTTTAGGTGGCTAGGAGGAGTGGATTCATTTAAACTTACATATTCATCCTTACGCAGCCATGTTTCGGTTAGGGAGAGTAAATCAATGCGATGATCAGAGATTAGTTCATTAATATTTGGTTCTGTAGGAGCCAAAATATATTTGTTAAAAGTATGATTTCTATGGGTATGTCACTCCCGAGGATGGTCACTGAGGGGTGTGGTTTTGGGATGTTTGGCAGGTTATTTAAATCTTACCGTTGTAGTCAGACAATAGGTTTGGTAAGCTCTGATAATCTTCTGTTGACCCTTTTTCATCGTTTCACTCATCCTGTTTTAACCTCATTTCATCTTATCACTTTTCATTCAAAGGCAAAAGTTTTTGGACCCGGATCAGCATGTTTTTTTTTTCTCTTTTTGAACAATAAATTACTTTTTAACACCCAAACCAGACTACTAATTGAACGAGTCACAGATGCAAGCAAACCTAAATCCCCGCTGCCTTTTTTTGTTGAAGGAAAGCAGTGGCTACAGGTTCTTTATTCATTTAGTGATTTTTTCCATTTTTCAACTGAACAGGTCTGAGTATGTTGGTTTCAAGACAAAATTAGAGACTGGTTTGAATATTTCAGTCCAGACATGAGTCAGAGAGAGTTTTTAAAAAGAGGAAGAGAAAAGGAGGAAGTGAAATAAGGAAGAAAATGAATAAATATATAAATAAATGAATAAATAAAACAATAGTTAGTCAAAGTTATCAACTTGTTTTGAAATCTGGGATCTCCAGTTTGAACTGTACAGTCCCTGAGCAGGTATCAGACTGCAGCATCAAAAGTCCAGATAACAACTTAATAAAGTCCACAGCCCCCCCACCTCACCCCACCCCACCCAAACACACCCTCCATTCTCGGTCTTTTGGTTTGCATGCACCATTCACACCAGTTTAGTGGGTCATCATGGAAAATAAGACTAAGAAGAACTTCATTAATCCCCGAAGGGAAATTCAATTGTCTGTTGTCTCACATAATACGTCTCCAAAAAAGTTATCTATTATTTACCCAAGAGTTATAAAGTTTAATGGCTGTTGGTACAAAAGATCTTCTGAATCTTTCTGTCCTGCAACGAAGAGGAGCCGTCCACCACCATTGGCCCTTTGGTCCATTGAGGTGTTGTGAAGTGGGTGATCCATGTTCTTTAGAATAGTCTCCACCTTCCTCAGTGTAGATCTCTCCACAAACTGTAGTATTTGCTATTAAGTAGATATGAATTCTTTTCTTGTGCTTGACATTTTAATTTACTTGGTTGATCAGATTTAATATAGATTTCTTTATCAGAGACCTTCAAAGCTCTTCACATTGGATCCATCATTCATTCGCTCACATTGTCACACCCTGGTGGTGGTAAACTATCTTAATCACAGCTGACCTTGGGGCAGACTGATGAAAACATGGCTGCCAATTTGCGCCTACAACCTCTCCAACCACCACCACACAACACTCACAATCACACACCAGTAGAGGACACACACTGGGAGGAAGGGGGGTAAGTGTCTTGCCCAAGGACACAACAGACAGACTCGGAATAGGGGGAATCGAACCACCAACCTTCTGGTTATTGAACAACCGCCCTATCTCCTGAGCTTCTGCGTACCCTGCCTGACTCATGGCATTCTGACATGTTTTGGTAGACTATACCAATAGCCAATGAAAAGAGGAGTTGCTCTGGGTCTGCTTCACGCTGAACCAATCATGTGCCGAATCAGAACCAAGTATCAAACAACTGCGTAGTAGCAGACAGCAGCTACACCCAACCATAGCACTATAACAGGTGAGGCCGACAGCAATGTTGGTGAGAAAAAAAGAAAATGAGTGCTACCCCAACAGAAATGACGATGAAGGCTCAACAGACGACAACATCGTCGACAACACTGGCACGAAAACGTCGGTGGTGTGGAGGTATTTTGTTTTTTGAGGTCCGACAGGAAGCAGAGTAATGTGTACTGTAAATTATGTCGAGTACATGTTAAATTTCATTTAACAGTAACAGGCAACATTTAAGACTGACAAGTGATTTTTTTAATATTGTGATAAATATCGATATCGACTGATGTGAAAAAATATATTGTGATAAACTTCTTCCCATATCGCCCAGCCCTACATACAACTATTAAACATTTAAATCATGCAAAGAAACCTAAGGCCCGAACTACACGGAGGCGGATATATTTCAAACCGCACATATTTATGTCCGATTAGGCCTCCCTACCACACCAAAACGGGAGTTTGGAGCGCTCAAACCGGATAAATCTGAATCCGGAAAAACAAGTGGAGAAATAAAAAAATATCCGTATCCCGTATCCGTAGTGGATTCGTGTTGTTGGACTTTTACAGATCGATGACGTCAAACCGCAGCTCGCGCATGCGAATTAAAAAGAAAAACAACAACAACAACAACAACGATGGCGGACAGACAGGGGGTCCGTTTCACGTAGGTGGTTCAACAAACTCTGAGTTAAATCCTTAACTCTGAGTTGATCTACTCTGAGTTAGGAAACTCTGAGTTTCCGGTTTCACAATACCTGATTTGAGACGGTTTTAACAACTCCGAGTAGTTTGACCTGGAGTTAAGCACGTGCACGCCAGACATAAACAGCCAGCATCTGTGGAGCGCAGATTCAATGATCAACCAATGGAAACAGGGAGAAGGAGGGGGCAGCAGCAAGCCAACAGTGAATTACAGCACGTTTTTAAAAGAAAGTGCAATACAGCAGCAGCTGCAAAGGAGAGGGAGAGGGCTTGGGAGGAGATCGCTGCTCGCGTCAATGCGTAACTTTAAATCTAGTCTCGTGCAATCACAATGACAGACTGTTGCAGGGAAACTGCTTGAATCATTTTGATCATGTTTTACATTGTGAAGTAAGTATTAAGTGGCAGTTTGATCCCTTAGAAAATGCTCTTTCACACTCAAAAATGAATTTTACTCTCTTATGATGTTCCGTTAAATGATTAGGAATATTAAACTAACTCTCAGTATGTATATGTACATATATTAAACTAACACACACTACACTCAATATTAGACTTTCACTCAGCAAACAGAAAGAGGGCAGATGCCAGATGCCCCTCGACGATCGAAACCCCTACCTCGTAGCAGCGATCGTCGGACTGGTGTGTGTGTGTGTGTGTGTGTGTGTGTGTGTGTGTGTGTGTGTGTGTGTGTGTGTGTGTGTGTGTGTGTGTGGGGGGGGGGGGGGGGGGGATTTGCGATCGGACCGGCCGCGATCGTCGAACGGGGGGGGGCAGCTCCTCTGCCTCCGTTAAAGGTGGGGCTGCTGGACCACCACCCGTTTTTGTGTTAGTTTAATATTCCTAATCATTTAACGGAACATAATAAGACAGTAAAATTCAGTTTTGAGTGTGAAAAGAGCATTTTTTAAGGGATCAAACTGCCACTAAATACTTACTTGACAATGTAAAACATGATCAAAATGAGAAAATGCCGATGTCTCACCTGAAACTCTGGGTTTACTGAGTTAAACCTGCTCCCGAGCAGGTTAGGTTCACGGAGTCTGTTACTGTGGTAACTGACCGCGAGGTTGAGTTACCTCTCTTTGTGAAACAGGTTAGAGTTACCCCTCTCTCCCTGGTTTAACTAACCCTCCTTTGTGAAACGGAAAACTCAGAGTTTCCCTGATTTCAGGGTTAACAAACTCGGAGTTTCCACTAAACCTGCTACGTGAAACGGACCCAGGGTATTCTTTATGTTTGTTTTGCCCTTTTGGGGCTAATTTCAGCCTTGCAAGTGAACCTTGTTTTATACAATTACATCCACCAGTCAGCCAGCTCACAGAAGCGTCTGCTGCGGCCAATACTTTTATTGGTCACATGGTCCGTCACATGGACCCGACGCACAAGCGTAGCTTCCGCAAACAATGCATGACGCATCACGCTGTTACGATTCATCGGCCAATCATGTAGCTTTGTTCCTGAATTTTTTTTTAAGCGGCACCAGATAGGATTGAGTTTGAAGGCTACGTGTGGACGCAGATATTTTTGAGTACGAACACGTGTGGACAGATACATTTATTTAGACGGGAGTACAAAAATATCCTGATAAATAAATATCCATATACGTGTAGTTCGGGCCTAAGTTAAACTTACTCTTCTTCCATAATTCATGTATTGTGTTAAAAAAAGAAGTTTAATTTTACTGAAGAAATTCTACTTTTTACTGAATCTTAAAAATACAAGGTAGAAATTATGACAGTTACTCTAATAGAGTTTACTGCACCAAAAAGTCACTTTTTACAGTGTGGATATCTCTGCCTTTTTGGTAAGGTACTTAAGGTGTTACTCTTTTTAATACAGTGAGTAGAGGAGACCGTGGATAGTTATAACACGGGTCAACTGTAACACTTCCACCTCACCGCCACACAACCGACGATCAAAAACTTTTCTCCTCAACAATATTGTCTTCAGAGGATGACTCAAAGTCATGGCTGACACCTATTTTGCTGACCTCAGCTCCGCGTTTAGCTCCACGTTCGGTCATTCCGTATACTTCCTGTTTAATTCTCCGGTAACTAGGCCTGTCGCGATAATCAATAAATCGCCTTATCGCTCGGTAAATAAAAACGAGGTCGGTCATTTTGCCAGCCTCGATAATTAACGTGCGTTTGTTTTCCTCCTCACTCGCTACCAAACACGCTGGATGAGAGAAGAGGTCTCACTCTGCGCATTTTTCTCGGCACCTGGGGGCGTTGGCTCTATAGCGGAACGAACGGAGTTAGTGGACCCTCCTGTCAGTCATTCAGTCTCTTTGTCACGGGGGGTGGGGGAGCTGCCGCGCACAGGCACGCAGACACAGACTTTTGGATACAGTGCTGCAAGTGAGCGTCGTGAGTGAAAAGCAAGCAAACAGAATGAACACGGTAGCTTTGGTGTCTAAACCGAATGCAACAGCCCAAGTGTGGGAATATTTCGGCTTTAAACCAAATGAAAGAGGTGAGCCGACAAATACGGACGAGCCGATATGTCATATTTGTTCCAAAGTTGTGGTGACAAAGAAGGGGAATACGACGAACATGCATGCGCACCTCAAGCACAATCATCCCCTCCATTTTTCCCAACTGAGCAAAAAAGGTACCGCCGGAGGTGCTGCGGAGCCATCGTCCCGACAGGTACCGCTTACTGAAGCGTTTGGTAAGCAAAGCAAATATAAACAAAACAGTGCAAAATGGTGCGCGCTGACAGACAGCGGAAATTAAAGTTGATCACTTTTGACACGGTGTACTCGCATTATTATGCCATATATTATCATTTTCTATAATTTAAAAAACGGTGTCAATGACATCGTTTATCGGCAATAATTTGTAGCACAATTATCGTCCAGCAAAATTTGTTATCGTGACAGGCCTACCGGTAACTTACAGAAGTGAGCAGGAAAAGCTCCACTCTGATTGGCTGTTGTGACGCACACTTCCGCTATGTTTGATAAAGTAAATATGCTCACAGCTGATCACCGTGATCGAACTGACATTTATCACGATCATCGATCACGATCATATAATCGCCCAGTCCTACTTAAAAGAGCTCTTAGTTACAGACAGAAATGTCAAAAATGTTACAACCATCCCCAGTCTCCCCTACATCTGAAATATATAGCAGAGAATGAAATCTATACTAGAGAAATATGCCAGGTATAAATGTGTTATTATGAACAGTCTTCAGCCCTAAAGTTACACAAAACATGTTAAAACATTAATACAACAAGAGTTCAAAAAATTCTTTCAGGGGAATTATAAGGAACAAAAATGGAAAATAAAAACAGAATGAACGACATTGTATGTATGTAAATGTATATCTGCTTTCAGACAAAACATGAACACCGAGACTAAATTAAAAACTCTATTCAATAACAGGTGAACATGAGAGTCACTGCTCTCCTCTAAAAACCAAGAATCGATCCAAACTAATAATCGATCTGTAAGAGAGAAACTGTAAATCCATCCGCCTGTAGAGCAGAGAGGACAAGCATGTGACTTCCTCACATGGAAACTTTGATCTTCACTTTCTCTCCGTTTTTTTCTCTCTGGTTTTTCTCTCGGTCTCGGTTCTGGATCGTACCTGAATCCGGATCTTCTCCCACAGAACAGTGTCCGTTAAAGTCCGTATCAAACCGAGAATAAACCCGGTCTGGTTCCCTGTCCTTCTCCTCTCGGTATTTTTACATGTTTGTCCGGGAAGAAGTGGTGAGTCAATTCCCATCAGCTGATCCCGCTTTATGACGGACGAGCTGTCAAGTTAAAGGTACACACACCAAATTTCCGGTTTACAAAATAAAAGCCGTGTTGATCAGTACTTTTATTTTCCTTTGTAAAATCAATGTTGGTTTTAAAAAAAGAAAATTTTGCAAAGTTTATTCATAAAGCCCCTTTGAAAGACAGTAGTCCAACAAAGTGCTGTACGTGGAATAAATAAAACAAGTAAATAAATAGATAACAGTAAAATTAAAAACAGTAGAATAAAATACCCAAAAGTCCCAAAAGTCCCGACCCAAAAGTGGGTCGTGGACCCGTCCTGAATGGGTCACGAACAGCTGGTCAATGAAGTCAATATTTAATGCGCATCTAATGTTGGACATGTCTTTTATTTTGAAAAATAGCTTAATTTGAAAGGCACATGTCATGTTGTGGTCCTCGATTTTTATTTATGTGGCCTGATGTGGTCTTTATGTGGTCTTTATTTTGTGCAATTTGATAGTAAGTCACTTTTGCAGTGATTCATATAATTCAGTTTTTTCATTTTGCAGGTTTCCATTTTGTACAATTTGATATTTTCTGTTTATGAAACTTCAGTATTTTTCGTCCTCAGTTTATGTGCTCTGAAATGCACTTTACTCAATAAAATGGGTGTATTTATAAAAGATTTGAGTCTTTAAAGGTTTTTTTTTTATAAAAATATAAGTTTGCTTGGTTTGAATTTTATGAAAGTGGGTCGCGACGTAAGGACCATGGGAAACTGTGGGTCCCAGAGTGAGACCAGTTGGGAACCATTGCTTTAAGGTCTGTGAGGCTCTAATATGGTTAACTGCTCCACAGTCTATAGGCGACCGCTGAAAAAGCCTGGTCACCTCTAGACTTGAGCCTGGTTTTGGGGACACTCAACAGTAACTGGTCAGAGGACCTTAAGGCTCTGACAGGTAAGGAGGGGAAAGCTATTGAGGGCTTTAAAAATGATTAAAAGAATTTTAAAATCAATGCGGAAGCGGACTGGAAGCCAGTGAAGGGTCACTAAAATTGGAGTTATGTGGTTGCGCTTTTTCTTACCAGAGAGGAGTCGAGCAGCAGCGTTTTGGACGAGCTGAAGGCGGTTGATGGATGACTTGTCCGAGCCTGCACATAAGGAGTTGCAGTGATCTATTCGTGAAGTTATAAAGACATAAATAGTTTTCTCAAGATCAGCCTTTAAAAAATCATTTTTAGTCTTTGCTGAAAGACAGAGCTGGAAAAAGCATGTTTTAACAACAGCACTGATCTGCATATCAAGTTTGAGCTGGTTGTCAAAAATAAAGTCAAGATTCTTTACAGTTGAACTTGACGTTGGAACTCAGAGGGTCCAGGACATCGGCAGAGCAGACTGTGGAGGGGTTTCCTCTGTGATGCCTCTATAGGGTCTTGCTGCTGTAGGAGGTGTATCTGGTTGGCTTCTCTCTGCACCCTAATCAGAGCAACTATGCACACCTGGGCCCTGGGTGCTGGGAGTATTTAAGCTCCCACTGTTACTTGCAAGGCCCTCTTTTTTTTCTCCTGACTACCTTTACAACTTGACTTGACTTGACTTGACTTGTGCTGTGTCCGAATTGCCCGCTCACATACTACATACTACTGCTACATACTACTGCTAGATCCTACTCCTACATACTAAACACGTTGGCCCAATTCGGACACACTAGACGAGCAGTGGGGAAAGACAACCCCCGCAGGCAGAGAGTAGGTACTGCGCCCGTTTTAGACTGAATGCTAATTGTGCAAGTGATGGATGCTGCTGTATTATATTCCTGCACTGCTTTAGAAATTCACAAAGTAGCTTTTCCGTGACTTTTAGCCTTCATTCACTCACGTGGTGATCGTTTGTTCAATGAGATCTGCCTGATTACTGCAGCTGTGCAGTTTATTGATGTAATAAGTGAGCTTAACCTCCATGATGTCGCCACATATTTACTCATAAAATGATTACTTGGGCAAATATGACACCATGACATGACAAAGAGATACAACCGCACATTTTTTTAGGGCAGTGTGCGAAGTTACATGAAACTTACATCTGTACTGCTGCGGTCCTGCCTGCTGCTGCTGCTGCTGCTCCGACATGGTGCGCGCTGCTGTGGCCAGCCGGCGTTCGCGACACATTTAAATAGGCAGAGCAGCTGGTGGCGCTAGCATCACATGCGCTTCTACAACTTTTAAGAGGACGAAGAAGAAGCCCACGGTGCATTTTGGGTCAGTAGCATGCCCGTAGGATGCACCACGACCATCCTACAATGTGGGCGTGTCTAGTATCTGAAGTAGTATCTGAAGTAGCATGCTACTGGCTCCGGTGGCCAATTCGGACATGCTACATACTACTTCGACTACTACTTCGACTACTACTTGGCAATTCGGATGCAGCATTGGTTTGGCTTGGCTTTGTTTGACTTAATTTGTTTTAGTTTGGCTTTGGTTTGGTTTGGTTTGGCTTTGCTTGGCTTGGTTTAGTTGTAGTTTATGTTTGCTCATTACAACACCCTCGCACACATACACCTATTTCCACTCATGCACGCCTTACACAATACTGATTTTTACTGATTAACACACCTCATATCTTACATTCTAATTCAGTTCAATTTGAATTAATAAAGAGTTGTTTGGGAGTTTATACATGGTGTGTGTCTTCCTTCTTCTTTTTGTTGTGATCACCTGAGCCAGGTAATGACACCTCCAAACAGGATCATTTCGCTTAGGCTCATTAAGGTTTAGGAAGTTCACACTCATCCATGACTTCACTTCGCTAAGACAATTGAGAAAAGTCCAGACAGTGTCCTTGCCTAGTGTCCTTAAATTTGGACATTGTCCGCAATACAATGAAAAGACATATGTTTCAGAAAAAAAACAGCCCCAATTGGAAACATACAGAAGAAAGAGAATAGGACCCAGGATGGAGCCTTGCTGAGTCTCTAAAAATATATATTTTTGAACTCTGAAATCTTCTTTTAAATTCGTCTTTTACGAGGTAAAGACAGATTTGGACATGGATATAACTTAAGCATCAAATGTTTTGGTTTATGTTTAACAAAATGCATTTGTTGTGTTGATGTAGATAATCTGGAGAAATTGCTGTACAAAACCAAATCAGACCTAATCATTATTCTAGAAGCTGACATCTAAATAAAAAAACTGCCTCGTCCTCAACGCCTCAAAGACAAAGGAGATGGTCATAGACTTCTGTAGATCCAAACCCCCTCTTCAGCCAGTGAACACCTGTGGAGTGGTCATCCAAGTGCTGACATCATATAAATACCTAGGTGTACAACTGGATAATAAGTTGGACTGGTCTTAGAATATAGACTACATCTACAGAAAGGGGCAGAGCCGCCTCTTTTGCCTGAGAAGACTCCGATCAATAGACATCTGTAGTAAGACACTGCAGATGTTTTATCAGTCTGTGGTGGCAAGTGTTCTGTTCTACGCTGCAGTCTGCTGGGGAGGAAGCATCAAACACAAAGATGCAAGACGTCTTAACAAACTGGTGAAAAAGGCTGGCTCTGTGGTAGGACTCAAGCTGGACTCAGTGGAGGATGTGGTGGAGAGCTCTACACTGAGGAAGGTGGAGACTATTCTAAAGAACATGGATCACCCACTTCACAACACCTTGATGGACCAAAGGGCCAATGGTGGTGGACGGCTCCTCTCTCTTCGCTGCAGGACAGAAAGATTTAGAAGTTCTTTTGTACCAACAGCCATCAGACTTTATAACTCTTATGTAAATAATAGATAACTTTTGTAGACATATTACGTGAGACAACAGACAATTGAATTTCCCTTCGGGGATCAACGAAGTTATTCTTATTCTTATTCTTAGAGGCTACTACATTAAAAACAGACAAATTAGCCTCTGAAGTGGAAATCACTGCATGGTCTCTAAACCTTTTCTTAAAACCATAGTTTGATCAAGATAAATCAGTTGACTTCCCCGGGCCGAAGAGCTTCATTAAGATGAAGTGAGAGGAACCAGAAGTGGACACTCTTAATAATGAGAACATTTCCTCTCAGGAGATTAAAGATTTATTATATATCTTATTGTTTCTTATTATCATTTCCTGTCTCTTCCTAATCCTCCTGAATTGACAAACTTGAGAGAAAATTTAGGAATTACACTTAAATGTCTGTTTTGGTAAGACTGGGTTAACTTTGTTTTATTTTGATGACTTATTAAAGTCATTTTCACACAAACACTGATAATATTGAGATAAAACTAATTAACAAGGTAAATTTGGATTAAAGTCGAGGCTCAAAACTAAAGGTGAGCAATCTTTCTCCATCAGAGCTCCTCGACTTTGGAACAACCTGCCAGAGGAGATAAGGCATACAGAGACAGACGCTTTTAAGTCAAATTTAAAAACTCACTTTTACAGACTCACTTTTATGTGATGATGTCTTTTATATTTTATCCCTTTTACCTCTTTTATCCTATTTCGACTTCCTGTCTTTTTAGCCTTTCTTTCCACTTATAATCTTTTCCTATTTAACCTTTTAGGCCTTTTATTGGTTTTATTGTTTTTTCCTGCTCATTTTTGTTATTTCATCTTATCATTAATATTATCATTATTATTATTTTGTTATGATTTTGTTATCACTATAAATATCGTCTTTTTATATTTACTATCCTCTTTCCCGCCTTTTACCCCTTTTTTATCACATTTCTTTTTCTTACCTATTTTATGTGTTTATTTTGGTCCTCATGGTCTCATTTTATGTTGTAGTGTTCTTGTATTGTCTGTTTCTTATGACAAATGAAATTGTCCTTTAATTCTGAGGCCTTGTTTTTAACTGAGCTTTTGTTTTTCATTTGTTTTTATTTCCATGTGCTGATGTTCTGAGCTTTGCGACTGTTTGTCAAAGCACTTTGTAAACTTCTGTTCATAAAAGTGCTTTATATATAAAGTAATTATGATTATTAATGCTTTTATTTTGGTAGGAAAATCTCCTGTTTCCTGTGTTTTTGTGTGGTGACTATGTCTTACTTGACGAAGCTACAGCTGGGAGGAGGAGGATCCATCCAGCTGCTGATTCTGCAACTGAACACAGATCCTGGAACAGTTTTGGACATTTATTAATCATTAAGACAGTCAGAGGTCGACACTAAAAACCTTCACTTTTAGTCCAGTCTCAGGGATTTTTATCTTTACTGGCTGTTTGTCACAGACTGACTCTGTAAGGCTGCAAACTGGAGGTTCAACATTAACTGGGACTCAATGTTATTCCAGTATCGATTGACTCTGGTGTTTTATAATCTGGGATCCTCGGCAGAGTAACAAAACTTCTCTCACTTGTCAGTATGTTGGATTGTGCTCATCTGCATTCTGTGATTTTACCCTATTTTAGTCCCAGAGCAACTATTTTGTGTTTTATTACCTCTTTTTTAAATTTACTTTCTTATATTGTTTGATTTTAAGACTGTTTTCTTGAATTAACTTTTAGCGCTTTATCACCTTTATCACCAGTGGTCTGGTATTTGTATTTGTATTTACTTTATTCATTGTGTTTTCAATATCCTGCTTAAATGGACAGCATTTTGTGCTATATTATATGTGTGAAAAGTGCTCTAAAATTAATTTAATAAAGTTTGATTGAGTTTGACTTGCTTTTCATGCTGACTGTTTTTCCTGTTTCCACTAAAACTCGCTGTTATCTCATTGGTCAACAACACTCAGACTGAAAGGAATATAAACCAGAACAATTCCCTGATTACAGTCCAGACCCCTGAAGGTTTATTCATGCAGAAAATGAACAGTATTTTGAAACAAACTCAAAGGACACAAAAAAAAGCGAACATATCCAGAGTGATATATTCTGAGAGCAGCCAAGTGGACAGTCTAAAGTTTGGGTTTAAAACTCCACTGTAAAAACTGGTATTTGGTGGTAAACTAGAATAACTCAACGGGAACTTTGAACTACCATTAAAATCATAAGATCATAAACCTTATCTCCCAGACGACATAAAAACACCACTAAAAGTCGACATATTACTCTCCGTTATGTCATATCACCTGCATGGAGAGGATATAACAGAAAACATGGATTTAATAAGACGTGGACAGACAGGTGAGTGTGTTATCGCTGTAAACAGGTGAGTTTGTCTGAACTGTACCTCTGTGCTGCTCTTCAGATTAAAGTACAATAGTTTCAAGAATAGGATTTTAAAACTGAGATTTATAATGATGAGGGGGAGATCATCAGTGTTACAGTTTAAGGAGTGACCCTGATAACTGGCAGCTAATGTAGTTGTTGCCTGCACACTTATATAGCTACCATATTGTTGGCTAGCTAATGTGATGTAAAAATAGACACCATCATTGAAAAACAGTTTTTTCCAGTCCACTGTATTTGAAACCTAACAGCAATACAAAAATTCCTCACCCAAGCTTCATAAGACCATGAATGGGAATATGGTTTGTACATTACCAGAAGCACATGTGACCAGCTCTGACTATAAGATGGGGTTATCAACAGGATGTGCCACTCCTGCATGAGTTCCCGCCCCAGTTTGGACCACCCCAATCAAAGGTCTACTGTAGGTCCAACCCTGCCAAGGAGGCCTGAAACAGTCTGAATATTTGACTTGGCTTCTGTGCATTTTTTTTTGTCTATTCTCTTAATACAAATTTTGCCTCTTAAATTGAACAATGTGTTTTTTTGAAAGGTAGTATAAGGTTTGTTACCAGCGGCGCCAAAGCCAGAGAAAGGTCACGTGCTGATGATGGGGCGCTTCTTACTAACAGTCATACAGTTTAAAGGGTCTCAGTGTGAAAGAGGAGCGTTAAAACACACACCTGACGGGAGATCTAATCAACAAGTTAAGTCCTTAAATTCAACTATTGCTTTGGCTGTATGGGCTGCATGGTGTAATTGAAGATCGGTCTGTACAAACACAGCCTTCAGCAAGTATTTAGCACAATATTGTCGTTGTAATTCAGTGTAGCTAACTCTCCAGGCTAGCTCACAGTGCTGACTCAGGCTGTTTTCTGAGGCTTTCACCCACTTTATTAAATTATTCTCATTTAGTTTTTGATGCTTCATTTATATTTAACAGACCGACATGTCTCTGTAGATTTCTGACGGACAACAGAGCGGCCGGTGTTGTAACAAATAGTGCTACCGATCCGGATGTGTCACAGAACTCTTTACTTGAAATCTAAGGTTAAGATTGAAATACATTGCCATTTATCTTACAGTGCAAACACAGTGGAAAGAGGTGCAACTCAAATAAATTCTGTGTTGAAAGCATTACTTGCCGTCAGATATGACAATTGAAAGGCTTTCCTCTGAAATATCCTCAAGTTTTGTCCTACAATAACAGCTCTCCATGAATAGAAAATGATTTAACTGCAGTGACCTGTTTGCTGAAATCTAACAGGGCTGCCAGTATTATCTGTGAGTTTCTGGTTTAAACGGTTTATCGATGGTAACTTTCGAACCGTTGAAGCGCCTTGCTGTTGTCATTCTTGGCCCAGAAAGGTTTCCGTAGAACCTAGTGATCCCAGAAGTTATCCAACCAGGTAGAGATCCCAAAGAGAGTATCGTTGGATCTACTGCAAGACTTCCAAGATCCACCAACATGTCTTGCTTCATGACCAGTCAATCTTCAAAGTGCCAAGGGACTTGATTTTCCCAGTTTACCCAGTGTGAACCAAGGAGAACCAGCACCAACTAAATCTGACAGAAATCAGGTACCACCTGAGTCTTCTGCTTTTATAATGTTTTCATGGATATTTAATTTTAGCATTTGTGACACCATCCCTGCTTTACCTGTTTCAAGAGTCCATTTTCGTCACTATAGTTTTGCAGCACATGCCGATATAGTTTGACTTTCAACAATCAAAGTTCAATCTGCTGGTACCAGAAGCTCTCCAGATGAGATGGGTCAGAGGTCTCTCTCCAGTATGAGCTCCTCACAGTAGTCTTTGAAGAACGACACGTTGCTGTTGTTCTTGCAGGTCTCACGCAGCCCCGGCCAAACTTCAGGGTTCACGTACGTGTAGAAGATCAGGTAACCACGGAGACTTGGCAGTAAAGTTTCCAGCTGAGCCAGAAACACGGCACAAACAGAGGCCAAACTGTGGCCGAAGATGTTGATGTTGAAGTGCAGGGCGTCGTGGCGGTGGGCAACGGCGTACGGCGTGGTGCACAGGCTGATGGCCGAGGGCTCAAACTCACAGTCCACGATCCACGTGAGCCCCCGCCGTCGCAGAACCTCCAGGTTTGCCTCCACGGGCTTCAGAGGCTCCCAGTCATTGATGATGGTTTTACTGGGCAGCAGGTTCGACACCACATGGTCAGACAGGATCAAGGTCTCTGCCTGCTGCTGGTTCAGGATCACCGGGCTGTTTGGGGTGGAGTCTGACTGAGAGGAGAGTCTGGACCGAAGCTCGGCAACAAAGAGGCAGAGGTCTGTGGCCTCACAGCACAGAGACAGGATGACCTGCAGAGGGTGACAGTCAGTCAGCATGAGGAGGTTACCCCCAATTTCCACCGTATCCTGAACAGCGACTAAGGCTACGTTCACACTGCAGGTTATGATGCACGATTCAGATTTTTTGTTAAATCCAATCTTTTTGTGCGGTCGTTCACATTACAACAATGAATGCGGCATCTAATGTGAATGCAATGCGTCCGTGAAGTGACCCGCATGCTTTCGTTTGTGTTGTCGAACAATGGTGACGTTTGTCGTATATTAATGACGTATAGGTCAGATGAACGCGACCTGAGTGTCCACACTGCAGTCACATCGGATACATATCCGATTTATATCCACGCACAAAAGAGGCCTGGGTCAGGTCTGAAAAAATCAGAATTGCACTGTTCACACTTACATGAAAAAATCAGATATGTGTCACATATGGTTAAAAAATCGAAATTGACCTGCAGTGGGAACAAAGCCTTAAAGGCCGTATCTGCCAATCGTAGCTGATCGTAACCCTTCAAGTTAACGTGTCAATTTCTACCGGCTTCTTTCCATTCTGCTGCGGATCGCCGGACTCCACAGCTGATCGCAAGAGTTCTATTTTTTCTGGATGCCGGAGCATGCCAGATAAACTCAGCACAGATTGACCCGTGCTGGAAAGGAAGTCGGGCACAGACACAAAACAAAACATCCAGCTTCTTTTCAAAATAAAACACTCCGTGTTTCAGGAGGATCGTATTTCACATCATGCAAACGGGTGGAGACAAACAAGTGAAAGGTTTTTAGACGTCATTTCACCCTGATGACACCATGGTTGAGGAGATGCTGATTCTAGAAGTCTAGAAGTAGATTTCCTCCTCTGGAAGGACACAATCTACTGCTTATATGTCTATGTGTCTGTCTTTAGAGAGACAACTCGTTATCACGTGAATATCACTTGAACGTGAATCTGTGGGTTCTTGTGAGTTCTCATGATTCCTGCTGTCCGTAATCCGCCAAGAAATTCGCCTCACAAATGGATCTAGTAGGAATTGGCAGACGCCGAAAATCGCTGCCATTCTGGATGCGGTGAAAACTGGGGGTTGGATTCATTCACTCAGTTTGACCTGGTAGCTGTAGATCCCAATCAGACTGTAAGGCCTGGACCAGGATTTGAAGTCCACGTGTTTTTAATCAAGTCTTTCTCAGACTGTCTTTTCTCCAGAAAGAACTCATTTGTGTTTATGAACTTGGCCTCATGTTTTTATGTCCCTCCACCGTGACCCACCTCCTTCGCCACAAGTCGATACTTGACGAACGTTTGTGGAGAAGGCCGGTCTCCACGGCCTAGCCTGATAGCAGAGACTTCTGGGTGATGATGGCGGATATAGTCAGTAATGTGCCTCTGGAGGACACCAGCAATTCCTCGACCCCTCAAATCAGAGGCCACCCTGAGACCCTGAAGGACAACTGTCTGACCACCATCCACCAGCAGAGCAGACTCCATGGCCACCTGTAGGGGAAGCAGGTGAGTCACTTTATTTGTCATCGAATAAAAATAGAACAAACATAAAGCAGTCAAGAGAAAAAACACAGTTTGTGTTGTGATGCCCGCGACAAACAGTGGCCGTGCGGCAGAAACATGACAGTCAGTGCGCTTCTCTGCTCGAGGCGCGGAGCACGCTGCTCGGCTGCGCGCTCATTTGCAACACAGGTGAAGGAAATCTGAAGTAATCAGCTGTGCACCGTGGGGTTTGGACAACAAAGCAGAACACAAATCATTCGGCTGAGGAAACAGTGAGAGGAGGTTGTCAAAACCGAACACTGAACACAAAATCACGCATGGAAAAAGGACTTTAAAATGAAAAAGGGCGACCAATAAGACGCCTCATTAAAGGATTTTCTTACGATGAAAAATCTTTTGTTTAGGACTGTCATGGATCTGATAACAATGGCTTAGACTCTCTATAGAAGTAAAGTTGATTAAAAAGATAAATAATGGTTAAAATGCTTTGCTTTATTTAAAATGCTAATCAAAAATGTTTATCGTATTTTTCGCACTATAAGGTGCACTTAAAATTCTTTTGCCTTAAAGGAGCACTGCAGCTACCATAGCCTCGCAGAGTTATTGAATTAGTTAAAGAAAGTTTGACTTATCTGACTGTTTTGTCTGGCTTAAAGGTGGGGTAGGCAGGAATCCGTTAGAGGAACATCTTTTTTTGTGGTGTATATACAAAAAATCTTTAAAATCAGTCAATAGTTGTTAGTTATTGATGACATTTGGGAATATCACGATATCTCTGTGTTCTCTTATGTCTGTGTAGTCAACCTTTAAACATTTTTTAGCGGTCCATTCTTTCTGACTGTAAACAAAGCCATTCTCCACCTCCCCGACCTGATTGTTTGTGAGGCAGACGCTGCTCCCCCGTGTTGTTCACGAGCCCAAACAAAGTTAGCGTGCTACAATATCGGACAGTAGAAACCAACCAGAAAGTTCGGAAAATTGTCTGAATCCTCCTTTGGCCATGACTGCCAACACAAGCAAGAAAACAAATTAAATACTGGAGACTGGTGGAATAACGGGCGCTTAAAAAGGAGGTAGACCGGACAAGAGCTAAGAAGCCGGGTCAACATAAACAATGGGGGACGCTTCAGGATCTTGGTGACCCTGTAACCTTTCAGCTGGACAGGTAAACCACTTTAACAAAGTAAGCCAAGAGTCTGTAACAGAAGTGTTTCTTGTCAAACGGCACCTGCTGTAGCGTGTTGTAGCACCGCTAAACTGTTGACCTCAGGTCCTGGACTGTCACTTTATCCTAGTTGTAGAAGTCCTGCAAACATTGTGTTTACTGGTAGTCTGTTGGCATCAACAGTAGCACCAATGCTTTTGACTTTCACGTTGACTGGGCCCCATTTGTAATTATCTGACCTGACGTATTTATCTGCATTATATCTGATTTTAATTGGAACGATACGAGCGAGCAGGAGCGTCTGTTTGTGGGCGGAGCTTGTTGGAGCAGAGAGGGAGGGGAGAGGAGGAGCTGAGGGGAGAACTGGTTGAGAGGGGTAGAGTTTACATTCAAGAATCTCCCCAAAACTGGCACTTCCTCAAAGATAGAAAAATATTTATTTGTAAAAAAACTATTTCATGTTTGTTAAAAATATTAGTGTAGTTGAAAAGTATAAAAGTGTTAAGTATAAATATTTTAAGTCTGAAACAGTGTACAACTCAAAGAAAAAAGTTTATTTCAAAGTAAATGGTCCTAATTTGGAAATGTATGCCTTCATTGAGCAAACTTGTATGTACTTTTGCCTTGTTTGATCAGGAAAAGAGTGAAATCCTGAATTCTGGTTGAGTCCTTCCTTTATCAAGTGTGGGAAGCCGTGTTGTAGTGAAGACACTTGACAGTTCAAACTCACAGTTTAGACAAAATTGTACGTGAGAAGTGTTTTGTTGTGAGTTTTTACAGGCCCAGTGTCTGAAAAAGTTCAGAAAAATGTAAAATGTTGATATAGGGATTCCCACTCCAGAGTCCTGTTTGTTTTTAATGCCTGAGGGCCTGAAGTCCAGGACCAGTCATGTCAGAGTCAGAGTCATTTTATTTTCCATTTGCAGAAAAAAAAAACACACTGGAAAGCATTTGTGAGAGGACAATAAAGACAAAGTAAGTTACATAGAAATATAGAATAAGGTGAGTTAAAATCACAGTTAAAGTTAAGTATAGAAGGACATTGCAAGTATTAATTACAATAATTAATAAGAATGATGAAGATAGTAATAGTATTTAAAACTTCTATTTGATGCTCAGACACACATAAAATGAAGTACACCCCTGAGGCTAGAGGTTATTTAGGCTGCACACAGCACAGGAGAAGAAACGATCTGAAAACCACGAGGTAGAACATTTAATTGAGTGGTACCGTCTACCGAAGGGGTGAAGAACAAAAAGGCTGGAGGCGGGTTGACTGATTTCCCTCACTATTTTTGAAGCCCAGGAGCCTTGAGTTATAAAGTGCATCTAGTTTAGGCAGGTCAGTGCCAATAATTTTCTGAGTCAGATTGACTACTCTGGTCTGAGATTTTCAGTCCTGTACAGTGAGGTTACTAAACCAAACTGTGGACGAAGAGGTAAGAATACTTTCTATGAGACACCTATAAAAGTTCATTAAAATCTGACAATTAGAGGAGAAATCTTTCATTTTATGAAGGAAGAAAAGTCGTTGCATAGATTTCTTGACAATGATACTGGTGTTAAAGTGCCAGCTCAGATTGTTTGTAATAGTGACACCAAGAAATTTGAGGCTACTCACCATCTCAACCTCTGATGAGGAAGATGGGGTTGTTTTTTTCCTACAAAAGTCGACTATAATCTCCTTCATTTTAGAGGCATTTAAAATAAAGATTGTTCATCTCGCTCCACTTAACTAGGCTCTGTACCTCAGCTCTATAAAACAACTCATAATTACACTTTATTTCCCCAATGACAGTAGTGTCATCAGCGTACTTTACAACCAAGTTATTATTCTAAGTTATTATGTGACTAACCTGCAGAAAATTCACCTTATTGGTTAGAGATTGAACTTCTGCTGTTTGGACTTCGGACCTGTTCGGTTGTTCCTCTATCAGAACTTTGGACCTGTTTAGTTTCTTCTTCTAAGAACGTCTTGAAAAATAAAACACCAAAACATTAAAAAAAACTTCCTGGGAAGAAAACATCTCAGGAAGCTACGATGACCCTCGTGCCGTCAGTCCTTACCACTCTGTCCTTCATCCTCCCGATGAAGATGAGTCGTCCGGGCTCGTGCAGCCAGCGGTGGAAGGTAACAGGCATGTAGTCGAGTCCATCGAAGGCGTCACTGCAGATGTTCAAGACCTGCATCATAAACACAATCAAGAGGCTGTAAAGTTGATTAAAAACAAGAACACAAACTCTGATTGTTGCTGGAAAAAATCTGGATTTGAACTCGACTGGGAACGTAAACATTAGAGACCTGCTGGAAGTCCCGCTCCTCTGCAAAGCTGAACGCCACATCACAAACATCCTCTGCTGCAGACATCCAAAAACAAACTACTGAACTACAGACAAAAATGGTGGTGTTTTTGGTCATCTATTCGTTCTGTTTCTCTCTTTTCTTCTTTCTCGATTTAGAAAGTTTTTGACTCCTACAGAGAAGAGTCCACGCAGCAATCTAGGAAACCACAGAGCTGATGAGTTACATTCAAGATCCACAACATGAAAACACTCAAAGAGCTTACCAGATGTAACCTCAGGGCTTTACTTCCACAGTAAACACTTCTTCATAATGTTTGTGGCTCACATTTCCAAACATATCCTCATTGACTTTAACTTTGAACCACTTTCAGTTTAAAATGTCCTAAAATACTGTAAACCAGGGCTTTAGTGAGGAGCATACAAAGACAGCATTTTCAACATAAATGCCTCTGAACGCAGCTTTTTAGCCAGACTCTTTCTTCAGGTTTCCTGTTAGCTGCCAGCTTGTGTGAAACAGGCTGGTGGGAGGGTTAGAGAGCGACCCCAGGGAGTAAAGAGCAGGGCTCTCAAGTCTCACGCATTCAGTGTGTGACACACGCATTCCCACCCGTTCACACGCTCACACGCCACACATTGTATTTCTCACGCATTTAAATGAACATGGTGATGTCCACCAAGTTGCACCTCTTTAACTATGGAACAGGTAGGAATCAACTGAGTTCCTCCGAGAGTTCAGCCAATCAAATAAAGTATATCTACTGAACAGCCAATAAAAAAGCAGCATTGCTGTATCCGGGTAGATTTTGATATCTTACGGTTTGACTACAGAAGAAGACAGACACTCGCCGTAATAGAGCAGGTTTTTATAAGGACGAGATAGACCCGATGATTACAGTAAGTCAGTAACCTACACATGCAGAGACCTCGACACCTCATGGCATATAAACTCATATGATAAACTAAAGCCCTATGCTATTGCTATTAACAGCTGTATTGACGGATTTAGCCTCTGTACAGCCATTTCCAGCCATTTTCCCCTCCACAAAAGCAGCATTTCTCATATAGGCCTATCTTAAATATAAGTTGTGATACTCATGACAGTGTAATGCTCATGTACCAAAGGATTAAGTAGCTCCATGTTTGTGAAACCTATACTAAAGTACAATTCATCTAAATGCTCCACAATGCTGATTTTAACAACTCTCCTTCACAACAGGTAACTTTACGACTTAATACTGATATTAATGACTTTATTCTCCCAAATAATAACTTTATTCTTTAAGATTTAAAAACGTTTTTTTTTTCTTATTGTGCCCCTTATACTCCGTTGTATTTAAGAGATAATTATACTAATAATTATCTTCAATCACGAAAAATAACCTCAACTTTACTTAGAGAGATATTTATATTCCATTGAGATTAAAGTAAATTAAAGATAATATTAAACTTTTAGATATAACCTACCAGTGTAAGGGTTTTTCTAAAGTAAACAGCATTTTAAATCTCCATGGTAACCTGTAACGATGTAAAAACTTTAAATCATTACAAGCAAAAGAGAGCGGTCATTTCTGAAGATCAAATCTGAAGAGAACAGCACGAAAAACTTAAGCGGCTCACGACCTTACAACTTTTGACGGCTTCATAGAAAATAAAACCTCACCAGACGACTAAGGACTCGGACTAACACCTCTAACCAACACCTGAACAGAAAGGACAACATCTACGACATGGAGACCGTAAGATTTCATGACAATATTATCATACAAACTTGTGTTACTGTCGAGACTTTCGTGATGGTTAAGCGATGCATCGACAATGATTAAATGTGTGCATGGATATTTACAGTGTTTATGACTTTAATGTGACAGGCATTATCAAAACTAGAAAAAATTGCATTTCCTTGCAGAAAATGCGTGGAAATGCTGAGTGATTGTAAGGATGCCTAGCCCAGGTTCACACTAGAAAGAATCGAAGGTCCACACGAATGATCATTTTGACAAGCTTTACTGATTACATATCTGGGTTACAGCTTCAGCAGGCCACAAGTGTGACCAACAGTGGTCCTCTCCAAGTGTAGCAAAGAGTGACCACCCCAAGTGTAGCAAAAAGCGGTCCACCCCCAAGTGTGGCCAACATGAGTGTAGCCAAGAGTGGTCCAAGACCATTCAAGTATATATAGCGATTCACAATCCTAAACATACTGTTGGTATTTAGTTGACCCTAAGAGAAAACCATGTATGGTAAAAACAAAGGACAACATATTTCAAAAGCCTTAGATGAACATGTGGAAGGTCCCAAGAAGGAAATATCATGGCAAACATATTTTGGGGACCTACATGGTGTAAATAATGTGTACAGGGTTCCTTGCTCAGGGATGGTTGTAGGAGGCCCCCGGCTCCAGCAATCTAACACCAAAGTGTCTGGGGTATTTGAGTGACACAGCTCCACCACTCTAAAGGCTGACATGACTGGCTAAAGAAACTCATCCTAACAGTCCTCACTTTTTTTTTTTTTTTTTTTTTTAAACATGCCAATTGTTCATAAATAATTGCTGCTGGAACAGATGATAAATAAGACTGGTGACCAGGGTCACTTAAAACAAAAGAGTGGATTGATGAAACAAACATAAGAAGGGTCAGCCACCCAAACCAGCCCACAAAGGGTCGTCAGATTTGAGGCCACCCTCTACCCTAGACCAACAATTGAACCAGCTAAACCCTACAAAACCATGAACAAAAGCCGCGAAAACAGAACTTATCAATCCACCTGAAAGTAATCTAGGTGATAACTTTATATTGCAACTAAAGTAAAGCATGTTCTTTTAACTCAGTGGAGTGATGTATCTTGTGTCAGCTAATACGTGGTGGAGAATGATACTTTTACACTAGAATCTCTGAAGTGGTGACCGACACTGTGATCACATGGGGAACATCATATATGGTCAGGATATATGCCATCCCATCGTTGGAATCTCCTGATGACTCAGATGACTCAGAATCGGAGACCCACGGTTTCCATTTGAATGGGGAAGAGATAAGGGCATACGCTGTTTGGACTGGATCCTGCACAAAAGACGTATTGACAACATCACAAACAGATTATGATTAGTGTACAGAAAATGGAAGTTCTCTGGAATCCTTGAGAGATTTGGCTGCTAAGACTAAAAATCTAGTGTAAATTTTAGCAGGCCTTATGACGAATTGGTAATTGTTAACATTTTTATCTGAGGTTTCTTCTCTTTCTTGGTCAAACCTAGCAGTTTAAGCAATCCATAAAGAGGCACATGCATCTTCCTAGTCATAGTTCTTTTGACATGAGTCATTAGCCTTTGGATTGTTTGACTATTCTACCCCCTTTTCTTCACATGTCCACCAAACGTTGAGCTGTCCTTCCAGTCCTAGAGAGAAAAACAACTCACAGATAGAGATGTCGTTAGTAACAACTGTACAAATTGCATTCGTGACACTATGAATGTAAGCTAGGAGTAAATCGTACGCTAGTTAAGGGAGCGTAATCTGTTGCCCATCATATTTTTATAATACATCAGCAACCCTGTTACACTTCTTTATCTGTTATATGTTTACTTTAAAATCAGTGGCCCGGCTTTAAAGCAAAATTAAGTCATCAACGGAAAACGGCGGCACAGAAGGTTGTATGGATGGGAACTAGGAACCAATCAAGGAGGAAATGGTGCATCAAGTGCCGCTTTTTCTTTTGCAAATTGTCTGCTAATTTTCGTTGTCTCTGGTCACTTCTTTGTCAGATAGTAAATGTGTTGTTACATTTCACAATAGCGTGTAGGATACAACATCTTAATTTTGATTATCAACAAGTGCATAACCTGCCATTGTAGGGTCTACGCGCAGAACCATAAAATCATAGTTCTCCAGTGGAGTCTGTTGCATCTTAACTCTTACTCTAAATGTCGAATTGATTAAGTTCAAGCAATCTAGTGACGGAATTTCAGCCATCTCTTTGTTACCATGCAGCAATGACTTCAAGTGTATCACTAGATAAATATAAGTGACTGTTGAAAAGGGAAGTTTTGGTGTTTCAGCTAACATGCGTTTTTAGGTTCATCACCTCAGACTGATATGCTGTGTGATTATGTTGCGGTGACCAACATTCACTGTGTGTATAGCATGCTGTATTAGTGGATATCGTAACACTGTAGTCTGTGCCTATTTAAACGTAATCGCCACAGCCATCATAGCTCGCAAACATGAGACTATCATTTGAACAAGTATCGTTGGGGATTTGGAATAATAGACAACAGGTCTCAATCCTTAATCAAGCACCCTCGTCAGAACAGCAGTGGGGACTCTTGTCATCCGCCATACGAAGGTGAAAGCCCAGGTTGTACTCCGGAAATCTTGATGTTGGAGCAGTGCAGAGAAAATATTCGATACAACGAAAGACGTGTTTCATGCCATTAGTCCAGTTCATAATGTCCAGTGCATCCTAGGGCGTTGACTCTTGGAGCATAGGATCATGGACGGCATAATTACCAGCCATGCTTGACTATAGTCCACCAGACGCAGAAGGGATACCTGTTCAGGTTTGTTCTTTTTTTTTTTTTTAACATGGTCCTTCAGTGTCCTTTATGGCTGTCACACAATCAGGAGAGAGATATCTGCACCCAGCTCTCAAGATGTATTCAAGGTAGTTGACAGATTCTCAGCAGAATTGAAGCTCGGCAAGGAATGTCCTGTGACCTGTCTCGGCCAAATGTATCCGTGGGGCCAAGGAATCCAGTATGAAGTCTTTTCAGTCTCTGGGTAAAGAAGCAGGTCATCCGAATACTGGAGGATACAGGATTGACATGGCAAAGTTGGATGAGACAAGTGCAAATCGACAGCTAAATAACCTGTGGCGAAATCAACAAATCCCATAGGTAGTTCTTTCCAGCCATATTATTAATTCGTGTACGTAAACGTAGAGAAATTTTGTGTCTCTTTATGTACAATGATAGAGAAATATACAGAGCATGAATTGAGTTAGTATAGAAGCTAGAATTAGAAGGTTGTGCGGTTAAAACTGAGTCAATATCAGACAATATTAAAGCAATGGATTACACTACTTTATTGAGTGACTATTTTCCTCTGTAGAAATTTGATTTTTGTCCTCACTCTTCAAAATCTCAATGTTGTTGGTTCAGATGCAGTAGACCGGATGATGTCTTAGCACTGACTATCAGTAACTGTTGCATGAAAGAGATGTTATCCTAATCAAGGCCTTGTTGGAGTGACCAGAGATACCAATAGATTGAACAGAAAAACTACTCAAATGGCCAATTCAATTTGTTCAGGATCTTGTTCCTCCTCCTGAAAACCCTTGGTTCCTTGATTGGCACCATACCCCATCCTCTAAGAATCATTCTGCAAAAAGAGATCAGAGGTTATTTGAGGCATAAAGTGAAGTTGTACTTGGTTCACATTACTTTTTTGAGGACTCCTGCTCCTTCCCACAGGAGGCTGTCCTACTACGAGTCCAGTTACATGACAGTGAAGGCATCTGTCAGTCATGACTTACTATAAGTATGGGAAATATGCCTTGAATGTGCATGTCAGGTATCCTTTTACAGTCTCACTCTGTCACTAAGGCTTTGACCTGTGTCAGATATACACTTTCTGTTAAGTCATAAATTGTATTACAATTCTGGATACATTGATGAATACATTTATCTTAAAGGATGTATGTTGAAAGATTTGACCCTCCCAACATCTGAGTATAACAAGGGGACTACTTTTGTTGGCATTGGGCAGGGCTGTTCATCATAATTTAACATGTACAAATAGTGAACTGTCATCTTCATAACTTACATAATTCACAGACGCACTAGGTAGGTTTACATGAGGAGACACTGAACCTAGGAGCTGCAAGAGGGTGTAACAATAAGCTTGCTTCTTCATTTTTTACTTGAACAGTTTCTTAAGTCATAGAGTAAACTTTTTGTTTTTCTTTTTTAAGCTTACTAAGATTCAGAGGAAACTGATGAGCCACCTAAATCTACACCTTTGTCATGTAGTCTTGATTCCATAGAAAACTATCAATGGTTATGTTATTCATTAGATACTCTCGTACAACATCTTATTTCCTTCTGTTTCTATTTTTGTTATTTTTTATACTTTCCTATCATTCTGATACTTATTAGTTTTTTTTTCTTTTCTCTTATTAAAACTGTTGTCCATAGAAAATCCATCGTCAGAGCACTCAGCCAAATTTATAAAAAGGTTCATCGTAATAGAACCCCAGCTTCACTTGCACCCACTCCCTGGCTGACATCTAAACTACAAACATGATTGGAACGATGTCTAACTGTGGAACAGTTTCAAGCATTTCATTGATCACTTTTCATCCTTTTCTTGGTAGATCTAGCTTCGATTTTTCTTTGTATTTATTTATTTAGCTATTTTTATTTTTATTTTTATTTTTTTACCACGTGGCTTTCTGAATTTACTGGTTTGTGACCTCAGTGCGAGGATTATTACTTGCGATTAGTAAATCTATGGTTATTTGTGAGTATGCAAAGCGTCAAAAGGTTCGTGTGGTTCATCCATCTGTACTTTAGGTCAAATTCCATCTTTAAAAAAAATACATCCTGAAGAATTGAGACTGGTATGGGTCGATATTATGCAATACGTAGATACATAATCACACTACAACTGCCACTGAATAAATCGGGGCCGTCAAGCGGTCAGGCCGTTCAAACAGAGACAGAAGTACCTGTTAATGACTGAATCGGGGCCGTCGTGCGGTCAATCCGTCAGACTATTAAACAGAAACAACAATAACACAACCGCGTCGTCCAACGACGTCTTCATATAAAAAACCAGAAGTACCACTCTGCTAATGACTGAATCGGGGCCGTCGAGCGGTCAGGCCGTCAGACACTTAGACAGAAGTACCAATAACACAACCACGTCATCCAAGGACGTCTTCTTATAAAAAAACAGAGGTACCAATTCCATATTTATCAACATGTCCTCCAAGGACTTCAGTATCTATTCTTGTCTCTCTGGACACCTATATTCACACTATCCATCTACTGCGAGTGGGCCCACCCTAATATTGATTAATATCGACACATCTCAGCAAGCAAATTCAGGGAACTATTAATGTTGTATTAAATTAAATACAGTATCCATTCAGACTATCAAAAGTTTAGAAGCCAATTGTACAAGGGCTACTAGGCATCCCATAGCAGAGGTATCTTTTTTAATGCTCAAATCAGGTAAGCAATACAATCACAAGTGGATTGAATAATTAAAGATGCTTACCTTTTTTTGGTGATTAATCCTGTTCGTGACGCCAAATTGTAAGGATGCCTAGCCCAGGTTCACACTAGAAAGAATCGAAGGTCCACACGAATGATCATTTTGACAAGCTTTACTGATTACATATCTGGGTTACAGCTTCAGCAGGCCACAAGTGTGACCAACAGTGGTCCTCTCCAAGTGTAGCAAAGAGTGACCACCCCAAGTGTAGCAAAAAGCGGTCCACCCCCAAGTGTGGCCAACATGAGTGTAGCCAAGAGTGGTCCAAGACCATTCAAGTATATATAGCGATTCACAATCCTAAACATACTGTTGGTATTTAGTTGACCCTAAGAGAAAACCATGTATGGTAAAAACAAAGGACAACATATTTCAAAAGCCTTAGATGAACATGTGGAAGGTCCCAAGAAGGAAATATCATGGCAAACATATTTTGGGGACCTACATGGTGTAAATAATGTGTACAGGGTTCCTTGCTCAGGGATGGTTGTAGGAGGCCCCCGGCTCCAGCAATCTAACACCAAAGTGTCTGGGGTATTTGAGTGACACAGCTCCACCACTCTAAAGGCTGACATGACTGGCTAAAGAAACTCATCCTAACAGTGCTGAAACCTGAAAAAGCAATGCTAAACTGCTAAAAAAAAATGGAGGAAGGTTTAAATGTAAACTTGGTTAAAGAGCTGGAGAAAGAAAAGTAGAAGTTGGATGAAAGTGAAAATTGCTGAAGTACAAATAGTATGAATGTGCTTCATAAATTAAAATTGCATTCATGCTAAATAAGGCTAGAAAAACTGTCTGAAATTGCAAAAAAAAAATGGATAAGGAAGAAAATTACCTTAAAACACAGAAAAGTAAGAAGCGGCATAAGTTTAAGTTGAAGTACTAGAAGAAGTATGATAATAGGTAGTTGTACTAGTGATATTAGTAGTCATGTAAGCAGTAGAAGTAGTTTTAGAATAGAAGAAGTAGAAGTCAAAGCAGTAGAGCTCGTGGTAGAAGTAAAAAAAATATTAAGAGAAGCAAGAGCAGTGGAGGTAGAAGTGAAGATACAAGTTAAAGTGATATAAGTAGTAATTGTAGTGGTAGAACTGGGATTTTGTTTGAAGAATTAAAACATACATAAATAATGAGAATGATTTTGAAGAGGGAAAAATTTTTAATAATTAGAAATCCTAAAGTGTTAAACAGGTTTGAAGTATCAGAAAGGTTTGAATCAGTTTGAAAGAGTTTGGATTTGTCTGACGAATTTAATAATGCATGAATAATGAGAATAATTTTAAAGTGGGTAAAAGTTAAATGAATAAAATACGGAGTACATCCCATAATGTCCTCAATGAGCTGAATTTTTGAAGCCCAGAATGGTTTCTGTAGCTCAAAGTTTGTGGGTGGAGATAGGTGGTGAAGCAGACACATATTAACTGTGTGTACAAGCAGGTCTTTTAGACACAGACACAGACACACGCACACACATTGTCAGACTGTTTGTGTGTGTGTCTCGTTAATGATTGCATCCTAAACAGCTGTGAGATCAAAGGCATTAACTGACCTACTGTTTGAATGAGAAGCTGCCTCTGGACTTCTTCACATAGCGTGATTTCCTTATATCCCAGAATGAAAATAAGAACATTGTACGAATCCTCCGCCCTTCATGAACACAATGAATGTGGCCACAACAGCGAGTTAAAAGTCTAGACGTTCGGATGGTTATCTTTAAAGTGATGCATTGACATCACATAAAAGTCCTGCCCACCATGTCAAAGACTCTTCGTGCTTAAGAGCAGAAAAGCTCATGTTATTGTGAGAAATCTCTATAAGAGATTTTTTTATGTCTTCTGGGCTATTTAAAGCCGTCAGTCTGAAACTTAATTGACAGTTTCTTTTATACTAACCAATGCTTTCTTATTTCTTCTTTAAATCTGCACAGAAGAGTCAACCGTTTCCTGTAAAAGGAGAAGCTCCGAGAATTGCGTGCTCGGGCTTCAACAGGAGGTAAGAAACGCATTTAACTTATGATGACAGTAAAATGCAAACTCAAATTTATAGGGGTGTGATATTAAAGAGTAGTTTACCAATGTGTCTCTAAAACAATCTTTTACCTCTTTTGCATTTAATATGCAGAGTGTAACATTTGAAACATGACAGAGACCTCCCAGCAGATTATAATCTGAGACAGTTCAGAGTTAAATCTGTGACAGTGCCAGCAAAAATCTAAAGATTCGCAAATTTAGGATTTGATTTTGGACTTACACTGTGTTGTGTTTCATACTCTTTTTGTCACAAGACACATGTATTTATGTGATACATTTCAGTGGTTATTTTAACTGAATAAGACAATTCAAAGGCTTCACATAAGACATTTACTGATCAATTAATCAGTCAGACAAAGGAAATGTGTAAAAACACTAAATGAAATAAAGAAGTTTTATCATCGTTTGCTCTTACTGGGAGTCTCTAGTCAAAAACTAGTAAAGTCAGGTATGATAGATAAGACACTCCTTTATTAGTCCCACAAGGGGAAATTCCCAGAAAGGGAAACAAAGACCATTTTAATTTACTGTGTTTGAAATTGAAGGAAAAACATGTTTTGTATGAGGCCTTTCCCAGATAATATGCATTAAAAAAGCTTTGCTTTAAAAACGCTGTGTCAACTTAAAGAGATTCAGCACTTAGGTTTTTAATGAATAAGTGTGAACAAAGAGGGGGTTCATTTATCAATAACAACAACACAAAAACAGGGAATAACCTTCAGGTATTTTAAACCACTGTGAGTGTGCTGTATTATTTTTGATACATAAAGACACTTTTTCAGTTTGACTCTGATACTTCCTCAAAGACCATCCAGTGCGTGTTTATTGTATTTTATCGTCTGAATATCACCATGGTTTGAGTCTGTGTGACTGTCATGTGTCTCTGCAGATATTTCTGTTTATAGATTTATTTTGTTCATTAAAATAACCAACCTGTGTTTCTGTGTTGACCAGTGACACTGCGTCAGAGGCTTCTAATGCAGAAAAGTGCTGCCCAACGAACTTTTGGCTGCACAGGCTGTTTGGTCAACCTCTGGTATGTTTCAGAGCTGTTAAAATAAGATCATTTTATAAGTGTGACATTTAAAATCAGACACTACAAATATTTGACACAGTGGGTTTTCATTTTTATATTTGTTGTTACTCCACAGAGAAAAGTCAGAAGTCTAATCAGCCTTCAGCGGAGGTGAGTAAACTGCTCCAACAATCAGCTGTTTATTTGTGCAGCCACAAAAGCTTCTGATAAATGTTGACTAGTCACTGCAGACTCCTTAAAAACATCACTAGAGGTTGTTAAAACAAATGTCACCACACGGTAATGGTGTGTGCTTGTGTCTGCAGAGATGTCACCTCCAATGGTCTGGCTGGCTCCACAGCACCCCCACCTGGGGAGAAAAACAAGAAACTGAAGGAGAAGAAATGGAGTTGTTCTTGGTTTTTGAAGTGCTGTAGTGTAAGTAAAGCATAGGAATACCAGTCTGGACTTCAGTGTTGTTATAAGCATTAGTGTTGGTTTATCTTTCAGTTGATTCTGTTACTGACAAATCAAAATTATTTTTACTCCATTAGAGAGAAAAGCGTGTGTCTCCTCTCTCTGATCATAAAGATCAGTAAAAGCCTCCTCGGGAACTCCAGAGAAGGTAACAAACTCATTTTGTTCACAGGATGGATCAATTTTGGTGTCACCTGATGAGTTAAATCATCACGTGACACAAATCAGGTGTTATCAATTCTTTCTTAAAGCTCCCGTGAGTAATTTTTGGTTTGTGTTGCTTCTTATGCTTCTTTTCATAACCTCTCTTTCAAATTGTGTTAAGTCTTGTTTTCAAACAAAAAATCTCCCTGCTCAATTTTAAAAGTCATTGGTCATCTTCACCTGAGATATTTTTGAAAAAGCCTTTTTAAAAAGCTTCAATTTAGCTAAATCATCTGACACCTACACCCCTGACAACAGTTTCTAACCTCACAAATAACTTTGTAGAGATGAACAAACCCTTCAAAGGTGGTCTGATTTGCTTTTTAAGGCCACACAGAGGCATCCCTATCAATATCAGTCAGTTATAATCGGCTGAAAATTCCCCACAGTAGCTTTAACATGAAATCACTTGTACATGAAAATCAGTATATCTGCTAAAAAGGCCCGGCCCCTTTTTTTTCCCCCCCTTGAAACACACTCACAGTCTGTTCCTCAGTCTTTAAATAATTTATTTATATATTAAGAAGCGCTGTAATGCTGTAGAATAGCCAACTTGATTTTTTGACTTTAAATTTAAATGAAAAGAGCAGTTGAATACACACTTTCTGTACCAGATTTAATGTGGAGGTTGATATCTCAATAAAGAAAGTTATGGTTTGAGTTAGCTTGAGGTTATCGCTTTCATCCCCTTTTTAACTTTATGTTCTTACTTGGGACATGTTTTGATTGGCATTGAAAGTCAATAAGGATTATTGGCAGTGCTGGTAATGTGAATTAAAAACTCTTGAGTGTTGTGTTGGTCAAATCTCGTCTCCTTAAATTCAATCCCACTTCGATCTCAATACTGATTTTTGCTAAAATAACCTTCTTTTCCACGTTTTTGAGGTCAACTGTAAAATAGGATTCAGTACAAGTAGATTACTAGCCCCACACACTTGTAGCTCTTTGCTGTTCATTGTTATTAAGTGGAAATGCTGATTAAGCATTTCCACTTATTGTTCTTCCCGTCGGCCATTTTGTTTATTATTGTTATTATTATTATTATTATTATTATTATTATTATTATTATTATTATTCCGCCAATTTTCGTCCGCTTCTAACTCCTTCCTACTTTGTGCTATTTAAACCATTCAAACTTTAAACTGTTCCACTCCTTCAGGACATGAGGGCTCGTACTTTTTACCTTTCTACCTTTTATACTTTTTTTTTTTTTTTTGACAAAAGAGGTTTCAAATTATTAAATCGTACCCCTCGGCCAGCAGGTGACCAACTGTCCATATAGCCGAAAATCTCTCCCATTGGCCCTAATGTGATTTTTCTCCAAGAAAATCCTGAAAATCGCTCAGGCTCAGACCTATTTAACTCGCTGTTGTGGCCACATTTTTCAGAGTACAGACATGAAAAACACATCATTGTGTTCATGAGGGGCGGAGGATTCGTACAATGTTCTTATTTTCATTCTGGGATTTAAGGAAATCACGCTATGGGAAGAAGTTCAGAGGCCCTAAATTCGATGAAGTTAGGCAGCTTTTCATTCAAACAGTACGTCAGTTAATGCCTTTGATGTCTGACACCTGTTAAGATGTATTAATTAAAACACACACACGCACACACACCTTCTTGTACTTGCTGCTTTTGAAATAACCTGGTTATAACCTGTGACATTACCTGGTAATAACCTGGTTACAACCTGGTTATAACCTGAGACATTACCTGGTAATAACCTGGTTATAACCTGAGACATTACTTGGTAATAACCTGGTAATAACCTGGTAATTACCTGGTAATAACCTGGTAATAACCTGGTTATAGCCTGAGACGTTACCTGGTAGTAACCTGGTTATAACCTGGTTATTACCTGATTATAACCTGAGACATTACCCTCTTATGACCTGGTAATAACCTGAGACATTACCTGGTTAAAACCTGGTTATAACCTGGTTATAACCTGAGACATTACTTGGTTATAACCTGGTCATAACCTGAGACATTACCTGGTTATAACCTGGTTATTACCTGGTTATAACCTGAGACATTAACTTGTTATAACCTGGTTATAACCTGGTTATAACCTGAGACATTACCTGTTATAACCTAGTTATAACCTGGTCATAACCTGAGACAAAACCTGGTTATAATTTAGTTATAACCTGGTAATGACCTGAGAAATTACCTGGTTATAACCTGGTTATATCCTGAGACATTACCTGGTTATAACCTGGTTATAACCTGAGACAATACCTGGTTATAACCAGGTTATACCCTCGTTATAACCTGAGACATTACCTGATTATAACGTGGTTATAACGTGGTTATAACCTGAGACATTACCTGGTTATAACCTGGTTATAACCTCGTCACAACCTGAGACATTACCTGGTTATAACGTGGTTATAACCTGGTTATAACCTGAGACATTACCTGGTTATAACCTGGTTATATCCTGTGGCATTAATTGGTTATAACCTAGTCATATCCTGAGACATTACCTGGTTATAACCTGGTTATAACCTCGTCACAACCTGAGACATTACCTGGTTATAACGTGGTTATAACCTGGTCATAACCTGAGACATTACCTGGTTATAACCTGGTTATTACCTGGTTATAACCTGAGACATTACCTGGTTATAACCTGGTTATAACCTCATTACAACCTGAGACATTACCTGGTTATAATGTGGTTATAACCTGGTTATAACCTGAGACATTACCTGGTTATAACCTGGTTATATCTTGTGACATTACCTGTAGTTATATCCTGAGACATCAGCTGGTTATAACCTGGTTATAACCTCGTTATATCCTGAGACATTACCTGGTTATAACCTAGTTATATCCTGAGACATTACCTGGTTATAACCTGGTTATAATCTGGTTATATCCTGAGACATTACCTGGTTATGACCTGGTTATATCCTGAGACATTACCTGGTTATAACCTAGTTATATCCCGAGACATTACCTGGGTATAACCTGGTTATAACCTGGTTATATCCTGAGACATTACCTGGTTATAACCTAGTTATATCCTGAGACATTACCTGGTTGTAACCTGGTTATAACCTGGTTATATCCTGAGACATTATCCGGTTATAACCTGGTTATATCCTGAGACATTACATGGTAATGACCTAGTTATATCCTGAGACATTACCTGGATATAACCTGGTTACATTCTGAGACATTACCTGGTTATAACCTGGTTATATCCTGAGACATTAACTGGTTATAACCTGGTTATAACCTGAGACATTACCTGGTTATAACCTGGTTATAACCTGGGACATTAGCTGGTTATAACCTGGATATATCCTGAGACATTACCTGGTTATAACCTGATTATATCCTGAGACATTAACTGGTTTTAACCTGGTTGTATCCTGAGTACCTGGTTATAACCTAGTTATATCCCGAGACATTACCTGGTTATAACCTGGTTATAACCTGAGACATTAACTGCTTATAACCTGGTTATATCCTGAGACATTACCTGGTTATAACCTGGTTATATCCTGAGACATTACCTGGTTATAACCTGGTTATAAACTGAGACATAACCTGGTTACAACCTGGTTATGACCCGGTTATAACCGGAGACATTACCTGGTAATAACCAGGTTATAACGTGGTTATTACCTGGTTATAACCTGAGACATTACCTGATTATAACCTGGTTATATCCTGAGACATTACCTGGTTATAACCTGGTTATAACCTGAGACAATACCTGGTTATAACCAGGTTATAACCTCGTTATAACCTTAGACATTACCTGGTTATAACTTGGCTATAACCTGGTTATAACCTGAGACATTACCTGGTTATAACCTGGTTATAACCTCATTACAACCTGAGACATTACCTGGTTATAATGTGGTTATAACCTGAGACATTACCTGGTTATAACCTGGTTATATCCTGAGACATTACCTGGTTATAACCTGGTTATATCTTGTGACATTACCTGTAGTTATATCCTGAGACATCAGCTGGTTATAACCTGGTTATAACCTCGTTATATCCTGAGACATTACCTGGTTATAACCTAGTTATATCCTGAGACATTACCTGGTTATAACCTGGTTATAATCTGGTTATATCCTGAGACATTACCTGGTTATGACCTGGTTATATCCTGAGACATTACCTGGTTATAACCTAGTTATATCCCGAGACATTACCTGGGTATAACCTGGTTATAACCTGGTTATATCCTGAGACATTACCTGGTTATAACCTAGTTATATCCTGAGACATTACCTGGTTGTAACCTGGTTATAACCTGGTTATATCCTGAGACATTATCTGGTTATAACCTGGTTATATCCTGAGACATTACATGGTTATGACCTAGTTATATCCTGAGACATTACCTGGATATAACCTGGTTACATCCTTAGACATTACCTGGTTATAACCTGGTTATATCCTGAGACATTAACTGGTTATAACCTGGTTATATCCTTAGACATTACCTGGTTATAACCTGGTTATAACCTAGTTATATCCTGAGACATTACCTGGTTTTAATGTGGTTATAACCTGGTTATAACCTGAGACATTACCTGGTTATAACCTGGTTATATCCTGAGACATTACCTGGTTATAACCTGGTTATATCTTGTGACATTACCTGTAGTTATATCCTGAGACATTAGCTGGTTATAACCTGGTTATAACCTCGTTATATCCTGAGACATTACCTGGTTATAACCTAGTTATATCCTGAGACATTACCTGGTTATAACCTGGTTATATCCTGAGACATTACCTGGTTATGACCTGGTTATATCCTGAGACATTACCTGGTTATAACCTAGTTATATCCTGAGACATTACCTGGGTATAACCTGGTTATAACATGGTTATATCCTGAGACATTACCTGATTATAACCTAGTTATATCCTGAGACATTACCTGGTTGTAACCTGGTTATAACTTGGTTATATCCTGAGACATTATCTGGTTATAACCTGGTTATATCCTGAGACATTACATGGTTATAACCTAGTTATATCCTGAGACATTACCTGGATATAACCTGGTTACATCCTGAGACATTACCTGTTTATAACCTGGTTATAACCTGAGACATTACCCTGTTATAACCTGGTTATAACCTGAGACATTACCTGGTAATAACCTGGTTATAACCTGAGACATTACCTTTTTATGTTAACTGAATAAACGTTTTTATAATATTTTATTATTTTTATTTTTTATAACTTTTTTCCCTCCAAAAATGTTTTAGTTAATTCTGAGATATAATTCTTAATTTAGGAAACAAGAGCAGTTTTATCCTCAAATAAATGCAGTACGCCTGTGTGTTAAAGAACTCTACATTTATGTCAAACATTAATCTCAAATATACCTCAATGTAGGATAAAAAAAACATGTTAAAAATAACTGACTGCATTAATCAGGTAAAAAGTTGAGATTTTTTAGCGTTTTGTGGCGTAAAAAATGACGTTAAATTGTGTAATTTCCTGTGGTTTTAGTCAACATCAAAGCAGAGCAGTGGATTAACTCTGGTGTTAGCCACACGAGTGTACCCGAATGTAATGGCGTTTACTATGGCTATGGGCTATTCGAGACTCAAATGTTTCAGTCGCCATATCTACTATTTTCAAAACATGTCTGTTTCTCACGCATTTAAATGAACATGGTGATGTCCACCAAGTTGCACTTCTTTAACTATGGAACAGGTAGGAATCAACTGAGTTCCTCCGAGAGTTCAGAAGCTGCGTGCCACGCGCAAGCCAATCAAATAAAGTATATCTACTGAACAGCCAATAAAAAAGCAGCATTGCTGTATCCGGGTAGATTTTGATATCTTACGGTTTGACTACAGAAGAAGACAGACACTCGCCGTAATAGAGCAGGTTTTTATAAGGACGAGATAGACCCGATGATTACAGTAAGTCAGTAACCTACACATGCAGAGACCTCAACACCTCATGGCATATAAACTCATATGATAAACTAAAGCCCTATGCTATTGCTATTAACAGCTGTATTGACGGATTTAGCCTCTGTACAGCCATTTCCAGCCATTTTCCCCTCCACAAAAGCAGCATTTCTCATATATCTCAAATATAAGTTCTGATACTCATGACAGTGTAATGCTCATGTACCAAAGGATTAAGTATCTCCATGTTTGTGAAACCTATACTAAAGTACAATTCATCTAAATGCTCCACAGTGCTGATTTTAAGAACTCTCCTTCACAACAGGTACCTTTACGACTTAATACTGATATTAATGACTTTATTATGTTTTTTTTCTAATTGTGCCCCTTATACTCCGTTGTATTTAAGAGATAATTATACTAATAATTATCTTCAATCACCCCCCCCCCCCCCCCCAAGGAAATCTCACTCTAAGCTTAGTTCAAAACTTGAGAGCCCTGAAAGAGACTTCCTCCAGACACATGTGCTGTGTCCGAATTGCCCGCTTGCATACTACACTTTTCAAGTGTCTGCTTTGTCTGAACAACTACTACTGCTACATGCTACTGCTACATACTACTGCTAGATCCTACTCCTACATACTAAACACGTTGGCCCAATTCGGTCACGGTGGGGAAAGACGACCCCCGCAGGCAGAGAGTAGGCACATTTTTTTAGGACAGTGTGTGAAGTTACATGAAACTTACATCTGTACTGCTGCGGTCCTGCCTCACTTGAATGGCACAATTACCATTCAAAGAGTCTAAAACTGTCTGCACGGGCGCAGTACCTGCTCTCTGCCTGCGGGGGTTGTCTTTCCGTACCGCTCGTCCAGTGTGTCCGAATTGGGCCAACGTGTTTAGTATGTAGGAGTAGAATCCAGCAGTAGTATGTAGCAGTAGCATGTAGCAGTAGTAGTTGTTCAGACAAAGCAGACACTTGAAAAGTGAGGGAAGTCTCATCAGTATGGGACCCTGCTTGCTACAAGTTTTGGTGCTGTTTTTCTCTTGCTGCGTCAAAATTGCCAAGTAGTAGTCGAAGTTGTAGTTGAATTAGTACAGCCCCCCCCCCCCCCCCCCCCCCCAGCTCATTTTTTATTAGAGCCAGTCTGGAGAATGACCGTTCCTCTTCACAGTTTGTTATTGGCAGGGTCAAAAACAGTCTGAGTGCTATGTAAACATTTGGGAAAGTGGACTGTAAATCCAAATTTACCATGGTCTTTAGCATTGTATTTGGGCATTTTTGTTCTTCTGAAATGAATGATTTGTACTGAACAAGTTAATCTGCCAAGCTCATGGTCAGATCAGTGGGATATGCTGCAGCAAGAGACTAGGCCCTTAAAGTGAGCTCACTGTTGGACATATTATCAGGCATGAAAAGAACATGAAAAAGATTGGTCAAGTGTGTGTATGCAGTTAACTGATGGTTAAGGCAGGACACAAGTCTACAGAAACCTACAGAGCTACAGAAACCATTCAGGGCTTCAAAAATTCAGCTCATTGAGGACATTATGGGGTGTATTCAGGATTTTTATTCAATTAAATTTTCCCCATTTTAAAATCACTCAGTAATAATGCATTCCTCAATTCTTTGAACAAAGTAAAACCTTTTCAAACTGATTCAAACCTTTCTGATACTTAAAAACTATCTAATACTTGAGGATTTTTAATTATTAAAATTTTCCCTGTTTAAAATAGTTTTAGTATTCATGCGTTATTCACCCCTTGAACAAAATCCCACTTCTTTTACTACAACTACTGCTAATATCAATAAAACTAGTAATTTGACTTCTACTTCAACTACTATTGCTACTATTTCTACTTTCTCTACTGCTATTTCTACCACTAGCTCTACTACTTTGACTTCTCCTATTCTCAAACTATTTCTACTGCTTACATGACTACTAATATCACTACTATGACTACTTATCATACTACCACTAGAACAACAACTTAAGCTTATGCCACTTCTCACCTTCCTGCTTTTTAAGGCAATTTCCTTCTTCATTCAAACTTTGTGCAATTTCAGTCATTTTCTGGCCTCTTTCAGCGTAAATAAAATTTCAATTTATGGAGCATATTCATACTGTTTGTCCTTCAACCATTTTGACAATTATTCAACATTTATACCTTTCTCCATTTTTATTAGCAGTTTAGCATTGCTTTTTCAGCTTTCAGCACTCAGTATTTCCACACATTTTCTGCAAGGAAATGCAATTTTTCTAGTTCCACTTAGACTACCAAATCTGTTCACTGAAAATACAGTAGCCCTTACAATGGCTTTAAGTCTAGTTAAGGTACACTATTATTACAATACAATACAATGTAAATGTTAATGAGCTTTTTAATAGGGTGTTGGATGCTAAATCTGATAGTCTAGGATAGGTTTTAATGTAAGAATGTTATTAGGAGTTTCGATAAATGGATTTAACAATATTGGATTTTCACTTAAACTACCAAAGTTTCTGCCATGTGAGGAGTTTCAATAAAAGCAATGCCAAGTGTAATGTGGGAGTGTTGTATGGATATGGGATTTTCACTTGGACTTCACTTTGTTGACATTGGTGTGTACAGTACACCCCTTTACGGTGGGGACTTAAGGAAGCGAAATCTGCAAAGTGAAGCGGGGCGAAACTCAGTGTTCTGAAGGTGAATATCTACCAGTCTACTACTCTCCTCGAAGTAACTATAGGTTATAATGACACGTGAATCTGCTGTGTATTGTGACTGGACCACTGTACAGCCCGCCCCTGAGTCTAGCTCGGCTATTGGACACTCCCCTCACGATATGGTCGCGACGCACAATAAATTTGCATGGAGTTGGAGATTTCTGAACTTTTGGACGTGTCGCAATGACAGTTTTGATGCACTCCAAGGATCATGTCGTATTGTGTACACACAATACTGTGCGGGAGCGAAATCACTTCTCATAGAAAATAGGTCCAGCTTCAATGAGCTGTCTACTGGGGCCAGCGTTAGGCCCAGGATATGCTTGCCATGTGCACATTTCATGCCCAACTGCGTTGCCATGCGTTTTTTATGTCCATGTTACGCGTGGTTCTTCTTTTACGACCTTAGTACTATTATTTAAAAAATTTATTTTAAGTCAGACATGTGCGCTTGTTGCAATATTGACACAACCGCGAGGGGCGATCTTCCGAACTTCCATGTTGAGCTCGTGGTAGAGTCAAACAATGGTGGAAAATATTAATGAGAGCCCGGTTGGCTATCTACCCCCTACATGATACCGCCAGTATCCAATGTTGCCAATTCAGCAACTTTGTCGCTAGATTTAGCGACTTTTGGCCGTCTCTGGCGACTAAAACCTCATCTAGCGACTTAGCGGCTTTTTAGGTGAATCTTTAAAAAAACACATCTCTCGAGTGTCAAAATCATTGTTTTTCAATGTAACTTCAGCTCTGCACCGCCACCAGAAGCTTATTTCATGGTTAAGCAGCACTAGCAGCACAGCACTATGCGCATTAGCCCCCGATCTCGAAACTGTATCCTTTGGGATTGTCAACATAGCCATGTAGACACATTTTCTTGAGATCAGTGAGTTGTGCGTGATGTTATGACATAATCTAGCAACTTTTCGGAGAGCCAATAGCGACTTTTGGTGATTTGTTTTTGGCAACACTACCAGTTTCGTGCATAGTGCTCTGATTGTTCTGCTGCAAGTATGTGCAGTTGCGCACGTAAAGCTAGCATATCCTGGGCCTTAGGGCTCACTGATATGACGCTGGATTTTCACATGTTCTCCTAAGTTGAAAAAGTAAGGAGCACACAAAGAACTTTAGGGGCTCAATGAAAATTGATCAAATAATGTTTGTCTTATTGGTCGACATAAGTGCTATTATTTGAAATCAATTTTAGGTCTTTTGGTCACATGACATGGAAGCTATTGAAGAAAATGTTCAAAATTTGCCTTTAATTTTAATGCAAAAATTTTTAGAGGACAAATTAGGGAAATACAGAGGTGTGTCTTCTTTTACGACCTTAGTACTATTATTTAAAAAATTTATTTTAAGTCAATTGGTCACATGACATGGAAGCTATTGAAGGAAAACAGCCTTTTCTGAGAACATCAACCGGTAATTTATTGATGGTCCCTCATTCAACACTGATGTTGACAGTGAGGGTGTCGAGTAGATTTAACTGCGCTGCTGTTGTTATTCCCGGTTATGGAGAGTGAGAAGACAGCGGTAGATCCTCAGTGAATGTCCGTCAAATATCCAACCAAAAACTAACTTCACCACCGTATTTACAGGAAAAAACATTTTTTGCCTCGGCTAATTTTTTTGTGCGGATGTGCCCCTAAATACATTTTACACTTCACACACATCTATTTTTAGTCGCAAATGCGAGTGAATCACACTGTCAAGCCCTGAAAGGTTATTGTTTAATTTTATTGTTTAATTTCGCTTCGTGTGTAGCTAACACTACATTGGCATCCTCCCGTTGTGGCTTTTTTATTTGCATCCTTTTATCTTCACAGTAAGGAACTTTTTTTATCGCCACTTTTTTTGCATCTGTAACTTCCGTAGTGACTTCTTTTTTTTGCATTGTGGCGGTTCTCGGCCACCATATAGATGGACCTGAAAAAGCAGAGATAGGAAACAGACAACTGTACAAAGAAAGACAACCTTTAAGTTTTGGTAATGTAAAAGACTTTTAATAAAAAAAAACTTGTAAAAATATAAAATGAGATTTTAAAATGATTTCGGACATCCTGACAGAATTGATTTGCTGACTGTTGATGTGAAGGAACATTCAGGTAGATGGGATTAGGGTCCAGCACTAAACTCTTGAAGTTTCCTGATGAGCTCTAAGTGCAGTCCTGGATTTGGGGAAAACCTCTGTCCACCATCTCTTCAAGTCTTACAGAAAGACTCACACTCCTCCTGCCTGTCAAAGCGGTTCTCATTGCCACCGCAGCCTCCGTACCAGAAGGGGGCACACTGACCCCGTTTGCTGACAAAGTACCACTTCAGGGTGTAGTTCCGACAGTCGCCGCTGTCCATGCTGAGGAGACAGATGTCTGGGTGAAGAGAGAGGGGGACATTAACCCACACCAAGTCTCAAGTCCCTGAAGGACAAGTCCAAGTCAGTTTTAAGTCTTTGGACATGAGTCCAGGTTTAGGATTCAGTCTAACCCCCAATTTTCACCGTACCCGGAACGGCTCTGATCTGGAACAGCTGCAATTTTCGACGTCCACCAATTTCTACTGGATCCGTTGGTGAGGCGTATTTCATGGCTGATTACGGACAGCCGGATGTTTTATTTTGTATCTGTGCCGACTTCCTTTCCAGCACGGGTTGATCTGTGCTGAATTTATCCGGCATGCTCTGGCGTCCGGAAAAAATAGAACTCTTGCAATCAGCTGAGGAGTCCAGCAATCCACAGAGGAACGGAAAGAAGCCGGTGGAAATTGACACGTTAACTTGAATGGTTACGATCAGCTACGATTGGTGGATACGACCTTTTTGAAGACGTTCAGCATGCGGTGGAAATTGGAGGTTAGTCCTTGCCCCGCTTTAGTCTTTCGTGGTTTCCATTAATAACAACAAAAGCTGTACATTTTGTTCTGATTGGTGGACTTTATCTCAGTTAGTTAACATCACGTTGAACTTTTATTCAGGTTTGTCTATCGGCTGATTCTGATTGGTTGTCAGCCTGGTGCTGCCACAAAAATTAACTTTGGTGAATAAGCGTAAAAACGTTAAATCTGTGAAATCATCCAGGGGGCGCTAGCAAGTTTACACAGCAGGTGGTGGATTCTAAGAGGGTACGTAACCTCCAATTTCCACCGCATCCTGAACGGCTACTAAAAGGTCATATCCACCGATCATAGCTGATCGTAACCCTTCAAGTTAATGTGTCAATTTCTACCCGCATCTTTCCGTTCCTCTGCGGATTGACGGACTCCTCAGCTGATCGCAAGCAAGAGTTCTATTTTTCTGGACGCTGTAGCATGCCAGATAAACTCAGCACAGATTAACCTGTGCTGGAAAGGAAGTCGGGTACAGACACAAAATAAAACATCCGGCTTCTTTTCAAAATAAAACACTCCGTGTTTCAGGAGGATCGTATTTCACACCATGCAAATGGGCGGAGATGAACAAGTGAAAGGTTTATAGACGTCATTTCACCCCGATGACACCATGGATGAGGAGATGCTGATTCGAGTCTAGAAGTAGATTTCCTCCTCTGGAAGGACACAATCTACTGTTTACATGTGAACTTGAATCTGTGGATTCTTGTGAGTTCTTGTGATTCCTGCTGTCCGTAACCTGCCATGAAATTCGCTTGACAAACGGATCCGGTAGGAATTGGCGGACGGCGAGAATCGTGGAAACCAGATCGGAGCCATTCAGGATGCGGATGAAATTGGGGGTAAGAGGGGTCGTACTCTCGCTGCTGTAGGTGTTCCTTATTAGCATGTGGATCTGAACTGGACTCAACAGCACCCTAAATGGCACAGACTTGACTGTGTGTGTGTGTGTGTGTGTGTGTGTGTGTGTGTGTGTGTGTGTGTGTGTGTGTGTGTGTTACCTTTGTCTTCAGATCTGGAGTCTGAGCTCAGACTGTCCTGCTGGATCTGGCCGTCAGAGATGTTCATGTGTCTGGTTTCTGTCTCTCCTCTCACCTGTGCCAGAAATCCACCCTCAAAAAACTGGTCTTCATGCGCTCCACTGTGTGATGAAACAAACAAACTTCAGTTTTCTGAGAACACATCATCAGTAAAATCTGGGGGGAGGGGTCATTGGGACCAGGATGTGGCGGACTAAGCAGCTGTTTTCCGTGTAGAGAGTTTCAGACCTGAAATTTTCTTCCAGCTGCTCACAGGTCTGAGTCAGTGACGGAGGAGGATACGTGATGACTCCCTCTGAAACAAAAATGCACCAACCTTCAGACTCGCTCTGAGACCAACAGACAAATGGAAGGGTCAGTGTGTTTCAGTCTGGTGGCGTTCTTACTGTTCAGGGCGGACAGGAAGACCCTGAAGAAGTGTCGGCAGTAGCCCTGCTCCTCAGCATCCAGTCTGCTGACGTGGACCAGGTGCTGATTTGTGGGCAGACCGGCCAGCTCCTCCACCTGCGTCCGGCTGTAGCGCTCGCCCACCGTCACCACGAACAGCGCCACCCCCTCACACTTGGCCTTCTGGGAGATGTAGCGCAGCTTGGCCTGGTCCTCATAGGCGGTCTGGGTGCCCACCACGGTCAGCAGCACCCTCCTCTTCCGGGCCTGCTTGGCGTTTAGGAGGACCTTCTTCAAGGTGAACTCCAGTGTCAGTCCGATGGAGGCGGAGCCGCCCTGCTGCCTCATGTTCTGGATCAGGTGCCTCTTCATCTGGTCCTGGTTCTGGTAGCTCTGCAGGCCAAACTCCTTCTTTAGAACCTGTGTGCTGCCCATCTGGACTAAAGCCACCCGTGCCTGGTTTCCAGCCCTGCTGGGCTCGGGGCTCACAGCCAGCTGCTCCACCACAGAACCCAGAAGCTGCTGGGCGCCGGCGTACTCGTCAGCCCTTACCTCCCTGGAGCCGTCCAGCACCAGGACCAGGTCCACGTCGGCCTGCTGAGGCTGCACCTGTTCCTGGATGAAGGAGCACTGTGCTGAGGGCCGACAGGGGTCTGAAGAGGAAACAGAGAAGGTCATTGTGGAGGAACCAAAACTGCAACTGAAGGTCTAAGGAGGAAACAGGGAATGGGAATAAATCCTACGAATGGAAAGACGAGGACTTTGGGCTCTCTTCAGCTTCCTTTGGAGGTTGTAAGGAAACGTTGAAAGGGCTCAGGATAAATAGCCTGGAATACTTCACAGGGAAACCAGCAACAAAATTTCAGGGTACATAGGTCGAAGTTATTTGTCAACCCTAGGATCCAGGACATGCAGGTATGTCCAAATGATTCTCCCATGAAGCTAAGATCATTCATATTCTGGATATAGGTGCAAATAGAAATGAAATGCAATGGAAAACTGAGCAAAAATAAGCTATTTTAGCAATTTTTCATATAAATATGGGATAACATACAAAAATGAAAACACTCAAAAAAAGCACTTTGCAATATGAGGAAGTAATATTTTACACAAGCAGGCAAGTGGGGCTGACTCCAGATGAGGTCAGGACTGTATAACGTGCCCAATATGGCGATTTTTCGACCTAACGTACCACACATTTTGACTGATTACTCAAAAAGTTATGAAATGCCCATCCTGAAACTTGCAGGGATGCTAGTGGACATGATAGTCTTTCTTAAGTGTGAATATGAAGAAAACTGAAGGACGCTCATTTTTTGCTATTTCCAATTTAAGTTTTTGGTCTTTTATAATTTTTTTCTGGTCCAATTTGGGAAAAAATGTGATGAACAAAAAGATATAACTTGAAGAGAGCTTTAAAATGACTCAGCTGAAGAATCAGCTCTCTAGGTGGCATACTTCCAGAGATATGAACACTTTTGTATCGCGTGTCATGCTAGTTAGCCAAAAATTTATTAGCCCCTATCTCACTGATTAGATGGCTTTGAACAAAAATATTTGAGCTCTGACAGTTTCTCCTGAAGGCCAATCCGTCCACCAAATTTCATCAAAATCTGTGACGTGAGTGGAGATTCTTGGTTGAATTGACATGGAATGATCCTTATATGAGACAGTGTGGAGGATGCCCTCTGCAGCGCTTACAGCACCACTTGTTGAGGGGCTGCCTTCTGTCGCCATCGTGTGGCATTAGCTGCGTTTCCATTACCCATAGATTTGCGCAAAACCTAAATATCGCAATGGAAAACTGGTAATGGAAACACCTAAATTTTAAAAAACCTCTCAAATATCGCTAAGAAGTTTTTACGCTCTCATGAGGTGGTTTTTCAGACGTGTTGATATAGAAGTATATTGCAAAAGTGTAATGGAAACATTTTTCTTGCAATTCTCTGTCACCGGACGTGACGTAGCGGGTCAAGTGACCAGGGGCCTCATGTATCAACGCTGGCGGCGCCAGAAAACCTTGCGTTCACCAAGATCGGCGCACACGTCCAGATTTATCTTCGCGACACGAGCGTCGGTTCCAGCGCAAATCCACGCAAAGTGAGGAGGTGGTGTAGAAGTTGGCATTGAGCTTGCGTTGACGGCACTTTGGCGACGCCGTGTGGCGGTGTTTGGTGACTCACTATGTGACAAGCGTGCACCACATCCCCGTGGCCGAGCAGCACGTCGCCCCACATGACGAACCAGCAGCAGACGGAGGGATGCGAGCTGATCCCTGCCGGGCCGCCGTCCTCGCGCGGGAGAATCTCATCGCCACAGTGTGAATGGGTAAGAAGTGAATACACAGTTCAATGAGCCAAATTAATTTATTTTCTCCACCAGACGCTCGAGGACATTTACGAGCCGGTCCAGCCGCTCGTTGATCCCCGCGATCCCCCTGATGATTTCTTCCTGCAATTGCAGGACCGCCTCCGTGAGGACCCTTCCACTGCGTCCGGGTGGTCCAGCGGAAGTGCCGCGGCTGGTGGACGCTCCACCGCTTGTCGGCGTGCTCGTGCTGGTGCTGGGGCTGGGGGTCGGGGTGGCCCGAATGCCGCTGGTCCTGGCTGACGACTCCGAGCCGGCGGACGGGCTGCCGCGGGCCGGGGTTGCGCAAGCCGGCGACACAGCTGACACATTGATTTCTGTGACACAATAAAAATATTGGTTCATTTCAATTCCTGCTTCTGTGTATCTGTAGCGTTTACATCTCTCTCCACGGTATCATAGGTAATGTAATCCAGTATTTCGAGGTCAGTTATGCACATTACAGTTGTTTATTGCATAAAAAGTTATTGAAAAATGAAGTTAAGGGCGAAGTATAAATCACGTCTAAAAATAGACTGAATCCCGACGTTGAAATGAAGTATAAACTTAGACTAGACGTCTAATATACGTCTTTTGCTCAGTGGGATGGCAAAGCATGTGGACATTTGTGTGAGGGTCTCCTCCCCCGGAACCCCACCTGTCTGGCCGGTACTCCTCTGGAGGGCAGCTGTACGCCGCTTGACCTCCACCTTGAGGTCCGACCACTTTTTTTTAATCTCCGCGGGGGTGCGTGTCTCGGAACCCACCGCGTTCTCGCAAACTTTCTCCCACTCCAAGCGTTTTTGTTTTGCACTGACGCCACTGGACAGGCTGCCAAACAAAACACGCTGTCGCTCCTCCACCTCCGCCACCAACACCTCCACCTCGCATGCCATACATTTAGTTTTCCTTGTCATTTTGTCTGCGTGCGAGGACAGGGAGACCCTATTTAAATAAATCACTCCGACATCTGCGCTCAATTCCAAGCTGATTGGGATTTATCAAGGAAACACACGTGGCTTTCGGCGCCCGCACACCTTGATACATATGGATTTTTTTCAGCGTGATGGACCTTGCGTGCGCTCCTTTCTGGTATGAGTCCCACGCAAGTGTTGATACATGAGGCCCCTGTTCATTTCAAGCGAAGATGGCGCGGTATTTGTGGACGGGGGAGGAGACGGAGTTATTTCTGAGGTTTTGAATTGTATTTGTATTTTTCTGAAGTTTTGAATCCACAATTCGTCTGTGAATTCCTCATTAACGATCCTCTCCCAGAAATCCCTCATCCGTGTCCGCTCCCATACAAACTGTCTCCTACTTTTGGACCGCCTTTGTGTTGAAAGGTTTTAAAACAGTGCTGCTCAGACTCTAGTGATGGGAAGATCAGTTCTTTTGACCTTACTGAATCTTTAGGATCTGTTCATTAAAATGATTTGTTCAAAAGATTCGTTCACTGAATCAGTCAGTGTTTCGGAGCCCCGTCCTGCTGGTGCAGTACACCAGTGAGTGACAGCGGCGAGTTCGTTCATTGAACGAGCCCCTCCCCTCCTCACTGCTGAAGTCACAGCGTCGTTCACCGGGTGACACATGTCGTTCATTCGCCAAGTCCTGATGGAAGAATCTCTCCCCTGCCCTGAAAAACTCACCTCTCTGTGTGTCGCTGTCAGCGGAAACAACACAGTAAATCCTTCTTACAGGAAAGTTTATAGACGTGTATTAATGTAAAGGCACTGTAATGACCTGTTTTATCTTAGCCTCAGTCAATGAACCGCTGCTCAGCAGTTCAGGAACAACGCTACACCCATGCCTCCTCTGCCTGCCTCAAGTCATTTGGAAGTCGTTCATTTCATTCACAGTCTGACTGATACATGTCGTTCATTTGCCGCTGGCTGTGGCTGTAAGTCGTTCACCAAAGAGTCAAAGGCGGCAGTTCCACTCCCGACCAGCACGCCAGGCTCGCGGCTGAGCTCAACTGAACTGAGAAAGGAACTAATCAGGTCTCAGAGTGATTTCATTCACATCGTTCACTCAGAAGTTCACTTCTTTTGAACGAAATGTTCATGAACGACACAACACTATCGGACACCAAAGTTCCCTCGAACAGGAGGAGAGTTTGAGAACAACAACAAACGTGGAGACCATGGAGGAGGTTTTTCTCATGATGGGACCTCCTGTCTCGTGTTTTACTTGGTCTAACAGTCCCTCAGTTTTCAGTGGTACTGCGATGATTAGTCTGGATCTCCAGGCTTTAGGAGAATACGGATAGACGCCTCAGTCTGTATTCATATGGGGATCTAATGGAGGACATGGCGGTTCCGTTATTCGTTATTGGACCTGGATCCTTATTGGATCTTGTGATCAATAAAGTTCTTCTTCTATTACAGGGTTAGTAAATGGATTCTAGGTCAGTGTTGGTGGACCGGGTGTGAAGGTACTAAGTGTCTATGTGGATGTGCTTACCGTAACAGATCGCACAGTTCTTGACTGTTCTGAGGTCCGTGGTCATGTCCCTCCTCAGGACAGAGAGGATGACCTTTCTCGTGTCGTCAACCTAAGAAGAAGCAGCAGTTTTCAGTCTCCACTGTCAGCGTAGGACCAAGTCTGCGCTTGTTCCTCAGAACCACTCTAAAGACCTATCAGGTTTTTTTTCCTCCTCACCTCCATCGCTTGAGCGACAGTCGGAGCGTTCTTCAGAGCGATGACGGCGGGGAAGATGTCCATACCGCGGTACTCCATTATGGCGGTCACGATCTCTGTCACATTTTGTGACTGCCCATTGGAGAAAAAGACGGCCACCCTCTTCGTCATCACCCCTGCTCTGATTCGCTTAAAGACATGCTGACCCACAAAGCGCATGGCAGCACCTAGCTGGCTGTGGTTGGATGACTTCTCCAGGGCGATGTTCCTCACAGACTCGATCAGCTGTGCCTTGCGGCGGTAGTCCTGGAAACGGATCAGGTACTTGGTGTGGCTGCTGTATCCCACCACGGCCACGTGGGCGCCAGTTGGACAGTTGCTCTCGGCGATGGAGACGTCTTTTAGCAGGGAGAGGAGGGCAGAGCGCTGCCGCTCAAATGCCGCCGGGGTCACATCCTCAGACATATCCAGACCGAAGACTAGCTCAGTGGGGTAGGCCGGACACTCTGAGCGACCTGGAGGAGAAAAGTTAGGAGGAACTTTGGGAGTAAAAAAACAAGACTGAATATCTGGTGAATATTTCTCCTGAGAGGTGACATGAACAAGGACAGACAGCAGACAGAGTCAGGTATCTCCTCATTTTTATTTTTGTCTGCACGTTTTTAAATGGAGTAAATCTGATGAAGAAAGAAGTTCAGTTTGTTATCTGATGGTGTGAAGATAAAAAACGGAGAGATGTTCATACCTCTGGAGCACACTGTAAAAGGAAGAGAAACAACAAGTGTTAGATCAGAGTCACAGTAATACTGACACTGAAAACAGATTCAGGATCAGCTGAGACTGAAACCAAATGAGTGTAGCCGCCATAGTTCAGGGGGAGGAAGTCACCCCCCCCCCCCCCCCCCACACACACACACACACACACACATGGTACAGGTGACAGGTGTGTCAGTCAGCAGTGCGTTTACATGCACAGTTTAATTGGACTAAGCTCATAATTCGTTTTTTTTTCACCAAATCAGACTTCTCTCCTTGTCCGTGTATACATGTCCTCCTCCCCAAAACTAGGGGGTGATATGTGTCTTTTCAGCAACGCTGTTTCCAACCCCATACAACCGTCAAAAACAGAAGGTCCGTGCCAGACATCAGAAGTGTCTACAACTGCTGCTGGGCATTTTGGAGCAAGAAGATGGAGCATCGTACAGCGCTACTCCTCTTCTCTGGTGTTTTTGTTCCGGGTTACGGGGGCGTGGCGCTCTCTGATTACAGTCGGACAAAGGAGTTTACATGCACTTCAGTTGTTCGGTCTTAATCGGAGTAAGGCAGTAATTCGGTTTTCTCGAGTGTCATGGAAATTTTAGGTTAGCAAGTGTGTCGAGCTCTCTGAGGATTTCTGAGGCCTTCGGCTGGATGACAGCACAGGTAATCAGCTGACCTTATTCCTGTTTCTCATGAACTTACGGCTAAAACCCACAGGATCCGGAACCGCTCTGCTCCGATCCAGCAGGCAGATCAAATCCACAAGCACTATAATCAATGTGTGTCATTCCACACAATCCTGCCATCCAGATACGCAAGGCTTCTACTTTTGCTGGACGCTGCAGCACGGTGCATCAATTCAGTGCAGTGCAGCACAAGCAGCAGTGGAAGTTGTGTGTGGCTACCGAGTACAATATTCAATTTGGTTAATTTTTCAAAATAAAATAAATGTGGGTGTTTATTTACACCAATCAGTGGATCTCATTCAATGTCTTATGGGAAAACATGCAAGATTTTGTCCAATGTCACGAGAAATATCGGTAATCTCATGAGCACTTCTCTTGTGATGGCAGTGACGGATCGGATCCGTTGGGCGCTATATGCTTGTGTATTTGATCTGCCTGCTGGTCTGGAGTGTAGCTGAGCCATTCCAGATCCTGTGGAATACCCAGGTTACTCTTTCCCGTCAGTGGCTCCGGGTACCTTGGTTAAGTTTTCAAACTCTGTGACCCTGGACTTCCTGGAGGCTGAACAGTCGTTTATGGACGCCATGATCATGACTCCTGATAACTTGACCGACTTTTGAGGTGCTTTGTTCTGGACCTTTCCACTATCTCTCCATCTTTCAGGCTTCAATTTTTGTGATTGACAGCTGTCATTCCACATCAGGGGTGCACTCGCCAACAGGGAGGTGGCTCCACATTGTTGATACTGTACAGGTCATTGCTTATATCATCATTTTATCACGTTCAAAGCTTTTTTAATGACCTGTTGATGCTCTGTCAATGGGGGGGTTCATATTCTGGTTTCTGAATCGTGTTTTTTTGTCACTTTGGCTGCTCTGTGCACAGGTTTGCAGAATGTAAACTCACTGTCTGAACCTTCTCAGGGATTCAGATTTCTAAAGATGGCCATCAACACTCACTGCAGTTTTCTCTGATGTAGGAGATCAGCTGACACTCCTGAGACAACGAGAATCACGTCAGAAGAGTTTAAACATATTCAGTGTTTTCCTCCATGTTGGCAGATGAAGTGAATTTAAGGTGGACTCACAGGCATGCCTCTCTCTCCAGGAGGACCTTTGGAACCCTGGATGGAGGAAGAGGAGGAGGAGGAGTATGAAACCATGTGGAGTTACATTTGTATTTTTGGGTCATGTGACATAACTAAAGAATTTCTTCATGATCCTGGAATAAAAACGACGTGAGCTTTATTATAAGTCAACCTAAAGGTGGGGTAGGCAGGAATCCGTTAAAGGAGCATCTTTTTTTGTGGTGTATACACAAAAAATCTTTTAGTATCAGTCAATAGTTATTAGTTATTGATGACATTTGGGAATACAACAATATCGCTGAGTTCTCTTATGTCTGTGAAGTCAACATTTTAACATTTTTGAGCGGTCCGCTCTTTCTGACTCTAAAGCCGTTCTCCACCTCCCCGACCTGATTGGTTGTGAGGCAGACGCTGCTCCCCCGTGTCGTTCACGATCCCAAACAAAGTTAGCGTGCTACAAATCGGACAGTAGAAACCAACCAGAAAGTTCGGAAAATTGTCTGAATCCTTCTTTGGCCACGACTGCCAACACAAGCAAGAAAACAAAGTAAATACCGGAAACTCTGGCGGAATAACGGGTGCTTGAAACGGAGGTAGACCGGACAAGAGCTAAAAAGCTGGGTCAACATAAATGATGGGGGACGCTTCAGGATCTTGGTGACCCTGTAACCTTTCTGCTGGACAGGTAAACCGCTTTGACAAAGTAAGCCAAGTGTCTGTAACAGAAGTGTTTCTTGTCAAACGGGACCCGCTAAACTGTTGACCTCGGGTCCTGGACTTTGTCACTTTATCCTAGTTGTAGAAGTCCTACAAACATTGTGTTTGCTGGTAGTCTGTTGGCATCTACAGTAGCACCAATGCTTTTTACTTCCACCTTGACTGGGCCCCATTTGTAATCATCTGAAGTATTTATCTGCATTATATCTGAATTTAATTGGAAAGATATGAGCGAGCAGGAGCGTCTGTTTGTGGGCGGGGCTTGTTGGAGCAGAGAGGGAGGGGAGAGGGGGAGCTGAGGGGAAAACTGGTTGGGAGGGGTAGAGTTTACATTCAAGATTTCTCCTAAAAACTGGAACTTCCTCAGATCCTGACTACTCCACCTTTAATAAAGAACAGCTGACCCAACAGTACAGACCAGCTCAAGGCTGCTAGCCGGACTCAGCACCTGTTCATAGAACCAGAACTCCAAATGCTTCTCTGATGGTGATGCTGTGCCTGATTCATCTGAGCTGTGAGATACTTGTCGAGAGAAAGCTGAAGGAGCTATTAAAGAAACCTGATCTTCTAAAACATCTCAGTTGATCGGCTCTGCACCCTGCCACGCTCATACTAGGAAGCAAAGACTGAGAGTAGAAATCGACTATTTCAGAAGTTGGACATTTTTGGATTTCAGAAATATTCTTTTTCTCATCAGCCAAAACAATAAAAGTGGTGTCAGCCTTTCTGTCTGCTTACTTTGTGTCCCCAATCTCCCCGGTTTCCAGGTGTGCCTGGATCTCCTGGTCTTCCTGAGTCTCCCTGGATGACCAGAAAATCAAGTCAGAGGCACAAAACCACAGAAACCGGAACAGACGGACAGAAGGAAGTGAAAGCAGGAGTGATCTGACTCACTGGTCTCCCTGAGTTCCCTTTGCTTCCTGGGTTTCCTTTAGTTCCCTTCAGACCACCTTCTCCCTGAAAACAACAACAGAAAAATCGTGTCAGGGAAAAACGTAACACTGAGCCTCTTTAGTACGGAAATGGATTTATAAGAATGAAACTTACAGGCAGACCAGGGTAACCAGGAAAACCAGAATCCCCCTATGCAAACAGAAGAACTAAACTCAGTTATCAGAAAGGATTCGTTAAATATTAGACCAGCGCGACTCCCCCCTACCCATGTGTTTCTATCTTGGAAATGTTGACTTAACCTAACAGAGAGACAGGGTCTACACGGGCCTTCAGCCTTGGTGGTGTGTCTGTAACGGTAACTACACATCAGAATCAACAAAGACCACCAGCCCTGATTAGTCTACTCATTACTGTAAATTTGTGGTGTTGCTACGATCCTCCGTCCTCTATCTCAGCAGCATCAATCCGACTCACCCCCAATTTCCAACGTATCCAAACGGAACATCTACGAAAAGGCCATCTCCGCCGTAACCATTCAAGTTAACGTGTCAATTTCCACCGGCTTCTTTCCGTTCCTCTGTGGATCACCAGGCTCCTGATCACAAGACTTCTATTTTTTCTGGACGCCAGAGCATGCCAGATAAATTCAGCACAGATTAACCGTGCTTGAAAGGAAGTTGGGCACAGACACAAAATAAAACATCCGGCTTCTTTTCAAAATAAAACACTCCGTATTTCAGGCGGATCGTATGATGGAAACTATGGTGACTAAATCTGAGCGTGACACGTGACCCCCAATTCTCACTGCATCAGACAAGGCTCTGATCCGGAACAGTGGCTTGCTGGTTGTCTCTATAAAGACAGCCACATAGACATGTAAGCAATAGATTGTGTCCTTCCAAAGGAGGAAAATTACTTCTAGACTTCTAGAATCAGCATCTCCTCATCCATGGTGTCATTGGGGTGAAATGATGTCTAAAAACCTTTCACTTGTATGTCTCCGCCCGTTTGCATGGTGTAAAATACGATCCTCCTGAAACACAGAGTGTTTTATTTTGAAAAGAAGCCAGATGTTTTATTTTGTGTCTGTGCACGACTTCCTTTCCAGCACGGGTTAATCTGTGCTGACTTTATCCGGCATGCTCCAGCGTCCGGAAAAAATAGAACTCTTGCGATCAGCTGAGGAGTCCAGCGATTCGCAGAGGAGAGGAAAGAAGCCGATGGAAATTGACACATTAACTTGAAGGGTTACGATCAGCTGCGATCAGCAAACACGGCCTTTTCGTAGATGTTCTGTTCGGATACAGTGGAAATTGGGGGTAAGTATGCATGTGGGTTTCAGTGCCCCCCTCTAGTGGACACTTAACCACTGCTTGTTTGCACTTCTGCATCAGCTTCATGTCAGGACTAAAGTCTGTCCCTTGGGGTTTTTTCTGACTCTTCGCTATTTGACAGCACTGCTTGGGACATTAGCTCCACATGCTGGTTTTACCTGACAACTAAGTGTCTTCCATTCATGTGACAGTGGACAGACACTTGCTGTGATTGTTCAGATTTTGGTTGTAGGGGTGAGCTCTACCTTAGCCCCGTTAGATCCTGGAAGTCCATACCCATCTCTGCCATCCTGACCCTGCGACAAAGACAGACAGACATCCAAATATCAACGTCCAACTCACGTTTATATTGCTCAAAAGAGAGGTTCAGCTTCTTACCGGCATTCCTCGATGTCCCCTTTGTCCAGCAGTACCCTTCACACCGGGATCACCAGGCTGGCCCTTCAAAACAACCACAAAAAAACCCTTTACATCCTCTGTGCGAGTTTCCAGATGATTTTTAACTCATTAAACACACAAACACTTCTTACACTTCAGAGTATTCTAATTAAAATTAAGATAATACCAGTGACAGTTCAGTCAAAAGTACTTGAACCATCATTGTTTCAGTGGATGGTTCATGTCTCGGCCTCTCCAATTGTGATAGAGTGTTAGGGATTGAGCGCTGAAGCCAAAACCACATGGGCGCCTAACGCTTCCTAATCTGTGCCAGTGCTAATGGGGCGCTCATGTTGACTCAAACTGATGTCATCTGGAAACCACATCCTGCATCTCCTGCATCAACCCCCCCCAGCCTGATGCACTTCCAGTCTCCCCTTTTCTGTCTCACAGTTTTCCTTGGACTCTGAATGTGGCAGAGACTGGGCATTTTTGGATCTGAAGAACTGTGTGGACCAGGAGGACAGAGCAGGGGAAGACATGCAGCAAAGGGTCCACGCTGTGACTTGAACCAGTGACTGCTGCAACCAGGACTATGACCTCATTATTTGGGCCACCTAACTCATTAGCCTATCGGCGCCCTGATCCCAACTTTTGTGAACATATCTTAAAGGGATATTCAAGCGTGAAATTAATTTAGGGTCAAACACACAGTAACACCAAGTTAGACACCCCCTCCAGAGATGAATGTTGCCGACCGCTTGCTTCTCTAGTTATACCAACTTTAGTAACGACCACAGGATAACACAGCGGTCTGAGGAGCCACACACAAACCTCAACCTCTTCACGAAAATGCAATCAGACCGAGACGCTAACTCAGAAGAACTACCGCGTCTGCAGAGCAAAATGATTAATATGGTGATTATTACGTCAATGAAATGATAAAGAGATGATCCTAAATGTTCTTCCTTGAGTTGTGCCACCCCGCTGTAGTCTGTAATGGACTGGCCTGAGGTCTCGCTACAAACAAGCGGCTGCTGGAAGAGAGTAGGTGAGTTGTGTTTAGTCTCTTTGCTAAAGAAATTAGTCAAAGTTAAAAAGATGTTTGGTGGCTAGTACTATGGCTGGGACCCTATATGTACTGTTGATGAAGTTAGGTGCTGTTCTGAGCATTATTTGTGGCTATAGAGTGGCGTTTTGGTTGAGGTTCGTTTATGGCTCCTTAGCCTGCTGTGTATTGCTATCCTGCGGTCGTTACTAAAGTTGGTATAACTAGAGAAGCAAGCGTTCGGCAACATTCATCTCTGGAGGGGGTGTCTAACTTGGTGTTATGGTGTGTTTGACCCTAAATTATTTTATGTCTGAATATCCCTATAAGATCCAGGATTTCTGGAGACTCCCTTCAAATAAAAAACTCCAGGTTAAAAGACCATGTGGCTTCCCTGATGCAGGATTTTTTTTTGTAGGATAGTAGGAGAAGGTCCCACTTCCTTCGCCTTTGATTAGCTAGAAATGCTGGGACATGTGAGGACGTGTGCTGCAGACTGGCTCCTGCTCAAGACAAACACTTTCTCTAATTTAAACTCTAAACATTCTACTTTTCCTATAGTCAAACTATCTGGCTATTATTAATATTGTTCTCTGGACTCTGGTGCTTTTTGGGCCGAATCCGCACTATGCAAAGATGACAACACCAAAAGTTCATGCACTGCGAACCAAACAGCCCACCAGCAGCACCAGTGAAGACGCCGACATTGTGTCCATCCTGACAGAAGCTATTGAGAAATCAGAACGCAAGGTACTCGGCAGAATTGATGTCACGAAGAGGACGTTGTCCAAAGAGCTAAACGACAAAATTGACAGTCTCTCTACGGAGCTACATGCCGCCATTTCAGCGGTGCGCACTGAGCTAACAGCCTCCATTGATACCATCCGGAGGGCTACAACAGCCCAGGAGGAGCAGCTAAAGTCGCTGGAGGCCTCGGCTAATGTGTATTCAGACAGAGTTGTGGAACTTGAGACTAAGCTCTCGTCTTTAATGGATGAAATGGACAGAATGCGCAACAAAATAGACGACATGGAATCGAGACAACGCCGTGAAAACTGCAGGATTTTTGGCGTGGACAGTACTTTCGGCCAAACGCACCCAGAGGAGGCCATAGCCAAACTCCTGCAGGACTCCCTACAGCTAAACTACACGCCGACCCTAGATCGTGCACACAGAGTGCTAACTAAGAACAGAGGAGGAGATCAACCAAGGCCCATTGTGGTGAAATTCCACTACTTCCAGGAGAAGGTGGACGTTCTCCGCAAAGCAGCCCAGATGGGGACCATTATGCACAACGGCCGGAGGATCCACATCTACGCGGACCAGACAGCAAGGATAGCCAAGCTATGTGGGCCCTTCAATGGAGTTCGTGCCTTGGGTTAGCATCCATGCAAACACCAGGGGACAAGTTAGCCGACACAACGGGGGATGAATGTGAGTAAAAATTGACTGACACGAGCTAAAGGCCAATGCTATCTGTTGCTATTCAGATCACCTATTATCATCCTTGTCGGACAACAAAGTTTTTAATTCTGCTACTGCCATTTTGACTCTTGTTTTCCTCGGACACTTGGACAATTGCAGGCGGCTTGTATTTTTTTCTGTAAACGGCCGCTTGGTGACTGTCAGCCAGCAATCTTGCTGCGGGTTCATTTGGTTTGGTTGCTGACTTGACTTGTTTTGTTTTTCCTCTCTCTCTCTCTCTCTCTCTTTCTCTCTCTCTCTCCTTCCCTCGGAGTGGGGGTGGGAGGGGGGAACACATCCAGTTGTGTGTGAGTCTATATGTGTCTGTTTTAGTGTGTGTGTGTGTGTGTGTGTGTGTTAGCGCGCGCGCACCCTGTCGGAGTATGCGCTGATTCCCGGTCAGTGTACTCTTAGAACATGATCCATGATCCGTCTAGAAAACTGTTGCGCGCATGAGTGAGGATGGTCATTTCATGCACCTGTATACATATGTTCTGATTATCCACAAGGATCAGAAGCGAGTGTGTGTGTGTGTGTGTGTGTGTGTGTGTGTGTGTGTGTGTGTGTGTGTGTGTGTGCATGTGTACATGGGGGTCAGGGGGGAAGAGCATGGAGCGGGTGGGAGATTGTGGGGAGGAAGGGTGGCAGGGAGGTGGGGGGAAGAGGGAAAAAGTTGGGAAAAGTGGTTTCCTTAAGAAAAAGGGAAGGGAAAAAGAAGAAAATATACATATAGTATTTAAAGTTATAATTGGTAAAAGTGTACTTTATTTATTTATTTATTTTTCCGCTGTATTTATTTTTTTCCGTCTACTTTCAAAAAAGAGTAATGGTAGTTAGTTCACTTAACTTTATTTATTTTTTGTTTCATTATTATAAGCAATTAAAATAAAGAAAAGAAGAGGAAGAAAATTTTTTTAAAAAAAAGCAAATTTGAGAAGGAGGAAAGGGGTAAAGTCACGGTTGAGGACAATAGGAAGAGTTTCTGATACATTTATTTTTGGCTCTAGCGGGGGTTAGAAGCCCGCTACGAGCATGTTTGTGAGAAGCTCCAGTAGGAGTTGCGATGCAGCCTCTTATTTGGGAAGAGGCCGGCATGGGTACCCAGGGCTATGTCTTCATGTTAGGTTTGCACATTGTTTTTAGTTTTTTCTTAGTAAGTTTTTTGTGTTTTCAGGCCTTCGAGAGGGATATGCGCCAATTTCTCCTAGTATACTCAAATGTCAGTAGGTAGGGCACCGTTGATGACAGCTAGCTCTACTACTTTCCTCAGTTGGAATGTGAAGGGAATCAAACATCCAATTAAGCGCAGTAGAGTATTTAACCACCTAAAATCTTTTAAATCGGATATTGTGTTTTTACAAGAGACACATTTACAATTAAAACATCACTCTAAGCTTAAATATAAATGGGTTGGTCAGTACTATCACTCTAAATTTAATTGTAAGACAAGGGGGGTAGCGATCCTGATAAAAGAAGGCATTCCATTCGATCAAAAGATAATAATTTCAGATGTATTGGGGCGTTTCGTCATTGTTGCAGGCATACTCCACAATACACCAGTGCTGCTAACCAATATATACGCCCAGAACTGGGATGACCCTCAATTCTTTTCTGACCTAATGTCATCACTTCCTGATCCTAACACGAATCATTTAATACTTGGCGGTGACTTTAGTTTGGTCCTACATCCACGTCTTGATAGATCAAACCCAAAACCCAATAGTAGTTTGTCTAAATTGGCAATAATAATAAATTATTTTTTGCAAGCCTATGGGTTATCTGACCCTTGGAGAAAAAAGAACTCTGATACGCAAAACTATTCTTTCTTTTCACCAGTACACCGATCTTACTCCAGGATCGATTTTTTCCTGTTAGACGACAAATTGTTTCCTCTCGTGGCTAACATTAAATATCACAGTACTGTAATCTCGGACCACAGCCCGTTACGATTGGAAATTAAGTTTCCAAATGTAAGTGCACCGCCTCGTACATGGTGATTCAACCCTATATTACTATCCTGCCCCAAGTTTAGGCAATTCCTGGAAGCACAGATCGACTTTTTTCTTGAGATTAATACCACTCCAGGCATTCCTCAGCATATCTTATGGGAATCCTTGCTGGCATTCCTGAGAGGGAAAATAATTTCATACTCGGCGGCTGAAAATAAATTACGTATGAAGCGTCTGTCTGATCTCTCCCAGCTCATAGCTGTCACAGACAATCAGTATGCTGCATCTTTGGATCCAGACCTATACAGGAGGCGACTTCTCCTTCAAGCGGAGTTTGATAACCTCTCCACTTCTCAGACAGTAAAAAACCTATTGAAATCACGTCAGGTCTATTATGAACATGGGGAAAAGGCGGGGAAACTGTTGGCCCACCAGTTAAAACAGGAGGAGGCTAAGAGAGCAATCTCAGAGATCAAGACTGGCCCTGGCTCAACGATGTTTGATCCATTGCTTATCAACAATCAGTTTAGTCAATATTATGCAAATCTTTACTCCTTAGAAGCCCCAGTAGATCCATCTCTTACACAACTGTTTCTTGATGGCTTAACCACACCAAGTATAAGTATAGAGCAACAAATTTCCATAGATAACCTGATAACAGTAGAGGAAATCAAGGAGGCAATTAAATCAATGCAAAATGGTAAAGCCCCAGGACCAGACGGGTTCCCTATAGAATTTTATTATTTCTTTTGGGATAAACTTTCCCCTTTACTTAAATCTATGTTTGATGAGATTCTCACCACTGGGAAATTGCCAGAAACCTTTACACAAGCAACAATCTCTTTATGGCTCAAAAAAGTGTGTGAATCCTATCGCCCCATTAGTTTGCTCTGCTGTTCATATAAAATCCTGACTAAGATATATCTCATCGATTGGAAGCAGTTATTGTTACAATTATCCATCCAGACCAAACTGGTTTTATGTCAGGGAGACAATCCCTCTTTAATATGAGACGCTTATTTAATATTATTTACGCAGACCATTCAACCGTTCAGCCGGAAACCGTCATCGCCCTCGACGCCGAAAAGGCATTTGATAGAGTGGAGTGGAAGTACCTTTTTGCGGTTCTGAACAAATTTGGCTTTGGCAGAACATTTTGTAAGTGGATAAAAAAGCCTCGGTTTGCACCAATAATATTACTTCCATTTACTTCTCACTCTACAGAGGTACACGGCAAGGTTGTTGCCTTTCACCGCTCCTCTTTAACTTGGCTATAGAGCCGCTGGCTATAGCGTTACGGTCCAACAATAATATTTTGGGTGTGACAAGAAACGAAACGGTGCACAAACTCTCACTCTATGCAGACGATTTGCTACTCTATATCGCTAACCCTGTTACTTCCATTCCCCATGTACTTGAGACGTTGAAACAATTTGGAAAATTTTCTGGTTATAAATTGAATTTGGCTAAAAGTTTGATCTTCCCCATTAACAAATTAGCTGAGGAGATAGCATATGATAGATTTCCTTTTAAACTGGTAACAGAGAGTTTCTTGTACCTGGGAATCAGTGTAACATGTAAAATGTCTGAGCTTTTCAAGCATAATTTCTCATCTCTCATGACTCGAACAAAGTCAAACCTATCTCGCTGGGCAAATCTCCCAATTTCTTTAGCAGGACACGCTAATACCATCAAAATGAGCGTTTTACCGAGATTCATGTATTTATTCCAAATGTTACCTATATATCTTTGCAAATTATTTTTTAAGCAATTGGATCGGTATATCTCCACCTTCCTATGGAAGAATTCAAACCCCCTTATGAAGAGAATTTACTTAGAAAGACCCAAGGTAGAAGGAGGTCTAGGCCTACCAAATTTTCTTCACTACTACTGGGCAGCAAATTTAGCTAAGTTCCCGTACTGGTTCAGTGCCTTTTCCAACAAGGAAAGCCCAATCTGGGCTGGGATGGAACTTCAGAGTAATCGCTCCATTGCTCACATCTCTTTGCTCTCAGGACCACTTCCTCTCAACATTGGTAAATACATTGGCAACCCAACGGTTAAAAATTCATTGCGTATCTGGAACCAATTCAGAACCCATTTTAATCACAAACAAGCTATTCTCTGCCTTCCAATCCTATATAACCACTTGCATCTCAGGAGGACTCGGCCTTTAAGGTGTGGCACAGAAATGGTTTATCTTTTCTCTTTAACTTATTCAGTTCTAATCAATTTGTCTCGTTTGAACACATCTACACATCTATAAGAACTGCCCATTGAGAACACATAAGGACAGAAACAAATAAGAAAATAAGCCTTGGATAACAAAATCCCTACAGAATGCAATAAAAAAGAAAAATAGACTATATAGAGAATTAATACGATGTAGAACAGAAAAAGCTGAAAGAAAATATAAGTTATATAAAAATAAAGTGACAAATATATTAAGGATATGTAAAGACAATTATTACAGTAAGCGGATGGAAGAGAATAGAAACAACATAAAAGAGACATGGAAAGTAATCAACAGCTTGATTTAAAAAAACATGGGGAAAGCGGATTTCCCTCAATCCATATTAAAGGGTGATATTTATATATCCAATAAGGAACAAATGGCAAATGAGTTTAATGATTTCTTCATAAATGTTGGCCCTAACTTGGCAAGTGATATTGTACAACCAGTTGATGCGGATGATGTGAATAATTTGATTGAAGCAAATGTAAATTCTATGTTTCTTACTCCCACTCATGAAACTGAAGTGATGAGGATTGTTACAGCATTCAAAAGCAAACGGTCGACAGATAACAACGGGATTGACATGACGTTAATTAAGGACACTATCGAAGCTGTAGTTAGACCTCTGACCTATATTTTTAATCTTTCACTCTCAACAGGAATATTTCCAAATGAAATGAAAACAGCCAAAGTTATTCCCTTGTACAAGTCTGGTGGAAAAGATCTGGGGCCTTATGTATCAACGCTGGCGGCGCCAGAAAACCTTGCGTACGCCAAAATCGGCGCACACGTCCAGATTTATCATCGCGAAACGAGCGTCAGTTCCAGCGCTAATCAACGCAAAGTGAGGAGGTGGTGTAGAAGTTGGCATTGAGCTGATACTTGCGTTGGTGGCACTTTGGCGACGCTGTGTGGCGGTGTTTGGTGACTCACTATGTGACAAGCGTGCACCACATCCCCGTGGCCGAGCAGCACGTCGCCCCACATGACGAACCAGCAGCAGACGGAGGGATGCGAGCTGATCCCTGCCGGGCCGCCGTCCTCACGCGGGAGAATCTCATCGCCACAGTGTGAATGGGTAAGAAGTGAATACACAGTTCAATGAGCCAAATTAATTTATTTTCTCCACCAGACGCTCGAGGACATTTACGAGCCGGTCCAGCCGCTCGTTGATCCCCGCGATCCCCCTGATGATTTCTTCCTGCGATTGCAGGACCGCCTCCGTGAGGACCCTTCCACTGCGTCCGGGTGGTCCAGCGGAAGCGCCGCGGCTGGTGGACGCTCCACCGCTTGTCGGCGCGCTGGTGCTGATGCTGGTCCTGGTGCTGGGGCCGGGGTGGCCCGTATGCTGCTGGTCCTGGCCGACGACCTCGAACCGGCGGACGGGCTGCCGCAAGCCGGGGTTCCGCAAGCCGGCGACACGGCCGACACATTGATTTCTGTGACACAATAAAAATATTGGTTCATTTCAATTCCTGCTTCTGTGTATCTGTTGCGTTAACATCTCTCTCCACGGTATCATAGATAATGTAATCCAGTATTTAGAGGTCAGTTATGCACATTACAGTTGTTTATTGCATAAAAAGTTATCGAAAAATGAAGTTAAGGGCGAAGTATAAATCACGTCTAAAAATAGACTGAATCCCGACGTTGAAATGAAGTATAAACTTAGACTAGACGTCTAATATACGTCTTTTGCTCAGTGGGATGACAAAGCATGTGGACATTTGTGTGACACGCCACTTACCCTATAATAATAATCGCCACCACCCGCTGCTCAAACGGCGTGAGGGTCTCCTCCCCCGGAGCCCCACCTGTCTGGCCGGTATTCCTCCGGAGGGCAGCTGTACGCCGCTTGACCTCCACCTTGAGGTCCGACCACTTTTTTTTAAATCTCCGCGGGGGTGCGTGTCTCGGAACCCACCGCGTTCACCCTCTCGCAAACTTTCTCCCACTCCAAGCGTTTTTGTTTTGCACTGACGCCACTGGACAGGCTGCCAAACAAAACAGGCTGTCGCTCCTCCACCTCCGCCACCAGCACCTCCACCTCGCACGCCGTAAATTTAGTTTTTCTTGTCATTTTGTTTGCGTGCGAGGACAGGGAGACCCTATATAAATAAATCTGCATATTTATAGGAGGGCGTAACGGGGGCTGGCCCAGTCACTCCGACATCTGCGCTCAATTCCACGCTGATTGGGATTTATCAAGGAAACACGTGGATTTCGGCGCCCGCACACATTGATACATACGGATTTTTTTCAGCGTGATGGACCTTGCGTGCGTAATGTCTGTAATGTTCTGTTAGGTGTACAGAGCCAACAGCCCGTGCTCAGGTTGAGCATGTGATGACATTTCACAGCCAATCAGAGGCGAAGGAGGCGGGACCTCTCCCTACCATCCTACGAAAATAAAAATCCCTTCCCTGATGAAAGAGGGATGACTGAGAAGAGAGGAGGAGAACATTAAGCACTGTCACTTTTGATGCAAGTTCAAACCTTTGTTAGAACTTTGCTTTAGATCCAGCAAAAGGCACTCTCATCGTAACCTGACCATGGAACGGCACTCTGGACCTCAGTTAGCTAATATAGTAAAGTTATCCTACAAAAATGGAAGACATGGTCAAGTAAAGCAGTTCTGAGTGGAAGGGTTTTGGGACCTCCAGAAGCTCACCCCCCTGCTGATGATCCTCCATTAGTCAAATTTTTAACATGTCTCAATACATCTTCTGAAACAGCCAATCACTGAATACAGAACTGCAGATGGAGCCTGTATCAATGTGCCGAGAGGAACCTAAGAAAGTCTGGAATGAAGAGATCTGAGAAATCACCTGACCACAACTAAACTCCATCACTCCAGAGACACGACCTCACTGCAGTTGAGGAAGAAAACCTCATGAATTTAGCCAAGTGTGTCACACACCTTCTGTCCGTTAGGGCCGGGGCGTCCATCTGATCCTTTAGCACCAGCTGTTCCCGGATCACCCTGCAGAGTCGGAGCAGATAAAGAGATCATGAGCCACATCTCCTGGATAGAGTATCTGTATTTTCATGCTGTTATTATAAACTCTGTTAGCCCGCCATTTGACCAGAGTTGGATGTGATTGGCTATGACAGTCCTCAGCTGAACACCTCCTGTGGTCATGATTCCTGTCTGCCCTTGATCAAACTCAGAGCCATGATTTAGATGGTTCAACTGTGTACTGACCGGGTGTCCAGGAGAGCCAGGCGGTCCATCAGGTCCAGGAAGACCTCTCTCCCCCCCAGGACCCTGCAGAGATATTCAGTTTTAGTCCTTTTTTATTTCAAAGTTACAGTTTTTGGACATTCTTTCCTCCGGCTGATGAGAGATAGGAAACTGGGAAAATCCCACAGCTGGGAGTTGAACTGCTGGGAGTTGAACCAGCCACCACTGCTATGAAGACTGTAGCCTCGGTTTAAGGGGACCCATTAGACTTTGGACCAGGACAACAGAGACTGAACACACCGAGTTTCAGGGTCATCGTAACCCGCTGTCTCCTGTGTTGAAGGTGGGTTAGGCAGGATCCGTTAAAGGAGCATCTTTTTTTGTGGTGTATTCACAGAAAAGCTTTTAATATCAGTCAATAGTTATTAGTTATTGATGACATTTGGGAATATAACAATATCCCTGTGTTTTCTTATGTCTGTGTAGTCAACATTTTAACATTTTTGAGCGGCCTGCTCTTTCTGAGTGTAAACAAAGCCATTCCCTGCCTCCCCAAACCTGATTGGTTGTGAGGCTGATACTGCTCCTTAGTGCTGATTGGTTGTGAGGCAGACACTGCTCCCCTGTGTCATTCACTAACCCAAACAAAGTTAACATGCTACAATATCAGACAATAGAAACCAACCAGAAAGTACAGAAAATTGTCTGAATCCTCCATTGGCCACGACTGCCAACACAAGCAAGAAAGTGAAGTAAATACTGGAGACTCTGGCAGAATAACAGGCACTTAAAAAGAAGGTAGACCGGACAAGAGCTAAAAGAGCCAGGTCAACATGAACGATGGGGGACGCTTCGGGATCTTGGTGACCCTGTAACCTTTCTGCTGGACAGGTAAACCGCTTTGACAAAGTAAGCCAAGTGTCTGTAACAGAAGTGTTTCTTGTCAAACGGGACCTGCTGTAGCGTGTCGTATCGCCGCTAAACTGCTGACCTCAGGTCCTGGTCCTGGCCCCATTTGTAATTATCTGAAGTATTTATCTGCATTATATCTGAATTTAATTGGAACAATATGAGCGAGCAGGAGCGTCTGTTTGTGGGCGGGGCTTGCTGGAGCAAAGAGGGAGGGGAGAAGAGGAGCTGAGGGGAAAACTGGTTGGGAGGGGTAGAGTTTACATTCAAGATTTCTCCTAAAAACTGGGACTTCCTCAGATCCTGACAACCCCACCTTTAAGCTGACTCAGAGTTTAGAAACAAGTCAGGGTGGTTGTAAATGACCCACATTATGCCAGTCTTATTTTGAAGGTACAATCCCCATTTGCTATTATTTTTAAAAACAGAGACCGATGCTCTTATTTTGAAAGGAAATTTCACCAGAAGTTAGCAGTCAACAGACAGTAAAACGATTCGTTAAGTCAGGATTCATGATCGCCAATAACGGTCTCTTTAAGTTGTTTAAAATACCTGTTTGATTGAGGCACAAGGTTCGTATATGCTTCTTTTCTCAGAGAAATTAAAATGAAGTTCCTTTATAAAAAATAAAATTTAAAGGGGTAAAACTATTTTTTGTAACAGAAACTTTTTTTTGCCACAGAGAGTGTATTAATATTGTTCTTATTGTCTTCTCAAGCTCTTACAGTGTGTTCAGGCTGTTCATGGAAACTTAAAGGAGCTGCTTTAAAATCAAACACCAACTCAGCCTTATTACAGAAAAGTATTCACAACGTTTAGTCTGAAGTAATTAAATACGTTATTTAAAAAAAACCTTTACAGATTTTTCAGGAGGGGAAAAATTCATTTGGTACCAAGCTGTAAAGAGTTGGACAGTTTAACTGGGTTCACTTTAGGACCCAGTTTGAAGTTTCTGCTCAATTTTATGGCCCTGAATCCAGGTATGATAGCCTAGGAGTGCCAAAAAGTACCAAGGGAGTTTTACAGCACTCCAAGTTTTTATATTTATGAGCTCTTCTGAGGAAACCGATGATATAATTGAAGTACTAATGGGTCTCAGACACACAGATTTTCATAAACAGCTCAACTGAATTTCTTAGGAAGTCTATGCTGCAGCTGAGGACATCAGCGCACATCTGTCAGACGTTCTCAGCTGATCCACATGTTGAAGCATTCCTGCAATGCTGCAGCTTTACTTGAAAGCAACACTTAGACCATGTCTGTAAATGCAGAGCAGATTTTTGAGTGAAAATACCCAGACAGTCTGAGCACAGACAAGAGAAAATTTTGATCCAAAAAGTTTGTTGTTCTGAGGGGTTCAGACTGGACTGTGAAATGAACAAAGGAAACAGTTCAGAGTCCGAAACACTGTTTTTGGCTGTTTTGACCTGTTTGGTTGTTCCTCTATCAGAACTTTTGACCTGTGTGGTTGTTCCTCTAAGAACTTTAAACCTTTTTGATCGTTCCTCTTGAAGAACTTTTGACCTGTTTGGTTGTTCCTCTATCAGAACTTTTGTCCTGTTCGGTTGTTCCTGTAAGAACTTTTGACCTGTTTGGTTGTTCCTCTGGAAGAACTTTTGACCTGTTTGGTTGTTCCTCTAAGAACTTTTGACCTGTTTGGTTGTGCCTTTAAGAACTTTGGACCTTTTTGGTTGTTCCTCTATCAGAACTTTTGTCCTGTTTGGTTGTTCCTCTATCAGAACTTTGGACCTGTTTGGTTGTTCCTGTAAGAACTTTTGACCTGTTTGGTTGTTCCTCTGGAAGAACTTTGGACCTGTTTGGTTGTTCCTCTATCAGAACTTTTGTCCTGTTTGGTTGTCCCTCTATCAGAACTATTGACCTGTTTGGTTGTTCCTCTATCAGAACTTCGGACCTGTTTGGTTGTTCCTCTATCAGAACTTTTGACCTGTGTGGTTGTTCCTCTAAGAACTTTAAACCTTTTTGATCGTTCCTCTTGAAGAACTTTTGACCTGTTTGGTTGTTCCTCTATCAGAACTTTTGTCCTGTTCGGTTGTTCCTGTAAGAACTTTTGACCTGTTTGGTTGTTCCTCTGGAAGAACTTTTGACCTGTTTGGTTGTTCCTCTAAGAACTTTTGACCTGTTTGGTTGTGCCTTTAAGAACTTTGGACCTTTTTGGTTGTTCCTCTATCAGAACTTTTGTCCTGTTTGGTTGTTCCTCTATCAGAACTTTGGACCTGTTTGGTTGTTCCTGTAAGAACTTTTGACCTGTTTGGTTGTTCCTCTGGAAGAACTTTGGACCTGTTTGGTTGTTCCTCTATCAGAACTTTTGTCCTGTTTGGTTGTCCCTCTATCAGAACTATTGACCTGTTTGGTTGTTCCTCTTTCAGAACTTTGGACCCGTTTGGTTGTTCCTGTAAGAACTTTTGACCTGTGTGGTTGTTCCTCTAAGAACTTTGAACCTTTTTGGTTGTTCCTCTTGAAGAACTTTTGTCCTGTTTGGTTGTTCCTCTTGAAGAACTTTTGACCTGTTTGGTTGTTTCTCTATCAGAACTTTTGACCTGTTTGGTTGCTCCTCTAAGAACTTTTGACCTGTTTGGTTGTTCCTTTAAGAACTTTTGACCTGTTTGGTTGTTTCTCTATCAGAACTTTTGACCCGTTTGGTTGCTCCTCTAAGAACTTTGGACCTGTTTGGTTGTTCCTTTAAGATCTTTGGACCTTTTTGGTTGTTCCTCTATCAGAACTTTTGACCTGTTTGGTTGTCCCTCTATCAGAACTATTGACCTGTTTGGTTGTTCCTGTAAGAACTTTTGACCTGTTTGGTTGTTCCTCTGGAAGAACTTTTGACCTGTTTGGTTGTTCCTCTGGAAGAACTTTTGACCTGTTTGGTTGTTCCTCTCAGAACTTTTGACCTATGTGGTTGTTCCTTATCAGACCTTTGGACCTTTTTGGTTGTTCCTCTATCAGAACTTTTGTCCTGTTTGGTTGTTCCTCTTGAAGAACTTTTGTCCTGTTTGGTTGTTCCTTTATCAGAACTTTGGACCTGTTTGGTTGTTCCTCTATCAGAACTTTGGACCTGTTTGGTTGTTCCTCTATCAGAACTTTTGACCTGTTTGTGTGGTGAGACGCCTTCTCATCTTGTTTTGTGTTGGCTGGACTTTCTTTGTTTCCCTGTTTGCCTGGTTTGGCTTTTCTCTTTTCCAGGGCTTCCTCCCCTCCCCCGGCGCTGAGGCTGAGTGAGACCACACACCTGCTCCACATCTCCAATCAAGGCACTTTAAGAAGCCTGCAGCCCTCAGTCTCATCGCCTGAGTATTGTCTACCCTGCCCAGCGGTAAAGATGCGTCTCCTGGCCAAAACTTCGTTGGTATAACTTTCAGAACTTTGCTCCTAGTGACTCTTTTCATGTTCTTTAACTCCTGTCTCCTCTGGTCTCTTCTGCAGTGTCTCCAGCCCACACGACAGCCAGCCAACCACCCAACCGGACATCCTCTGCTGTATTATCTACCCCTTTCTGTTTGGACATTAAATTCGCTTTAAGTTGATCTCAGTCTCAGTGTCTGCTTCTGGGTCCTCACTACGAACATGCCCCACAACAGTTTGGTTGTTCCTCTATCAGAACTTTTGTCCTGTTTGGTTGTCCCTCTATCAGAACTATTGACCTGTTTGGTTGTTCCTCTATCAGAACTTTTGACCTGTTTGGTTGTTCCTGTAAGAACTTTTGACCTGTTTGGTTGTTCCTCTATCAGAACTTTTGTCCTGTGTGATTGCTCCTCTATCAGAACTTTTGTCCTGTTTGGTTGTTTCTCTATCAGAACTTTGGACCTGTGTGGTTGTTCCTCTATCAGAACTTTGGACCTGTTTGGTTGTTCCTCTATGAACTTTTGACCTGTTTGGTTGTTTCTCCTAGAACTTTGGACCTGTTTGGTTGTTCCTCTATCAGAACTTTTGACCTGTGTGGTTGTTCCCCTAGAAGAACTTTTGTCCTGTTTGGTTGTTCCTCTTGAAGAACTTTTGTCCGGTTTGGTTGTTCCTCTTGAAGAACTTTTGTCCTGTTTGGTTGTTCCTCTTGAAGAACTTTTGACCTGTTTAGTTGTTTCTCTCTCAGAACTTTGGACCTGTTTGGTTGTTCCTCTAAGACCTTTTGACCTGTTTGGTTGTTCCTTTAAGAACTTTGGACCTTTTTGGTTGTTCCTCTATCAGAACTTTTGTCCTGTTTGGTTGTCCCTCTATCAGAACTATTGGCCTGTTTGGTTGTTCCTCTATCAGAACTTTGGACCTGTTTGGTTGTTCCTGTAAGAACTTTTGACCTGTTTGGTTGTTCCTCTGGAAGAACTTTTGACCTGTGTGGTTGTTCCTTATCAGACCTTTGGACCTTTTTGGTTGTTCCTTTATCAGAACTTTTGTCCTGTTTGGTTGTTCCTCTCGAAGAACTTTGGACCTGTTTGGTTGTTTCTCCTAGATTTTTTGACCTGTTTGGTTGTTTCTTTGAGAACGTTTGACCTATTTTGTTGTTCCTCTATCAGAACTTTTGTCCTGTATGGTTGTTCCTCTTGAAGTACTTTTGACCTTTTTGGTTCTTCCTCTAAGAACGTTTGACCTGTTTGGTGTTTCCTTTAAGAACCTTAGACCTTTTTGGTTGATTCTCCTAGAAATTTTGACCTGTTTGGTTGTTTCTCTATCAAAACTTTGGACCTGTTTGGTTGTTCCTCTATGAACTTTTGACCTGTTTGGTTGTACCTTTAAGAACTTTGGACCTGTTTGGTTGTTTCTCCTAGAACTTTGGACCTGTTTGGTTGTTCCTCTATCAGAACTTTGGACCTGTTTGGTTGTTCCTCTATCAGAACTTTTGTCCTGTTTGGTTGTCCCTCTATCAGAACTATTGACCTGTTTGGTTGTTTCTTTGAGAACGTTTGACCTTTTTTGTTGTTCCTCTATCAGAACTTTTGTCCTGTATGGTTGTATGGTTGTATGGTCCGTCCCTGGACAGTAACATCTGCTGCTCTAACCTTTCCATCAGATCCGACGATGACTCTGCTCACTCGCCCCACAGGCCAGATAGCTCTTGGTAGAGACTGATCAACGATCATCACGACTGTGCCTTCTGTCAGATTGTCCTTATCTCTCACCCATTTCTGTCGGGCTTGGAGGGAGGGGAGATAGTATAGTATGAAATGGGACCAGAACTGATCAGCTAAAACCTGACTGTGTCTCCACATCCTTCTTCCTCTCATCTTATCTCGATTGTACACGGTCTGGGGGAGAGCAGGGTCCAGCCGCCCCATAAGGAGGTAGTTTGGAGTCACAGGGTCCACATCAGCGACGTCCGTGGATACGTACCCGAGAGGTTTGGAATTCAACACTCCCTCTATCTCAGTCAAAACAGTCGCCAAGACTTCATCAGTAATGGACTGTGCTCCCAACACGGTGTACAAGGCGGTCTTAATAGACCTCAATTCTCTCTCCCATGTGCCCCCAAAGTGAGGTGCATTTGGGGGGTTAAACTGGAAGTGGACTTGAGCTGGAGCTAAACGGGACTTCAGTTCTTCTGACATGGCCTCAAAGATCTCGCGTAGCTCAGACTCTCCTCCCTTGAAATTGGTCCCCTGGTCTGACAACAGCACGGCCGGGTTCCCTCTCCTAGCTTGAAATCTCCTGAAGGACATTAGGAAGGAATCGGTAGTCATAGACTGTAGCAGCTCAATGTGTACGGCTCTTGTGGTCATGCATTTGTACACGATTCCCCAGCGCTTCTCAGTCCCCCTCCCTCTCTTGACTAAGAATGGACCAAAACAGTCTACTCCAGTTGTGTGGAACGCCCTCTCTCCTATCCTCAATCTTGAAGGCGGCAAATCTGCCATCTTGGGTATGGCGGGTTGGGCTCTCCATTTCTGGCAGGCGGTGCAAGCTCGCTGGAATCGGCGTACGGCTTCTCTTCCCTGCAGTATCCAGTAGCGTCGTCGTATCTCGGCGAAAACTCTCTCTGCCCCTGCATGGCACACTGCTTGGTCGTACTTCTGAATGATTAACTCTGTCACTTTGTGTTTGGTTCCCAACACAATGGGATGTTTCGTGTCTTCTGGTTCATAGCACGTCGTAACCGACCTCCCACTCGGATCAGACCTTCAGAATCAAGTTCCGGGGCTAGTCTCAAGAGTCTGCTATCTGACGGGACGGGCTTCCCAGCGGTCAAGCACTCCAGGTCCTCAGGGAAGGAATCACGCTGGGCTCTCTTCAGGACTAATAGTTCTGCTTCCACATAATCTGCTGCACTTAGGTCTGTAGTGGCTGGGAGGTCTGGGTGGTGCCAAAGAAAAGTCGCCTTCTGCAGATGCTCAAGTGTAGGACTGTCATCAAAGCAGGGGCCATCTGCTGGTGGGACCTGACATAATCCACAAAACGGTGATCTCTTCAACTCTGCCTCATCTGGGTTCTCAGCGATGGATGGTGGCAGTGGCCAGTCCTCTGACCGCCGAAGGAAGTCTGGTCCGCAACTGTAAGGGTTCGCTTGAGACAGGGTGGCGAGGGTAGCACCTCTAGTGATTATATCCGCCGGGTTACTTCCTGTGTCAACATATCTCCAACACTCCACTCCAACTAGGTCCTGGATTTCCGAAACCCTTGTTCCGACGAACACTTTATAGCGGCAGGATTCGGATTGCAGCCAGGAAATCACAGTCATGGAGTCGGACCACAGGATGGTCTCTTGCAGCGGCAGGGTGAGCTCGTCCTTTACCATCTTAGCGAGTTGTGCGCCGACGAGGGCCGCACAGAGCTCCAGGCGTGGGATGGACTGCTGCTTACGAGGGGCTACCCGAGAGCGGGCTAGGACGAAGGCTATGTGGACGTCACCAGCGGTGTCAATTGCTCTGAGATAGACCACGGATCCGTAAACAGTCTCGGAGGCGTCACTAAAGACATGCAAGTCTATCTTACTCGTTCTCAGGTCGACGGTCGGAGGGAAGTAGCTGCGTGAAAGAGTAACTTCACCGAGGAGAGAAAGTTCTTCTTCCCACTCTCTCCACTTGGCAGCGAGGTGATCAGGGATTGGGTCATCCCAGCCCAGGTCCTTCGACCACAACTCTCTCACCAGAACCTTGGCTCTAGTTGTATATGGGAGGATATAACCGAGTGGATCGTACTGACTCGCAAGAGTACTATAAATGCTTCTTCTGGTGATGCGCTCCTCTGTAGGTGGGGTGTGACGGTAGTGCAGAGTGTCTGTCTGGAAGTGCCATACGAGACCCAAGGTCATCTCCTGAGCCTCTCCGGGGCTCTGGGCCATCCAAGTCTCGCTGCTCTTGGCATTGGCTTCGGGGGGAAGCTGACTGAGCACCCCAGGATGGCTACTTGCCCACTGACGCAGGTCGAATCCTCCCTTCGCTAGCAAGGTCCTCAGCTTCATAAGGATGGTTTCGGCCTCATGCTCAGTGGGGACACTCTGTAGACAGTTGTCTACATAAAAACAGCGTTCGATACTGTGGCGGATGTCTTCTCCTGCCTCTGAGTCGTCTGTGACATGCTTCTGCAGGGCGAAGATCGCGCAGCAGGGGCTGCAGGTAGTACCAAATGGTAGTACTTCCCATTGATAGATAGAAGGGTGTTCGTCACTTGGGTCATCCCTCCACAGGAACCTCAGTAGGGGTTTATCCTCTTCCAGAAGGTGGATCTGGTGGAACATTCCCTTAATGTCCCCACTGATTGCCACTCTGTCCTGCCGGAAGCGCACAAGGACTCCTAGGAGTGATGGCCCAAGGGTGGGGCCGGGAAGGAGGTGACGATTTAGACACTGTTTGCCGACCTGGAAACTGCAATTAAAGACTACTCTGTCTTTACCATTGTGTCGGACCTTGTGGTGCGGTACGTACCAACTCTCTCTCGACTTGCCCGCTTCAAAGTTGTCTATCTTCTTTACATGACCGCTTACTATTAACTTGCCAATCTCAGCTCGGTAAACTGCTGCTTGCTGCGGGTCCTTGGCCAGCCGTCTCTCCGTGTTCCTCAGGTAGTTGCTGACTACTTCCTTGGATACGTGCAGAGTCGGCATGTTTTCTCTCCTCAATAGTGGAGTGGCATACCTCTGTACTCCCTTGACGTCTATCCTCTTGGTCTTCTGCTCAAGCAGTTCCACGGCGTACTTATCCTCCTTGGAGCGCACCATCTGTTTCTCGTTACAGAAGGGAAGAACGTCCAGTTGCCACAGGCGCTCGACGTGGTTCAGCAGAGTGGCGTCGGCAGGGGTGACTTTGCTGTACAGGCAGCGGGTTGGTGCTATTCTATTGCGGGGAGAGTTGAATGGACCTTGGAGAGTCCAACCCAATCTTGTCTTGACTGCTGCTGGACACCCTCGGGGCCCAAGATATACTGCACTGACAGGGACGATAAGGTTGGTGTGATCAGAGCCAATGAGGAGGGTTGGGTTGACTTGATCAATTAGTGGTACCGGTAGGCGTTGCAGGTGCTCAAACCTCTTTTTGAGTTGCTCGATAGGATAATCGTACTGAGACAGACCAATCTGCTGGCTGGTGAAGACGTTGGTCACTGGATACTGTTTGTTTGGCTGGTCAGCAGGGGATATGGTGAAAGCGACACTCTCACCCTTGATGATCGTCGATGATCGACGGATAGTGCGGAGGTTCAACCTCTCCTCCCGTCCCTTGATTCCCAGTTCCTCTGCAGCAGATGCAAGTAAGAGTGTTCTCTCAGAGCCGTCGTCAAGGACAGCGTGGGTGTCCAGTACTCTATCCTTGTAGCGTAGGAGGACTCTTACTATCTTCAACATTACTCTGGAGCTTCCGCTCTTTGCTGGGTCGATGTAGTGTACCTCGGCCGTTGACGCAGTGGGCGTTTCTCTGCGATTAACATCGTGCAGGATGGTCAGGTGGGTAGCTTGACATTGCTTACACCTCTTCTTAAGGTTGCACTCTGACACTTTGTGTTGGCGGGCACACCTCCAGCATCGCCGATTGACTCTGATCCACTCTGTGACCTGCTCTTTGTTCATCTTGGTGAAGTCTTCGCAGGCATGTAGCCAGTGCTCTTTATCACAGAAGGGGCAGTGAGGTTTCGCCTTGCTCTTGTTCGGCGTGGAAGGTTCTTTCTTATGGGCTGACTGGGTCGGTTTCGGTTTGAAATCTTCTGTCTGAAGCATCACAGTAGTTGGTTTCCCATGACCTCTGCTCTTCTTTCCTACATCTCCTGGGGTTGGGCCGCCCCGTAGGGAGGGGTCCAATCTGAGGCTCCGAACTTCCATCCGTAAGAATGTGGAGAGGTCCATCAGGGACAACTCGTGCTGAGATCCGTGGAGGTAGTTTCATTGACGCCTAAATCTCTCCTGTCTGAACTTGGGAAGTTTGTCGAGGATGCGCTCTACATTGGAGCTGGGGCGGAGTTCATGATTTCCTTTCTCCTGCTGGGACTGGAGCATGCCTACTAGAGATTGTACTCGTACAGACAGGTCGTCCAGGGCCCGGTCATCTTTGACTGGAGGAAGTTTCTCTATGTCCCTCATCTCTTGGAGGACATAGTCCCATGTTCGCCCGTAGCGGTCATCAAGATCTGCTAATGCATCGGAGTAAGGGGTAGCGGAGTGTGCATGTGCTAATACAATATTATGGGCCCGAGGAACCTTGACATGTTTCAGCAGGAGGGCATATTTATAACGCTCATCTTGGGATGGAGAGAGCAGGGTTCCCAAGCACATGCGTAGCTCTGTATACTGGGACCTGTCCTCTTTAGTGAAATCAGGAAAGGTCGGCTCTTCTACTCCGTAGATGGCTGCTGGTCGAGAGGCAAACTGGATAGGAGAACTATGATATTGATTAATCAATGGTGAGAACGGCTGACCTTGGTTAAAGGGTGCGTAGTTCTGCAAACTAGGTTGGGGTTGTGAGTTAGCTGCTGGAGGAGGGGTCACTGTGCCGTGTCCATCTAGGGGAGGAGGCGGTTGGCTTAACTGTGCAGGCATGTTGTAAGTAGATTCTCGGTCTCCTTGGTAGGCAGAGGAGATATAGGGAGCTGGGAACTTTGCGTGATCTCGCATTTCATCGTCTAGTGCTTGTAGCTTGTTGGATAGCTGTATAGCTACCTCTATGGGTTCTGCCTTAGTGCCATATACCGCTTGGCTCAGACGAGCTGGGGATTGTTGTCTCGACTCTCTGCGTGAGGACTGCCTGGAGGATCGGGCGGAGGGGCATGCGGATTGACTCCGATAGGCCTCGGTAAGAAACTGGATAGTCTGTCTAGCAGCTTCATCGTTCTGTTTAGCTAGCGCTACCAGAGCCTGGGTGTGTGCACTCTCTCGCTCAGCTTGTCGGCGTTCCCTCTCAGCTTGCAACTCAGCCTGTTGTCTAGCTAACGCTGCTATGGTTTCAGCTTGCTGCCTGGCTAGCACCACCTGTTGCTCTGCTTGTAAGCGTTCCCTCTCCATCTGCATCTTAGCCTGCAGCTGTTCCCTTTGTATAGCCGCTTCCTCTAGACGGCGTGTAGCCTTCTCTGTTGTCGCCATCTGCAGTTTAAATAGCTCTAATAGTTCTTTGTTGTTAGTTTTTCCTGATGTAGAAGAACGCACTGAGTCAGGGCTTCCTGGCGGGGTAGGTGTTCTGGGTCTGAGGAGCTCAATATCATTCATGTCAAACGTGTTCATTGGATCAGCCTTGCATAGCTCATTAGCTCGTAAAGAGGGACTGACACCTATCTTGTGTATATTATCCATGCTACGGTTAATAGGTAGATCAAACATGCGGGGCCTGGTTTGAATAAGGCTTCTAGTACTACCTCCATGTGACTGTTCAAAGTTGTGGCTAGGGGGCAAATCAACTTCATAAGCATCTAAATATCTGGGACGTTGACGGATACGTCTGGGGCATTCTGGTGGAGTCCTATCTCCTACTGATAGTCCACTACTAGCCATGGGGGCAATGCTAACTTATCCGGCTCGAAGGACCAAAAATTGTAGCGTAGGACCACAATTTAACTGAGAACTGTAAGGTACAGTAGGGCGCTAGCCACCGCTCCCTGGCGTCCCTTACTATGGACAAAGATGCTGTGGACTCTCACTAAATAACAGGGGAGGGACAAGGATATAAAGGGAACACCATAGACATTTATTACACCACAAACAAAATTATGCACAGTTGACTCACTAAAACTTACACTAAAAATATGTCCTGTCTAACTATACTAAGTCCTACTTAATACTAAACCTAATGGTACCAATGTTGCCCGGGGTTGGAGCTCAGAGGAGGACATGAGGATTCTGATTCAGCCAGGATGGAGGTCTGTAGAGAGGTCCCGATGTTGAGGGATTATGTGATCAGGTGTCCACGGGAGATGAATGGGCGCTGTTCTCGGGTGAAGAGGGGAGGGGGTGAAGATGTGGTCCAGAGGAGGAGGGGGTGAACTAAAGTCCTTAAACTGGGGCCAGTTTGCTGGGATACGAAGGACAATGACGCGGCTAGCGAGACCTAGCTAGCCACTGTCGGGAAACGAGAGCTAACATTAATCGGCGAACTAACTTCAGTTCAAAGTCCGTTTGTTCCTCTTTAGGTATAATCTTCACTGGTCTAAAAACAACTTGTTGTGCGGGTTATTCATCACACAAAACTTCACCGAAGGAATGAATGAATCTGTTGGACACATAAAGCTGCTCCGATCGTCTCCTCTTCTCAAACTTTCTCCTCTCACTCTACCGGCTGACACACACACTCACACCAAATCACACGCGCACTGATACAAACACATCAGCCTAATTACAGCAACACTGAATAACGTATATCTCCGCTGTATGAGTGACATCGCGCGCACACACAACAACAATAACAACTGTACATCGCTGCAGTAACAATAATAAACAAGATATCAAATAACAAACCAGAAGTAAAGAAGAAAGGGCTTAACTGGGCAGGGAGCAGTGAGAAGCCTATGTTACTGCTTAGAGGGGTTCTTAAAGTAAACAATAAAACTAATCTTCTAGCCACTTCTGAGTCTTCAATACAATGGTTGTTCCTCTTGAAGTACTTTTGACCTTTTTGGTTCTTCCTCTAAGAACGTTTGACCTGTTTGGTGTTTCCTTTAAGAACCTTAGACCTGTTTGGTTGATTCTCCTAGAACTTTTGACCTGTTTGGTTGTTTCTCTATCAGAACTTTTGACCTGTTTTGTTGTTCCTCTAGAAGAACGTTTGACCTATTTTGTTGTTCCGCTATTAGAACTTTTGTCCTGTATGGTTGTTCCTCTTGAAGTACTTTTGACCTTTTTGGTTCTTCCTCTAAGAACGTTTGACCTGTTTGGTTGTTCCTTTATCAGAACCTTAGACCTGTTTGGTTGATTCTCCTAGAACTTTTGACCTGTTTGGTGGTTTCTCTATCAGAACTTTTGTCCTTTTTGGTTGTTCCTCTAGAGGAACGTTTGTCCTGTTTGCTTGTTCCACTTGAAGGAGATTTGACCAGTTTGGTTGTTCCTTTATCAAAACTTTGGACCTGTTTGGTTGTTCCTCAATCAGAACTTTGGACCCGTTTGGTGGTTCCTCTATCAGAACTTTTGACCTGTTTGGTTGTTTCTCTATCAGAACTTTTGACCTGTTTTGTTGTTCCTCTATCAGAACTTTTGTCCTGTTTGGTTGTTCCTCTTGAAGAACTTTTGGACCTGTTTGGTTGTTTCTCTATCAGAACTTTTGTCCTTTTTGGTTGTTCCTCTAGAGGAACGTTTGACCTGTTTGGTTGTTTCTCTATCAGAACTTTGGACCAGTTTGGTTGTTCCTCTATGAACCTTTGACCTGTTTGGTTGTTCCTTTAAGAACTTTGGACCTGTTTGGTTGTTTCTCCTAGAACTTTGGACCTGTTTGGTTGTTCCTCTATCAGAACTTCGGACCTGTTTGGTTGTTCCTCTATCAGAACTTTTGTCCTGTTTGGTTGTCCCTCTATCAGAACTATAGACCTGTTTGGTTGTTCCTCTATCAGAACTTTTGTCCTGTTTGGTTGTTCCTCTATCAGAACTTTTGTCCTGTTTGGTTGTTCCTCCTGAAGAACGTTTGACCTGTTTGGTTGTTCCTCTACACTGTATTTTCCATATTAGGAAAGATGAGACGGACCTGCAGGATGGAGACACATGTTTCACATCAGGAGGAGCAGAATGATTAATGAATTAATCTCAGCTTTGGCGTTTGAATCACTGAAATAACACATTTATTTTTTTCCTCACAATGATTGATACTGAGGGCTTTCCAGGGATAACTCTGAGCCAAAATCTGAGAAACCAAAACATGATGAGGTCCAAACAGCTGTCAGGTCAGTGAGTGATTACAGGTTTCAGACGGGCTGCAGAGACCTGAAGGAGATCCAGGGTATGAGGGAAACCACAGTGGACCTGTGCATGTTCACTTCTGTTTCAGAAACGTTTGACTTGATTTTAAGAGAGGAGCAGAGATAAGAGGGGGGGGGGGGGGGGTAGTAGAGAGGAGAAGAGAAGGAGGAGAGAGGAGGAGGAGAGAGAAAGGGAGGAGGTGAGGGTAGGAGCAGTAGGACAGAGAAGGAGAGAGTAGGAGAGAGGAGAGGAGGGCGCGAGAGAGGAGGGGAGAGGAGAGAAGAGAGAGGAGGAGAGAGGAGGGAGAAGGAGATGGGAGGAGCAGGAGGAGAGAGGAAAAGAGAAGAGGAGAGAAGGGAAGAAGAGAGAGAAGGAGTGGAGAGAAGTAGAAGAGAGGAAGAGAGAGGAGTGAGAAGGAGAAAGGAGAGAGGAGGAGAGAGGAGAGAAGAGAGTGGACAGGAGAGGAGAGAGAAGGGCGAGAGAGGGCGAGAGAGGAGGGAAGGGAGGAGGAGAGGGAAAGAGCAAGAGGATAGAGGAGAGAGAGGGAGAGAGGAGAGAGAAGGAAAGAGGAGAGAGAAGGAGAGGAGGAAGGGAAGGAGAAAGGAGGAAAGTGAAGGAGAGAGGAGAAGAGGGGAGGAGGAGAGAGGCTGTAGTGACCTCACCAGTCCCTGTTCTGATCTGGGTTCAGGTCTTGATGTTCTGAAGGAGGACTGACTGAACTGTTAAATCTGTTCCTGTTGGATCCCTCACCTGTGGACCAGAAGCTCCTGGGCTCCCCTTCAGTCCTTTAGCTCCTCTGGGTCCTGTCGCCCCCTGCAAAGACAGATTTAAACAGGATTTCATTGTTTTCTGATCCACAAAAACTCACCTGTGTGTCGTCTTAACTCACCTTCTGACCAGCGGGACCTCTTCTACCAGCCCGACTCTGCACAGCACAATAAAAGAAAAACAGATACTCAATCATCAGTCTGTTAGCCCTTCGTACACCAGGAGTCACACACAGAAAATGCTGCAAACCTCCTGCTGTGACCAGAACATGAAACATGATCCCAGTATCAGGAACCAGCTGAAAACCAGTCCAGAGGAATAGGGTGTCTAAACCATACATGTATATACATTTTCTATTTCGTAATGATCTTCCTCTGATGTTAACGGATTCAATTATTGTTCATCTGTCATTGAGTTTCTATCAGACTGACATTTTATTCATTGAAAACATGAAAACAAACTAAACATGGTATTACTTTTTAAGAACAGCTGATTCAGATTATGTTCTGAGGTTACTCTCCCCGTCCACATCATGATCCCACTAAACATCCCTCAGATGTTGTTTTAAACTACGAAGACAATCATTAAGTACAGAGGAGAGAGAAGGAGAGAGGGGGAAAGAGAAGGAGAGAGAAGAGATGAGGAGAGAGAAGGAGAGAAGAGAGGAGAAGGAGAGAGTTGAGAGGAGAGAGAAGAGAGGGGGGAAAGAGAAGGAGAGAGAAGAAGGGAGGAGAGAAGAGGATAGAAGAGAGAAGGAGAGAGAAGGAGAGAGGACAGAGGGGAAGAGAAGGAGAGAAGAGAGAGGACAGGAGAGAGAATGGGGAGAGAGGAGGGAAGGGAAGGGAGGAGGAGAGGGTAAGAGCAAGAGGAGAGAGAGAAGGAAAGAGGAGAGAGAAGGAGAAAGGAGGAAAGTGAAGGAGAGAGGAGAAGAGGGGAGGAGGAGAGGAGAGAGAAGGAGGAGAGTAGGAGAGAGGAAAGAAGGAAGAGAGATAAGAGGAGAGGAGAGAAGAGAGAGGAGGAGAGGGGAGGAAAGATGAGGATAGAGGAGGAGAGAGGGGGAAAGAGAAGAAGAGAGGAGAAAAGGAGAAAGGAGAGAGAAGGAGAGAGGAGAGGGGAAAGAGAAGGACAGAGGAGAGGGGAGGAGAGAGTACAGTGGAGAGAGAAGGAGAGAGGAGAGAGGGGGAAAAAGGAAGGAAAGAGAAGAGAGGAGAGAGAAGAGAGGGGGAAAGAGAAGGAGAGAGAAGAAGGGAGGAGAGAAGAGGATAGAAGAGAGAGGAGGAGAGAGAAGGAGAGAGGACAGAGGGGGAAAGAGAAGGATAGAGAGGAGAAGAGATGAGATAAGAGAGAAGAGGAGAGAGGAGGAGAGGGGAGGAGAGATGAGGATAGGGGAGGAGAGAGCAGAGAAGAGGAGAGAGGAGATAGAAGAGAGGAGGAGAGAGAAAGAGGAGGAGAGATCAGGAGAGATGAGGAGAGAGGAGGAGAAAGGAGAGAAGAGAAAGGGGGAGGGAGGAGCGGGGAAGGAGAGAGGAGATGGAGGGAGGATTTTTTTTCTTTTTTAAAAAGCCCTTTATTTAAAATACCACAGAGCGGATCGTGTCAACGACAAAAATAAAAAAAAGACAAAAAACAAACAAACCAGTATGAAACCAGATGTCCTTCTAAGTTACTTTCTGTCATTATAAAATGACTCATCAGACACACACACACTGACTGAAGTCATGAACTCACCTTATATCCAGCGTCTCCTGCCTTACCTGGGCGTCCGTCCAGTCCAGGTGTCCCCTGAGGGTTTCAAAGTTTGACAGTCGGTGATAAAAACATTTCATTTAAAGAGATTACATAACAGATTAAAGACAGAGGAAATAAACTATCAGGGTGTTTTCCACTAATATTCACACATGCAGTCTCTGTATGACGGCTCTCACCGGTAGACCGGGGCTCCCTGGGTCCCCCTTATTTCCTGGAGTGATATTAGCAGCACCTGCTTCACCCTGTCAGAAAAAAACAAACACAATTTTAACTCTCTGAAAACTCTCACTCCAACCTGGTGGCAAAAACATTCAGGACTCTGGAGTGGAAATCACTGCATGGGCTCGAAACCTCTTCAAAAACCACAGACTGTGAATAAAGTTCATCACTGCGTCCACTAATTAGGTTCGGACTGAACTGCTTTCTCAGCCCTGATCCAGAGGTGGATCACTCTTTTGGAAATCATGGACCCTGAATCCTCGATCACCTGGTTTACAGTTCAAAACCCAGCATCCCTGGGGTGCTACTAGCATCATAGTCAATGTGTCCTCCCCGTATAAGGAGGTCACACCTCCTCGTGGGTGGCCCACGATCTCCCCGATCTCTTTGACCGTTCCCTGGTCTGTCCACCTTCTTTCTTAATGAAAGCCCACAGATAAAACCGACCTGTCGTCCGATGGATCGAAATCTGACAGTCTGCCTGGAAATCACAGACGCTGCTCTAACCCTAGAAGACTATCTCCAGGTGATTTTCCCCCCGTTCAAACATGTTTTTAGGTGATTTTCATGATGTTGCGTTTGTCTGAATATCATGGGTCCCTGGATAGCTTCAGCATTTCCTTTGAAGGCATATTTGTTTCCCTGATCCAAAACCTGCTTTTTCCTTCAGACATGTGGTCACAGGGTGATTTTCACCCGGCAATAGTGATAGAGGGTAAAGTAAAGTTTTGGTGGGTTTGATAGCTGCATGTAGGGAATAAGGTCAGTAAGGGTGGTCCTGGAATTTACATGCTATCTTTATTTAGCACAGTGGTTATGAATAACTATCACAAAGTTGTGATTTTCAAGAGAATTCATATGGTGAAGAATTATTTGAGTCAGCTGGTCATTTTAACTCACTTCAACACTGCCATATTTTGGTTCTCTCTCCTGCAGCTGTTATTGTGCTAAGTGCTATGTGAGTCTTCACCAGGGAAGACTCACATGCCCCAGGAATGGGTGGAAAAGAAACTTAGGCTACGTTCATACTGCAGGTTATGATGCACAATTCAGATGTTTTGTTAAATCCGATCTTTTTGTGCAGCTGTTCACATTACAACAACGAATGCGGCATCTAATGTGAATGGAATGCGTCCATGAAGTGACCCGCATGTGCACAAAGCACAAATTGCTTTCCGCTTCCGATTTATATTCACATACAAAAGAGGCCTGGGTCGGATTTGAAAAAATCTTAATTGCACTGTTCACACTTACATGAAAAAATCTGATATGTGTCACATATGGTTAAAAAATCAGTGTGAACATAGCCTTAGTTTACAGTTTATATATATATAAATAAATATATATATATAAAGTGCCATGAGGGGGACCACATAAAAATGCAACAAAATAACTTCAATTAGGCATTCATCAACAAAAAACTTGTATATAGAGTTTGGCACTTTTTTTCCTTCCTTTGGACATTGCACAGTTGAAAATAAAAGAAAACTACTTTAATTTGTCATGTATTGTCCTATTTTGATATATTTTGATGACGAGTACTTTCTCTTGGGTATATTATTTTGGGTAAAAATCACCCGGGGATATTGATGGTATTACTAATTTTAGTTATAGTGTTCTAGGGTTAAAGGGAAGAACCACTCCACTTCACATCTGCGTTCTTCTAAAAACTCAAAAATTTAACCATTTATAAACAAATCTAACCTGTTGTTGTCTGAACTTTTTATTTTATAATGTTATGTGTAGGTCATGTCTCTGTTTGTGTCTTTTCCCACTCGGGTCATGCTGCTGTAACACCATCATTCATTAAGTCATTCAGAGAAACTCACCGCATCTCCTCTCAGTCCTCGCTGTCCTTTAAGCCCCACCTCCCCTCTGAGACCTGGAATACCCTGAGGACGACGTGCAAGAGGTCAAAGGTCAAACACGACGTTCTTCAAGCATCGAGACAAGTTTGAAAGTGTCAAAGCTTTTTCTCTCACTGGGCTGCCTGGGTCTCCTTTTTCTCCTTTGGTCCCACTGATACCTGTCTGTCCCTGTAAACACAGAACCACAAACAAAGCTCAGACCAGAACCTCCAGGGCCCACCGGATCAGAAGCCTGCTCAGATTAAAACTATCAGATTGAACCGTTTACAACAAAACCAGCTTGTCTTTACATTCCTACCTGCTCGCCGTTGATACCGTCCAGACCGTCTTCTCCATCATGACCCTGTAACATTAAAAAATCCTTCATTCTGACGCTTTGCTCAGTCAAAAGGACTCGAAGATGATCCTGTAAATTCAGGTGTCAATGTGGATCCTGCAGTCCTGAGTTACTCACCCTGTTTCCTGACACTCCTCCGAAGCCCTGCAGACAGAAACACAACCGCAGTCAAAGTCACAGAAACACACTCATCTGCAAATGTTCATGAACCCACAGGAAAGACCAAACCTACAGAAAAAAAGTCCACAGATCCGTTTGGACTTAAAAGATCTTCAGTCAGACTATGGCTGGGACCCTATATGTACTGTTGATGAAGTTAGGTGCTGTTCTGAGCATTATTTATGGCTATAGAGTGGCGTTTTGGTTGAGCGCAGAACTAGAGAAGCAAGCGGTCAGCAACATTCATCTCTGGAGGGGGTGTCTAACTCGGTGTTACGGTGTGTTTGACCCTAACTTAATTTTATGCTGGAATATCCCTTTAAAAGCATAAATTCACTAAATCCACCAAAGTCATCTGACTGCAGGACGAAGCAGCTGCCCCTTCACTAACGTGCTAAGTTACATCTTAACTTTTCAAGGACAAATGATGATATCCCTGGTAATCAACTGTTCCTTTTGGTATCTGTTAGAATAATGTGCATAAATGTATATAGAAGTTATCATTATTCCTCATATTCTTATGTAAGAGTTTACTACAAGTATAAACTGTTTTGACCTCTTGTTACACATCATATAAGAGTGTTTTTTATCATATAAGAGTGTTTTCTAACTTCTCTCTCCAATCCGCCTGTTAAGCCGTGACGTAGCCGCGTTCTCTTTTTCCACTTCCGGGTCCAGTGGAGTTGTTGTTATAATGCCTCAGTACTATGTCCCTTGCTGCTTAAACTGATCAGAGACAAAAACAGCGACTAAACTATCATTCTACAGATTTCCTCCCAACAACAAAGACAACAAAATAACTTCATCATTTCTGTATTGTATCCATAGACTGTATACAGTCTATGATTGTATCACAAACACACGCCATCACATCCATTCATTCATTGAATTCAAAGCTTCGCGCACCAAAGCCTCGGGGCGTCTTTGGTTTATCGTTTTACATTTATTGTCCACTTGATGGCGCAATAGAGCAAATGAAGCACGATCATGAAGCTTCGGCCCAGGAGGCGAGTAATTGAATGGAAAGCTTCGATGCTTCATGAGGCTTCATCTCGCCATCACTAAAATTTACGTTAATAACTCTATCCGAGTTGAAAGCTTTAAGTCCCTTTTTAACTCTGAGTGGTTCCCTTCTGAAAAAGGAGGTTATTTTAAAGAGATTCACGGGTTCCGCCATTGTTGTTTTGAATGGAGAGTGAATGGAGGCTGATTCCCCATGGACCCGGAAGCCGCTCCGCTCACAAAATGACGTCACGCTTAACAGCCGGATAGCTTTATTACACAGCACACGGATGTTTCTTAATTTTTCTGTGAACTTGTCTTTTTCCTATCAGCAGGTGTGTGTGTGTGTGGGTGATGTATCCTCCACTGTGAATCGTGGGAAGTAATGAGGAGGATCCGCTCTTATCAGAAGGAGCTCGTTTGATGCAACAATGTCGCCTTGACCTTCACATATTCACAGTTGTTCATTATTATGTTTTATGAGAATGCTTACGTTGCTGCACATATTTTTCCCCCGCCCTTTAGAAATATTGTGTAACCAGGGACAACCCTAAATAAAAGAGGGGGGACAGAAAACCACCTTCAGAGTGGTTCTGAGATTTTACCTGATGCTATCTTTGTCCATTCTCCTCGAGCATAAACCATTGTCTTTCTCTTCTTTATATGTTTTCAGGTATTTGGGCAGGGTTTAGATCCAACAGTATCTCTTTATTTTTACTTAATTTATCTATTATTTATCTCCTCTTTCTACTTTATTTGCACTGGAGTTACTGTCACAAAAAGCGATTTCCCCCTGGAGCTTATCAAAGTATTTCTGATTCTGATTCAGTTTTTATTCATGTTGATCCACCTTCTGTCCTCTGGTTCCAGGACAGCCAATCGTACCCCGAGATCCACTTAGTCCAGGAAGTCCTCGCTCACCCTGCAACAACCAGAAACAGGTAACTCAGACACTCTTCAGATAAACCCAAGTCGCTATGATAATCCAATTGAACACTGAAAAAGAAAAAATGGATGCAGAAGCACTTGCAGGAGTTCCCTGGTCTCCTGGGAATCCTGTGTGGCCCTTCTGTCCCAGCTGACCCTGTTAGTTAGAAACAAAAGACAAATTCAGATATGATGGAAGACAACAACATGCAACAGGATCTTAACCCTCAGTTCCTATTCTGTCCGTTTTGAGGGCAATTGTCATTTTTTTCATCTTTATTTTGAGCTGACAGTCACATTTTTAAAGATTGGGGCATCAAATTTGGTGAGAGTCCTTTTTTTTCTTCATATGAAAAAGAAATAAAAAAACTCTCCACCCACCCTCCTTTGTCCTCAAATCGGACTATAGACTTCCATTAACAACAGTTTTTTTGACCGTGTGTTTATGGTACCATAACAACATATTACAACCTTTTTTTTTGTAGTCAGTCGATCACCTGATATGGATGTCTAAGAGTGGGATATGTGTGTAAGGAAAAGTATGTGTGCTCCTGTGTGTGTGCACGGATGCGAATCTGCGTCCATGTTTATAACCGGGCGTGCTGTGAGCGGAGTTTTTGCAGTCGAAAATCCGCCGTCCAAGTTCTGCAGTGTGGGACAAAGAGAGGGGAACATTTGGACAATTTCAACTTTGCCCTCACTTCAGAGCAAGTGGATGGACATGCATGAGGATGAACAGGTCCTTTAGATCATTAGGTGAGAAGATATCCCATCTCAAATATGCAGTTATTTTTTATATGTGCGCAATCAGCGTAATCACCGTCATATTTTGGTTAGAGGTGGATAACGACTTATAAATGACTCCTATCTTACATATATCTTGTGATTTTATATGACTATATATAAAATTAATTTATTATGAGCAAATGAATTCAATCACATTTGATTTGGTAGAGGACGAGGCTCAAGAAAAGGAAGTGAAAATGGCATGTTTTTCTGCTCCAATAGACTCAGCTCATTAGAACGAACACTTTATTAATAAATATGACATGGTGCACAAAAACTAGGCATAACAGGGGTAATACATTGAATTTTTTATTCATTACTTTATTAATAGTTAGGGCTGAAGTTGTTAAAGAGATTTGAATCAAAAAAAGTACAAAAAAATGTTGAAAAATGATTATTTTATGAACGCTTATCTGCATGTCTGTTTTGGGGACAAAGGAGGCTGGATGGAACTTCAAATACAAAAATTTGGCACAACAAAAAGGATTTAAATGCACCAAAATCAGTTTTACTTCTCATCATTGACATGGCCCTGACCCTTTTTATTAAAAAAAAAAAAAATTCATCTGTATCATTTTATATGGGAAATATGTCGATTTTGTGTTTTTCACCATTACAAATAGCAGTGACATGTTGCAGAAAAACTAGCATAAAAAGGGTGCATCGAATTTTGTATTTATTATTTTTTTAATGGTCAGGGCTGAAGTTGTTTAAGAGATTTGAGTTGAAAAAGTTTAAAAAATGTTAAAAAATGATTATTTTATGAGCACTTATCTGCATGTCCATTTTGGGGATAAAGTAGGCTGGATGGAGCTAAAATGAACAAGAACTGAGGGTTAAGCTATTTGATATGTCCTACGGCCATGACAGGTAATGCAGCGCACTTTCCCACAGTGATATTCTGCAGTGTTTTATACTGATACACAGGTTTTGTTTAGAGTTAGGGAGCTGAAGGGACACAGGATACAGTGGAGAGGTAGGAGTAAGAGGACGGTTATGTTCTAATGAGGTTAAATCAGTCAGGATGTAATATAACTGAAGGTACTGCAGGGTCACATGATGCAACCAGACAACTCAGTTTCATGCAACGAAGAGCTAGAGGATGTTCTGATGTCAAGATGATTAGTAGGATACATTGATGTGTTTCCATCATTCATTCAGACCTTCCTATCATCACGTCCACAGACACCTGTCTCTCATTCACCTTTGTCCCCGGGTCGCCTGGAGGGCCAGGAACGCCTTCATGTCCAGAACATTTACACATGACGTTACAGCAAACTCTGCTTAACACTGCGTCCTGTAGAAAGAGAGGGGGATTTTTTGATATTACACGGATTATTTATTTTTTATTCATATTCCTCTTTATTCCAGGATTCCTCAAAATTTTGATTAATTTTGACTTCATGTCTCCTTTAAAGCAGTTTGAAACCTTACATGGGGAGAGAAATCATGAATAACTTACAATATGTTTGTAGATGGCGCTGCCCACACCCCTCATGCCAATGCTCAGAGGAAGCTGGGAGTCGAATCCCCGACCAAACTCAAGTTCCTGCAGCGGTTTGAGGTCCTGCGCTCTCTCCAGAGCTACCACCAACAAACTACTGATCCCTGCAGACAGACAAAAAAGGAAAGGTTGTAGATTCACTGCCTTTTAGGAGTTCATAGTTCATTTTTGCACATGTAGAAAAGTGGATATAAATAAAGTCACAGGAACAACATGAAGATCTGTCTCCTGGATTTGGGGGTTTAACCTCAAGCAGGTTTTCAGGTTTTGTTTGCAGAGATCTGATCGTTCAAAACCAGTTAAACTTGAAAATGATAACAGAGCAGCATGCTTTATAGACTTCACTGAGGAAGAGGACAGACACAAAGATGAACAGACCAACCCATTCAAAAATGTCAAAGTCTTAAAGCTTTGGTTGAAAATGTCCATGTTCACCTGGTGACTGTTGTACGCACATGAATCCTCAAAAACATCTGAAAATGATGAGGTTTGCAGCAGTGGACAGTCGTACTTTTATTCATGAGAGCTGCTCTTCATCTCTTCATCAGGCTGTGTTAGGACAGCTGGAATGTCACAGCTGTTTTAATTTGCGCGGAGACAGAAGGAGCTGATGGAACCCGGTTTTCTAACCTCTAAAACACTACGCATACGAAGGAGCAGCTTGAACACGACAAAGACAGAAAACACAAACTCTCATCTGACTTTCAGTTTTTACCAGACAGCCTTAGCAGCTCTGATTCGCTTTTCAGTTTCATCACGTCTTCATCAAGTCCGTCTGAGAAGATCACCAACACCTGGTGGGAAAGAGAAAATGTCTTATATTAAGGTTTACAGTGAATCAGTGTTCCTAAACCTTCTCCTAAAAATACTAAAGATTCTGTGAGGAGCTTAGAGCTGGTTAAAAAACGACTGAATCTTCCTTTGAAAGCTCTTACTCATTAATCAACATGGACACCCCATCCAAGCTTTTTCTATGTCTTTCACTGAGGGTGGGGTGAGATTTTTGAGCCTCTATTACAGGTCAGCCCTAAGAACAGACCAGTACAGAGCTGTCTTATACCAGTCCCCACCTATGTGTCTCAAACTGGAGGCGGTCTGTATCAGTAGCCGCTCATCGTCTTTCTTCAGTCATTCTTCCAGCTTTACGAACTGTGTAAACATAGATATCTATAAGAAAGGCTGGATGACTCTATGAGGTGGAGTCACTGGCGTCCCTACATGGCAGCCATCTTACTCCAGTATATCATTCTGGTACACTCTATGGTAGCTGACGAGAGGTGAGTATACCATTCCAAATAGTCCAAGCTATTCTAAAGCATCCTAATGACCCTGAAAACAGCTGTTTTAATCAACTCAACAGGTGAAAAACAGCTGTTCTCTGCAGTTGAGTTTTGGACAGTCATGACTAAGACAAAGGAGCTCACGAAGGACTGCGGCTGTGCATTGTGGCTGCTCACAAGTCAGGAAAGGCCTATTAGGCCATATCTAAATGTTTTCAAGTTCCAGTGGCTACAGTGCAAAGTGTTATTAAAAAATACAAGACATTCTGCACTGTGGAAAATCTCAGCGTACGTGGTGGGAAGCCTAAAGTGACACCTGTGCTGGCCAGGAGGATAGTGAGAGAGGTGAAATAGAAAACATGGTAGTGGGAACCTAATGCTTTGGGGGGTGTTTTTCAGCCAATGGACCAGCAAACCTACTCACAGTAAATGGCACCATGAAAAAAGAACAGTACATCAAGATTCTCAACAACAACATCAAGCAGTCTGCAGAGAAACTTGGCCTTGGGCACCAGTGGACATTTCAGCACGACAACAACCCAAAACACACAGTAAAAGTAGTAAAGAAATGGTTAGCAGACAAAAACGTGAACGTTTTGCAGTGGCCCAGCCAGAGTCCTGACTTTAATCCAATAGAGAATCTGTGGAGGGAGCTTAAGATCAGGGTGTTGGCAAGGAGGCCCTCCAAACTGAAAGAGTTGGAGCTCATAACTAAAGATGAATGGGCAAAATACCAGTGGAGACATGCAAAAAGCTGGTCAGCAATTATAGGAAGCGCTTGATTGCTGAAATAGCCAATAAAGGCTTTTCTATTGATTATTGAGAAGGGTACGAATAATTATGGACATGCCGCTTTTTGTTCTCAGATCTCAGATCTCAGATTCCTTTATTAACAATTGTGTAAAACACATAGGGATTTGCTTTGGCAATAACATGAGTGTGTTCGGATTTTTCACAGATAACGTAAGACACCATCAACACCGTGCAGAAAATAGATAAATATAAAGTGCAGTAAGATCAATAGTGCAAATGTTGTTGAGTCATTACAGTTTCAGAGTCTTTCAAGTGTCAAAGTCCCCAGTGGGCGGGGGGAGGAGGGAAGCCAGACTCATTGAGCAGCCTGGCAGCAGAGGGGAAAAAAACTGAGTCTATGGCATGCTGTGGTGGCCTTCAGCAGCCGCATCCTTCTCCCAGAGGGGAGCAGGGAGAGGAGACTGTGGCCAGGGTGGGTAAATAAAAGCTTTGAAATATTTCTTTCCACACTGATGCCTCTTGTACATCATCTCATTATCTTCTGGGAGAAGCCTGTGTCATTTCCAGTTAATAAAAAAACTTGCTGGTTGAATAAACGTAACTTAAAGTCAAAATTTGCCAGGGGTATGAATTATTTTGAGCTTGACTGTATATCTATGGGTTTAACTGTCTCCACAGACCAAGCACAAGTAATCATTCGCACGACTGAATTACATGTGAAGTCGATGCAAAGACGTGATTAGACACTCATACTACACTGGCGGCGTGAATGACGCACATTGGGCAGGAGCTGAAAATGTCTCTACTTGAGTGGATATTCGAGTTGCGATTACCAATCAGCATGAAGGTTGCCGGGTGCTGATAAAAACGGACGGTTGTTCACTGGTATCTTTAATTATATGATAACTTTTCTTTCAATTACTGTAACCAGAATAAAAAGGAGCTCACCTGGAGGCAGGTGACTGAGGAGGTCGGATTACCTGGTAAATTGTTAAAAACCTTTGTCTATCACTTGATCCCGCCGGTTGAATTGGCAGGCATTACCGTTGATGTGCGAATAAAGTGAGTAGATGATTTTACTCGCGCTTGGTGTGAGCGCCCCATAGGAGTTCAAACATCTCTGAGGATCTGGGATCAGTTCAGATGTTCATGTGGTCTTCAGATGTATCCAACATCTGCTCTGAGAGCTGCCAATCATTCCTGTCCTACGTCTCTTATCGATGGTGTATTTACCTCTCCGGGCTCTATTTCCGTGTACGCCGGTGAGGCGGCTGAGGGTGGCGGACCCCACGCAGTTGTATTTCCATCTGGCGGAGCCTGGCGTACAGCCAGTTTGGTATTTTCGTGGACTGAGGCGCACGGAGGCGAACCGAGATCCGCCAAGCTGGGCGTGGTGGGGTGGCAGGGGGAGGTGTCGACAGAATCAGCAGGCGCAGTGACATTTTCGTGTTTGCCAGTGGCGTGTAAAGTGTGCTGAAAGCTCGCTGATTCAAACCTGGTCAGCTTTCAGCACAGGCGGAGCGCAGCTGGTCTAGTGGTATTTTGGTAGACCGGCGGCATATCGGCATACGTCACCCATGCCTCACCGGCAGGTTTCCACAGTATCAGGCACATTTCAGTGCAATAAATAATCAACAACAACTAATAATCTGAGTCAGCACATACATTTAGATCTATATTGATATATCTGATCTGATGAGTGCGTTTGGCACGCGTTTAGACACACAACCTGACCGAATCAACATAGCTGAAACCGCATTAAATTAAATTAAATATCTAGTAAATAAACACACATGATGAAGTTAACAAGATATGTAATTCGCCTCCCTCCTTTTCTTTCTTCCTCTTATTTCTCGCGCAGCTCGACCTGGACATGTCTCCGTGTCCTCTTTCCGTCCTGCTGCAGCAGCAGCTGAACAGATGATTTGTTTCAGTGCTCAGATGAGTTATTTACTTTAAGCCTACATACGGATATTATAATATTCAGTTTTGTGAGCCAAATTTATTTTATATGCCAACATCTATGAAAGAAAGAGCCAGGCCACGGAGCGCGATGCGTCATTTACGCACAGATGGTTCCGATTTTAATGCCATTTTTGGAGTTAATGTTGTGATCTGTGCGCACAACCCACCTTTGTCACGTGAGGTTTGAATATATGCAACTTTATGTGAGTGTCTTTATTTGTGGAAAAGGGTGTTTGTCTTACCAGTGGGTCCAGCATTACACACACCAAATCCATCTGTGCTCATATGAGAGAGAGTGGAGAACGCCCAATGCAGCGTTTACAGTGACATTTGTTAAGGAGCTGCCTTCTGTCGCCATCGTGTGGCATTACTGTCTTAAGACATCTCTTGATCTCTTTGACTACTTCATGAAAATAGTAATACGCCTTGCCGTTGGTGGATTTAAAGGCAAGGAAAGAGCTGATGTGATTGGTGAAAACAGGTCTCGGCTGTGTTAAATCCACTCCACGCCCTCTCTCCTCCCTCGCTACGACTTACGCCGATGGGAGGAGCTGAGTTAGGGAGGGGGGATACTTACGCCGGGCTGCGCCGCTCACCAAAATACCAAATTTTGCTTGGGAACGCCTTGTCAGCACGGCGGACCTGACTTACGCCGCACCTGCAGCACGTCTCTGGCGAGGCACGAAAATAGAGCCCTTCGTCCGATCTTGCAGAAACCTATACATACATGGACAATAGTGTATTTTACCTAAACATCATTTCCTCAGGTGTGGACCATAGACTGTATACACTATGGACACGTGGCTCCGCCTTCCGTCATTACATGGATTTGAAGCCAAACTGCTCTTAGTAGCTGATATAACTGGACTTGAGGTTGTAACTTCAAAGTACCAGATTTGTTGTCAGCAGTACCTGGTCAACCCTCAAGACAGCCACGAATGAATACTAGTACCCTCCAAATCCTGGGACAGACTTTTCCCCTGCTTTCCAAAGTGAAATCAAATCAGAGACAAACTATCCTTTTTCAGGATCACTTTTTAAAAATTATTTTATCAACAACAACTAAAACTTCTCATGATGCTGTAGAACTTTCTGGGTTTGGTGCCTGGCTCCTCTTACCTTTCCTTTTGCAGTCGACTCAGCCTTAAACCTTTCCTTGAAGATGTTCAGCATGGCAGAGTTTAAGTAAGAGGGCTGCATCCATGGCTCCTCCATGACCTTTTTCACCGTCTGCGAGTTGTACTCTTCAAAGTTTGTGTCAAACAGTGAACCTCCGGTTATGTTGACCACTTGGAAGGCGATTCTGGACTTAATAGTTGTATTTCCCAGGCAGCACAATCCTTTTACTGAGGAAATGGAATGAACAATCTCAGGCAAGAGGGTCTGAAGCTTGGTGCGGTCGCTGATCAGAGGATCCAAAGGTGCTCTTCTCCAGCTAATATCAAACCCAATGGCAATATCAAGGCTACAGTCCGGCTCTGTGGAGGATTGGAGTTTCAGTTAGGCCATCAGAGCAGCAGAGAATTCTGGGTAGAGAGAAGGACAGAGAGGCTAAGAGGCTCTTTTCAACTTACCAGGTTGGGGGGGGTCACAGATGGTCTTAACTAAATCTCTTTTGATACGCGGTAAGTGATCAAAATCCGGGACGGTGAAAAACCTTTCAGAGGATCCAGCGATATCCATGAGCTGCACATCTTTGACGTTTCCAATGCCAACGGCAAAAACCTCAACCCCGAAATTCCTGAGCTGTCTGGCTGCATCATTCACCTCATCCTGAGAGTCACCATCAGTTATCAAAACCAGCTTCTTGGAAATCTGACTCCGGCAGCCTTGGGATGGCTCAAAGTATTTCTTGATGTGGTACAGGGCCTTCCCAATGAGGGTGTTTCCAGCGCGGTACTCCATATTGCTGATATGTGTGACTATATCGTCCTTCTCAAAGTACTGGTTCAATAAAAATTCATCTTTGGGGTCATCGTCAAACTGGGCTAATCCCACATGCACAGACTTCTCACCAACGTTGAAACTGTTGACCAGCTCTGCCGTGAAGTTAATCATGGTTTTGTAATTGTTATCTCCGATGCTGCCGGACTGATCGAGCAGAAAGACCAGGTCCACTGTCTCTTTCACACAATCTGCAAAAGGAAAGCAAAGAGATGGAACAGATACACTTCAGAGGGAGCATGGAGCATAAATTATGTTCAGCTGCACCGTGTTCAACCTCATGAGCGAAAAAGAGCTCTTCTAGTTTCTCTAGTGAATGGATCAGGTCTACATCCAACTGAAAACAGGCTGAGGACTAAGTTTATGGTCCTGATGTGAGGGGTCTTTGAGAAAAGATCCCAGCCACATGATGCACCAAGAGGCCCTGTTTGTGGAGCTAAACAAACCTCCCACGGACACACTGGGTCCAGTACTATACATGAGATCCTGATCCTGACACCATCTTTGTGGTCCATGTTTGCTCTGATCAAAATGTGATGATCCTGCTGAAAACACCTTCAACAGTCAGACACGTCTCTATCTCCACCCCCCTGGACTCCTGTAGGTCCCTGAAATCCTGTCTGTCACAGCAGAGCTTAAAGAAACTCAGGTTCGTCCAGAACTCTTCAGTCAGACTCTAAAAGCAAAAAGACAGAGCAGATCAGCTTCCAGTTCATTTTTAAAGCTCTTACTGGACTCGCCCAAAAGTAGGTCTTCAGTCCAGGCTGAGGACCAAGGGGAACCAGGCTTTTTCTGTCAGGGCCCCCACACTCTGGACCTGAAGAGATCAGACCAACAAGGTCCTTCTTCTCTCTGAAAACTTGTTAAACCCATTTTTACAAAGAGTGCATTTACTGGATACGAATTTGAACACTTGGCTCTGAACTTTTAATCAAGTCTCGACTATCTATTTAAGTTGAGATATTTAGTTCATTTATTTATTTTTTTAAGTTTTAACTTATTTTATTTATAAAAAATTTTTACTTCAATTATTTTTTTATTTTTTACTCATTTTATTTTATTTAGTTTTAACTCATTTTATTTATTTATTTTTAACTTATTTAATTTTATTTAGCTTTAACCTTTTTATTTTTCACTTTTTATTTCTATTTTATTTTTTTTACTAATGATATTTTTTCCCACTTATTTTGTTTATTTTTAAACTTTATTTTGTTTAGTTAAACATAGTTTATTTACTTTTTATCTTTTTTAAACTTACTTTATTTTATTCAGTTTTAACTTATTAAATCTTTTAACTTATTCTATTTTATTTTTGACTTATTTTATTTCATTTTTTTACTTTTTTTGTTTAGTCCTAATGTGTTTTATTTAGTTTTTTCTTTTTTAATTATACTTTTTGTTAGTTTTAACTTATCTTCTTTATTTTATTTTTTACTTATTTAATTTTATTTAGTTTTAAATATCTTAATTATTGTAACTTTTTGAAACTAAGTTTTAACTCATTTTATGAAGTCTTTACTTATTTTATGTATTTTTTAACTTAATTTATTTTTTTACTTTATTGTGTTTAGTTTTAATGTATTTTATTTAGTTTTTTTCTTTTTAATTATATTTTTATTCGTTTTAACTTATATCATTTATTTTGTTTTTAACTTATTTTATTTCATTTTATTTAGTTTTAACTTATTTTGGTTATTTAAACTATTTTAAAATTAAGTTTTAACTCATTTTATTTAGTTTTTATTTATTTTATTTTACTTTATTTTGTTTAATTTAAATGTATTTTATTCATTTTTTCTTTTTAAATTATTTTTTTATAAGTTTTGACCTATTTTTAATTTATTTTTTAATTTTTTAATTTTATTGAGTTTTTAATTATTTTGTTTATTTTAACTTTTTTAAATTAAGTTTTAACTAATTTATTTAGTTTTTATTAATCTCATAATAATTTTTTACTTACTTTAAAAAACATTGAACTTGGTTTAATCTTTAATTGTTTTTCATTCATTCTTGGTGACTGACTTTTTTGTAAAACTGTACTGACGTCTCTATGTTCCTGTGAAGATCTTTGTAACTCTGTTCTAAAAAGTGTGATATAAACAAAGTCATTATTGTTGTTATTGATATTTTACCAGCATGTGTGTGATTAGCACAAGTGTGTTGAGTGGATTTTGTGCTGCAACAGAGCACACACACACATATAAATATATAAATGTACTGCATATATACTGTATATTGGTCATGCAGTCAGTTTGAATGGCCTCATGTCAAAAACAGCCAAGGTGGTGTATGTGCAGTTTTTTCTAATGGTGACTATTGCCTATGAATTCTGAGTAAGACTTCAGCATACCTCCAAAGCAGCAGATGGAGAGGTCCCCTCCATGGTAACATCAACTCCACTTGAATTTAAATAAACTTAACAGATCAACGGTTATCAAAATTAATGCTGTCGCCTGTAACACTGCTGTACCACACTCTTACCTGGCGTTATGGTGTCACAGACCACCTTGGTGATGTTCTTCTGCAGCAGTGCTAAGGCTTCAAAATCCTCCACGTAGAAAACTTTGGACTCATCCCCACCAGCAAATATTTTCAGTTCTGTCTTGTTTGCATCTTTTATTCCAATACTGAGGACGGTGACCCCATTCCTTCGCAGTTCATCAGATGCTGGTTTCAGTTTCTTCTTATCATCTGCATCCCCGTCTGTGATCACCATGAGAATCTGGGGCACCTGGAGTGCTTTCCGACCACCATGTTCAGCACCAAAGAACTGCAATGAGTACTCTAAGGCCTCGCCTGTATAGGTCTGCCCAAACAGCTGCTTTGAACCAGCAATCGCATCAAGAACCTTTCGTTTGGTGTCATGGCGGTTTAGAGTAAAAGAAAGCTGGGGATCATTTGAGTACACTATGACCCCAAACTGAAACAGGTCTTTGCCAACTGCTGTATGGTTTACTATGGACCTCATAAAATTCAACATCTTTTCAAAATCTTTCTCCCAGATGCTCCTGGACCCGTCAACTAGGAAGATAACATCAGCTCGGGTTGTCCTCTTACAATCTGCTCAGAAAGAAAAAACAAAAATAAGGTTTAAAAATTCAGAAACTTCGAAGATCGGGCAGATCTCAGAGGCTGCTGTTAGAGTCACTAAAACAGAATCAGAAACCAGGACCAGGACTTTTCTGCGCTCGGTCTCTAAAGGTCCTTACACACCGGCGAATTTGCGGAGCGAAGCGAAATAGCGAGACGAAAATTGTGAATATTCGCCGGTACAAAAAGTTGCTTTCGCCTATACACACAAACCGCAAAGCGAATATGCGTATATTTTTTGCAAAGCGAATTAATAAAGTCGCTTTGCGGCACGGAGGAGAGGAGATGCAGGGTGGTCCTGTACCGCAATGACCAGCCTCTCTCCCATCGTTGCTCTTGGTGCCAGTGATGGTGTGTGTCGTGTGAACGGCTGCTGATTGACATGTCTAGCATTATGAGTGAGGGAGAAAGAGGAGGAAAGGCTGTGAGAGACGCCGCAGCAGCCAGGAGAGGCGAGGGCTGAGCAGTGATCCTTCAAGTTGTCTGGTCATTCTGTTGGCCCTGTAGCTGCAGATCATCAGCATGTCAAACAGCTGAGAGGGAGAATCAGGCATGATGAGGCGGTCACCCTGTGAAGTGTGCTTGACATCTGTCTCCTAAGGAAGACAAGAGAGTGTCATCTTGTGAGAAAACTACTTCATTAGTAATTAGAAAGAGTTTTGGATGCACCTCAGCTGTCTTTGTCTGCGTTTTCATAATCTCAAACTTCTCCCTCTCCTCCAGCCTTATGGGTCTGTGACGTCATCAACAACATGACTTTTGATTGGCCAGAGGTCTAGCAGGTCCAGATATTTGCCTGCGAATATCCGAAAAATTCGACACAGGAGTGAAAAAATAAAAGTGGCTTTTCGCCTCGCAGAAAAATCGCCGATGGTGTGGAAGCTTGCATTGACTTTATGCTGTTTTAAAAAAAGGCGAATAATTCGCCTGGCGAATTCTCGCCCGGTGTGTAAGGACCTTAACAGAACAAAGATGTTTGGTTTCTTGTTCCTTGACAATCCAATATAACCCGATTGTCGTGCAGCTGAGCATGTTCTTCAGAAAGCATCTTTTGAAAAAATGTGGTCTGTAAGTTGATGATGAACCTGTTGAAACTCTGTGTTGTGTGTGTCTGTAGGTGTGGGTCATTAAAAGGGTTATCGGGTGTTGCCACGGCGGTGAAGAGCCAGTCTTAAACCCCAAAGTCCACATGCAAAGCCCACAGCAGGATTTGACAACAAGGCAGTTTGAGGCCTTACCCCTAGTTTCCACCGCATCCGGAACAGCTACCAAAAAGGTTGTATCCGCCGATTGTAGCAGATCGTAACCATTCAAGTTAACGTGTCAATTTCCACCGGCTTCTTTCCGTTCCTCTGCAGATCGCCAGAATCCACAGCTAATTGCAAGAGTTCTATTTTTTGCGGACCCTGGATCATGCCGGAAAAAGTCAGCACAGATTAACCCGTGCTGGAAAGGAAGTCGGGCACAGACACAAAATAAAACATCCGGCTTCCTTTCAAAATAAAACACTCCATATTTCAGGAGGATCGTATTTCACACCATGCAAACGGGCGGAGACGAACAAGTGAAAGGTTTTAGACGACACCATGGATGAGGAGATGCTGATTCTAGAAGTCTAGAAGTAGATTTCCTCCTCTGTAAGGTCACAATCTACTGCTTATATGTCTATGTGGCTGTCTTTTTAGAGACAACTTGTTATTGCATGATTGAACGTGAATCCGCGGGTTCTTGTGAGTTCTCACAATTCCTGCTGTCTGTAATCCACCACGAAATTCGCTTGACACATGGATCCGGTAGGAATTCGCAGACGGCGAAAATCGCCACTGTTCTGGATCGGAACCGTTCTAGATGCAGTGAAAATTGGGTTTGAAAGATCAGGATAGATGTGATGAGCATGTGTTCGTGTGTTTGGACTGTTGTCACTCACTGATTTGGAACAAGACTTTTGGTGAACTCTGATGTTAACCTGCTACCAGGAAAAGAACTAAACCCTGACCAGACTCAGGTGAAGCTGTCCTGCTAACTTTATGACAGGAACACCAGGAATGAGCTCAGAGCGGCGGCTTTTCCTCCAAAAAAGCTGACGACGAGGTCAAACATTTGGCTCTGAAATCCCTTCTGGCTTGACTGAAGCCAGCGAAATGCTTAGATATAGTTCTAGACTCAGTCTCAGACTTGGTCCTGGTTTCTCTTATTCTTACCTCTTCCTGGATCACAGAGCTTTAAGGAAATCTCATTTTCGAGGCCTTTCAGTGAATCAAAGTCTCTCTGCAGATACACCCTCCCTGATGAACCACTAATATCCATCAGCTGGGGGTGCGTGGCGCGAAACACTCCGATGGCAAATATTTCCACGCTCTTGTCCCTCAGAGCTGCGGCGGGGAACTTCACTTGGTCGTAGGAAACGCTGTCTAGGACGACAATCAGCTGCTGCCTCAGAAACGGACGCCCTCCTCTGTCTGCATCGAAATATTTGGACAGCTCTGTCATAGCCTTCCCCAAGTGTTTGCCTCCGTTCATCTGCTTCATATTATCGATGGCTTTGGATGTTTCCTCTCTGGTGTGGTACTGTTGGAGGGGAAACTCCAGTCTGTGGTTGGTGCTAAACTGCATGACGCCAATGTGCACCTGATTCTGGCCAATGAAAGACCTGCTGATGAGGGATTTCATAAAGTCTTTCATTTTCTCGTAGTCTTCTGGACTGATGTTCTGGGAGCTGTCCACCAAGAAGAAGATGTCGCTCGGTACGTCTTTGCACGCTGCCAATACAAAAGAGTGAAACGTCAACCTGGTGAGAGGAAAATCAAACGTGCTGTGACGCACATCACAGACCAAAACAATCAAAACAACGGGGTATATTTAGCTATTTTTGGTCCATCTGTTTTTTGATTTTTTTTTGTAAAAATCTATGTAGTAACTCAATCCTTTCAAGCACAGCAAATATATACACTTTTTTTTTTCAGGACAACCCCAGCTGTCAGTTTATGGAGCAAAAATGATGTAAAATGAATGTGACAGTGGATTCAGAACCATCAAAGTCAACCAAAAAACAAAAACGGAAATTGATACCAACGGTACTTTGCTCCAAAAACACACAAATCTACAGTGACCAAGCCTTTTCTCACCTGCACATCATTCTCTCAAGTCTTGGCTATCAGGAGAAGAAATATTGAGATTGGAACAAACACACAACAGAAACTATTGACATATTTACACTAATTCTTCCAGGCGTTTTTTACTATTTACAGTTGTTTTTGCCACTCCTTGAAGCAGTTCCTGTCTGGGATGAGACAGAAGACCACATCTTACTGCTCAGAATCTCTTCTTTGCTTGTTTCCAAACATTGAGGACCATTATTTCTTATTTTGCAGACAAGCAGGGAACTTTTTTGTCTCTTGTTGATCTTTGGTTGCCTTTTATTGGTCACTACCGTCAAGGGAACAATAGAAGAAGAATATGAGACCATGTAATCGACCATGTGGTCAAAAGTTTGACACCAAAACAGCTCGTCAAACTCGGAAGACATTAGCGGCTTTTAGCGATAGCAATCTCTTTTTATCACAACAAAATGATAAATAATCACGTTTTCACTGATTTATCACTGCGGATTTACCATCAAACATCTCTGATCAAACACCTATATTTCTGGCTGGATTGTAAACCATGTGGCATGTGTAGAAATGTCTGGAAACTCTCGATAGATCGCCAAAAGGGTAAGCTTTTGAACACTTTTCATTTCATAGAAACACACGGTATAGTTCCTGAGAAACTGTAAACAATATTAATGGTGTCACGTGGGATTGCAGACGATCCAGCAGAGTTCTAAGCGATAATCATGCTGCAGTTATGAAGTCTGAATTCTGTTGTTAATATCATGACCTCTTTTCAGGCAGCCAATCATATTGATCATAAGTCTTAGAGCCTATGACAAAGGTCCTAGAGGGGGAACAGGTTCTAGTGGTCTCAGTCTGCCTCTGTCAGACTCTCTGATCACAGTTACTGGACTGTCCTTACCTTCTCGAGTGCAGATGTCTGTGACGAGTTTATCCTTGATGAGTTTCAGAGCTTGGAAGTCACTCACACGGAAAGTCCTCTCAGGGCCTCCAGCGATCTGCTGCAGCTGGCTCTCGATGAGATTTCCAACACCGATGGAATAGATAATGACACCCAGCTTCCTCAGTTCTTCTGCCGGAGGCCCGACCGCATCAGTGGAGTTTCCATCTGTGGTTACTATCAGGTATGTGGGGACCTTATGACCCCTGGTGGCCGCCGCTCTCTCAAAGTAAGGTCCCATGAATGACAGCGCGGCCCCAATCTGCGTCCCACCGCCGCAGTTGTAGATGCTCCGCACAGCTTTCTCCAGCTGAGCGGTGGTCGAGTGTTGAGTAAGGTCAAATTCCAGAGTTGCGGTTTTTGCGTATTTCACAAGGCCAATCCGGACCTGTTGAGGCCCAATCCGGAAGGTCTTAATAAAATTGACGAGAAACGTCTTCATCTCAATAAAGTCAGGAGTATCAATGCTCCCTGACTCATCCATCAGGATGAAAATGTCGGCCTCGTCCTTCTGCACACACGCTGTGGAGAGGGGTGAAGAAAACAAGGTCATCAGCTGGAGCAAAGACGGCTGAGGGCTGAGGTCAAGAGCTTGGTTTATTTTCAATATTCGTGTACAATCACAGTTAGTCTTGGTATTTATACTCTCGGTCATCGCAGCATTTTTACACACAATAACAAAAAAATAACAGGAGTGTAAATGAACCACAGAACTCATGCACAAAACTGGAAACAGGTCATCTGAGCTGACAGGAAGCTCAGGGACAGACATGAGAGAGACGGTGTCCTTCATGCTGTCGGCCTGTTAGAAGAAAGCCGAAAACATCCAGGATCCGTATTAGGCGTGTTGTTCCGTATTTGCCCCATAGAGCAGCGTTGGGTATCTCATACAGGATCAGTGTATTTGGAGCGTAGCAGCAGTATAGTACACCCCCCCCCCCCCCACCCCAGGTCAGCTGGGCTCAGTATAGAGGAAACAACATGCTCACAACAGGTTGTTTTTCCTTTCTGTGGTCGATTTCCTGATGATGTGGATATAATTCAGTGACTGTTGAGCTTCTACTATATGTGAAAAAAGCTTTAAGTAATTTTCCAGTTTGTGTTTTTTGCAGGTTTCCTGGTGTTTAATAAAGTAAACTCTGTTCCTTTATGCTGTGCTGTTAACTTCAGACAGAGTTAGCAGTTCAAAGTCCTGTTGGGGTCCACATGGATCCGGGATTGACGATCAGATTGTTCTGTGTTACTGATAAATCCGGAACCAGGAAGGATTTCTCATCTACACCAACTGATACACAGTCGAGAGTTCACATATGGTGTTTTATTTTGAAATACCAGATGACGTGCATGGTTTTCCTGCTTGATTTCCTGTCTGGAACGATCTTCTCTGTGTAGATTGACGTGCATCAGAAGCATAGAGCAGCAAAAATCGACACCCCTCTCGATACAATGCTGAGACGGAGCTGTTACACGTCTTGTATGCTTTGCTGCATGATATGCCACGCTGCGGCCACACTCCAAATACACATCCTGTATGTCTTAGCCTTCAGAGGTGAAGAGACAAACTGGCAGACTTACCTTCTTTGATGTCGAGTCTGCTTGTAGTGAGAGAGATTGCTCGCTGAATGATGTTGTTGCAGAGGGTTTTCATCAGGCTCTGCTTCAGGAACTTCAGCTTGGTGAAACTGTTCTCCATGAAGACGTGCGTACTGGGGGGGTCGGACGCCACCTCCCCCAGCTCAGCCTTGTTTGTATTTTCAACCCCTATGGCGTAAATCGTGACATCGGCTCGGCGGAGAGCGGTCGCAGCTTCCTTGACACCTGGGGCGGAACGACCACTAGTGATCACTACTGCCACCTGCTGAACGTCCTCCCTGCTGCCCCTTCGACTGACCAAGACGTTCTCCAGAGTGAAGTTCAGGGCGGCACCAGTGTTGGTATCGCCTCCGCTGTAATGCAGGCGTCTGATGAACTGCAGGAGTTCGGCTTTGTCCTGGAATGTGTCAAGGTACGCCTGAGCTCTGGGCTCCTGGTTGTACGTCACGATTCCCACGCGGACTTTGAACCTGCTGACGTCAAGGCTGCTCACCATTGAGTGCAGGAAATTACGCACGAGCTGGAAGTTTTCAAGGCCGACGTTTGTGGACTCCTCCACGATGAACACGATGTCGGCCACATTGGCTCCTTTACATTCTGTTAAAAAGAAAAGGCTAACAGTGAACTCCACGGATTTGGGACGGAGACACAACCTGTTTCCAGCAAAACCCTGAAACACTGAGCTCTGGACCAGAAAGGCTCCTGGTCTGAATCTACTGTCCCTGTACCCTCTCAAGTTGAAAAACATATTTCCTCACCTTCAGTCAGTAAGCTGTCACCCGCTCTGCCAGAAGGCTGTGGACCTGTAGCTACAGGAGATGGAAAAATTTCATTATGCAAAATCATGATTTTATCATTGAGATTAGCCTATTTAGACTATTTTTCTAGTTATTTACCAGTTAAACAAACCAATTCACCGATTTAAAATCAAAGCCCCCCCTTTAAGACAAGTTATTGTTTGAACACCGAAAACAAAACTTCCAGGAGGTCTCTCGTGTCAAAAATGACTTTTAACGATAACGATATCTCTGTGTATCCCTGTCATCCTGTCACCCTTACTTTCTATTACAGTCATTGACTTTGTGATGAGGAAAACTGTCATCGAGGCAAACCATGGCATCAAGTGGGGAGGGGGCAGACTGGCAGATCTAGACTTTGCAGGGCACGAAAGACGTACAGACCAGAATTGGCAAGGCTGCAGGAGTCTTCCAACGACTCCGGAATATCTGGCTGTCGAAATCCATCACCACAGCCACAAAGCTGCGCCTCTATATGTCAGTGGTCATCCATTCAGTGACCTACAACTGTGAGACGTGGACGAAGACAGCCAGCATCACCAACAAGTGGGATGTCTCCCATCGACGGTGCCTCAGATCCATCCTAAGGATATCATGGAGAGACCACATCACCAATGAAGAGGTTATGAGAAGGGCAGGTGTAGCACCCTTTGTCTGACATTGTCTCTCACAGGTGAAAGAGAAGGACTGGACATGTACTCCGACTGCCAAGAGAGAGACCGGCAAGTTAGGCAATAGACTGGATGCCAGAAGGGGGGAAAGAGAAGTAGAGGGAAGCCAAAGAAGACATGGACATGAAGCAAAAGGGGTCGCTAGGGACCGGAGCAAATGGAGAGGGACTCATAGCCCAATGTTCCAATAGGAACGTGAGGAACTAAGTCTACGTAAGTAAGTCTGTGTTCTCTTATGTCTTGTGTATATCATTTTTGAGCGGTCCGCTCTTTCTGACTGTAAACAAAGCCTTTCTCCACCTCCCCAACCTGATTGGTTGTGAGGCCGACGCTGCTTCCTCATGTTGTGAGGCACGCTCCACGTCCTCGAATAACGTTTACGAGCCCAAACAAAGTTAGCGTGCTACAATATCGGACAGTAGAAACCAACCAGAAAGTTCGGAAAATTGTCTGAATCCTCCATTGGCCACGACTGCCAACACAAGCAAGAAAACAAAGTAAATACCGGAGACTCTGGCGGAATAACAGGCGCTTAAAACGGAGGTAGACCGAACAAGAGCTAAAAAGCCGGGTCAACATAAACAACGGGGGACGCTTCAGGATCTTGGTGACCCTGTAACCTTTCTGCTGGACAGGTAAACCGCTTTAACAAAGTAAGACAAGTGTCTGTAACAGAAGTGTTTCTTGTCTAACGGGACCTGCTGTAGCGTGTTGTAGCGCCGCTAAACTGTTGACCTCGGGTCCTGGACTATGTCTCTTTATCCTCATTGTAGAAGTCCTACAAACATTGTGTTTGCTGGTAGTCTGTTGGCATCTACAGTAGCACCAATGCTTTTTACTTTTACATTGACTGGGCCCCATTTGTAATTATCTGAAGTATTTATCTGCATTATATCTGAATTTAATTGGAACAATATGAGCGAGCAGGAGCGTCTGTTTGTGGGCGGGGCTTGCTGGAGCAGAGAGGGAGGGGAGAGGAGGAGCTAAGGGGAAAACTGGTTGGGAGGGGTAGAGTTTACATTCAAGAATCTCCCAAAAACTTGAATTCCTCAGATCCTTACTACACCACCTTTAAGTTATTAATAATAATTAGAAGAAGATGAATAAATTTTTTTACCCTTGATAATCTCCTCTTCCTCCATCCGGAAAACAGAATCCAACAAATTTACTCTTGGTGTAGCGTATGCGTATCCAGGACTGGCGAATAAGAGCACAGAATCTAGTGTTGCACCTACAGTCATCCCAACGATTGTTATCCCCTCGGCTTCGGTCAGACGAGCCGCTCTAGACACCAGATCATCAGATTCCTTCCCAGCAGCAACAACCAGGAACTGTCGGTAGCACTGGTGCGCCCGCCCCCCTGACTTCCTGCTGAAAAACGCTGTGCTGGCACTCTGCAGAGCGCTGCCCAGGTTTCGTGGTTGGTTGGGTCTACGACGCAAGCGCAGCCGTTTAACGGCAGCCAGCGTCTCCTGTTTGGTTTCAGATGCACTGAGAAGGAATTCAACATTCAAGTCTTTGCCGTACTGGGCCAAACCGATACGGTGGGCGGACCCTCCGACATCGAGCTTGTTAATCAGGTCAAGAAGGTCAGACTTGTATGTGGTGAACATATCCGGAGCCATGGAACTGTCCACCAAGAAGACGATATCTGCAAATGCTTCGTTAGAAGCTGGAGGGACACAGAAACAAATGAATGAGTGAATTTTCTGACAGCACAGGGATTTCTGCGGTTGAGAGATAAACAAACACAACAGCTAGGATTTCGGTTTGAGTCAGCCAGAAATCATCACAAATAACTAAAGGACAACTTCATGACCTATCTGGGCTTACCTAGGCTGTCTAAGGCCATGGAGAAGCACACGGTTTGCAGCAGATTGTCCTTTAGCTGCTGCAGGAACTGGTAGCTGTGGGTGTAAAAAAGATGCTGATCTGGAGGCCAGTTGGTGATGGTCTCCAGTTCCTTGAGGTTGACATCTCCTACCCCGATACCAAACACAATGACTCCAAGCTTCCTTAGGTTACGGGCTGGTACCACCACATCATCAGCTGATTGCCCGTCTGTGATAACCACGGCGATCTGAGGCACTTGTTGCTTGGCTCTGCTTCCTGCTGCCTCAGTGAAGACCTTTTTCAACAGGAAGTCCATGGCCCTTCCTGTTTCTGTGCCTCCCCCTCGGTAGGAGATCTTTCCCACTGCAGCCAGCAGGGAATCCATGTCTGTGTGATCCTTCAGGAGGAACTCCTCGTACGGTTTATCACTGTACTGCACCAAACCAATCTGAACTCGGTCAGGACCGATGTTGAGGGCTTTAATGATGCTTTTGAGGAAATTTTGACCACTTTGAAAGTTATAGTAGCCGATGCTGCTGGAGCTGTCCACCAGGAAGACGATGTCTGCCGCTGTGGCGTTTCCACACACTACACAGAGGAAGAGGAAGTACAGCATCAGAGGTGGAAAACTAGAAGAGCCAAAAAAGAGCTTCACACATGCACAAAAACTCAAGTGAACCACGTGTGTGAACACCAAAAGGCACATTTTAACCCCAACTTACACAGACTGTCTCCAGCCAACACCGGAAAAAAATACCCAGGGACCGTCCTCAAACTCGGCAGGAGTTTAAGAGTGTGAAAAGAGCAAAACGTAGGAGCATCCAGTTTACAAGACGTAGGAGAAATGTCCCCCTGAAGGACTTTTATTATGATGATTATGCACAGCACTGCAAAAAAGGCAATCATGTACATTTCCCTTTAAATGGATCAGAGCCACAGCAACATCCTGTTTTCTTTATACTTTAGGTAAGTTTATGTAGAAATGTAGAGTGAAGAGTTAAAGGCGTGGTTCACGATCGTAGAGATTGGTAATTATTATTATTATTATAAACCTCATTGCTATGGCAATCATGGTCCTATAGTGCGATCTCCAGAAAGTGAAGAGAAAAAAGAACAGAAAAAAATCTCTTCACCCTAACAGGTGCAGGGCTGCAAAAACATCAACCAGTGGGAGCCATCCATACCGGACAGCTCCTATTGGTCAATCTCCTGCTCTGCCTCTCCATCCAATCACCTCACTGTATTCGACACACCCCTCCCCCTGTAGTTTTGACTCATCCCCTCCCACTCACCCGGCCCTCCTTGGAGCCCTGAGCAGCTAAAAGTAGCGTAGCAGCTTAGCTACAGGAGCTGTGATGGAGAAGAACACAAAAAAAACCCCAAATACTTCTGCTCGCCCCACTACCAAAATGGAAAGAAAAGCTGACAAAAGAAAGGGCGGAGTCGAAGAGGAAACGTGACCAAGCAAGGAATCTAACTGGAATAAACATCAGATCATCTTTGGAGTGGTGGAGAAAGCTCCAGTTTTAGTGTGTTTTGTTGAACAGGTCATTTATATCGCCTTTTATCGTGGCACATGTTACATAAATAACTCTTATTAGTCTCCGCAATGTCAACACGGTAGCTGTCCAGGCAGCTTCAGACGGCGCTCGCAAGTAGAGCTGGCCTTTACTGCCACTTGTCACTAACAATCTGATATGGTGGATCCTATTTGAAGCTAGCGGATCTTCTGCCGGCTGGCTTCTGGCTCTGCCAGAGGGGTGTGTCATGGGGAGGGGGATACAAGTCCGGGGGGGGGGGGGGGGGCTGCTATCGTGAAGCACAGTGGGGAAAGGTTTGTGTGTGGGGGGTGGGATGCTTTTTTTCCAATCTGCCTCAACAGATCAGTTTTCAGCCAGGACTCCAAACATTGACTTACCAGTGACTAAAACCTTCAAACAAAAAAGAACTGAAAAATGTTTTAACCTTTTTACGACCCGTTTTCCCGGTAAATCAAGAAATAAAAAGTGACCTGCAGTAAAAAATCAACAACATTTTCGGTCAAAATACCCACCTGGACTTTGAGCAGCCGTGCCGCAGGTAAGAGCTGCGAGGGTGAGGCTGAACAGAAGACTCCTCATCCTTCTCTTCATGCTGGAACTGTTCCTGAAACACAGGTGAGACATAGGTGAGACAGAGGGGATCACAGGTGAGACACAGGTGAGCACAGGTGAGACACAGGTGAGGCAGAGTTGAGACAGAGGTGAGACATAGGTAAGACACAGGTGAGAGAGAGGTGAGACACACAGGTGACACACAGGTGATCACAGGTAAAATTTAGGTGAGACACAGGTGAGACACAGATGATCATAGTTAATCACAGGTGAAACACAGGTGAGAAAGAGGTGATCACAGGTAAGACAGATGTGAAACATAGGTGAGACACAGGTAAGACAGAGATGAGACAGAATTTAGATAGAGGTGAGACATAGGTAAGAAACAGGTGCAAAGGAGGTGAGGTACAGGTGAGACACAGGGGATCACAGGGTAGACAGAGGTGAGACAGAGGTGAGACAGGTGAGAAACGGGTAAGACAGAGGTGAGACACAGATGATCACAGGAGAGACAAAGGTGATACAGAGTTGAGACAGAGGTACAATATAGGTAAGACACAGGTAAGACAGAGGTGAAACACAGGTGAGACACAGGAGAGGCAGAGGTGAAACACAGATCAGACCCAAATGAGAAGGAGACAAGACACAGATGAGACACGGGGGATCACAGGTGAGACACAGGTGAGAAAGGTGAGACTTTGGTGAGACAGAGGTGAGACACAGGTAAGACACAGGTGAGACAGAGGTGAGACACAGTAGAGAAAGAGGTAAGACACAAGTGAGAAAGAGGTGAGGCACAGGTGAGAAAGAGGTGAGACACAGGTGAAACAAAGGTGAGACACATGTGATACAGAGGTAAGACTCAGGTGAAACAGGTGAAACAGAGGTAAGACATAGGTGACACAGAGGTGAGACACAGGTAAGACACAGGTGAGACAGAGGTGAGACACTGGTGAAAAACAGGTGAGACACAGATGAAACAGAGGTGGGACAGAGGGGACAGAGGTGAGACATAGGTTAGACACAGGTGAGAAAGAGGTGAGATACAGGTGAGGCAGAAGTGATCACAGGTGAGACAGAGGTGAGACACAGTAGAGAAAGAGGTAAGACACAAGTGAGACAGAGGTGAGGCACAGGTGAGAAAGAGGTGAGACACAGGTGAGACACATATGAGACAGAGGTAAGACACGTGAGACAGAGGTGAGACATAGGTAAGACACAGGTGAGAGAGAGGTGAAACACAGAGAAGACACAGGTGAGACAGAGGTGAGACACTGGTGAAAAACAGGTGACACATAGGTGAGATTTAGGTGAGACACAGGTGAGACATAGTTAAGACACAGGTGATCACAGATGAAAATGAGGTGAGACACAGGTGAGACATAGGTAAGACACAGGTGAGAAAGAGGTGATCACCTGTGAGACGAAGGTGATCCACGGGTGAGACAGAGGTAAGACACAGGTGAGACAGGGATGAGACACAGGTGAGAGAGAGGTAATCACAGGTGATACAGAAGTGAGACAAAGGTAAGACACAGGTGAAACAGAGGTGAGACACATGAGACAGAGGTGAGACTTAGGTAAGACACAGGTGAGATGAAGATGATCACAGGTGAGACGGAGGTGATCAATGGGTGACACAGAGGTAAGACAAAGTGAAGAGAGGGGATCCACAGGTGAGAAAGAGGTGATTACAGGTGATACAGAGGTGAGACAAAGGTGAGACACAGGTTAGACACAGGTGGGACAGAGGTGAGACACGGGTGAAACACAGGTGAGACAGAGGTAAGACATAGGTGATCACAGGTGAGACAGAGTTGAGACAAAGGTAAGACATAGGTAAGACACAGGTGAGGGAGAGGTGAGACACAGGTGATCACAGGTGAAACACAGGTAAGAAAGAGGTAATCACAGGTGAGACAGAGGTGAAACAAAGGTAAGACAGAGATGTGACAGAATTGAGATAGAGGTGAGACATAGGAAAGACACAGGTGCAAAGGATGTGAGGTACAGGTGAGACACAGGGGATCACAGGGAAGACAGAGTTGAGACAGAGGTGAGACACAGGCGAGACAGAGGTTATCACAGGTGATACACAAGTGAGACAAAGGTAAGACACAGGTCACACAGAGGTGAGACAAAGGTGAAACAGAGGTGAGACACGTGAGACAGAGGTTGGACATAGGTAAGCCACGGGTTAGATGGACGTGATCAGAGGTGAGACGGAGTTGATCCATGGGTGAGACAGAGGTAAGACACATGTAACACAGAGTTGAGACACAGGTAAGACACAGGTGAGACAGAGTTGAGACACGGGTGAAACACAGGTGAGACAGAGGTTATCACTTGAGAGACAGAAGTGACACAAAGGTAAGACACAGGTAACACAGAGTTGAGACACAGGTAAGACACAGGTGAGACACGGGCTCTCACAGGTGAGACAGAGGTTATCACTTGTGAGACAGAAGTGAGACATAGGTAAGACACAGGTAAAACAGAGGTGAGACATGTGAGACTGAGGTGAGACATAGGTAAGACACAGGTGAGATGGAGGTGATCACAGGTGAGACAGAGGTGATCCATGGGTGAGACAGAGGTAAGACACAGGTAAGACAAAGATGAGACGCAGGTGAGAGAGAGGTGATCACAGGTGAAACAGAGGTGAGACAAAGGGAGGACACAGGTGACACAGAGGTAAGATACAGGTTAGACAGAGGGAGGACAGAGGTGAGAAACAGGTGAGACAAAGTTGAGACAGATGTGAGACACAGGTGAAACAGATGTGAGACACAGGTGATCACAGGTGAGACAGAGGTGATCACATTTGAGATAGAGGTGAGACAGAGGTGAGACACAAGTGATCACAGGTGAGACAGAGGTGAGATAAAGGTGAGAAAGAGGTGAGACACAGGTGAACTAAGGTGAGTCACAGGTGATCGCAGGAGAGACACAGGTGAGACAGAGGAAAGACAGGTGATCACAGGTGAGACAGAGGTGAGAAAGAGGTGAGATAGAGCTAAGACACAGGTGAGACACAGGTGACACAAAGGTGAGACACAGTTGAGACACAGGTGATTACAGGTGAAACAGAAATGAGACACGTGAGACACAGGTGAAACATAGGTAAGACACAAATGAGAGAGATATGAGCACAGGTGAGACGGAGGTGATCCACGGTTGAGACAGAGGTAAGACACAAGTGAGACAGGGATGAGACACAGAAGAGAGAGAGGTAACCACAGGTGACACAGAGCTGAGACACAGGTAGGACACAGGAGAAACAGAAGTGAGACACAGGTGAGACATAGGTAAGACACAGGTGAGAGAGAGGTGATCACATATGAGACGGAGGTGATCCACTGGTGAGACAGAGGTAAGACACAGGTGAGACAGGGATGAGACACAGGTGAGAGAGAGATGATCACGGGTGATACAGAAGTGAGACACAGGTAAGACACAGGTGAGACCGAGGTGAGACACAGGTGAGATAAAGGCGAGACAGAGGTAAGACAAGGGTGAAACACAGGTGAGAAAGAGGTGAGATACAGGCGAGACAGAGGTAAGACAGAGGTGAGAAACAGGTGAGACAAAGTTGAGACAGAGGTGAGACAGATGTGAGACACAGGTGATCACAGGTGAGACAGAGGTGATCACATTTGAGATAGAGGTGAGAAAGAGGTGAGACACAAGTGATCACAGGTGAGACAGAGGTGAGATAAAGGTGAGACACAGGTGAGACACAGGTAAGACATAGGTGATCACAGGTGAGACAGAGTTGAGACAAAGGTAAGACATAGGTAAGACACAGGTGAGGGAGAGGTGAGACACAGGTGATCACAGGTGAGACACAGGTGATCATAGTTAATCACAGGTGAAACACAGGTAAGAAAGAGGTAATCACAGGTGAGACAGAGGTGAAACAAAGGTAAGACAGAGATGTGACAGAATTGAGATAGAGGTGAGACATAGGAAAGACACAGGTGCAAAGGATGTGAGGTACAGGTGAGACACAGGGGATCACAGGGAAGACAGAGTTGAGACAGAGGTGAGACACAGGCGAGACAGAGGTTATCACAGGTGATACACAAGTGAGACAAAGGTAAGACACAGGTCACACAGAGGTGAGACAAAGGTGAAACAGAGGTGAGACACGTGAGACAGAGGTTGGACATAGGTAAGCCACGGGTTAGATGGACGTGATCAGAGGTGAGACGGAGTTGATCCATGGGTGAGACAGAGGTAAGACACATGTAACACAGAGTTGAGACACAGGTAAGACACAGGTGAGACAGAGTTGAGACACGGGTGAAACACAGGTGAGACAGAGGTTATCACTTGAGAGACAGAAGTGACACAAAGGTAAGACACAGGTAACACAGAGTTGAGACACAGGTAAGACACAGGTGAGACACGGGCGAAACACAGGTGAGACAGAGGTTATCACTTGTGAGACAGAAGTGAGACATAGGTAAGACACAGGTAAAACAGAGGTGAGACATGTGAGACTGAGGTGAGACATAGGTAAGACACAGGTGAGATGGAGGTGATCACAGGTGAGACAGAGGTGATCCATGGGTGAGACAGAGGTAAGACACAGGTAAGACAAAGATGAGACGCAGGTGAGAGAGAGGTGATCACAGGTGAAACAGAGGTGAGACAAAGGGAGGACACAGGTGACACAGAGGTAAGATACAGGTTAGACAGAGGGAGGACAGAGGTGAGAAACAGGTGAGACAAAGTTGAGACAGATGTGAGACACAGGTGAAACAGATGTGAGACACAGGTGATCACAGGTGAGACAGAGGTGATCACATTTGAGATAGAGGTGAGACAGAGGTGAGACACAAGTGATCACAGGTGAGACAGAGGTGAGATAAAGGTGAGAAAGAGGTGAGACACAGGTGAACTAAGGTGAGTCACAGGTGATCGCAGGAGAGACACAGGTGAGACAGAGGAAAGACAGGTGATCACAGGTGAGACAGAGGTGAGAAAGAGGTGAGATAGAGCTAAGACACAGGTGAGACACAGGTGACACAAAGGTGAGACACAGTTGAGACACAGGTGATTACAGGTGAAACAGAAATGAGACACGTGAGACACAGGTGAAACATAGGTAAGACACAAATGAGAGAGATATGAGCACAGGTGAGACGGAGGTGATCCACGGTTGAGACAGAGGTAAGACACAAGTGAGACAGGGATGAGACACAGAAGAGAGAGAGGTAACCACAGGTGACACAGAGCTGAGACACAGGTAGGACACAGGAGAAACAGAAGTGAGACACAGGTGAGACATAGGTAAGACACAGGTGAGAGAGAGGTGATCACATATGAGACGGAGGTGATCCACTGGTGAGACAGAGGTAAGACACAGGTGAGACAGGGATGAGACACAGGTGAGAGAGAGATGATCACGGGTGATACAGAAGTGAGACACAGGTAAGACACAGGTGAGACCGAGGTGAGACACAGGTGAGATAAAGGCGAGACAGAGGTAAGACAAGGGTGAAACACAGGTGAGAAAGAGGTGAGATACAGGCGAGACAGAGGTAAGACAGAGGTGAGAAACAGGTGAGACAAAGTTGACACAGAGGTGAGACAGATGTGAGACACAGGTGATCACAGGTGAGACAGAGGTGATCACATTTGAGATAGAGGTGAGAAAGAGGTGAGACACAAGTGATCACAGGTGAGACAGAGGTGAGATAAAGGTGAGACACAGGTGAGACACAGGTTCTCACAGGTGAAACAGAAGTGAGACACATGTAAGACAACGGTGACACAGAGGTGAGACACAGGTAAGACACAGGTAAAACAGAGGTGAGACATGTGAGACACAGGTGAGACATAGGTAAGACACAGGTGAGATGGAGGTGATCACAGGTGAGACAGAGGTGATCTATTGCTGAGACAGAGGTAAGACACAGGTGAGGCAGGGATGAGACACAGGTGAGAGATAGGTGAGCAAAGGTGAGACAGAGGTGATCCACGGGTAAGACAGAAGTATGACACAGGTGAGACAGGGATGAGACACAGAAGAGAGACAGGTGACCACAGGTGATACAGAGGTGGGACAAAGGAAAGACACAGGTGACACAGAGCTGAGACGCAGGTAGGACACAGGAGAAACAGAAGTGAGACACGTGAGACACAGGTGAGACATAAGTAAGACACAGGTGAGAGAGTGGTGAACACAGGTGAGATGGAGGTGATCCACGGGTGAGACAGAGGTAAGACACAGGTGAGACAGGGATGAGACACAGAAGAGAGACAGGTGACCACAGGTGATACAGAGGTGGGACAAAGGAAAGACACAGGTGACACAGAGCTGAGACGCAGGTAGGACACAGGAGAAACAGAAGTGAGACACGTGAGACACAGGTGAGACATAGGTAAGACACAGGTGAGAGAGTGGTGAACACAGGTGAGATGGAGGTGATCCACGGGTGAGACAGAGGTAAGACACAGGTGAGACAGGGATGAGACACAGGTGAGAGAGAGGTGATCACAGGTGATACAGAGGTGACACAAAGGTAAGACACAGGTGAGACACAGGTAAGACACAGGGAGGCAGAGGTGAGACACAGGTGAAACACAGGTGAGACAGAGGTGAGACAGAGGTTAGACAGAGGTGAGACCAGTGGCGGTTCTAGACTAAATTACTCCCCGGGGGAGCAGTGTGTTCATCTCTGTTCTCACCCAAAGTCATGCAACACTCAGAAATTGCGATAGTGTGAGCCAAAGCACTCCATATGAAGAGTTTGTTCACACTGCTGGATGTTTCTCCTCTGAAGCTGCTCTCTGCCTCTGTCATTGTTTATTTTACTCACGGAGCGCTTAGCAAGATCCGAGCGCTTTATTCGCCTATCAGAGGCAGATAGGCCTCTGATAGGCCTATCTGCACGACTCCACGACTCCAGAAATGATTAAAAAACTACAAAATGACGTCTCCACGCTTCCGGCTTAAGAGAAGCAATACGCAGCTGCGCTTCTGGCTTGGAAAACTGATATGCTGACATGCGTACACAGAGCAGAGCTGTCCCCCCGCGACTCTCTCCCCGCCTCGTCTCACACAGTCTGTCAGCCTCTGTGCAGCATCTTCGCAGCAAGCAGGGCCGCCTACAACAGCGGGGGGGCCGCCAATTTGTCAACAAGCGTTAATGAAAAAACGCTTTGCAGTCCAGATTTATTATTATTATCTTTCATTTTAATTTTTTTTGGAAGTGCTCGTGCCCCCCCCCATGAGTCATGACACAAATGCCGCCCCGGGCGGCTGCCCTGTTCGCCCGTGCCTAGAACCGCTACTGGGTGAGACAGAGGTAAGACAGAGGTAAGACACAGGTAAGACGCAGGCAAGACAGAGGTAAGACACAGGTGAGACAGGTAATCACAGGTAAGACACAGGAGAAACAGAAGTGAGACACGTGAGACACAGGTGATTGCAGGTGAGACACAGGTGAGGCAGAGGTGAGACAGTGGTAAGACACAGGTAAGACGCAGGTAAGACAGAGGTGAGACACAGGTTAAACACAGTTGAGACACAGGTGAGACACAGGTGAGACATAGGTAAGACACAAATGAGAGAGAGGTGAGCACAGGTGAGACGGAGGTGATCCACAGGTGAGACAGAGGTAAGACACAGGTGAGACAGGGATGAGACAAAGGCAACAGAGAGGTGATCACAGGTGATACAGAGGTGACACAAAGGTAAGACACAGGTGACACAGAGGTGAGACACAGGCAAGACAGAGGTGAGACACGGGTGAAACACAGGTGAGACTAAGGTGAGACAGAGGTGAGTCAGAGGTAAGACAGAGGTGAGACACAGATGAGACAGATGTGAGACACAGGTGATGACAGGTGAGACAGGGATGAGACAGAGGTGAGAGAGCGGTGATCACAGGTGATACAGAGGTGAGACAAAGGTAAGACAGGTGACACAGAGGTGAGACACAGTTAAGACACAGGTGAGACAGGGGTGAGACACGGGTGAGAAAAATGTGAGACACAGGTGATCAGAGGTGAAACAGAGGTGAGACACAGGTGATCACAGGTTAGACAGAGGTGAGATAGAGGTGAGACACAGGTGAGTCACAGGTGATTGCAGGTGAGACACAGATGATTGCAGGTGAGACACAGGTGAGACAGAGTTTAGACACAGGTAAGACGCAGGTGAGACAGAGGTAAGACACAGGTGAGACAGGTGATCACAGGTGAGACAGAGGTCATGGTCATGTATTTCCAGCAGAGCCCTGTTTCCTGCTCCTTCGGTTGTACGTGTTAATTGGGGTGCACATGAACAGACGTGTATGTGCACATATTGATTTTGGATAACTCTCAACCTAAATAAATTCAAGATGAATTCATTAGATGAGAAATGCCTTTTATGTTTTCTAGTGAAAAGACAACATCTGCATCCCATTCATGACTGGATCTCCAACACCTCACAAGTCCTCCCCCTCTGGGTCTCTTGGTCTTCAAACAGGACCGTCATTCAGAACAAATCCACTCAGCTTGAAACTCGATATTAAGATTGTAAACTGATGTCAGAAAACGTTTACTGAGTGAATTAACCGACTTAGAGGGGCGACCATTTTCAGATATACTTATTTATGAACAGGCTTTTTATCAACCAAACACTGTCCTTATGGAAGAACACAGATTAGAGGAAGTCCTGCAGGAGATCCTCTTCAGCTAAACTGGATCAGATGAAGACAATCCAGGATAAGACGACTGTCTGTGAGACATGAGAGTCTGCAGTTTAATATCCTGTTAAAACACTGAGGACAATTCAAACATGAGACAGTTGTCTGTGAGTCTGTCCGTCTGTCTGTCTGTCCCTCTGCTTGTCCGTCTGTCTGTCTGCTTGTCTGTCCGTCTGCCTGCTTGTCTGTCTGTCTGCGTGTCTCATCTGTCTGTGTGTCCGTCTGTCTGTCTGTCTGTCTGTCTGCCTGCTTGTCTGTCTGTCTGCCCGTCTTGTCTGTCTGTGTGTCCGTCTGCCTGCCTATCTTTTTGTCAGTCTGTCTGCCTTTCTGTCTGTTTGTCTGCCTCGCTGTCTGCCTGTCCGTCTGCCTGTCTGTGTCCCTTTGCCTGTCTGTCTGCCTGTCCATCCACTTGTGTGTCCATCTGTCTGTCTGTCTGTCTGTGTCCGTTTGCCTGTCTGTCTACCTGTCCATCCACTTGTGTGTCCATCTGTCTGTCTGACTGCCTGTCTGTCCGTCTGTCTGTTTCGTCTGTCTTTCTGCCTGCCTGTCTGTTGTCTGTCTTCTTGTCTGCCTGCCTATCTGTGTCTGCTTTTCTGTCTGTCCATCTGTCTGCCAATCCCTCCCTCTGCAGGCTCACAGTCTCTCCTTTTGCATTTGTAGATCCATCTTTTTTTAAAATGACCTTCTTCCTCTCAGACGTTGTCTCAGTTTTAAAGAGGGACTGCAGGTCTTTGCTCTAACAGCTCGTACTCCATAAAAACTGGAACCAGAAGAAGAAATGGTTTCTGTCTATGCCCCCCCGATAAAAATCATCACTTCATCTGTTAAAAAACAAACATTCAAAAAGGTTTGTAGACCTTTTCTCGACCACATTCAGAAACTCTCATCATTTTGATTCAACTCTCTCCTTTTCTAGTTGTTTTCTTATTGAAATATATATCTGTGATGTTTTATAATCATACAATTTCAATTCTCTTGTATGGACTTTTTAAGTTTACAGCGACTTGTCTACATATGTATTTCTCTTCACTTACAGTAGTTAATTTAACTTATTTTCTTTTGATTTCTCACCGTCTTATATATTTCAGGATCTACAAAACCCAAATTCCAGCACTTGTTTTTTTTTTTTTTTTGTTTTGTCTTAGCTCCAGAATTTGTTATGTAATCACAGTAATAGGAATATCCAGCAGTAAACAGGGTCTTTAGAGAAAGGGGGTGTTTGTGATTAATGTTTCCTTTGTATCTTGTGCTCTGTACTGTATAAATCTGTATAAAACTAACTAATAAAAATATTGTTGAGTAAAAAAAAACAAAAATACATGTTTGCATTGTTTATTATTCCTACATGAATATCTATTTTCAGTTGAGTTTGACAGCTGGACTCTGCAGCAGAAATAAACTCACAGATGCATGAAGTCCAAACACCGTTGGTAATGAAGTTTTTTTCTCTCTGAGTTGGACTCTGATGGTGCACGTCCAGTTTTAACTTCCTCTCACTGACATTTTTCCTGCCAAACACTCATTTTTCCTTTATCTGAAGAGGCAGATGATTTCAAAAAGACTGATTAGAGCTGGATGTCCTTGTTACAGTCTGTCAAATTCTGCAGCCAAAAGTCTTCAAAACAGCAAAGTCCTTCCTCCATGTGAGTGGATCAGCTCCACCTGCTGTGTTTTACCTTTTTCAGAGAAGTTAATGCAAAGTTTAGAGCCGCTCTCCAGGAAACCACAAACACACACATTTCAGCGCTCTGTCTGCTGGTGTCTCAGACTTCTGCATCTCTGTGCCCTCCAGGTCCACACATCCTCACAAAGCATCAAACATCAGCCATGACCCCAGTCTGCCTCTACAGCATGTATGTTTCCATCACTGTGCACGAGTTAGGAGACATGCAGGGTTACTCACAGATCTGCTGCTGCAGCCAAAAATCCCACCGACATGCAGAGAGCTGCAGATTTGTTTATGGAGGATGAAGAGGAGGAGGAGGAGGAGGTCCAACCTCTTGCCACATTCTGGAGAACTGCTGGTAATCCAGTCCCTCCCTTTAATTGGACTTTGCTCTGTTTCCTTTGGTGAGAGTCCAAGTGAGTCTGAATTGGCATTAGAAGGATTTGATGTTTTGACTGCAATAGTGCCGAGGAGATCTGGGGGATTTCTGAAGAAGTCATTACTTACTCAACGCTATAAAGGAGGTGAGGGAGGACAGCTGGAAATTCTGAGGAAATCACAGAGAAACAAGATGAAGCGATCCAAAGAAGGAACAAAACACCGCTCTGTCCACTGTGTCATTTTCAGACCAGGGCAGCTGGACACTCCTCACAATCAGAGACCAGACTTTAGAAGACCCAAAGACTGTCTGATACTAATCTGTCCAAACTTAAAAAGCAAACTCAGCAGGTCGCGCCGTAATCATTCAGTCATGTTCTCATGATTAATCATACCTGAGACGTCAATCAGAGCCATGGTCCAGTCTTACTGCAGTCAGCTGATTCCCACTGAGACCAGCTTTAAACCAAACAGCTGACTGTAACATGAGACCACATGGAGTTTCTCTCTAATGGTTAAAGGTGGGGTAGTCAGGATCTGATGAAGTTCCAGTTTTAGGGAGAAATCTTGAATGTAAACGCTACCCCCCCCCCCCCCCCCCAACCCCATTGACACCACTCAGGGTGGGAAATCAGGCTCTTCGTCAGGCCTGAACTTGTCTGGTTTTTAACGACTTCGTGTGGACTGGGTGTTTAGATTTTCACTCGTCTCAGGAGGAGGCTCAGTGGTTCTCCTTTCCTACAAATAAACTGGTATAAATCTTTGTGTCATTTCATGAGAGGAAAGAAAACTCCTTCAGAGTGATTGAAGCTAAATTACCTCTAATGTTCTGGATACTGTATCACAGCCTCTTTGCAGACTAACAGAAAAGTCCTGAGAACCCCTCACAGCTGTTTGAGCACTCGCTAAAATCCTGGATAAAAACACAGAAACAGTTTTATTCCCATTTGAGTTGAACAATCTTCTCCTGGTTCTGGGTTACCTTGGAAAAAATGGTTTCTGGGCAGTGTCAGTGACATTTACTTAATCACTGTCTTATGTCAGAGGAATGGACTGCAGTGCATGGAGAGGTACAGCCAGTTTGTGTTGGGCCCAAAAGTTCCTTTTTATCACCCTCCACCCCGTACTTCCGGAGCACCCCCCACAGGATCCCCCTAGGGACATGGTCGTAGGCCTTCTCAGAGTCCACAAAACACATGTGGACTGGTTGGGCAAACTCCCATCTCCCCTCAAGAACCCGAGCGAGAGTGAAGATTTGATCCGTAGTTCCACGATCTGGACGAAAACTGCATTGTTCCTCCTTGATCCGAGGTTCAACTATCAATCGGACCCTCTTTTCCAGCACCCTGGCATAAGCTCTCCTGGGTAGGCTGAGGAATGTGATCCCCCTGTAGTTGGAACACAACCTGTGGTCCCCCCTCTGAAAGATAAGGACCACCACCCTGGTCTGCCACTCCAATGGCACTGCCCCTGATTTCCATGCAATGTTGTAGAGGCGTGTCAGCCAGGACAGCCCCACGCCAACCCCAGAGGTTATCT